TCTACCGAGAAAAAAATAATAACGAAGCACTTATTAATAACATTGAAAAATATAATGAAATAATTACTTACCCCGTTAATACTCTCTTGAATATAAAAAAAAAAACAAGGGGACTTCTAGCTAATGACGCATTAGGAGACAAAAATTATGTTATTACTTTATTAAAACAGGAATTCATTTATTTCATACAGTTAGAAAACAGTAGATGAAATTCGAAGTCCACCCTCCTTAAAAGAAACATAAAGAAAAAGAAACAGATAAATCTGTGTGTAGCTGAAGTGACTTCTAGGACACTTCAGGCGTGCTCAAGAGCAATAGTGCTAAAATTTTACCAGAGTAAAATTGGACTAATTAGTTTGAACAAGACAATCCTATTAAATGTCCCTCTGTCACACGATATACGTCAAAAGGAATCTAATACATTTAGTTTCAATACGTTCTTCTCAATCTTTACAAGTTTTTAAAATATATTAACAGACTTTAGAATATTAGTTTCAGAATGCCAAAACAAAAACAAAAATTACTTAGAATGTCAAATGTAACCTAGTGTGCCGAAAAAATATGGAAGCGGCCCATCATCAACCTTGAACATATCAATGTGATATAGCAAAAAATGGATGAGAAACGACAATTACTACACATTATTATTATTGTTTTAGAATATTATAGTATTCAAAAATATTATTATTTATTGCCATTTCTAATTGGTTGCAGCTAAATTATGAGAAGTTTGTTAGATATATCGATGGTTAACTTCATAGGTGTCAGTACAAACTTAATAGTTTTTAAGTAAAAAATATTAAAGCTCTGAATTCCTTATACATATGGTAATTATTTAGATGAGGACCGCACGGGTTAAGCGTGGTTCACAATCACTTAAGTCACACTTGTTCACGAAGCTCCGAAAACAGTCTTTCGGATAAACCCGGATATATTCGGCACAAGTGTGACCGAAGTGATTGTGAAATACGCTTAGCCCGTACGATGCTCTTCTAAATAATTACCATATATATATATATATATATATATATATATATATATATACACACGTTAGTAAGAAGCAATTAAGAAAAGTAAGTATGGATCCATAGATCAAAAAGTATAAACATGCTGAAACAATTATCTAAATATGGAAGCATATTGGCCCATGGAAATAATTAAGGTTTGAGCTAATTAGAAATAGTTGTACAAAGAATTATTTAAAATCATTATGCTACATTTTATAGCGTACTGATTTTTAAATTTATAAAACATAAAAGAGAGAGAAGATTTAAAAATTTGCAACTTTATACAGTTTATACTAATTTTACTTCATATAAAAGTAATTCCTCGCATTCAAAGGTCCATTAAGCATAGTCGGCAAACTGTCTTAAATATAATTCAGTAAGACTAATAATATAAGTGATTCTTACCTTGGAAGAAAACGTGAATTATTAAAATGAAGAAAGATTATTAAAACACTACAAACTCACAGGGTAAAAACGAACTATGAGCCTAATGAAGCAGGGTTACCAATAGTCTTTTGGGATAGAGACGACTAAATAAAAACTAAATTCTTCTAATTCACAGAAGCTTAACAACAAATTATCAAATAATTTATATTTATTACCAAGAGTACAATCTTACACATATTTAAGCCCAAAGATTTTATTAACAAAATTTTATTAAATATATAGCCTTGAAATGTAAAAAAACTATTAAATTCAAAGAAGTATAAATATCAGCAGCGAATACATTTCATGCTTGTAATTATATTATATATCATACTTATTAATAACTACGGATAAGTAAACTGCTCATTAACATTAAAGACAAAATAAAAGAAAGTGAAGATTTCAAAAATCTCAACCGTTATGCACACACAAGAAATAAAAGTTATCCAAAGATTACTATCATTGAAAAATCAGTGTAGCAACAAATGGCAAACCATATAATACATTATTTAATGAAACCAATAATAAATAAATATTTCTTACCTTCCTAAGTTAGAGTGAACATATACTGCAAAATAACACAAAACTCAATGCAAAAACGGACTTAACTGCGGCTGAACCTAATGAAACAGTGTTGCTACTGTTCTTTTTGGATAGAGATAACAAAATAAAAATAAAATATTCTAAATAAAAGAAATTTTAAAAATTTCAAAATTTATTTTTATAACAACTAAGTCTAGAGTTGTATCTTTAAATTCAAATCAAATGTATAATTATCGGGGGGAGGGGGGAGGGGGAGGGGGTTTCTTGAATTTCTTCAAAACAAATTTTATTACAATTGAAAAAATCATTGAACATTGAACCCATTAGCTCAACATCATTTTATTATATTTTTAATTAGATAATGGCTCAACCTATTTATTTCCACAACCAATAAGTCATGTGCTGCTGTCTCTTTAAGAATATTTTGAGACAACTACTCTAATGTAAAGAGTATTAAAACTTTTTTTAACTTAAATGGCAACAATGGGACTTATTCCGGTTAAACTAAGCAAAAAATAAATATTAACTAACCCAGGTTGAAATCTAAATAGAAATCACAACTTAGAGTTGGGTAGTCAGTTCAGCAAAGAGGAAATTCATCTTCCTTTTTGAATGCCTATACCAGGTTCAAAACTGACTCCCGTCCAATTCATCATTGAACTCAAAAGATTAACATACATAAATCACGATGTAATATATCATACCACCAGTATATTTGCAATTGCAATAGTATACCGTCAATGTCCAATTTCATTTAATTATTCAATTAACAATGTTCGTAGGATTATTTAATGTAAAATAAATTAAATTTCTGCCCTTATAACATATTTTTATTCTCAAGGATTACCTATTGTTTAATGTAAAACTTTTTGGTCTATAAATGTTTTTAATTAACTAAATGAGAAACATCTAAATTCAAAGACTTCATTAATAAAAAAAACAATTCATAAACCTGCACAATGCTTAAGATATAATAGTAAACAAAAATCAATCAGTTAAAAGGTTTTTATCAGACTCAAATCATATGTTTTTATTTACTCGGATTTTCTTCTCATTGCATGAATTATTTTGGAACACTTGTCCTTGTTTAATCACACCATAAATATTTATAATTTAATCATTAGTTTAAATTTTTTTTTTTTTTATTGTTCGGACCAAACACAGGCCTATCTCGACTTAATCAGAGTGAGAATGATAAGATATATATTCTGAGAGAGCCAACGAATATTTAATGTCTAGGAGAGAGGGAATGGATGGATACACCAGCCTGAATTCAAACATATGCAAAGTTAGTATCACTAAATTGTTCAATGATAAACTGCAATAAAATACTTCATAAACATAAAAAACAATAACTGTATTTTTTAAATTTATTTTCCTAAATATTCCTTTCATTAACTCGTAAAGTAACAGGAATTCATCATTCTAAAAGAGAAACAAATTTTGGAAGACATTTAGATGCACACTATAAAATTCAGACCATAACTATTACCATTATAGCTGTATCTTTACAAATCAATGATCAAAATTACATGAGTGTCCATAATAACATAATTCATGTAATATTTAAGTGTTTACTTCAATATAAAATGTTCTTAAGAAAATAAAAATTAAGTACCAGATACCAATAATCACAATAATGTGTAGAATGATAGGATTAATAAATCATTGGCTATCAATTAATTTTAAATTGTTGTTCTCATTTTAGAAGCATGTTGAATTATCCAATTTGAATAAACACCAACAAACAGATAATACCTTTCCACCAACTTATAACTGTTCAAACCAGATTTATCATAGAATTTAAACAACTTTATTTATAGTCCCACAGATATCAATACATATACTATTTAAAATATTTTTTCAAAAAAACAAATTATCATTAAAGCAAAAAACAAAATAAAAATGGCCCTAAATTACCTTCACCTTAGCTTTATAACCTAGCAAGAATATAGTGACAAAATATAGAATTGGGTACCAATACGTAGAAAGTAATTTGTAATTTATTTTTGAACTGATTATAGAGCTGAGATTATTGATTGGTATAATTCTATATATAATCCAAATATAATTCCATTCATATAATACTATATGGCTAGAAATTGGACAGCCAATTTATCATTTATGAGTAGCACTTTGAAACAACTTGACTTCCATACTTCTATTAATAGATAACAAATCAATAAATTTCCAACCTTCACATATCAACAAGTGTGACACATATCTGGAATGATCTCTGTAAAATATTCTCATTTATTTGGTTACAATTATATGGATGTTTTGGAACAATTAAAAAGAAATATTGCCAAAGAGGCCTCTTTTCCGAGAGCAGGTCACTTTATAATAATGCATCTATATTTAGTTAATTGAAATAGACTAAAAATTATAAATATTTGTTAATGAAAATCATCAACATATAGCTCAATAAATAAAGGAATAAATCATTTATTTTGAGGCCTTAAAATGTTAGATAAAATATGCTTTCAAATATTTAAAAAAATTAAGACGTACATTAGAAATTCAAAAAGAGACAAAAATATTATAAATATTAAAATTATTACTTTCATTAAAATCATTATCCAAAACTAAACAAGAATGGTATGCAAAAACTTATCGTGCAGTGTTAGCAAATCGCACAATTAAAAAATGTAGTTCATGAAACTTCACTTTTCACTAAACAATAATACTAGTGCTCAATTTATATTTAGATCAGGAAAAATGAGATATTTGCGTAAAAAGATAATGAAAGGATATGCATTGAAGATATAGACAAAACAGTTTTTCTCTTCCTAAATTAAACATTAAAAGAATATTGGCAAACTCAAGAGATAGTCACTTCAATCATAGTCACAATCACATACAGAGAAGAGCTATTTTTAATTTTTATGCTTACACCATACACAATACTTAACCATCTTCCTGTTTTGTTAACACCAAAATTATGGAATGTAGAAGAAAGTTAGGGCAAGTGACACTAAATAAGAAAAATATATACACAAATATATTTGATTATATACATTTTGAGAAACACTTGTATTAATAAACTGTAATTTACAAAAAATTATGTACAAAATTTTTCATTGGATATTCATCCTTTTGTTAGTGGTAACTAACTATAATTACAATACATTGTTGAGTTTAACAAACACATTTCTGACTTGAAATAAACTGACAATTGAAATAAACATTTCTGATATACTAAAGTATTCTGTAGTTTTTAGAAAATATAAAACAAAATTGGTTTAAAAAGATATTGTTCTAATCAAGCCTTTTAACCATAAATAACCATTTAACCATGATATTTTGAGAATAGTCAAAACTTAAAATAAATTGAGTCACCCCACCAACTTTAAAAGGATCAATATAATAAAAAAATTACAGTTTTAACAGTATCCATAATTTCATAAGGTCAACGTCTGGCCTTTTTCCTTTTAGTTTGTTTTGCTTCCCTACTCTTCACCGCACGTTTATCTTTCTTTTGTCTCGGATCAACTACTCTGTACTTTCCTTTGACTCCAGCTGGTCTTCTCATTCTCTTCATGGCAGTGTGCTTCTTTGCCACCACATACGTTATTTCTTTCTTAGGTTCTTTAGCTTTTTTATACAGTCTGAAACAGAACATTATAATTTTACTAATAAAAAAATAACAACATATTAAACCTCTAATATTAAAAAAACAACTCAAACTACTTAACAACAATACTGTGTTGTTTTATCTCTCTACAATCTACAATTAAGTTTTCTCCACTTTAGAGGTGCATCCAAATAAATAAATACAAAATACTCAAGGCTCCTTATTTAATTTATTTATCTCAAGATACCTAAACTATCCAAGAACAGGATGACTTGCATTACTAAAATGTTGATACGAATCCAGTACATACTTCAACCTACCAACTCCAATTATCTTTACTTACTAATTATTAATTAATTAAGGAAAAAATTATCATTTGAATTATACTTCTATTAATATTATATTAATACTTCTATTCTAATTATACTACTTCTGCCTTAAAAAATATATGTAAATTTTTAAAATCATGACTGAATTCTGCTGAAAAAATTCATTAAAATTTTACTTCTAGTACTGAGAAAAAACTTATATTTGAAAGAAATGACCTTATATTTTTTTATAATTCAGTCTCGCAATTTTGGAAGAAAAACAATATTTGGAAATTATTTTAAACAAAACACTAGAACATTAGAACTGTCAGTAAATTTAAAAAAAAACAATCAGGAATGGTACCATATTCCAATTTTACTTAAATTAAATAACGAGAGACAACTTGTTTTTGATCAATTAGCATATTTTCTTTAACTAAGAAAATTCAGAAAATTAATCTGCTCATTGAATATTGAAAAATTTAAAAGATTACTTATAAAATATAGAGATTGAGTTATTGAAAATTATATATTAGCAATAACATAATGATACTAAAGAAAAATAGTTAGAAATACCCAAGTATAAAAAATAATAATTATGAACTATTCAACCTTATGATCACGTTAAAACTGAAATTTTAATAAACTTACCGCTTAATTTGTCTAGCCTTTTCTTTTTCTGAGACATCTGGATTCTCCATGAGACCTTCTAGTTTCTTTCTGGCTTTCTCTAACTTCTTCTGTGCTCTTTTCTTCTTTCTAGCACGTGCTTCAATTACTTTCTTTATAGGTCTTGAATTAAATTCATCAAATTTCTTTTTGTATTCATCAACAAGCTCCTAAAATACATACATGCAGAATTCAATTTAGAAATAGAGATATTCCAATACAAACAAGAAATCTATATAGACAAATACAAGATTAGGAAACAGATTTGATGGCTCTAAAATATGGTTAAAATCAGGTGTGATGAGTGCATCACACAACTTTCGCTTACCAATCTTCTACTTTGAGTAGGAATTAATTTTAAATAAAGTAATAGACTTTAGGGCTCATATCTATTAACATTTTTATGTAAGGTTCCTTAGGAAAAATTTACGAAGTGTTAAATTCAAACCTTTAAATATAATATATATAATAAATATAAACCTTTAAATTCAAATCTTGCATACATTTTTTATGAATTTTCTCAAGAAAGATTCCTTAAAAACACCTTATTAAATTAATTGCTCATATTTAGCTTCTATTAACAAACTTTTCTGTTTATTAGCAAATATTTAATTTCTCCATATTAAGTTAGCCATAGTTACTAAAGAATTTCTTTAAACTATACTGTTAAATTCAGTATAGAGGGAGCTTGACCCTATCTTAGCATTAAGGTGAGCTCAATAACGGAAAGAATAAAAGGTTTGTTTTTACAGTGAAAATTTAGTTAAAAGAAGCTAAATGTGATCAATCAAATATAACATTAAGTAAAATGAACCAAACGAACCTTACTCAGGAATCTTCCTTAGATATGTTCATAATTATGGGCCTAAGAATACTACTTTAACTGTAAATATAAAGCAACGGCAATTTATACAAAATAGAATAACCCTGTGAACTATATATTTAAAAATGTCCAGCTCAAAATAAATTTAGAAATTTTTCAAATGTTCAGTTGGGAATTGCTTTTTAGTTCATTTATTTTCTATTCAATATAAAAACATAATTATTGATAACAATAATTATTAGTCATTAGTTTTTCGCCACTTCCCAATATCTGCTACAACTTTAAATATTAGATATTAATTTTCTTAATATCTTCAGCTTTCTAAGAGTATATTATTTGTATAACTACTCCTACTCCTAGATATTTGTTTCCAACACAGCAAAATATAACAGGAATGTCTTTACGTAGAACCGGCTGTCTGTTTTTCCAGCGATTTCTAGTAGCTTTCATCTTAACTAAGTGCTCTCTTTCTCGAGCAGTCATTTAAATTAGACTCTGTCCCAATTGTTTTTTGGGCTTAAATAAGTAGGGAAACACACCCAAAAGACAGAATGGTTACAGCTATCTCATTAGAGAAACTAAATCCTGTTTATATATATAAACTAATATTTAATATGTAACTTATGAAAAATTTGATAATATATCATTAATATAATATAGAATTAATAAAATTATGTTATATGTATATATATATATATATATTTAAAATATACAAAGGTACTTTTTAATTGTTTTCTTGAAGGAAAGTAATTATTTGGAAATATAAGAGCTTTCAAAAAGTACCATTACTTTTGTCTTGCTTATGTTCACATACGACGGAATCGGATTTAATTTTAACAGAAAATATTTATGTAATCATTTTGAAATTTATTTCTTAAATCCGTGTCATTCTGTAAATACATTAATTCCATTTAATAACTCATCTGAAACTGTTTAACGTCTAAATTAAATGGTGAAGAGAAATTTTAAAACTAAAAGGGGAGGTTACAGAATTGAGTTCACCAATTTCAATGAAAATTGTTGGTGATATTAGGTCAAAAATATAAGACCCATTTCCAAGGATTATTGCCAATACCCTGAAGGCAGAAACAAACTATTTTATAAAAGTTTATTATTTTTTTAAATTACTGTATTCTGACTTTGTTCTGCATGGATTTCTGATTTATTATATATCAATAGATTTGATTTTTTGTGTAATATAAGAAAAACATATTTCTAATTGTATTAAACCAATTATAATGTATAGTAAATCACAAAAACGCTTCCAGTAAAGCAGGCCAAATAAATTTTGGTCATGAAAAATCGATTCAGATTCATTTTTAGTGTCCACTTGAACTCTTAAAGACAACTTAGCATGGCAATAACAAAATAAACTTTTTATGACTCAATTTTACAGGACTTTTTTCATGCCGTTCACTAAAATATTCATAACTCCTTAAGATTTTTTCCTAAGTCAACGTTACTACAACCGTTCGAAAGCTCAATTATTGCACTTCAAAACCGTATCAATAACTAATAGATTTTATAGCTTTATAATTATGGAGAAATTAGTACTGATCTTGGGAATAAAATGGGCTCAAATATTTTTTTTAGGTGAAACGAAATTGAGATTTGTATTTCTCACCTCAAAAATACCTTAAATACGAGTTTTCATAAAAAAATATTTTTTTTTTGCAGGATTTTTTTGCCAGGATCTTTTTTGGACCCTCCCTCTGATTTGTTTTCGAAAATCACAAAAATTGTGATAACTTCTCGACAAGGCTTCACTTATCCACAAGAAAAATAGCTTGAATTTATAGACCTATAATACACACAAACCAGACGTCCATGAATAAATTAGGCTTGGAGATAAGAAATAAAAATGTTTGGGTGTGTTTCCCTAGTTTTTTAAGACTAAAAAACAATTAATTTATAAGCTGTAAAACACATTTCAGCATTAAAGATAGGACAAGGGGCAGAGTCTAAGTTAAATGACTGCGTAAGAACGAGAAAAAACAGACAGCCGGTTCTACGTAAAGACACTCCTAATATTTGTGCTTTGTTGAGCTACTGAATTCTTTCACAGTTTATATTAATTTATTTATTTTTTATAAATAGTAACAATTAGATATTGTTAATTATTTGAAATAAATAAAATTAAAGATACTTCAGTGGAGGAAATTTTAAAATTAAGTTTCAACGACCTGTCAAACTATTTTAATGAAGATAAAACCAAACTAATATTAATATTAAAACCATTAAATTATTGATTTGCAGAGGAGAAAACAATTGGTCCCAGGGGACCATAAAATGTGCATTTACCTTGAAAACTCAGATTCAAAATCCTTCACTATTGCAATACTTTCTCTTACTATATATTCATACATAGGTAAGTGAAAGTAATAATTTATTACAAATATTTAAAATAAAAAAATGGCATATTTATAAACACAACAAATACACCATCAGTTCTCATTTTATCAACAGACCTTGGGAACAGGTGCTTCCTTCATCATGTGCTTCTTCTCATCTTCCACAAACCAATCAGGCAAGTTCTCATCATTGAATGCGTATCTATTCCAAGCACCATCAATTAGATCTCGCTTGGTGACCTGCGACGAAACCATCATGGCACCCAATGCTAACTGTTGTTCGCTAAGTTTTACTTTCTTCAGCTTACTATCTAAAACCAATTAATATTCTTGTTAAAATGAAGAAATGAATTTTCATGGTTTTCGGGGAATAAAACTCCCCACTAAATCGGAAATCCTCTGATAAACAGTCATTATAGAACAAATTTATTGTATTACAGATCAATAATAAAAATCAAAGTGCTACATGAAAAGAGGAATTAATAAGAGATAAAAATGTATTTATTAAACTTACCTTTAGGTACAATTTCATAGCCTCCATCCTTCCCAGGAACTTTCTTCACTTTTGAGGGTGGTTGCTCAATTTCAAAATCAGAACCAGAATCATCTGAAGAACTGTCATCGGGACCGTCACTCAACCCTTCATCACTATCAGTTTCAGCCTTCACTTTCGTCTGAGATTTGTCAGGTTTGATCTTGGCAATAGCTTGTTCTGTCTTCGCTTTACTGATCAAACTCGCCCCTTTCTTTACAACATTCTTTGCCATTTCTTCCAACTCAAATTCTTCATCTTCGTCCTTCTCCAGATCTTTGAAAACATCCTAAAAGTGAAATTTAAAAATAAACACTTTCTAATGATGAAAACATTTGCCAAACAGTTAATTTTGCATCTTTGGGAAAACACCAAATTAAAGCATGCAAATGGTCTAGTAGCATTTATAAAGATATCCCTTTAACAATGTTCCTATTAAAATCAACACAGCTATCTGTTCCTATTGAATAATACATTTTACAGCCTTTAATTTATTATTTATGATATCAAAAGAGAAATAATTTTTTTCTATAAAATTTATCTGAAATGGCAAGAAGGTATAAGTCAACTGAAAAAAAAAAATACTAAGGTACCATTCACAGAAGGTAACTTATACTGTTAGTTTATTATTTTCAATAATGAACCATTGTGATCGACCAAAAAATTCAAAAACTAAACCCCCTCTCAAAATTTGAGGTTTTACGTTTTTATTTATAATGTCTATAATTTTTTTTTTAATTATAACTCTGAGGCTCCAAAGCCAACATTTTTATCTCTGTATATTAATCTAAAGTGACTTGTCCCAGAATAAATAAAGTATTATTATTATTATTATACCTATTCATTACATTCCACCAATAATAGGCAGATATGGAAAACCTCTAATTTTATTATATTATTGTTAACACATAGACGTCCAGTAATTTTTTGCACCAGCAATTCACAAAATGCCGTCATCTCTTTGTCTCTGTTTGTTAAAAATTAGAATTAAATTTATTTAGAATGAAAGAACAAGAATCAATTATTTTCTGCTCTAATTATTTACCCAGCACATCTGCTACTTGTTAATAAATGGAATTAAAAGGGATGGCATTCAAAATTAAAGAGAAAAAAATTATTTCCTGTAATATACGATGATGATGAATTTCTGTCATTTGGCCATTGGAGATAGTTTGCAAAATGACAAACTTTCATCATCCATACAAATATGTGTTAAAGAATTACAATCAATAAAATTGAAAATCACCTTCTCAAACCACAACTGTGCCTTGTGAACACGCTTAGTCTCCTTATCCCTGGGATCCAAATCAGTTAGAAATGGATGATTTTCTTTCAGATCATCATCTTCATCATCATCATCTTCTTCTGACTTTATATCAGATGAAAATCTAACTTTTTTCTTTTCAGTTTTTAATTTCTTAATTGGCCTTGCCTCATCCTCATCTTCTGATGAAGAAAAATCTGCAAAAAAAACAAAACAAATGCATTGATATAAGTTTAAAAATAAGAGTTGGTTGAAAAATAAAATAAAATGACTGCTTACCAAGATTTTCTTTATCACTATCATAATCACTATCATCTCCAGATTTTTCAGATTCAGATTCATCTGATGAATCCTTGTAGAACCTAGTGGAATAAATATTTTAATACATTGTGATATAAAAATGAATGGTAATTTCAAAAAGGGTAAACATATAATTTTATGAAATAAAATATCCAAATCATTATAAATAGTATAACATACAAATCAATAAAACTTTGAATAGTACACTTAATAAATAATACAAAAGAAATCAATTGTTATTTCTTAACACCGTAGGTACCAGTATAGGAACTTCGAACTAAATTATAAAAATATTAAAATTAATTAAATTTCTGGACAATATAAAATATTTATTTTTCATAAGTATTTGGGAACTAAGTTACCAATTGAGTATCATGGGTACTTGAGTTAGCTTCCTGAACTGCAGGATAGTGATATGATGATATGTATGATGAGGTGCCGGTCAAAAACTTTTAATGGAATTCCCTGAAATTTCCAGGTTATTTTTGAAAGGGGGTCACGCCAAGTGGACTAACATGATGATAAACTGAAGATGACAAGTTCGAATCCCAGTAATAACTCTGACATTAATATCCTGCCCCTTTTCCCTGGCCAGAGAAAAATCTCATACAGCCAAAAAGGTGAAGAAAAAGAGAATAAAGGGTTATTTTAAAAAAATTTCAGATATCCCTTAAATTTTCTTAATTAAAAATGCCAAACATAGTATTTTTTATGAAACCTTACTTTTCTAGGTTTGGTAGACACCACTAGCGGATCCAGGATTTACTTTGGGGGGGAGGGGAGGCTTCAGCCCGAAAGCTTTTTTTTTTCATAAAAATAACGATAATTACTTTGGAAAAAAGAAACTAACTACCTATATGAAATGGTGTTTAAGTGATTCCTGAAGTCCTTTTAAATGTAATTACAAGAACAATAATACTTTAAGAGATAATTTTTTAATATTTTTTTCCATATAACATGGTTATATTTTAGCATGTTGGGGGGGCTTCAGCCAAGTAATATTGAAACAAATCAAACTACTAAACAAATATACCTCAATTTGTGAGGTGATATGTAAATTCCTCAATAAATTATTACATAAATAAGAATTACAACATTTTTAAAAATAAACAAAGTATGATGACTCACATTCCCGACTTATCCAAAATCTTCTTGTCCTTTTCAAAAGGAACATATGATGAGCGATAGGTTCCAAAATTCTCATCTTCTATCTCTTCATCACTATTGGCTAAAATGTCTGGTTTCTGGTCATCAACTTTTTCTAATACCTATTGGAAAGTAATAAACCAAAATTTAAATACTTGTTCTGAAGGATATTTTAATAATAATAGTTCTATTAAACTTTGATAATATGTCAATAACTCCACAGTGAGATAAGTAAAAGTTAAATGTGACACTTACATGTTTTGAAGAAATCTGTTTCAGATTAAATAATGGTTCTTGATCATCTTCTTCAATTGGACCATGGTCATCTTTGTGAATCATCTTTAAATTCAACTTTTCTTGGAGTTTAGCCCTTTCTCGATTAGCTCTTTTTCTTTTTTTCTTCAGTTCACGTGCTTCTTCAGACTGGAATATTTGGTCACATTAATTCAAAAATAAGTCACAACTTATAAACAAAAATTAAGAAAATTATTTTCAGTATATGTTTTAATGTTGAAATATAAAAAATAAATAACATTGAACGCAATTTACCTCTAGAACATTAATTTTTTCATCCATATCAAGCAGTTCTTTCTCATCATCTGATAACTTAACTTCATCTACTTCCACTTTATCATTTGATTCTTCTTCCTTTTTAACTTTAGACTTATCATCTGAAAAATATTTTTTGGCCATCTCTTTTCCCCAGTTCATAAGCATCTTTAAATCTTTACGACCCAGAACTTTTATATCTTTACAACATTCTTTTATTTCCAAAGTTGTCTCTTCATCTTTCAAAACATCTTCATGGTCTAGTGTTAACTAGAAGAAAGAAAAAAAAAAAGGCATAAAGTAATGATAGGCGCCACCCTCAAAGAGGGCATGTACAATGCATGTCAATAAATAAAGGTTATAAAACAAAAAAAAAGATGTGCAAAATAGTTGTACAAGCCAGAGAGACAAATAAAAGGATTGTTCTACATGGCTCATAAAACTATTTCGTCCCAATGAATTTTTTAATAAATAACTTATTTTTAATAAATAATTGGTAATTATTTGATGCTTTCTATGACAGATTGCTAAACCATTTTCTTCTTAATTTATCACACAATCAATTATCTACATATATAGTAATAATTTTATGGGATAATAAATTCTTATTTATGAGACTTAACATGTACAACTAACCCTAGTACTAGTTTGTACAAATATACAAGACTGACTTACACAAGAAGCAACTTGAAGAACTTCAACAGGATTGCTACTCTTTATAAACTCAACAACAGACAGTGGATTATAGACACCACGCAACTCGGAATACCCTTCTGCTTTTGTTTTCTTCTGTTTATCTGGACGGAGGAAATTGGCAGGAAGAGTAGGTTCCAAATCAAGCTCCTTGAAGACATATCTAGCATCCAAGAACTTGGGATCCAATTTGGCAGGTGCAAGATAATATTGACATACAACAAATATTTCAGCTGATTCACTACGTGAGGCTTGTGGTTTTGTTGCATGAACCTGAAAATAATTTAGCATAACTAAATAATATTCTTAATAACTAATATCAATTATTAAATAAAATAGCAAACTTAAGTTTGAATCATTATTTTAAAAATTGAATACCTTTTTGAAAAGCTGCTTAAATACCCAAAGAAGAGGATTGTAATCTTTAGAACGAAATACCTTGGTAACAAACCACCCACCTTCCCTGAGGAAATTGGTAGCAAGCTTTAAGGCACTTAAAGTCAGACATGCTTGTTGATAAGCATCATAAAGCCAATTTTGACCTGTTTAAACAAAATAAATTAGTTTGTTATGGTTTTTATGAAGAAAAAAAAAACTTGGAAAAAACAATAAATAAATAATATGGTAAGGTAAGATTAATATGAGTAGATTACGATGGTATTATTTAAGATTTGTTCGTAATCAAAATTTAGGAGCCAGCCTGTCATCCATACCCACATATGAATAATCATTTAATTAAATTTTTATATAACTATTAAGTTTATTTATCTATACTGGTATTGATTTCTTGGTTAATCAGTAGAACAAGGGTAAGACTGAAGACAAATATTATTATCGGTAACATGTCAGTAATATTAATAATGAAAGGGATGGATGAAGATGAATAAATCACATTTTAAGGAAGCTAGAAAGAACAGTACAGATTACAGAGAACAGTACAACAGATTGGTAAACAGTACTTATTATATAAATATATAATTTGACTTATATAATGATTAAGGAATTATCACAAGAAACATTACTATGAAAGGGAATAAACAGGTCCGTAGAATGTAATCATGTATTCAAAAAGAAGGATGTAAAAAAAACAGGGTTAGAAAATTGGTAATATATACAGAATATAAATCAAATAATATAAGTAACTTAGCTAGAAAGAACATTATTTACAATAGTAAATTAACTTGAAAAAGGTTTTCTCTAATTTGTTTAGATGTCTTTCTAAGATATTGAAATCAAAGATTAGCACAAATAGAATGCTTAGCAAATATTCTGACAACAAGTAATCAATAAGATTTTCTTTTTATGTTTTTAAAGTATTTTATTTTTCAATTTTAGTCAACATTTGTACCATATATCATTTTTTTTAATAAGAAAAAAAAAGCCTGAGTAGCTTCCTTAACTTCATTGGGTTTGTTTAAATTTAATACATAACATTGAGAAGAAGCTATTCGACTTTTCGTAATATGGTGAATTAAATATGTAACATGCTTCAGCATTGGGTGGCCAACTGAGCCTCCCTTCAATGACAAGGTGGTCCCTTATAATTCTCAGCAATGGTAAATTCCTTAGAGAATTTTCAAGCATCAAATAAATGACTGATATTTAATATGTCTAAGAATAAGTCTAAGCCTTTTTCTTTTTTATATAAAACTATATTACAAATTTAAATCAAAACATATAATTTTCATTTACATTTATATTATGTACATTGTTATTACTATTTGAAATGTTTCTTTTAATTTTTTTTTTTTCCTTGCAGCAGTAATTGGCCGTTAAGTTTCTTATTTTACAATTACATTAAAATATCAAAATATAATAAATCATTTTTAGCTTTCAATACAGCTCGATTAACAATAAAAGGGTAATTATGATGTAACAATATTTATTGATTGATATCTATTATTTTCTTTAATTGGCTGGTTATTGGTGATTGGTTCGTTAGAGTGTAGTAATAATTTTATACTAGTAGGCCCGTGCGAAAAATTCGCACAGCATATTGTTATCAAATGCCAAATTAATAAGAAAAGAAAATAATGCAACGTATCAAAAGATAAAGGAATCAATTGTTACTTTATCGATAAATATAATCGACAAAGGAAACAAAATTAATTTAAATCTTCATTTTTTTTTGGAACCAACATATTTACAAATTTCAATAAGCTGTATCTTTGCGAAAAATTGTCCGATTTCAAAGATTTTTTTTTCCTTTTGTAATGTTTTATATAATCATGGGAATAACCAAGGGAAAAGTGTGTAATTTTTTAGTTATTCGCAAATAAACTTTCTTTTCCTTCATAACTTGTTTGCCTGAATTTTCGGGATGATTGGACTATTTTGCACGCCTGAAGGAGAAGGAAGCCTTCGAAATTGGTGGCTCAATCTTGAGATTTGGTGAAGAATTATCGATTATATGGCTTGCCGATCAAAAACACCATTGATAAATAATATAAACTCCTCCTGTCTCGATCATAGAGACATCAAGTCGACGAAATGAGACATGTATCCAATTACAGAATAATGTATACACTTAACGTCAGGTTGTGTGGATGCGAACCACTTTCCATGCCTTGCGTTATCTCGAAAATAGTACGTTTCTGAGCGTAAATAGTAAGTACAAACCTACCACCGTTCCAGTATTGAAGCCTAGCCAAATGTATGTATCGACTTTATTTATTTTAGAAAGAAAACAAAACTGGAGAATACGATCCGCTAACTCCCCATGAAATTCTGAATCCAACGGTACCCCATTCATGTATTTGAGCATGCCAGGAGCTTATATTTGGAACAAAACCAATTTTGAGCCTTACTGTAATAATATGTGGGGATTATTATATACTTTCGCTATTCATGGCTTTTAAACTTCTTTCAGAACTGAAAATATTTCAGAAATTTATTTTCTGTTTTTGAAAAATAATTTTGTTAAAAAATAAATGATAATCAAGCAATAAATAAAAGAGTGAATGTTCAATTCATTCAAAGTTCAAAGAGTATTTATAATAAAATTTGACAAATAACTATTATTTTATAAATAATTTTTCATGATTATTCCTTTAATTCATTTAATACATAAATGATGTCAACAATGATCACTACTGTTGGGGCGCAGTGATTTCACAGCGCCAACAGCGATCGTCACTATTGGGACGCAGTGATTTCACAGCTCCTACAGTGACCGTCACAGTGATTTCGGTGCACCTATCACTGTGATCACCAGCTTCGGTCCAATCACTGTGAAAGAATCACATCTTTACCTATACGATACGGCCCCATCAGTAGAATGAAGTAGGACGATCAGTTTATTATAGGTACTACTGTACAAATGTCACTTCATAAATTAACACTTACCAACATTTGGAGCACCATCGTTTAAAACTACATCTGCTTTCCAAGTTTGAAGTTCCTTTGATATCGCCTGTCTACATTTGTCGGTAGTAATATCTTCTGTCAAGGATATACACCCAGGAATGGGTTTAACAGGAAATAAATCAACCCCTGAAAAAAAAATCTAAATTAGACCTAATCATTTTATATATTTTATAACTAAGCCTTCATAAAATAAATTCTCACCAATCACAATGCTTGAAACTGGCATGTTTTGCTTTGCTACTTGCATCCAACCTCCAGGAGCTGCACATAAATCCAGACATACCTGAGATTTTTGTAAAAACTCAAATTTTCTATTTAACTGAATTAACTTGAAAGCCGCACGAGATCGATATCCTGTAGAAAAAGATAACATTAAATTTGAAAATACACATTAACTTCATAAGTAAACCGCGTTTCTGCGAATAGTGCTATTTGACCTGTCTCTTTGGCGAGTTGGTAGAACTTATCCTTCCTCTGTTTTCCTACTTTAGCCTTTTTCCCCATGTTGTTAAAATTTCAATAAATAAACTCAACTCAACTAAATCGGAACATCACGTGCTGCCCAAGTAACAAAAACAATGATTCGGAAGGTAATAAGACTGTTACACAAGTGCTGCCACCTACTTGATTTTTTTTTTAAACTGTGTCTAGAAGGTTTATCAATGGTTATATCAAAGTATTAAGTATTGGAGAAAGGTTTATCAGTTAGAATTAATGTATTTCGTGACTCTGGTGGTTCTTTCCTTGTATCAATCAAGAAAAGAGCCTGTTTTATGTTTTCCACTGCATTTTGACGTATAATAATTCATTCATACCAATGTCTTCATTATTTTCATCATTCTGGAGATGCAATTCTCAGCTGAAACTTTGTGCTACTTCATTGCAAAATGTGATAGGTATATTAACAGTACGCAATAAATGTAAAGATGTTGAACTCCCATCAAACAGTGGTGCCAAATCTGGAACATTCAGAAGAATTGTTCACTATTCAGATAAGTATACAGTTGAACCCTTGAGGATAACTAGATTAGGAGGAAGAGATCCAGTATCAGGTAAATTAAATTCAATTGCATTATTGTATAATTCAACATTCTTTCTTGTTTCAATCTCCAATCACCCGTGATTTGGAAATACTATTTCCTTTAGAATCATATAATATTCCTATATAATAAGAATTGATTGTGTCATTACTAATATAATTAATCTGCTATTCAATTCTTATTGAATCTTAAAATACAGTTTAGACTACAGATGGATTATAGTGAATTATTTTATAGTTTATTTAGTTTTAGATTTACTCTTCACATCAAGCTTATCAGTACTCAGGGTAGATGAAGTCCTCTAAGATTTTTTTCATTAATTGTACTTTAATTTTATCAAAATTTATGGAGTATTATAAGCCATCTGTAGTAATCTTATCGTAGAAATTCTGAATAACTTGGCAGCAGCCAAGTGGGTAAGTAGAGTGACAGCGGTAAAATGGTACCAGACCATTTCACCAAATATTGTGTTAAAAGAATTTCTTAGAGGTGCTATAATTAAACTTCCGTTGTCAACCAATAAAGACAACCATGGTATTACAATTGCAATATTTTAAGTTTATACGTGGTCCAATAAGCTTAAAATAGTGCTTGGGTTCCTATGTTTCTCTTACTTGGATTTATTACTCCTACATTTTCAGTAGTATATTAGAGTCAGCATCTAAACTTCATCTAAAATTCTTTTCTTTACAAGAATTATAATTTATTTTTAAATATTGCTTGCTACTGTAATTTTAAAATTCAAATGAAGTAGTTCTATTTTGATTTTTTTAGGCAGAGTTGTGATCAAAGGTATTGGAGGGGGAATCAAAAGGAAATACCATTGGATTGAATGGAAAAGAGAAGCTCCGAAGGATGGTCCACCAGTAGTTGAGAAAGTTATTGAAATCATGATTGATTGGTGCAGAACCAGTAGAATAGCTCTTGTAGCTGGAGGTGATAAAATGAAGTATTACCTTGCAACAGAAAACATGAAGGCTGGTGATATCATTACCACCACCAACCATATACCTAGAATACCAGGTATATTAAATATTTAATAACACTTATAATTTCGAGAAAAATAACTTTATTTAACCCTTACACCTCCACTTCATGTTTCAATTCATTTTAATTTTTTTGACGTTTCAGGCAATTTTGCCCATTTTCAAGTCGAAATATTTATTATATCATTATCCATCATCTATGTAATATTATTTTTTATGATTATTGTAATTTTTTTTTCTTCTAATATTAATTTTTAAACTTATTTATGAAAAGTCGATTTATTTTATACATTACCTTTGGACCATAAAAAAATTAAACATTTTTTTTTAATTTATATCAAATGTTACACATTTTTATCCTTTTAATGCAATAGCCATATGTCCTTGAAAATTTAGAAGATTTAATAAAAAATTAAATATTTATTTTTTCCAGTAAATTATTTGACTATCATGCTCCTCCGAAAACCCAAACCTTATGTCGTCCCCACAAATCCTTTGGATGACCACTGACATAAACTTAAATATAAAAAGAAAAGTAGCAAGGTGCAAATATCATTGAACCGGTTTGCGTGCTGATTACATGTCTTTCAAATATATTCATAAGGGAACCTAATCCATAGTCCAACATGCTAAATCCCTCCACTTCCATAATGCACAATCTAATGCTACTGATACTAAATCCAAATGGAAAATATTTAGAAAACTATCCCTATCAGAATCTACCAGTTCCACAGAAATCAGTTTCCTTGCAATAACCCCAGGTGATCTCAACGACCATTTCTTATGCTTTGCTCCCAATTCTTGATATGCTGCTGGGATTAAACTTCATAGCTTTAACCTATCAAACATCTTTTTCTCTCTCATGTCCTATGATAAATTGCTAACCCCTATCTTAAAATCTCACCTATAATTACGAACCAAATAATATTCCAGTAAAACTAATAAAATCTTGTCGTCTTGTCCTTATTACTGTATTTTATTAAATCTATAACTACTGTTTACAAAATTCTGTATTCATACTTTCTTGAAAAACTACCCTAGTCAGACATTTAAGTACAATTTCGAACCTTTCCTCACTAAATGATTTTCTATATAGTTATTGTGAAAAGATTGTATATATGCTAATAAAATATTAATTTTTTAATCATTGTTTTAGTGTTAGCCAAAGAGGGAAATGCTCATCCATTAGGAGCTTTACCTAATGGTACTTTAGTGAACAATATAGAGAAGTACCCTGGTCGAGGAGGCTGGTACATTCATGCAGCAGGTTCTTCTGCAACTGTGCTGAGGAAGATGAGTAACTTAGTAGTTATTCAACTACCATCAAAACATGAGGTCGCCCTTCCTCAGGAGTGTATGGCCACAGTTGGTAAGTTTAAAGATTACACAATAATTTATAATGATACTCATTTGTTCTCTGCAAATTTAACCAAAAAAACGATCATCGAAAACAGACCATTTTTAGCAAAGATACTTTATATAATTATACTTTAGGTAATTTCTAAAACATACCTATTATTTTGAATGGTGATCGATTCCTCTCTATACTAATAATATGGAATGGCCACTTCTTCACTGACCAATATACTATGAAAATTATTCGAAAGGGCCAACAAGTCATAATTTAATTTAATAGTTAATATCTTACTACATAATCTAATTTTTATAAAAGACATTCTTAATGTGTTTTGTTAACTTTCCAACAGACCATCTCTAATCTCAGCATACATTACTGTTGGATTCTATTGATAGAATTTGGATTTGGGTTTAGAAACTTGACCATTTCTTTTCAAGATCAAATTTCTTAAAAGAATTTGTGATAAAGTCTTTGTTTTTTAAGTTCAATTAACATAATTAATTTTTGAAATAATATAAACAATATTTTACTTAAACAACTTGTTGGTTTATAATCCGTATTATTTATAATTGAATATTGAAAGTGTTTAAAATTCTTGTGTTTAACTGTGAAAATCTTTTCTCTTCCACCGATTTTATGTTATATGTAATTAATAAATAATAAATTATTGATTGGAAGAATAAGATTAGTGAGAGATCAGGCAGGCAAGGTGAATTGAATGCTCAAATTATCATGTTGTTTTATCTATTTTATTCTTATTATTTTTTTACTGATATACTTGCAAAGAAAGGATATAAAGTTGGTTGAAACATCAGTGAAATGGCATGATTATTTTATTCACTTTAAAATTTATTTTCGCCTCATGGAGTGCTCGATTAATTAAGATCCTTAAACATCCGCAGGCATATACTAAATAAAAAACATGATAATTAATATATTATTCACTCTGACTAATCTCTTACTTATCTCATCCTGATTGTAAATTGTCATACATAGTTATGAAATATTATTTTGATAATTTAGGAAATGGTATTCAGTTAATAAATGATTCAAAATAAATATGTGGGACAAATTTATTTGCTGTCATAATTTTTTTTTTTAGAACCAAATGCCTTTTTGACATAGTTTGGATCTCATTTTTATTTTGATTTACATTTATTATCACTCTTTTAATTTCAAACATTTATTTTTTTATTTTTAGGTCGCCTTTCGAATGTTGAGCATGCCAGCACTCCTATTGGTAGTGCCCAAAGAAACCGTGAATTAGGCAACCGGCCTAGATCTGGACTTTGGAAAAGGAAAGATGGTCGTTACGGAAGAAAAATTAAAGCTCTTCCTCCCATGAAAATTATTAAAGCAATTGATAAACCTATTTATGAAAAAGAAATCAAATTGACCATGAACAATGATATGTATTATGGTCATAAGTTGTGGAGTGATCGTGTTAACTAGACTTCATCTTCACTATAATGTATCTGATTTTATAATATTTATTAGCAGGATTAATTATTATTGCTATAAATACAAATGTCTCTGTGCCTTTTATTTAATATTGTATATTAAAGTAATATGAGATAACTGGCTTATTTAAATAAAGAAAAATAGCTGATAAAGATAATAAGTAACATTTTTCAAATTCCTCGTGGCTGCTCTATGCAGTTGTCAAAGTTTGGTTACCGCATGTCATCTTTACTATCAAGAAAAATTTTATTTGGATGAAATTAGACAATATTAGTATTTTTCACTTCAAATTGTTATTCCTTGAAAAATATCCATATATTATCTGATTAAATTAGAGGAGGTCCGATGCACCTCAGTATCATGGAACAGTTAATGATAAAACAGAAAAAATGAGTAAAAATCTAATTAAGTTAAAAAAAAACTGCATAAAAAAAGCTGATTAAAGTAAATGAGCTGTGCATTTAACTCATGAAGTACTGACAATAATTTAAAAATATTAAAAATTATTACACAATTTCTATTTCCAAAAAGGGCTATGCCCAACAATCCACAATGACTATGGGAACAGTTAAAGAGCAAGTTTTAAGCAAATTAGCAGCTCGGTAGTCATACAGAAAGAAGCAGCACTGATGGGGTAAAGGAAGTAGTGAGGGATGAGGCCTTTTGTTTGATGAGACGATGGTTGATATTAGTTGCCTGCACTTACCATCTCCAATTACCATCTCCTACATCTAATAATTTCTACCCAACGAATTCGGAAAATTATGTTATTATTTAAAATACATAAAAAAAAAAATATATATATATATATTATTATGGCCTGATGAATACAATTCTATTTATTTTTCCTAGCAAAGAAATTCATCACATTTATTAATAAAATGTTTTTAATTGTATAGCTAGCTTAAAAACAAAATCAATGTCATTTTTTGTCTCATATCATATTTTATTTAATAGGATTCCTACAGGAAAGTCACTTATAAGGTTAATATCACATTTTTTATGAAATCTGCATAAAAAAACATCCATGATGACTGTAATGACTTGAGGTACAACCAAACCTATTTTAACCAGAGTGGGAAAGGTCAAGTTTCATTCTGTGGGTATGCCACAAAATAAAAGTCAACCCCTCCCAGGTGATTCGATCCGAACCGGCATTGCCAGGCACGAGGATGGTAGAACGGACAATCCTCCAACACACTCGGCCATCATGACCTCCAATTTTATAGGGAACTGTTTCTATTTTCAGATTTATTTAAAACGTTTATAAATCCTTTTTTTCCATTGGTATCATCTTCTCTATCCATTTTTTTTTCTCCCTTTCATTGCCTTTTTTTTATGCCAGAGTTAAAAGCCCTCATTCATAATTATATTGTCACATTAACTTCATTAATGTGACAATAACAGATCACATCACCCGGGATATTTTCCATTCTATTATTATGTCTGTTTTACCTTGAATGAAACATATTAATGTTGTTGTTTTTTTTGGTAAAAAACACTTTCAAATGAAGAACTTATATTAAAAACACCATCCATTCTTTCTTACTCATTACTCATTCCAGTCTAACATGAATAAGTTGTACTTCTGACAATAGGTAGAGTATATAATGACCTCATTCCTACCAAAAAAAACAACAACAATAAAATAATGTTTTTATTAATCAGTTAATGTATTTTACTGTAGAAAAATTGATTATAGTAGTTTTCTTTGGTGTGCTAATCACCTTCAGACAATTAAGTATTGTGAAATATTATCAACTTCTTCAGCTAGATTAACACAATCATAACAGATTAAAGAAGGTAATGTTTGTTACTTAAACAACAAAAGTAGTAACATCATCTGTTTCAATGTAGTGTGTAAGCAGTATTGTTAAATTAAGATAAATTGGTAAATAAACAATGGTCTCAGTTCAATCAAGATGTTCAAGAGCCATAAGAAATGTCAGCTATCTGTTGTTTTGTTAAAAAAAAAAAATCTTTTCTGGTCATCTTCCCTCAAAATAACTTCGTGGAGGCAGTTTCAGCAACACTGTACAAATGTTACTCCACTTAGATGAGTGGGCCAAGAACCTATGATCATGCTATAAATTGGACTCATTCCGTAGATTGACATGTTCACAATATAACCTGGCTTTATTAATATCACAATTTACAACTTCCCAACAGATCTTTTCAGTTCAAATCATGATATTAATAACTTTTAAATGCATCACTGTTTTCCACTCCTGCACTCTATGCTCCATCTAAAGGGATAAATAAACCCCCTACTGGCAGTGCTGGCCTTAAGCTTAGGCAATTGCCCCAGGGCGGCAGCCGATCTTCAGGAACACTCGCCACTTGTTAGAAATTTTTAAAAAATTTATATGCATAATAAAATAATTAATTAATTTTAGCCTATCAATAAAGCAACTGTATTAGAGAATGTTAAATGAAATAAAATTCAAATATTACATAATATAAAACAGCTTAAGAAATAAATTTAATTTTTTTGGGGGGAGGGATGACATCTTTACCCGTGGGAGAGGAGGCGCAGAATGTCTAAGGCCAGTACTGCCTAATGATCCTTTTCAGTTAAGATTGTGGCCCTCATTCCCTGTTGTAACCAGGCTCTTTTGACAACTGTGAGAGCAATCAAGTTTATCGTCTAACCCAAAAAAAGCCAAAGCCTTCCCTTGTTCTGAACTAGTAAGTTTTCCAACAGGCATTATAAAAATCTCTCTAATGCAATGACTAAATAAGTAATGATGGTTACAGATTAATACTTATATCTTTAGGAGATTAAATTAAGATTAGATCCAAATTACAGAATAAATTCGGTTTTGTTTATTTTATTCATTAGTAATCCTCATACAAATTGTCAAAAAGTAGTAAAAGAGTTTATCTTAAAATAGAAAAGAATTCAAATTATGATAAAAGAAAATGAATATCTATATTTTTGTAAGTATGCCACTTTAATTAGAGAGCAGTTCAATAAGCATGGGATATAGACAAACTACATTTTTTTGGAAATTCCTCTAGTCTAAAACAGACTTAATCGTACAGATGAGCTGTTAGATGTAAATTTTTAGCTATTAATGCTGAACTTTTCATCAACAAGCATTATTTTTATTATTATAGCTTGTTAATCAATTTCTTATAGAAAGAATGCATATTAGATTTACTTAACAGAAGAAATCCTTAACAGCATCCATTCCATTGGAATTAGTGACTTTACTAAATGATATAATAGGAAGATTCACTGAAAATATTCATGAAAATAATAGTTATTCTTTTAATGTGTTACCATTGCTTTTTCTCCTTTAACAACTACTTATAGACTCTATTATTAGTATTATAAATAATCCTTAACATTAAAAAAAAAAATTCAAAGGCTGTTATTGAACTTTCTGACATTAAGCATATATACCAAATTTTTATTTTTGAAAAATTGCAATGTACCTATATCAATACATTTAAAACACATCACCAGTTTAATGTAAAAAATCACTAAATACGAGTTAATGTTTTTTTAATATGATTGAAATTAACAAATATATATATATTTTATGGAGTCCATCAAAATATCACGAACCCAATTATTTGAAAAAAATATTTACATTAATTCCACATTGTTTTAATTTCACAGTGAAACAATTTATCAAACAACTGAGTGATTGAATTTTGTGAAATGTTATTTAATAACTTTTTGAAATAAAATCGGCGATAGGTTTGATATTTTTTATAATTGATTTTTTTATTTTTAAATTAGCCTTTTTTGTTAGTATTAAACATGTAGGCTACCTTTAAGATTAAGTGAGCTCTTCGGCCTAACTTACTGAGTAGTAGAGTCAGGATTATGATTTTAGCTCCTAACTTATTAATCCTATGATCAAACAATCCTTTTTTGTTGATCCAGGTATCACTACAATTTATGAACTTTTGAAGTGACCTCATGAATAAAAAACATGAAATATTATGCTATTGCAATTTTCCCTGTTAGTAAATGTATTGATTAGAATAGTTTCAATAAAAAGTGGCTATGAACAAATTCAGTGCATTATTTATATATAATTATTAATTCAATTATATGAATACTAATAGCATGAACCCATATAATCAAAATATTTCTGAAACAATATAAATTTCTTTTTAAAAACAAAATAAAAGGGAAGTTGGACAAGTAATAAATTATATATTTGTAAGAATATTAAATTAAAACTTTATTTATGAATTTCTTAATTAATATAACTATTTTATTCAAAAATAAAAATTGCTAAGCCTTTATTATCTATATTTTAAATAGTTATGTAAAAACATAAAATCAATATTTTTCAAAACATAAACTCAATAGGTAATAAATGGGGTATTAAGAATAAGAATGGTGCATAGATGTATTGTGAGAAAGGAAACCAAATAGCATACATTATATCACTTCAATAGTTAATATTACTTCGCAAATATTTAGATTCAGATGTAAAACTAAATTTCTTAAGTTCTTTAGGTATATTCAAAACATTTGCATTACCTATCACCCTACAATAGAGGTAATATAATTGTTTAAATCTAACAATACATGAATACAACAGGCACGTTGTGTTCTCTGAGTGTAAACATGAAAGCAAGTTATGCATAAAAGCAAGAACTTTATGTATTTAATTGACTCTGTTTAAGCACAACTATCTGGTAACTGACCATCCAGCTTAACCATGAATAAATCACTTATCCATCAATGATAATTTCAGTACTTGCTCAAGCATCTCTTCCTCTTGCCGTCGTTCAGCCTCAAGTGTCTCTAGTCTCTGCTTTTCCTCCTGCTCGGAAAGTTCCAGTATACGTCGCAGATCCTCGTCAGCAGCCGAAGTGTTGGAAGCTGGCAGAATATTTTCCTCGAGAGAGTTGCCATCCGGTTCAACTAGACCACTGCCACTGATGCTACTCGTTGTGGAAAGGGAGGCCTCTATCGCTCTGTTATAGCGAACAATACAGCACTACAGCTAATGAACTGCAACTACTATCTACACTTACTATTTAGAATTAATTAAGTAAAAAATAATGGCCTAAATAAGTGAATGTGATTGGTATATGTTAAATTAAATAATCCATTCAACGAAGTTTTGATTTCATAATTCAAAGGATAAATTATTTCTGACTTAAAATAATATGCACCGGAATTGTGAACAGCTAAACAAAGAGCCGTTTTCAAGCAAACCACCTATGAACTAAAGGGGCATCCACTGGAGATGCCATATGGCAGATCAAATCTTTACCTAAATTAAGTGTAAAAGATTTATACTTTAATTTTTAAAACAAAAATGCCTTTTTTTTTCTGTCAAAGATAATATTAAATCAGTACAAACGTATTGTAGAGAAATATGCATCATCATGGCGTAGCTGACGTGCTGTCATGCTTTTTCTATTCGGCAGATCATTGCATAAAATAGAAATTATCTAAAAATTTAAATGGATAATGTGTCAGTTTCTTCAATAAAACCATTGTTAAGTTTCTTAGGCTAACTGAAATCAAAACTAAGCTGAATAAAAAGTAAATAAATTCAAATTTTAAATAGCAATGAAATGGTATTTTACTAACACTAAGGATATATTTCCACTAGGTTAAAATATTTCTGAGGACCAAATCAAAGGAAGAGAGATTGTCTGAAAATAGATTGATAAGAGATATTTTATCTTACTTCACTCCAAAATATCAACTTTCCTATTTATATTAATATACTCGTATACATTTATAAGTCTTTAAAAATCTGACTGAGATAAGATCGCCTATCTCTTAAAAATCACATAATAATCTCAAGTGAAATCATTTTTTAATTTTTTTTTAAAACTCATAATTAAAAAAAATTGATCACAGAAAACAAAATATCCTAAAATTGGAACATTGAACATTTGAAAATAATCGTAGAAAAGGAGAAAAATGAAATATTTAATAAATAAGATACATTAGTCCTATCGATTTAAGAAACAATTTTCTTTAATCATTTAAAGTGGGGAAAAATTATATGAAACATAAATATAGCTTGAACATTATCGTACATACAGCCAGGTCAATACTTTGAATAGTCTCATTAAATTTAATGAAATGTAGATATTGCTATATTATCTTAAAGAAGCAATGGCATATCACAACAAATAAACCAACTGGCGTATCAATTTAAACAAGCACTCAAACTACATATTAAAACATGATTGGGTTATCTAAGTTGACAAAATGTATGGCAATAAATCAATCAAACTAATTATACACTAATTAAATACTTTTAAAATATATTATTATTTTTGTAATTGAAAAAGACATTTGGACCACTTACGACCCTGGAGGGAGGGTCTAAGGTACAGTACTTGGTAAAGATGTACTGTTTTTTGACCATCAGGTATGTTAATAGGAGATCTAGCCAATATCACACTCAACTGCCAGGTTTTTCCCCAATTTTACTATCAACGATCTAATGTTACAATTCATTTAACTTGCAAGCAATCAAATATATAGTAAAAATAAACAAATGGAAGAACTTAATATTAACCCAGTATAACCTTGTCATGAAAAGGGGGGGGGTTCTAAGTTGCATCAAATGGGGATAGGTTTCTTTTTTTTTTCTTGAATGGGATTTAACTGAGATGAAAAATCCAAGTTTTTGACTTCGGTCAGCAATGATCAACTTATAACGATGTGCGGGAGTGTGCACGGCTGAGGGATCTGGCCCACGGATTACACTCTCCAACCAAACCTTTTCCCCGCTTCATCAACCATCCTTCAAAATATTAAAATGAATCAATATTTACTTCACTGACTCATATCAGACAGGTTATAGTAGACAAAAGACAATTGCATATGATCAAACATGAAAAATAATTTAAAGTTCGAAAATTTTCCAAAATTTGAAAACCTGGTATGTCGTAAAATATTTTATTTACTTGGCCTGTTCTGATCTTAAATTGTAGCATATTTAATCTAGTTTTAAAATGTACAGAATGTTTTTTTCGAAAACGTGCTCCTCCATGGATAAAATGAGGAAAAACTCAAAGAAGTGTGAAAATATAACAGTTTTGGGGATATTCAAAAGTGAATCGAGGAGGGGAAAGACTGCGAGGTCGAAAACTTGGATTTTGCATCTCAGTCATATCACACACAAGAAAATAAAAAGAAACCTTCTACCCCATTCAATGCAATTTAGGATGTGCAAGGTTACTGGGCTATATGTTGCTGCTTCTAAAACAAAATAAAACTGTCAAATTATTTAATCGAACATACAGCTACGCAATTATTACTTTTTTCTATACGAGGCTTTTGAAATTGATAATTGAAGAAATTATTTGACTAATAATTTGGCAGTAATTTAGCTCTGGGGGATGAAGTTCTAGCCCTAAAGAAGAAAATACCACACATGAACTAAAAATATATTATTTTTCTATTATCTAAAATATTAAATAAATAAGAAAAAAAATACACTTAAGTTAACAGAGCACTTATAACTGAAAAATTGATTATGAAAAGTTATAGAGGACAAATTGGTGAATGCTGCATACTCAATGAAATACGATTGTTAATCATGTATTATAAAAAAGAATATAAATACTAAACAAAAGGAAATCAGCGATAAAAAATATCTTTGTGTAATTCAACATGTATTGTTAATATTTAAATGTTGTAAACTTATAAATTTAATTTGTACAAATTCTGAATACATGATATCCAATTTTATTTTTGTAAAAAAAAGAAGTCAAAAACCTAAAGTGAGCATTAATAATACCATAGGCTAACAATACCAAAGGAGTGCTGCCTTTCAACTAATTCGACAATACTTAAAACTCTTCTCCAAAATATGTCTTGATAAATTCGTTAAGAAATCTAATATTAATTTGATCATTTTCTCAACTAATGAATAAATTCTGAAATTAACTACTCCAACATTAGACGTCAATTATATTTATCATTTATGTGACGAAACCTTCATATGTATATATTTGTCTTATTCTTCAAAGATTCTAAGCATAAAAAGTTAGTTGGTAAATTTTAAATTCTGTTCAGTTACTGAGCCCTTCCATAGCTTCTAAATCTTTTGTTGCGGTATAGAGCACTGATAAGTGCTAAAAATATTTAGCAATACCTCTGTCAGGCTAAACAATTTTTGAGGCATACTTGTCAAGCTAAAACATTTTTGTGGCACTATTCTCTGACAAAAAATATTTCTTTACCCATTTTTTGTGCAATATATGCAAACCAAATTTTGCACATATATTAACTTAAATTTGTTTGGTTTTAATTATGATTCTGTAACCCCTGCAATAGTGATACTATATTCTTTGATCTTTTTTGAGACTTTGAAAACTTAATCCTACTATTAAGATTATTGAAATCATTTTATCTCAACTATACCCAATATCTACGGTTTTCATTAGCACAACTATTTTTTATATTTTTTCTGACACCAGTCAATGGGCTATTCCCTACTTAATAATAAGCCTAGGTGAGACCGAATGAGCTTTTTACCAATCATTACTGAACATGATTAATTTATCCATAAAATATAAATTATGAAGCATACAAAATTTTGACTGATCTGGTTGAACAATGCTACTACTATGAGATACCTTTGAAGCTGCTTTTCTTCCTCATCGTCTCCTAAAAAAGGTGTGCTAGGCCTCTGGGCTTGAAGAGCTTCCCATATATCAACCTAAAACAAATTTAAAGAATAAAGCCAGATTTAACTTGATTAATTCATGGTCTAATTATAGAACCGATTAAAAACATAAATATGTCAATTTTTAAAAAAGTTCTATAAATTTATTATTTGAAATAATATAGAAAGTACAGACCTGATCATCATCATGACCCGACTGTAACAAACTCTGCTGGATAGCATACTGTAGCATATCATCATCCTCCTCCAGGTTGTTTACCTGTCGGCGAGAGTCAGCACCTAGACCAAACAGAAAAATAACAATAAAATATATTAAAAATTACAATAGTTTGTTGAAGTAATAATACATCGTAATTGGTTGAATACTGACAATATGTTGCATATAGATAGAACTTGAACTAAAAATTAAAAATTTTATTGGAAAGAAGAAAAAAAAGAGTGTACAAAAACAGTTAATATTTCAATGTATTTATTTTTGTACTTATGTATTTTTTTTTAAATTATCATATCATGATTTTAAAAGTATATTTTCAACTTGTAGGCCTTCCCTAATTAAGGAGGAATGGTCTAAATTCTGAAGGGAACTTCAGCCATAGCGGGAAGTAGGGAACAGACATCCTATTATAATCTTCATTTTACTAGTAAATTGCTTTAACTATTCTACTATGCACTCTCATTCAAATTTTATAGTAGCTAAAATTTCAGTCAATGATTTATTTCTATGGCAGTGATTTTGTAACATTTGGGAATAAGGTAATACATAAGTATAGTTCTATGAACTGAATTTTTTATAAATGAATCAATCTGTAATTTCTCGACATTTTTAAGTATTTAGGAAAATTTATTTTATTCAGAAATTTATAAATGTTAATATTTTATAATGTTATAATGCTACTTTTAATGGCATAAACGAAGTGATATTGTTTATATTATATTGCCAAAAGGATTAACTCTGCAACACATAAATAGAAAAGTTAACAATAGAGTATCCATAAAAGTAAAAAAAACAAATAAAAGAAACAGTAGAGTACCCATAAAAGTATAAGAAGGTGGTGGCTGAAAGCAACTGTCATCTACAACGCATGATAGTTTGTTCCCGTCATCAATAGTTGACACTCCTTCTACTGGTGAATCAAGTGCGAATATGTTACCAAATGTAATTCTTGCATTCAGAACATGAAACAATGGTATCTCTGAAAATAAAAATTAATATGTAAGCATATTTACCAAGTTATCACCCTTTTAATATTAATAAATCATCATATTAATTATGACAGAAATAATTTATTTCAATATATTCTAGAGTTCATTTAAAAACATTATTCCTCAGAAAATTTTAATTATTAGAAAAATTACAATTTTCTCTTACAATACAAATAATAAGGTTGAACATCTTCAAGATTAAAAATAAATAAATATTAATAGATAAGAAAATTATGTAAACATATACTTCTTATCTGTAAATTAATTACATTATTATTTAAATGTAAAATAATTTTTCTTAAGGTATTTCATTTAATATAGAAGTGTATTTTTAATAACAATTCTAACTCCACAAAGAAAATTATATAGATTTCAGAAATATGAAAGTTCAAAATAAACAGATTTCACATTATAAAATCACAATATTTTGTATACAGAATCAAAATGAAGTAATAGTATGCAGTAAATTTCAATTAAACCAATTTATAATTTTCAATCAATTTTAAAATAATTTGGTTAAGAAACTCAAATGATATTCGATTCAAATATGTTAAAAATATCATATGAAAAAAGTTTATCTAATTACCAATCTTGACTGGAAAACCTGCAGGTAGCTGCATCTCTATAAAATGCTTGAGCTTCGCAAAGTGAGAGTTAGAGATGGCCATGAGATCGATGATCGGTATGATCTGCTCAGGCAAGCTTAGGGGATAGTCCTCGCTCAACCACAGGGTAGCCTGTTCAACACCACGTTCTACATAACTGCTTATGACCTTCATCTAATGCCAATTTTTAGCTATCATTGAAAACTCATATTGTTACCTTGAACTTTTGAATTTTTGTAGTTATTTCTTTTGGTCTCCCTATATCTCTTGTACCAAGGGAAACACCAGGGCTGAAATATTCCTCTGGGGTGATCTGGCATGGGTTTCCTGAATGGGTATATTCCACCTATGAAATATTGAACGAGTTGATGATACAATGAAATCACTTTGAACTCGAAAGACTAATGTAGTACACATTATAGTGAATAAATATACAGAAAAACTCTTTCATTGTGGACATCTACAGGAAATGTTTCACTACTCAGTGCAGAGAAGTGCTAACAATTAACAATGAAAAATAAATAATGTGTAAAGAAACTGTGGTGGCCTAGCAGATTAAAATGAGACCTTGTTGATCAATTCAAATGCGGCCTTGATTCAAATCTGGTCTGTGCTGTTTGAAATTTATTATATAACAGAATCACATAATCAACTTCAACCTCTACATTCAGACTAGGACTGGTTGCCAGTATGATAAACCGCCCTTCCTATTCCATTTGGCTGTGGTATATAAGAACATTAAACTTTAAATAAACAGACAATAATATGTAATTATATTTTAAAATCTTTAAAGTCTTTTATCTCTTAAATAGAAGATAATCACTAACTAGTCAATGTTTTTAAGGAAATACTAATTGTGAGCATTAAGAGGAATTGAGAAGATAGCTTTTGCTACTCACATGACCTCCTGTCCTCTCTTCATCTATACCGAGAAGAAACTGAAGAGGTGTCTTGCTTCCCTTATATTTGGCTTTGTCTTGATCAGATAAATGTTCACACCGTGTTTTGGTCACCAGCTCTACATTACTTGCACCAAAGACTTTACAGTCACGTCCATTTATTACCTCCATTTTGTCTTGTCTCCACCCCCAAAGCCCACTCTTATTCCTAAAATAAGAGTGGAAGAAAATTTTTTTTCTTTTTTTACTTAAATTTACAATGGAGCTTTATAATTTTAACATGGTAAAGAGAATAAATTTAAGACTAAAGAATGGTTTTTAAAGTCCTTTACCTTTCAAAGCATATCTTATCAGTGTCAACATATGTTGTTACAATTGGTGTGGTCAGCCTGGCACTGACAGACTCTGCATTTGGCTGAAGGATTTGAAGATCAGCTGTTGTAATAACCCTCATTTCCTCGAAGAAAACTTGTTTATTTTCATGATCAATTTCCATAATAGTAGCTTCATCATCTGATCAAAATTATTAAAACAATGCTTATTATTTCAAATTAATACACAAATGTAAAGTAAAAAAAACATGTACCTCTACAACCCATGAGAAACCTTGGGTTTAGTACATACAATGGAAGTAGTGTTTCTTGCTCAACAGTGATGCAAGGAGGTGATTTGGTCACGATCACATACAACTGCTATTTTTTCTCCCAATTAAGAGGTACAAACTTTATTTGGGCTGGGTATGCCCAGAAAGGTCTCCTAACCTCAGGGTTGACCCATGGCTAATTTAGCAAAATTAACTGCCACAACCAGACTTGAACCAGTGCTCAGGAAATAGAGAGACAGTGCCTTACAATTGCTGCCTTACTGTATTTTACTCGGAATTGAAAGCACAAAAGAAAAATGCTTTGTTAATAGGCTCCAATCACCTCCTTAAAACTATTTCTAATATTCCAACTCTGTTCCTAATTAATAATCTCATAAAATTCTATCGTACCATTAAAACCTTTGAAATAACCTTTAAACAAATCCTTTCATGTAAAAACCATAAATTCAATATCTCCCATCTAATCTAGCCTTTTCCACCTTAAAGCAACTAAATTGCCTTCATCACTTATTTACATCAGAAACCCACAGATAGGCTCCTGGTTCCTTATTTAATAGGTTCTTCTAAATAAAATTAAAAATTAGATGTGAAATTAGACGTGTACAAATATAAATAAAGACTTCTTTTTGTCCAGAAATTGTTCAATTTACAACTGTCAGTATACACCACTATGAATGAGGTCATGAATTTAAACCTGAATTACCACCATATTTTATATTAATCTGAAAAACTTAACATTGAAAGAACAATATATTTTCCATAAAATATAAGAGAAAAATAATCAACAAAATTACATTGAACTGCAATATTATTGTTATTACAATTATTATTTATATTAATCTGAAAACTTAACATTGAAAGAACAATATATTTTCCATAAAATATAAGAGAAAAATAATCAACAAAATTACAATGAACTGCAATATTATTGTTTTAATGAACAATGTCCATAATCTGTATATTTATTAATTCATCATTTCTATTATTCATTTTACAAACTTTACTACTATGTTAAATTAAATCGTTCATTGAAGCTAAATGTTCACCATCACCTGAGTGCCACAATAAGGAATTAACAATAACTGGAAAAATAATTATTATATAATGTTAACAAGTACAACTTTAAAAATTTTAAAGTGTTTCAAGTTAAAAAAAAAAACTAGGAAGGTCAGATAATGTAAAACTAGTTACCAAGCCCCAAAAATAATTTTTAAAAAACTTTCCAAATAGATAGAAGCAAATATATGATAGATGGACACTTTATCATATTTGAGAAAGTGTTAAACTTAAATTTTTTTTTTTAAACAGCAGTTTTTAACTGGAACCCTTTTATGTATAGCATGAGGAGTATGGGGAAAAAAGGGTCATTTTGTTTTTAAATTAGCTTAATGGTATCATTGTATTTACAATAAGAAGAAAATAGTACGGAGTTATAATGTAAAAAAAAAATTATAATTTATTTATCGAATTTATTTTGTCACATTCTAACTCTCTAAAAAAATAGTTTTTCATCAGCTGAATTCAACTCTACAACAAACAATTTAAATTTTAAAAAAGTGACACTTGAGTTTTCTCCCTGACCCATGATATAAATCTGCTAGTAACATGAATTTACAACTAAAATTTCTTCATTTAGTCAACAATTACCAATTATAATAAAATATGTGAAGTATGCAAAAAATTAACAACATAAGGTAATCGTATACTGCGTTGTTCAATATTTTTAATTATTGAATGATAATTAGCAAACAATTATCATGATTTTTTTCATTCAGACAGCTAAAGACAAATTTTCATTTAAGTAATGCAAATTATTTGACCATGTAAGCAAGCTGCCTAAAGGATTCGCCCAAAACATACACCTTAACAATCTCTTTAGAACACACAATGCTGTTAGCAAATTCATTTCAGGGTGTTGAAAAGCTGACATTAAAGTGCATACAGCTGATCATACCAATAGCAATTTATAAAGCATTGGCACCAGCAATCATATTATACAAAAAGAAGCAACAAATAGGTGCCGTTTTACTCATCATCATTCACCAGTGCTAGCTTATTATAATAATAAAATGCTTAATTAGCTTAAATTATAACTGTATTGGGCATGGAAAATAATGATGTCCAACTAATTGTAATCATAAATCAGACAACAAAAGAGGAGCTTGCTACCAAAAATATACATCTTCACCCCCACTAAGACTGATTATGATGACGTTTGGTAGGAATCAACAATTGTACCTAATGTTAGTTCCATTTATTTATTATTTTCTGGGTGAAAAGAAAAATAAAAGTTTATTTTTTCAAACGAAGCAGAGCTATTCAGTTCTATTTTTATTACTCCGATCATTGACAGGTGTATCAAGGCAGATCTTTTTATCATCAACAAGAATACCAATGAGTGGCATCACGATTTCTGAGCATTGCCTACCCCTCTCCAACTTTGTATGTTTTTTATGACCTCATTGCCTACAATGTGTCACTTTATGTCTATTTTTCTGTTATTTTCAGTATTTAGTTGATCGCCAAGAATAAATGACATTAAAAGACTAGAACAAGGAAAGAGAAAAAAGTGTTTCAGTGAAGAAACGGTCAGCTGCAGAAGGTAAAATCATTAAGTAGGGTGACACCGACCCAATCTTCTTTTTTAAAAGAAAAATCATATATTTGTTTAGCGAAGTTTATAACAAAAGAAGCTTCCTCTATCTGGCATTGAAGGTTTGGATAACATTTTCATGAATAAAATGCTAATATCCAAAGCTATTCTGCTGTGTATAAGAAAATTTATACATATGGGAACAGTTCAGAAAGAAAACAAATTTGCAGACTTGCTAAAAAGTTTACATCAAAAAGAATTACAGTAAGAAGCTTAATAGAAAAACTGGATTTTGAAAAATCATAACATAGTAGGAACAAGAGCATGCACATTTACATTGCTACTCACTTAAGTGTAAGTAGATCACACAAAATGTATCCTAAACTTTTTTAAAATATATATTAACTCTAGCAATTGTGTATCTGATGCATGTGGAAAATGCATTTGTCTAAGACATGATTTTTTATCATGCTGGGCTAAAAAAAGTTCGACCACATATTATAATCCATTCAACCAAATAACCCTATACGGGCATAATCATCTGTAACCAGATAACTCTTTACAGGTGTAATAATCTAGTAATTTATCGCCCTAAAACTTCTACTCTACCCAGATAAACCTTATTGAAGGAGAATAATTAAGTATACCTAAACTATTTATCAGCTCCTTAGTTAGCTCTGAGCAATTTCAAAATTTCTTGTATAATTTTTAAGCCAAACCACTTTCGTTTAGTATATTTATTATTTTATTCTTAAAGTTATTCTAGCAATTTCTTTTTTCAAACATTTTTAACTCACATGGATTTTCTACAAGCCTGTTAAATCCATTTTTTAAATTACTAAGTCAAAACAGGTTATTTATCTAAATTCTTTCAAAGTCCATATTTTTTTCTAAAATAAAATGTTCTTTATGTAAGTTGAGATGTTTCCAAGTTAACATTTCCTACTAAAATAGGACATGTCCACTCTCTTATACCAAAACTGGATAAATCTAAATTATTCCATGTAATTTCTTCCTCTGTATGAAAGGTTAAAAACAAAATTTCTAGTGTTTAATAAGGACTCAAAGATTTACAATATGGTATGTTTGAACAAAATGCAGAGTTTTAGAATTCAACGATTTTTTTTGCTGTTTTGACAATGTTTGTAAATGCAGATGTACACTTTTGGTAGCAAGCTCCTCAAATGTAGATAATAAACTCCGCATTCCAATTAATTTTTAAAAATAGTCATTACTATGAGATGATATATGACATGTAACGATGAAATATAAGATTTTAATTGGTTAAAAAAATTAATAAGATTAAAAATAATTTAGAACACTCCGATTATGTTGGTTTCATTATAAACAAGAAAAAGAAGATAATTTGATGATATAAGATGCCTAGCAACCAGAGAAAGTTACAAAAAAAATAATATAATTCTATATCTTAAAGAAAAATTATGTTAAACTTTATTATTTAATTAATAGGTATGAACTTCATATCATTATCTCAAAATTATAATCCATCTCGAAAAATAGTTCTCTTATTCATAAAGTGAAATGGGGGTTCTTCTTGCTTTTCAGAAAGGTATCATACCTTTAAAAAATCAAACAAAGACAGATTGGAATGTATTTAAAAAGAACTGAAGTGCACCTCATTGAGACTTTTCATTAGCCTTTGACTAACATTAATTCATTATAGAAATTACCCTTAAATAAATTGTTATTAATTCCACTTATAAAATTAGATAACACTGAACAGATGAATATTTAAAAAAATAGTTGGTACATTTTAAAAAATAATTAAAAATTATAATTATTTTTCAATATAATTAAAATATAACAAAAATTCAAATAAATCTTTCAGAATACTATGCTTAGTGGTATATCGCTGTAAATATCTAAATAGTTGTAAATAAAAAAATATTTGAGCAATGTTTTTCACATCCTCTGTCATTGGGTTTTAGAACACTTCTTTTTAATTAAAAAAATAATTACTACATGAAACTAAAAAAAAAGTAAATAAAAAAAAAAAGTTACTAACTACATATTTCTTTGAATGAACAACAACCAGATCTTATTTTACACCATATCTTTTCTAATTAAAACTGTGACGGATAATAAAGAGCCTACAATACTTACCAAATATAATAAATGAATGAAGTTTCCAAAAATAACTGATGAAATGATATTAAATCAAGATGGGATCAATAATTATTATTTTATTTATTAATTATATTCAAAGAACATCCAGAAATAAACACTTCTAACTTATTTAATATTGAACTGATAATTGAAAATCTACAATAATTTTATAAAATAAGAAAACTAGTTAAATATTTAAACTACTTAAAAATCCTAAATCAATGGCAAAAAATTACCTAAACAGAAAAAAAACACAATTTTGATAATTAAATACTACATTATTTAAACAAAAAGTTCTTATTCTAACCAGAATAATAAATCCACAATATATATTTAAAAATGAATATACTTATTATATATTTACTTATTTATTATAAATTATTAAGATACAATCACATTAAAGAATACTCGAGGGAATAACCAATCAACTATATAACAAGGCCTATCGTTAATCTAAAGTGAAGTCTTTAATCCATGGCAATGAGTGGTGTGAAATTCTACGGTAGTGGCTAAAGCATTTAATAAACAGACTAAAAAAAAAAAAAAAATACAATATCTCCTAAACAGCGATACTTGTCAACAGACCTGTTTTCTTGGAAAGTGTGAATATATAGCTCCTGTCACATCTTAAGGGAGTTGTGGCCCTATTTGCTACCAGGCCAAAATGAATAGATAAAAAAAAAAGAAAAATCACTATCATTTAATAGAAAAATAATACTAAAAACATTTATATTCATATACCTACATCTTTTTAAATTTATGAAATGCATATCAATAAGAAATCAACTAACACAAACATGACAATATTTTCTTAACAAAACTGACATTTATAAAACTATATCAGGTGGCATTTTAAGAGGATATTAATTCCTAAAAATTATTATGAGGCAGAGAAATGGTTGGCTGTAGATATTTTTAATTTATTAAGAAGTTTTTCGGGAGTAAATAAATATTTTTATTTGTATACTTCACTTACTACAACCCCCAACAAACCTCTCTAACTAGAAATTATTAATATGGTTCTTTAAAAAAAAAATAATCTTTCATTTTTAAAATTGAGAATTCATCTCTGAACCCAAAACATATATCAGAGACGTAGCAATGACTTGATTTGGATAGAGGTAAGCTGTTTTCAGTCAGTCGAATTTCTAAATAATAATTTTTGACCACAGAATGGGACTCCTCTGAACAGTTAGTTGGATTTTCAGCCACAAAATATACCAATATTAATAAAAACAAATTATAATCAAAGCGTGTAAGGATAAGGAATAAGGTCAAATCATTAAAAACTCAACTGAAGTATTTCTTATATTTTCTGTTCCGATAAGTCCTCAAATTTGATGTATCAGGTATTGTATCACATTTCATTGCATTTTGGTGCATAGAAATCTGTTCTCTGGTTATTACACAGCATAATTGCTATTAAATCCTATGGGTTAAATATGTTTATGACATGATAATTTTGTATTTAATTTTACCCGTAAACGAAACCAAATCTTAAGATGAAATTATACAAAAATGTAATTTATAAAACATAAAATATTTCAATTTGATAAATTATATATACTAATGAATAAAAAGTCAATTCAAGTAAAAATTGACTTTGAACAATAGATTTTAATCATTGACCAAAATATAAATTTCTTAAATGATGATCAAAAACCCTTCAAAAGTATTTTTTCTAACATCATAATAACTGAACATTCTCATATGGAGTATTTGAAGTAGGATGGAAGAGGTAGATAAGAAATCAATACTTAAAATAAATAACTAAAGGGAAAAAACAACTAACATAAAAGATAACACATTAATGACATTTATCTTGACAGTTGAAATATAAACAGATTTGAACCTAATATAATTTTAAAAATTTACTTACTCGTGCCTTGGAAAATAAAGCTAGTGTTCCCCCGCTGCCACTTGTGTTGATCAAAACCAAGTAAGGTAGTATCAATACGAACTTTTGAACCTTGCTTATAGACTTTATAAGTATCACTTGGGCACATATTTGACACCAATGGAACTGCAAAATTATAGGATAATTAGCAATATAACCTTCAAAAACTATTAAACAAGATAAAAAAAAAGGATATGTTTAGTTGCAAAAAGTAATATGAAAGTTTAGTTGTATCTAGACTTTTAATTCTAAAAATTTTCACTCTATTCTGCAGGAAATCAGTTCCCGATCTTTAATACTAAACAATTCTAATCAACAATCGGTACAGCACGCCTCTGCTATTTATATATAAATGTATTTTAATAAAAACAATCCCTTTTCATCATTAAGAACAATTCATAACATTATTAGGATGTTATACCAACCAATTCATGTGGATATGGTGCTGGTATATGAGGGTTGGGATACTCCAATTGGATAGTTTCACCAATTAAAATATGAAGTGTACAAGAACTGAATAAATAGATAAAATTTGACAGTAAAAATTCAACTACTTACCCCAGCTAGTGAACTCCCACTTCATTTCCACATAAAAATCAGGAGCCTGTGGACATAATGAATTTTTATGATAAGCAACATAAAAACAAAAAAAGGAACTAAATAGCAGTTTTAATTAAGTCACCTCTTTCAGCTTAAGCAAGAGTTCTGGGACCCCTCCAACTCGAGAGGTGTACCGTTGGTAGTCACGCCACTCAAGAACTGCTTGAACCAGTTCTGGATCACCAGTAGCCACAGCTTCCTGAACCACTAAAAAAAATTACAATTTAATAGTTCTGAAAAAGTCTTGAACATTATTGTATGATAGGAGACATTATCTTTTAAACCATGTTTAAAATAGCTGTTATCACTCAAGTTATAATTTTGGCTGATATGGATAATCTAAATTTCAACTAATAGCAAAAAAAAATTAATAAGACGATAAATAATAACAATATTAGGTTGATTTATAAAATAAAATGAAAATTCTTACCATTCCATCCTTCACAATTGACAGTGTTAACATTTGCCCCTTTTTCCATGAGTAATTTAGCAGCTTCAAGATGTCCAAGGGTGACTGCCAACATAAGAGGAGAGCGTCCCCTTACATCTTTTTTTTCAATTTCAGCCTTTAATAAAAATATATAGAATGCACTAGTTATAATAATTGTAAATAGGAAAACAATAAATTTGCACAAGATTTTCTAACCAGTAAATCAGTTTAAATAAACATTCCACTGTTTGGATAATTGCTGTTTTCTAATGTCAACTACTAGTAACCAATAAATTTACATAATCATTAAATAACAAAAAAATACATCAAATAAATAAAAACTATTTATAATAACATATATGTTGGTGTATCTGATTAAATACACAATGGTGGAACGATATTAGAGGAAGCAATTGTTTTATTAAATTTTTTCCTAAATTATTGTGAAACTGTTCTTGACGAAATCATAAAAATTAGAATTGATTGAAAAATCAGATTCCATTCATGTGATTTTTTAAGACAAGAAAAGCCATAAAAAGAAATTAAGAACTATTTCGGAATACTCAGTGATATTTATTTAATGATAAGATTTAATCATATCATAAATTATGTTATCAAGATTTAAAAAGTTGTATGAAATCAAATATAAGGAGGAAAGCTACACTACTTAAGAGGCTTCATTCTAAAGTAAGTCGAATGATAACCACCAAAACTTTTAGAATAGCAAAGGTAGGTGACACACTTAATATTACAAGAAAAATAATCTATTATGACAGGAAAAATACTAATACAAAGTTTCAATATATAGTAGTGAAAGTGGATTAATTTAAAATTAATTGTATGCTTGTAAAACTATATTTATAGTAAATAAAAATTTCTAAATTTAAACAACAACCAATACTTCACACAATAAAAAAAATATTTAAAAACAAGAGAAAAGGTTTTTAAATGAGATGTGTATATGTAATGAGAAATACAAGTCTACAGTAATTGAAAGGTTTCAAAACTTCCCTGGCTTCATTTAAGTGGATTAGCACACTAAGAAATAGTCAATGAATGTTCTTCATATCCAATAAGAAACTAGATTAAATTAAAGGAATGATTTACATTCATTACTTAAATGTATGACACTACTTTCAAGCTATTGTTTTACATAATATAATGAATAATGGACTAACCTACTGATGAATGACAAATTTCTAAGTGGAATCAACGACTTGTTGCCAATGCAGTTATTATTTAGTAATACTCATGGGTGCAACATTTATTTTTAATTTAGTAATGCTAGAAAGCTATTGATAAGGATGGTATTAGGTTAAAATTTTTACTCTAACATTATAATTGTACAATTTTAAAATCAACAGGTCCCAATATAATAAACAACATTTAGACAGCGATTCCAAATTAATTTTCTAAATGAATAGACTAAAAAAGCCTTATTAAAAATTATAAATACTATCAGATATACCTACACCAATATCATCTCCAGCTAAAAACAGTTTCAACTCATCATACACATTGTTCCAAACCAGGAGATGAATGGGATAATCCTTCTTAATATCATCAATACTCATTAATTTTGGACTTTCTGCCATTTTAGTATCACTAAAATTATCTGTCTATCAGTAATTTCATTATGACTAAGGAATGACTAATAACTTTACAAGTTTGTATTCTTATATAAAAATAAAAGGCCATTATACAATTGTTAAGTGCACTGCAATTTCCATCTGAACTGAAATTTAGCTGATAAATAAACAAGAAATTGTAAACCGGCTGTCTACCGGCAAAAGAACGACTACCTAAAATGATTCTGACTTAGTAAATACATAACCTATACATTAATAACCACCACGAATGACAACAGGATTATTCACCCAACCTACAATGTTAATTATCAAAGATATGACTAAAAAAATGTTTCTCTAATGAGTCATTTTTTAAATAACCTTAATAAAGTACTGCAATATGGCTAATAAATATTTAATGACCAAGTTTTTAATATTTGTTTGTGGTAAGTGCACTGATAGGAAGCTATACAGATAGCAGTGGTGTTTATAGAGATAACAGCTACTGCTTGCCTGGGTGCCAAGTGTCAGAATTTTGACATCTGGCTATATTTTCCTTATGTAGTTTGGCCTTTTTCTGTAAGTTATACTGGTGCCTGATTGATGAGAGTTATTTCATATTGAGTATGGAAGGAGTGCTCCTTAAATGGACCAATTATTGGAATGGCAAGTAGTTTCTTTGCAATTTCTTGAGGAATTCACTGATTTGTATATGTATTGTTTTATGTTTCTATGTGAATTACATTTTTCCAAGTGAATAAAAAAATATTTTAGGGTGGCAAACGAGATGGTTTGTTCTTCAAGATGGAATATTGTCATACTATAGATCTGCTGAAGAAGTTAATCAAGGATGCAAAGGTTCTATGAAAGTTTCGGCTCTTGAAATAACTGGTAAAGTGTTGTTTAATTTTTATAATATTGTTGAATTTCATTTTTAATAATTTCTAAATGATTTTACTACAGTCAGCAATGTTGATAGCACAAGGATGGATTTGAGTATCCCTGGCGAAAAAAATATATATTTAAGAGCACCTTCTTCACAGGAAAGGCAGTTGTGGTTGGTGGCCTTAGGTAGTTCAAAGGCTTGTCTTACAAATGGAAAAAGAAAAGAATCAGGTAATAAATTATATTATAAAATTAATGCTAAAATATTTGTATTATTACCAGTTATACCTTAACATTTCTCTTCCTTAATTATTTTCACTACATTTCCAGCATGTTTAAAACCATGATTTATCAAAGCATTTCTAGGTTTCTTTCAATTCTAACTACATGTTAAGCTTTTAGTTGGGTGTTTTCAAAATAGATACTTTGAACAACTTTGGATCCAAGTATTGAGATCATTTATTTGTAAGCCACATACCTTAGGTGACTAGGCGTCCTGCTTTTGGCCGGATAGTCCCGATTTTTAATAATTTGTCCGCATCCCGTGGTGTTTTAAAAAAGTCCCGATATTCAGAAATAATGCATGACAAGCTAGGAAACGGCAGGAGAACAGAAAGAGATTATACGATTGTTGGGGGCCTTGTAGCTACTTCGCGAAAATGTGAGTTTTATATTATTTTTGTTAATTTTAAAATGTTAAACTTTAATTATAACGAATAATTATTAAGAACTGATATGCAAAGTTCGCATTGTTGATCAGTTGTTAGGATTCGACCACCATTGTTTTGACTTGAAGACATAATAAGCAACCCGAAAATATCCTTTTAATGTTATTAATATCATTATTTTAAAAAAATATTGATAAGGAAAACGTTAAATCTTTGGCATCAGCAAATTAAATTCATTTACTACTTTGATTACCGAAATATTGTCACCTTCAATAAGTTTATAAAATTTTGAAAAAGAATTGACTCTGTACAAACTGCTGGCAGTCATCAGTACATTCAGTACAGTCATACATCTGTAATGTATAAGATATAACATTTAAGTATTAAAAACTGTGTTATTATTGGTCATACATTAGACTTCAAATACATCATCAAATTATTCGCTTTCAAACCAAATTCTCAATCTTATTTCAGCTGAATAATATGTCACCTGATTAACATTTGCTGTGTAAAATTAATTATTGTAACAACAAATTTAAACTATTGTTTAAACTTAATTAACCGAATTTTTAATCGAGAACCTTCCCCTCTCGCAAATCAATGTTGTCCTGATTTACCCATGTTTAAATCCGGTCACCTTACACATATCTTTAGGCCTCTCTACAAGATTCTTCTGATATTTACACTCTGCTCATTCTTTGGTCTAATTCAGTCACATATAAAGCAATGAATTCATGTTTCTTCAGCTTTTAAGATATATTTCTTTGTTGCTCATTTCTTTATGTTTTCCACTGTCTCTAAGGCATATAATGGACTAAATGATGCTCTGAGTCCACATCTCCTCAATAGATCTGAATCTGACTTCTAATATTTGGACTTTTTCTAGTATCTGCTCTAAATGTGGTCAATCTGATTTAGTGTTTTTGGATTTTACAGATATCTCCAGGTACTCCTGTGGATAATTTTTATGAGGATATGTCTGTTGTAATTGTTTCTTAGTTGCTACCCTTCTATTCTGAAAGTATTATATATTAACATTGTAATGACAAAATTTTGTATGTTCTATAAAAATAGAACAATTAGGAGTATTTTTTTAGCAAATGATTTAGAAATATAAATGAAAAAAATATTCAGTATTGCAGTGTAATCCTGATAATGTAATGTATAAGATTTTAAATAAATTATTAACTAAGAATATATGATTTTAAAATTTATTTATTTAAGGAATGATTTTTATTTTATTTTACTTAAGAATGTTTAATCCGAATTATGAAAGAAAAACAAATTAGAATTGGTTTAAATTGAAGCGATGTTACAAAAATTGTTTTTTTCTCAAATTTTTAAAAATGACAGATGTCCGTCTTTGATATGAGGCCACTATATTGTAATATATTAATAGCCTCCAAAATTGGTAATTGAAGTAAATATCCCTAGTATTTATTTATATATTTCCTTGTAAAATTTTTTATTTATTTCTCATCAGTTACTGAAGCTTCCCCGGAAGCTCTCAAGTCAAAGAAGAATGAGCTTAGATTGTATTGTGACCTTCTTATGCAGCAAGTTCATGTGATAAAGACAGCTGCCACTCAAGAGCCTTCTCCAGATGTAGAGGTACTTTTGTTGTACTTTTTTCAAGCTAACCCTACTCTACATTATTGAGTCATGGAGTAAGATTTCAGAAGTTGTAACTTCAAATTATATTATAAAATAATAGTCAGTCTGAGTTATTCAATTCTTTATAATGATATAAATTCTTATCCTATATTTTTTAGCTTAAATATTCATATATAGTCGAATATTTAGGTGCTGAAAATAAATAAATAAAATAATCTTAAAGGAATTTATGATACAAGAAGCAAATCAATCAAAGGCAATTATACAAATATGTATAACTTTATTTTCAAAAACTGTTGATGTCTTTGTGGAACATTTAGAGGTTGAACTGTAAAAGTTGATAATTCTCTAGTTTGTTAAACTGTTCTGATTTTCCATTAAAAAAAAAAAAAATGTTAAACTGATTACTGATGTACCTAATTTCTTGAATTTATCTGTACAGTGTTATAAATATGCTTCTTAAATTATAATCATTAAGCTTAAATTCATAGAAATTATTGTTTACTTTTAGAAATTAACAGATGGTAGCAACTTACTCAGTGCGACTTGTGATACATTTATTAAGACATTAGAAGACTGTATGAAACTGTCCATCTCTTCAATCTCCCTTCATGAAAAAGCGCATATGAATGATAAGGAGTTGAATAATGTAAATTCGTTTTTACCCTTATTTATTAGCAATAATTTTATCTTTTTAGCTCTTGTAGTAAATTCATATTTTATTTTTTAGATTAGTAAACCTACTATTCCTGTTATGCGATCAAATTCTACTGAAAAGTAAGTTTGTTTTTTTGTAACCTACAAAGACTTGAGTAGAATTTTAAGAATAGATTTTAGCTAAATGTATTTCTCATATGTGTGATATAGTTCTTACATTAATTTTTTAATAAAAAAATTTCAGATTTTTTTATGATTGTAGAAAGTTTCAAAATGAATGCTTTTGGTAAAATAAATTTGTTTATTTATGTTTTTATAATTTTCTATTGGCTTTTAATCTTTCCTACCCAGAAATATAGAAGCTAACACTTAATGTCCTGACATTCTCTTGTAGCTCCTTGCCCAAAAGTGAGTCAAAATTTTGTGATGTATTTGAAAAAAAATTTCATTATACACCATTATAATGTTCATCCTCAGCATTCAGTTTACATTGGTCTAACAACTCAAAATGGTATCCATTGAAAGGAAAAAGGCAAACATAGAAAAATTGCATTATTTGAAGATTTTTTTCAAGTCAACATGAAATTTTATATCAACCAAATACCAAATAATGTTCGCAAAAGTTTGGAGGGTGAACAAAATTTGAAAAAAAAATTTTCGTCCAGTAGTACACGTTTACGAATATTGAAGAAAAGTTATTCCAACAAAGATAATTATCATTAACTGCTTCTTAGGTCATTCTACTATTTTCAATTTGATTCCTGTTAAAACTTTCATTCAGTATTTCATAAGAAGTGATCATTAAAAATCAACATATTTTCTTAAAAACATTGGAAATCACCATTTGAAATTTTATTTTAGAAAATATCATGTAAACTGTTATAAAAAATAAAATTCTAAAATCACAATTTCTTTAGTTTAAAAAAAAAATGTTGATTTTTTAAAAAAGATCATTTCTCATCGAATATAATGAGTTTTATCAGTGCTCAAATTGAAGTTGAGAGAATGCACTACAAGAGATTTTATGATAATTATCTAATTAGAAACAGTTGTTTCCGTGGTACTTTTTAAAAGTGCACTTTTAGGGAAGAATCGAGCAGATATAAAAGGTCCATCGACTATGTCCTGATCAAGAGGGAAGAAATGGGGGAATATTCAAGATTTAATGATAAAGTTGGGATTCAAAATAGGAAGTGACCACTATTTTTAATGCTGGCTAAATTTTGAATAATAAAAAAAAAAAGAAAGAAAGAATGTTACAACATCCTTCTCAGAAAATCAGAAAGTATTCAATCATGACCAACACTATCCAAAGGACTAAACTCTAAGAGGAATCAAAACGAAACGTTATCTGGCAGAATAAGGAAATAATTGAGTTGCCAAAAGTATTTTATAAAGTAGTTGCAGGAAGAAAGAGATCTACTCCAGAATGAAACCTCAACCTTAGAGGAAGATTATGTTGATGAAAAAGAATTCTAAGAGCGCATCTCTAAGATGAAACTTGGCAAGTCAGTGAGACTAAACTGAATCACTCCGTACATGATAGAGCTTATAAGCGGTAAAGGCCAGATGTTTCTCCAACTTTTGAATCAGGTGAGAAAAAAGGAAAAGACTAGGAGGTTGCTGCCATAGTGCCTATATATTCTGCTCAAAAATTAATAGGGATATTTCCATTTGATGAGGGGGCGGGGTGGATTTTAAATTCCCTGCCCTCACCCTCCGGCCCGGGAAAATCCTGTATAGCCTAAAAGGCGACGTAGGGAAGAACAGACAAACAAAATTTTCGATTTGATGCTTATTTTATTTGTTTTAATTAAAATAATCTTTTTTTTTTTTTTGTTTGTTAGGGATTCTCTTATTTGTTGGTAAACATAAAACATTAACAACAATTATTCTTTATTTTTAATAAATTATTAACTTAAGGATAGTCAACATTAAGAATACTTATTTTGTAATCCAAAATTTGTTTTTGACTTTTAATTTTAATTCAGTAACATTCTGTTTAACGAAGGAAAGACATCACATTGAACCAGAACTTCGCAATATTATCATGAAAATGAGTGGTCAAGGATATGGGCTAACATGTGTGCACTGCATCGTGCGTTGTCCAGCAATCCGGTAACCGAAGTTTGAGATAGAAAAATAATTACAAGTTCAAATCCTGGTGGGAGTTTTAACTCGCCATAATTCCCCGCCCTCTTCCTCGGCCCTATAAATGGCTAGGAAGAGGAGAACAAAAACAAAGTGCCTGAAAGAGCCTAAATGAAGTGCTGAATGTGCCAAGATCCATACCAACACAAATCATTTGTGAAAAGTTGGTCTAACATCTTATACCCCTTTAAGATAACCTGCAGTGTGTCGCCAGCAACTCTGCAGATCATGGTGCAGTGAATGCCTAGATAAGGACTCAAATTGGAATGCTGTTATGTTTACAGAAAGTCGTGTTTCTGTAGTCATCGGTGCCGAAGAGTCTAACGAGAATAGGAGGTGGGTGCACTGCCACAGCTTCCTTCAGTGCAATCTACTCAGGAGAATGGATTTAACTCCATATCGAGGGAGGTAATCTCATTGCAGTTTGTTATGTTCAAGATATTATAGAGAAATACATTCCTCGGACCAGGGCCATAATAAGCATAGATTTCCATTTTCTTGACAATAATACCCGACCTTGTAGGGTAAAACTTGTTCGTCAATGTCTTGAAAATCAGAACATTTCACATCTGTCCCTTCCCGTATTGTTTCCATAACTCAACTCCTCTGTGTACATGTAGGATGCACTGCTGATAAGGCTTTTTAACCACCATTCTTAACTTTCAGCTACTGAGAGCAGTATTACCATGTTTATGATATGACAATCCTTGTGAAATCAATGAGAACATAAATAATGTGTTCTATAGGTGTGTGTAATAGAGGATATTACACAAATTATTAAATTTTACTAAATGTTTACAATTCACAATCATAAAAACAAGATCATATAAATCTTTAATGTTATTATTTTTTAAATCACTTTTTATAAAATTTCTGAAGGTGAAATACAATCTTATTTGTATTAATTTTCAATGTATTTTATGATAAAAATTCTAGGGAAAATAAATTAAACATAACTAACAACATCCCTATTCATTTTTGGGCAGTTTATAAGAAGGGAGATAACAGGAACTGCAACAATCATTGGGTTGTTATTCCCTAGTGTGTCCATTAAAATGTGTTCAAAAATCATAGAGGCGAGAGTCAAAAGAATCATCTAAAGCAAGATTAGAAAAGAGCAATATGGATACAGGAGTCAAACAAGTAGAAAGGTGGGGCAGGGTATAACACTCCACTTAATTAAGTTTGTTTTGTTATCAGTACTTATCATTGGAGCGGAGAGCTGAATTCTGAATGAGAGGCACTTCATCAGAATAAATGAAGCATTGCCTTGGCAAGTCCTTTGCTTGCAAAGGACCAATAAATTCAAAATTCCTATTTTATTTTTTTCATGCGAAATGATCCCATAATAAATTTTTAAGAGTTTTGAAATTATTCAAATTTCTCATGAGTAAGTGAAGTTTCTCCACACTACTTAATTTCAGTTTTTCCAACCACAATGTTTAAACTTCTGATTTGAATAATTAAAATGCATTTATTAACTAATATAAATTAAAAGAAACCTTTCTAACAGTAATAATATATGTCTTTTATTCTGTTCTAGGAAAGCTTAAGGAGTGAAATTTTAATTTCCTGACACAGTATTATAAAAATGCAATGCTTTTGTTATTCTCTATTATTTTTTAATAATATTTACATGTATATAAATGTATGTATTTGTATGTACATACCTATACATGAATGTTCATGAGTATTTTTATATGAATATTATGTTTTACAGTTGATTTATATAAAACAAAAAAAAACAAAAAACTTTTTTCTAATTTTTATTGTATTGTTTCATAGTTATCATTATTTACATAGTTACCAAATTTTGTTAATTTGTAATTTATAATTGAATCTAAGATCTTATTATCGTGATACTAAGTATTAATGTATTTGAAAATGCTTATTTTGTTTCTATTTTTTACATTATTAATTGAGTGAAAAATAAACTATTTATTCATTTGTTAGCTAAGACTAATTAGATACGTATTATATACTTTTTTTATTATTTTAGAGAAAATTAAGCACAATGTTAGTACATATTATGTTCTGTTTTGGTATGTTTTCTTTGTAATATTCTGTAAATCTCTAAACATAATCTATAAATTTCTAAGCATGATATTTGCTTACAAAGAATTGCTTACCACAATTTACCTTAAAGGATAAAAATTATTTTATTTTAAATTAAGCATATTATTATTCACCTGTTTTAATTTAAAAAATATATGTACTATTTGTTTGTTTTTGTTAAACATCAACAACTTTTCTTAAGTAAATAGTTATCATTATTTCTTTCTTTTAATGAAAGTAAATTTACCTTATTTCTCTGTTATGCTACCTATATTCATGTAAAGTCAAGTTACAATTGTAGTACTTAATTCCTGTGTACTTTTAATCTTCTAAATTCTCACCAATAGATCACATATTCTTTAAATACTTTGTTATTCAGATGTTATGTACCAAACCTATTTTGCCATGAAGAACAGAACTCTTGGTGGAAGTATTGCTGACTGTAAAACTTAGCTATAAAAAGAGAAGAATGGTTGGGGTGATCAGTAAAAAAAATAAATAATTATAATTATTTTTGCCGATGTTTTGGCCCAAAGTTATGCCTTCATCAGAGCTGGTCATACAAAATCAGATGCATTAATAAGAAGTTCGATGTAAGAAAAAGGAAAATACCAATAATTAAAATAAATTGAACTAATTTAATATAAAAACATCCCAACTTACAGAAAAATGAGAAACGAAAAAAGGTTTGTAATTATTTATTGTAATAATTTTTTTCTGAACACACGAACTTAGAGGAGACAGAATTTTACATGTTTTTACAAAGATGGCAGCTAATCTGAGCTGACAAACCTCAGTATAATTAATATATATATATAAAATAATATAAGAAGTAGAGTTTGTCATTATTAAAATTATTTGAAGAAGACCAACGGGCGGACAAACACAGCTAACTTTCTTTTTTTAAAAAATCATAAATTATTTGTGATTTTTTTGTTCACCATTTAATTGTACTACATTATCCCAATTTTACAAAAAATTTCCTCATTTAATAAGCTTGCTATTGTACACAGGTGTGAATGTGTTTTATTTATTTTATTATCATTCAGCTTTAATCTGTTATTTTACTTATCTTGTATATAACTTTATCTTTTTATTTATATATTTTTTTTCTTGGTTATTTTTATTTATTTTCCTTTCTTATGTACATATTGTGTGAATGAATACTACAGCCTTAGTACCAATGCCTTTCAGTGTGGCAGACTGTATTAATACTCAATAAAATAAAAAAAAAAATAATAAGCTTTATGTCCATATTAATTAAGTTGAGGTTTATTAGGAAAAATTTTGAGATTCTCCTCAACTTGTTTAAAGAAATTATGTGATTTCCTATCCACTCACCTTAAAGTACCCCTGTTTTCTGAAAAATTAACTGTTGCAAAGCTTTTATTTCTTTTTTTCCATGATATGGGATGTATTTTATTAAACATAATTGCCTAAAAACACATTTTATTGATTTTCATTTTTAATATAAAAATTGAAAAATAATGATTTTTTAAATATTTATCACATAAAGTGGTTATGAAATTGTGTTTTTTTTTTATCAGATCTCCATCATAGGAATTCATATGTATTTATCAGTGACAAACTTAATGTTTCTTACTAAAATTAACATATAAAATAGAGAAAAATACTGATTATTTTCATGAAAACGTAAATATTAGGGCTGGCAACATTAATTCTGTCACTCATAAATACATACATATGTGGCACAACGTCCCGTTACTGAAACTGAGCCTCCACCAATTGGCTCTGTCTTCTGTTGCAGCTTTCCAGTTCCGTACACCAAACAGGGTTCTTCCATCATAGGCCACACTGTCCAGCCATCTCGTCCTCAGCCTTTCTACCCATCTTGCGAGGTGCAGCTCCTCAATCATTACTTTTTTGGATATTTCAAAAGTGCTCATTCTGGCCACATGCCCTGCCCACGTCAGTCTGGCAAGTTTAATGCAGGTGACTATGTTGATGTCTGTATGAAGAGAACTGAGCTCCCTATTTTTTTTTTTTTTTCCAGACATCATCTTCCTTTACTGAACCATAGATCCTTCTGAGGACTCCTCGCTCGAACACACCTTGCTTTATCTCATCACTTTTCATCATCGTCCAAGCATCTAGTCATATGTCAAAACTAGACATACAAGATCTTGTATATAATCAGCTTGGTGTTCTTAGAGAGATACCTACTTCTAAAGTGTTGGCCATGTCCAAAGACACATCTATTGGCAGCTGTGATCCTTCTCTGTATTTCTTTAGCCATGTAATTCCTCCTATTTACTTCAGATCCAAGATATATAAGCTTTCACTTATAAACACATCAAAAATTTAATAACATTTTTTTTATTTCAAAACTTTTTTAAAATATCAAATAATTGAGAATCAAGAACAGAACCAATTCAAAACAAGAAACGTTTTAATGTCTAAGAACAAAATAAACATTACAACAAACACACACACCCACACACATATATATATATATATATATATATATATATATATATATATATACATATATATATTTAATGCTAAAGTTAAGGCAATTAAAGTAATAGGAAATTCATTATTATTCATTTCAACAAAAAGAAATATTGTATCTTTGGAAACTTCCTTCTGTCTCGGAAGGATCTTAACTGATATATAATAATATAATTGACCCCTGTGAGGTATTCCTTCAATTAAATTGCCTCAATAATATTGACCTTGTAAGGGACCCTATAAACAGTGCTCCCTGGGTGAAAGGAATGGAACTAATGTAAAACATAACTAAATGAATAATATGTAATATTATATAATATATGTATATAACATGGTTAAAAAAAACATATATATCCTAAATACAATGCTTCCTTACCTTTGGTAGTGAGGAAGCATAAAAATCATTAAAAAAAAAAAAAAAAAAAATCGATTTCATATAAGTAGCCAAACTCTTCAATAGAAGCAGACTGGGGAGTTTGGCAGCTTCCTGTAATCTAGCTACTTAGAAGTCGGGAATATTGGATGAGTTGAGGGCCCCCTTTGTAAGGAACCTTTGTGCTTTCGCACCGCTGAATCCGCAACTTGTATATTGATTAATGTCAAGTTGGGAGGACCCTATTAAAGTTGTCGGTTGATAACATATAGGTACCTTCTGAACGGAAAAAGTGGGTGATTGTTGCAGATTTGTAACTTTCACGGGATCCAGATGCATATCTCGATGAGATATTGCCATCCTCCTAATTATATATCAACAAATACTTAACGTTGAAAAAATGGTGCAGAGGTTCTAGGTTGCAAAGGGGTGGGTTATCAAGATCAATTAAAGCTACCTCTCAGACAATTTCCTTTTTGCTAGTAATGGTAATTTGGAAATTACATTAATATCATTTCTTTACATTAGAAAAACACTCACTCAATTTTGACATTTGTTCTTCACAATTTATTATAGAAATAAAAACTTTCTAGATGGAATTAATTGTTACAAATGGAATTAATAGATTTATAAAACTATCTTGATTTAAGAAATAAATTAAACAACCTGGTGCGTACATCACACAACTTACACTTGCCGCTCTAATTTGAATAGAAATTCTTTTCTGGCAACGTTGGACTATTATAAAATTTTTTATGTACATTTTTAACGGAACTTAAGTTCAAAGCTTATATAGCTAACAAATCATTAAGACCATTAAAATAACAAAAACCCTATTTCTTATATAGACGGTAGGCATAGGCGGATCTATGGGGAGGGTTTCGGACTGAAGCCCCGTACTTCCTCTCCACTAGCGGATTCAGGATTTAATTTTGGGGGAGGCTTCAGCCCGGAAGCTTTTCTTTTCATATATATAACGATAATTATCTAGGAAAAACAGAAAGAGATACTAACTACCTATTTGAAATGGTGTTTAAGTGATACTTGATGTCCTATTAAATGTAATTAAACGAGCAATAATACTTTAAAACATAATTTTTTAATATTTTTTATCATAAAACATGGTCACATTTTACCATTTTGGGGGAGAGGGGAGGCTTCAGCCAGTATTCAATCTGTTTTTGTAAACCACATAACTCCTGTCTCTGAGCTATATAAGCCTAGAGAAATTTGAAAGTACATTTGTATATTTAACCAATAGATGATTATTGATCGTACGACTATTAGTTGTTATATTCCATTGTAAAGTTTACTAAAATGAAATTAAGAGATTTTCATTAACTCCCATAGATAGGTCGAAAGTTGTCACACTAATTGGAAGTGGATAATGTTGGGATTTCACAAAGGGAAAATTCATCTAATTATTCACTAATTTAATTTTGTAAAATGTCACAAGACGATTTTTTGGAATAAACAGACGTTGATACCTAATTGTTTAAATATAATTTCAGATCTAGAGTAATTAAACTACGGTAAATCTATTTAAGGTTATAAATATTTGCTTTACATATCCATGAAATATTTATATATTTCACTTCTTCCACACCAGTAGAATGAAGTAGTTTCATAAACAATGTCTTTGCCTTGATTCCGTGGATTTTAAATACTTTTTTTACAAAGTTAATAATTATTTTAAACTTTACATTTAGTCAGGAAATTTCATTGGAAGCATGTGGTCTCAGTTAAATAATATTAGTTTTCACAAATTACTATTTATAATTTTTGGTGACTCACCATTACCTTCTACGACTTTCTATACTTGATTTTGTTTTGTTTTTACAATTGTCCGCTTTCCAAGGATATATTACACATATACCTTCTGAATAGTATTTCCGGAGATTCGTTTTCGACCTAAATAAACATTTTCCTATTTTTATCTATTTCTCAATTATCAAAGTCTTTCAAAAGTTATATTTATAACTCCTTACATGGAGAGATAGTTAATTATTTAAATTAATCAAAATTAAAGGTATTTTAGAGGAAGAAATTTTGAACATTAGGCATTTAAGCTCTGTTAAGTGACATCAATAGGGATAAGCTTAAATGATATTAAAGATTATTTATTTATAGATTGAGTTTAATTAAAATCATTAAAGGCGTTTTCGAGAAAATCATAGAAATTTGTAAAATCCATGATATAAAGTGGCGCTTTCTGTTTGACAATTTTAACGAAAAAGTTTCTGTAACATCCCAGCCATATACGAATCTTAAATATGCAATTTCAGTTTCCTATGACATCGTTTTTGAGTTAGTGTTCACATGCACACAGACACAGACCATTTTGCGAAACTAGGTTATTTGGACTCAGGGAGATCTCAAAATATGTATTTCCATTGAAAACTCGGATTCGAAAATGTTCACGATCGCAATACTTTCATTTACTATATATTTCATATATAGGTAAGTGAAGTAAAAAGTTTGACACCTCTGTGTTCTTTAATGGGTGAAGGCTTCTGGCCACAGATGCAAAGTACATAGCAGTACAGCATGCCCTTTTACCTTAAAATGCCCTTGGGCAATAAAAGGAAATTAGAAATTCTTTGTATATATATTTCATTATGCATTTATATGTCGTATTTTGTATAGCAAATAAATTTCTGGGGGTAGGAAAAAAAAAAATTTTGACACATGAATTTTGAAAAATGTCATGAAAAGTAAGGAATTGCGATTTGTTACTAAAATATATAGGGGGATCTACAGGGAGGGGAAGGAGGCCTTTCAGGCTGAAGCCTCCCTCCCCAAAATGGTAAAATATAACCATATTTTACAGAAAAAATATTAAAAACTATCTCTTAAAGTATTCTTGTTCGTGTAATTACATTTAATAGGACTTCAAGAACCACTCTAAAAGAACCACCTTTCTCTGCATGAAGTTGTTATATTTTTATTTTTAATTAAATATATTCAATTCTTTTGTCAAATATGAAGCATATTTTATATTTGTTTAAAAATTGTATATGTATCTGCATAGTACCAGACATAACTATATTGTCATTAGAACTGTTATATTTAAAAAAAAAATGCATATATATATATATATATATATATATATATATATATATATATATATATATATATATATATATATATATATATATATATAAGTACATAGTACCGATATATATATCGGTTTAAATAAAATATTAAACCTGATCAGTAATAAATTACAGTTGTATAATAGAATAAAAATATCCAATACAATTATTGGGGTATTAACCCAAGCGCCAGTATGCATACCGCTCTGGTATCTGATAAATATATTTAATCTTCAATATATCAAGTCCAGGTATCAGATAAGAATATCCGATATAAGTATCACATAAAAAGTAATAGGATGGTAATGACAAACTACTAACCCATTTGTACCAGATAAAAAAGTATCAGATTTCAAAAAAGTACCTGTACCAGTTGTATCTAGATACAAAAATTCTGGTATCAACCCATCCCTATTTATAAGACTGCTTGAAAACAGTAACATGTAATTAGCATGACTAGAGCACTAGATACCTAGTATGGAGATTGCAAGTTTAATTTCCAGACACTACTGACCACCAGTTATTCCAAAATTTACTTTTGGGGGCCATTTAGTCCAGCCCGAAAGATTTTTTTTTTAAATATATAATGATAATTACTTAGGACGAAAAAGAAAGAAACTAACTACCTATATGAAATACAGTTAAAGTGATTCTTTAAGTATTATTAAATGAACAATAATACTTTTAGAGGGAATTATTAAATATTTTTATCAAAAGAAATGGTTATATTTTTCCATTTTTGGGAGGCTTCAGCCCGAAAGCCCCTTCCCCCTCATAGATCCGCCTGTGCTCCTGACTCAGTGATGAAATAGTTTCAAAGACTTCCCCTGCTGTCCAATGCATGCAATTCAACTACGTTCAATGTTACCTAAACATAAAAATACCTATGAGCTCTGACAAGTAGTTAACAAAAACTCAGATTTTAAATCAGCTATAATTTATTATCACTAACTGAGCATTATATAATTTGCAATATCAATTAAATGCGAGAATCTCGGTTTAAGCCATCACCTTTTCTTTGAACGCACCGCCAGAACTAGATTACTTTCACTTACTTATATATGTACAGTAAGGGAATAGGTGTTTTGAGGTCTCCTGAGTCCTAATAACCAAGTCCCGCATAATGGTTTGTGTATTTGAACAGTCTAGCTCAAAAACGAAAAGTCGTACGAAACTGATATTACCTATTCAAGATTTATGGTTGGAATATTACAGCAACTTTTTCCTTAAAATCAGCTAACCGGAAGCGCCACATCAGCGGTTATACACATTTTTACAATTTTCTCAAAAATGGCTCAAACGATTTTCATCAAACTCGGTGTATCATTGTGTCATTAAGTGGTTTTTAATATCATTTATACTTCATCATTAAACATAATCAAAATAAGGTAACATTAGAATTATTTATTTCATTGGTCCCTGCTTTTTTGCCGTTATTATTATTTATTTTTTAGTTCTTTGTCACTGTTATTATTCTACCTACTATTTTTACTTTCATGTTTACTCTATCTACTTCATTTTACTTGTTTTTCTACCAATAATTTTTAGTCTATACCTTTCACCTTTTTTAATTGCAATTCTTTATTATTCAATGTTTATAATTTCTAATACCTATTGTTATCTGGTTCTTTTCTTAGCCCTGATGAAGGCCTGAACTTCGGGCCAAAACGTCAGCGAATGTGAAAATAAATACAATTATTTATTTGTACTATTTTATTTTGACTGATCGCCTTTCAATTATTCACTACAGCAACTATCAACTTACAATTATAAAAAATAATTTGTGTAAACTAATATTATTTAATTGCATATATTTTCAAGGAAATTAAATGAAATTTACTACCTAAATGTAAACTTTTAAAATTGTTTCAAGTTTGAAAAAAGTATTTGAAATCCACCTAATCAAGGCAATGACATTGTTTAAAAAACTATTTCAACGTATTTGTGTGAGAGAAGAAGTGAAATATAAAAATATTTCATGGATCTATAAAGCCTATGTTTATAATCTTAAATACATTTACTGCAATAGTGTAGAGATTGTTGACCGTGATATAATATGAGAAGGAATTGGTTGGGGAGTGCGGTCATACTATTGTAAAAATTTAGTATTTATTTGACCCCTACCCCCAACCAACTCCTCTTACATTTACTGTAGTTAAATGATTCTTGATCTGATATTATATTTAAATAATTAGGTATCAACGGCCGTTTATTCCGAAAAATTGTCATATAACCTTTAGAAAATTAAATTAGTGAATAATTTGATTAATCTTTCCTTTATGATATCCCAACATTATCCACTTAAGATTAGTGTGACAACTTTTGACCTATCTATGGCAGGAAATGAACATCTATTTTCATTTTAGTAAACAATCCATAATCATTTATAGTTTGAATATACAGATATACTTTCAAATCTCTTTAGGCATATATGTATATAGCTTAGAGACTGGAGTTGTGTGGTTTGCAAAAACAGATGGAATAACAAGGTATTTATTACCTACCGTATAATAATTATGATATAATTAATAGGGTTTTTGTTATTGTAAAGGTCTTAATGATTTGTTAGCTGTGAGCTTTAAGCTGTAGCTCCATTATAAATTTACTTCAAAAATTGTATAATAGCCCAACATTGCCAGAAAATAATTTCTATTCAAAATAGAGCGGTAATTGAAAGTTGTGTGATGCACGCACCAGATTTTTTTTTTCCAGGAGGAGCAAGTATTGGTTGTTGCCACTTCTCCTTCTTAATAAAAGTAGATTTTTAATAGTATTTTAAGTAATACAATAATAATAGCCTTTATGGCTACATATGATAAGATACATGATCTTTACATACAATATAAAGATATAATCAAACTAAACTCAGTGTTTTTAAAATTAGTGATCTATTTACAAATATATATATATATATATATATATATATATATATATACTATTGTACTTCATGTCTGCATGGGCCTTCCCAAAAAGGTAGTAATAGTATAATCTTCTCAGGTCACTAATTCTACAGGGAATATATTTCAGAATAAATATCAACATATGACAGCTTAAGCTCATTTTATTAACTGAATCATATTAAATATTTTATGAGGATTAATAAGTTATTATTCAATTTATATAATCATACAGAGAGAATAAGAAAAGTATGTGATTTGGTTTTAACAAAAGGACACTTTTTTTTTTAATTTAATGAGAACAAAAGATATTTCATCATTTTTTATTAATTATTATGAAAGTAAAAAAATATTTGAATACACAACAATTAATTCCATTAACTTTCTAACAACAATTCCATTTAAACATCTCTAATTCCATGGAAAAATCACTTTACTCAATTTATACAATTTTTTTTTCTTATTTCTGGATCATTATAAAACTTTATTAATTTAAAAGTAATTTTCGGCTTTAGACTATGTTGAAAAGTTGAAGTTTTGTTTTTATTAAAAAAACATGTGATTCACGTACCATTAATTTTTTCAGAGAATTTACATTAATATTTCAGGAATTAACACATTCACTGCAGTATATTAGATCTAATGTGTAATAAGAATATTTAATAATTTATTAATCCTTATAAAACATGTAATTACCAGAGGAAAAAGTAACAGTTCAAAACAATGTAGAGAATGGAAATAAGGAAGACTGCTTGTGAAGATAACTATTCTGCCCAGGAATGATGGAGAAATCCCACAACACACAGCATCATATGCCGTTGTTTTTAAAATCATTGGTATCTACATACATCCTTGATAAAGATGATATTCAACTGCCTCTACAAGACTGCTCTTACTGCGAAGGCTTCCTGTATGGGTGGAAGGAAATGGTAGCCGTAGCCATTTTGATTTGGGAGTAAGGCAGGGAAGGCAGAAACTCTCACAAGTTCAATCGGGAGCGATTCCTGGATAGAAATAAAAACAACATAAAACCGAAGATAAGGATGGGTTTGCAAAATTTTATTGTTTTATACAATAAAGACAAGGCAGGAAAAGGGACATAAATAAACATATACCTCTTTTGCAAGGTTTGGTTATTTGGACTCAGAAGAACTCCAATCGTGTATCCATTGAAAACTCAGAGTTGAAATTTTTCCGTCCTGAAAAATCTGGTGTGGCGTGCATCACAGATCTTTCATTCACTAGCCTAATTAAAAATCAGATTTCTGATCAAACAGGCTAGTTAGTAAATATCAAATATTAACCATAGTCCAATTTTTATTGTTTCATGGGATGTAAAACTGCAATGCTTTTGTTTGTTTAAATGTTTGAATTTTAATTTTTAAATTTAAAAACCTACATCTTTTTTAAAATGCCAAATGAGTCTTCCACTAAATCCATTGATACAATTGGAAAGGAAGAGAAATTTTCAGTCATTAATAACTATCAGATGAAAGTGAGATAGCTCAGTGATTAAGGCATTATGCTCCTAAGCTCCTGCTAGGAGTTATGTTTGGTTGTTCTAGAGGTGCAACTCTACAGTCAAGCGAAAGTAGAATTATAAAACTGGTATATTATAAATAATTACACTTCCTGCAGTCTGTTCCATGCTCCCCCTTGTCTTTTGGTTTGAATATTTTCATTCCCAAAATCTATAAACCCATCAAAATGTGCCCTCCTTAACGCAAAGGTGATATTAGTCCCCTTGTCCTTGTTAGTGCCATGTAAGTATAAGTGTACCTTTGAGCTGTCATAGTGAAATGAGCAAGCTACAAGATTGTATCCATTCCATCTTATGTTAGTTTATCCCGAAAAAATTGCAATTCAAGTGATGTAACTAGCCTTGTAGTTATAAATCTATATTTTAGAAACCAATTTGGAAAGTGATACTGAAAATAAATACCTTTGGAATAATTTATAGCAAAAACGTAATAAATGGAGATATTTTATTTATAAAAATACATGCCATCTTAAAATGAAATATATATAAAAAAATAAACAGTATTAAAAACAAGTAAATTTAACAATAGGTTAGCTAGAGTATGTATGTATGTATATATAAATATATATATATATATATATATATATATATATATATATATATATATATATATATATATATATATATATATATATATATATATATATATGATATCACAATAATTACAATGAGGAATGAGATGGTCCGAGGTGGCAGTCATAAAAAAACTTAAAATTGTGAAAAACTATTTTATAAGTTTAATTTATTAATAAAATAGTTTTTCACTATTTTAAGTTTTTTTTATGACCGCCACTCTGAATCATCTCTTTCCTCAATAGACTACATCAACCATTGAGTATTCAATATGACACAATAATTACAGTCTTCACATTTGTAAAATAACTAAAGTTAAATAAAACAAATTTAGTCAAACAAAAAATATCTTATGTTTTAATTATTAAGTGGTAATAAATGACCAAAAAATGCCAAATAAGGAAGGACCAAAAATCAATATTCTAGTAAACAATATCAGAAATAAAGATAAATGACATTAATCATTGGATTTTGAAATGGAAATTTTGGATTATTATTCTGGATACAGTTATCATAACCGTATTCTCATTTTTTTAAATAGAAGTTAGATGATATCTAACTAAAATTATAAAAAATATAAATAGTACAGGAGTTCCTAAACTTATGCAGTCATAGGATCAACTCTTGAGCAATATATTTCAAGAGGATCCCATCCCAACCTTAGGCATTTTACGTTGTTGCCTTAATACAATCTATGGAAATGCTATCATCTTTCCATGTCCAAAAAACATTCTGAATAATAGAATTCAGAATGAAAAGTTTTTACATTAAAAATAATGATATTGAAAATGATTCTAATGTCATTTTTGCATAATAGGTATCTAAAGTTTCTTTAGGACAAGAATTTATACTGGTGGTCCTTCCTAATAAATATCTACGACATAAATTATTTAATAACTAAACAATGTTACACATCCGAGAAGGTACTCAATAAAATTACATTTCTAATCATAATTTATCAGAAAATATATTTATTTTATGAGTATCAAAATTTAAAAAAAGTAGTCCCATATTAAAGGCACATTGTCAGTAATGTAGAAAATAATATGTACATACGTCTTATACACCTATACCCTGCAATTTTTTCAATTCACTACAGTAATCCATTGACATTCGGGAGGGTTAAGTTCCAGGAAAATAATCCATCCAATTTTTGTTAAACAAAAAAATGAACTTTATCAATGGATTTTTGTTCTATATTACAATTGAAAACCTACTTCATAAATAAATATGTGTGCTTACTATATACATACATAGTGTACTCAGACTTTTTTAACCAAGAATAATGAAATACAAAATTCGCAAATATGGAATTTACCCACATTCATGAACTCGTAGTGTACAAAATCAAAACTTGAGGATGTCAAATTCACAAATGTACAGGGATTACTGTAACTATAACTTTGAAAACTTTCACATTTATATTTTCTGGTCATGGGAGTTTTTTTACAATTATGATCATATCTATATATCTATAACTTAAATACAAAGTTGGTAACAACATAATGTTAACTGATTTATAGCATAGTGACTAAATTATAACAGCATACTTAAAGCCGACATAAGTGAAAATCCAGCAAACATTCCGATGATTTGAAAAATGCTAGCATATTTTGGGAGATCACGTGCTTTCTCACGGGGAATAATTTCACTTAAAGCTATATATAATAATGTTCCACCTGCAATAGCCTAAAAATGAAATATAAGATTAGACAAATCAATCAATAAATCATTTAGTAATTAGTTACTCCTCGATTAAAGAGTAAAATAAATTAAATTCGGAATTTAAAGTGTTTTACTTTAAATAAAGATGATATCTATAAAACTCAAAACATATAGAAGCTAATTTCTTTAATCAAATAGTTTTTTAATTAAACTATGTCTATCTTGGAGTAATTTTAAATTCCCTTAAATTTTGAGTTATCAAAATTTTAAATTTTGAAAAATTTAAAATTTAAATTAAATCAGAATTTTAAATTTTAAATTTGAGTTCACTGTACTTTTAACAAGTAGAAATATTTAAATTAAAATCACAAACCTGCATGTATGGGATAATAGCTTTCATCACTGGGGATCCTTCAACTTCGAAGATTAATCCAAGAACAATACCTATATCAGAACCCAACACAAAAACTGAAAGTGGAACAATTAACGAGCACCAATGACGTCCAACAGAAATCAATTCAGTACCCAGACAAAAGGCAACAAGTAGTTTATGAGAACAAACAGCTCCTAACAATAATAAAACCTGAAACATAGAAGTATTGTTATAATATAACATAAACTAAAAAAAAAAATATAATATAAAAAATTGAAATATATACTAATTCTGTCTGCTATATGGCAAATATAATAAAACTATGTTGAATATCCCAAATGGGATACATTTTCAAATTAAAATTTGGGACTATGGAAGGCTACTTAAGTAGATATATTAACCCTTTGACTGCGGACCGAATACATGCCTTTCCGTTAAGAGTTGGGTCACTGGTAGAGACAGGATATATGCTTTCTCAGTAGTGAGTTGGGTCACTGGTGCGGCGGGGATATATGCCTTCCCGCCTGAGTGGTCAACACTTAAACAGGTAGGGGCAAGTCCCGCCTTCACCTTGACTTGTGGCTTGGTCAGTGCATTCATTAATCTCCTGTAGCTGACTCAAAGTGGTCGCTTCAGATCCTGACCATTTAGAAGCTATCAGTTGCAGATTTACTCTGAACCCAAGGTATGTCCTTTCTCTGTTATTTGTGTCATATCCTTGATCTTATTTATATTCTATTTAAATGTTTTATGCATTAAATAAATGTTAATAAGTTAATTTTATAATCTTTTTTTTTAAATGCTGATTTTGGTACAATGAATCTCTGGCTACTAAACAAATAAATGTATGTTTTCTACATTATATATATATATATATATTTCAAATATAATAAATAAATGTAAAGTACGGACACATGGTCAGGATGAATAGTGAAAGACTGAATAAGAAAATTTTTGACAAAGTTTGCAGCTATAAAAGTATGGGAGGATATGTAAAACAAATAAAAGAGGAACTAGACAGACTAAAACCATGGATAAAGATTGCTTGGATAGAGAACTTTTTAGGGAAAAACTGAAAGGGGTTGGGGTTCTTGTAGGTGGGATGGAGAGACGAGGAAGAAAATGGACAAAGGAAGAGCGAGAGGAACAGTCCAAGAGGATGAGAGAGTATTGGAGTAAGAGGAAGGCTGAGGGAGTGAAGAGGAAACGGAAATGATATTCGTGTGGTCCTTGCTGGACTGTTCATGAAAAAAAAAATACAAAAAAAAAATGTAAAAATCATTTTTATCATATTACTTTTATCATTTTTCCATCCACCTAAAAACAAAATCTACATACATCGTCAGTATCCTTTTTTTTAGAAATAATTTAATTTAAGTTATTTTTATGATAATTTTTAGTTATTTTGCTTTTCAGAAATGAGCAAATATGCAAGAAAGCGAAGTTGCCACTGATATTTTGCATTGTTATGTGCGACCGGGAAGGTACATGTCCCGTTCATTAAAAGTTGAGAAGTTACAGAAGCAACTCATACCCCATCCATCATATGTTAATGAATCACTGATGCGGAAAATGAAAAAAATCTGTATGTTTTACTTTTCATCTCGATAGCTGATGATGTTAGTTGATAATCAGGTTGACATCCTTACCAGCAACAGCAACTCTTTCGATGCAGAAGAGCTTTGTCAATTGCACATCATACGATACTAATGTCAGTGTCACCAACGGCAACTTGTATTTCGATTCCTGTGTCTACCGTTTGTTGTAGTAGTAGGTTTTCATTAGACAAAAAATGTTTTCGTTAAATGGTTACTTTCATAAACAGGTAAAAATTTATGAGCTGTCCTTTTTGTACTGTTTACACCAGTATAGCCACAATAACTGATGTTATTTCATAGCTATAGTGCTCTTAGACATATTACAGACAAATAGAAGTAAAGTTAGAGGAAAGGCATTATTTGACTTTTTGAAGGAAAAATGTTCATCGACAACATTAAAAACCTATGAAATAATTAAGTTGATGTTCATTGTTAAGAAAAATCTATTTTTCTTACAGCTTCCTACGAACTCCTGTCTTTCTTGAGGCCGACAACTAGTTCTTCATTATTTTTTTAAACTGCACAAATCATTTATAGTCATACAATTCATAACCAATATTATGAAGGTGTTATGGTACCTCACTTTTTCTCTAATATGTGTTTTAAGCTTTAGAGTAATTTATTTCCAATAGTTGATAATTCTTTGTTTGAATTGAAGATGTGAGATTTAAATATAAAATACATTTGTATAATAATATATTTTTTTTTTTTTTCTAATTTTATAAATTAACACAAAAACATGAAAATTATACCCCGTTAGTTGAATCTTGAACACCGATGACCAATCCTTCCAACAAAGCATGCGTTGTAAATGCAACGAGCAGACCAAAATTCATACAAGACCACGATTTTGTTGTCTGGTTTTCCTACAAATACAAACATAATTTCAAGTCTTAATAAAAACAAACATATTTTCAGAACAATTTATTAGAATAAAATTGCATGCTATAAAAAAATATATATAATAAAATACATTGTTTGAAGTTGATTATTATTTTATTTTTTCGAAAGTATAGTTCTTAGAAAATTATCTCCTAAGAATAAATAAAACAATTACAACTTAAACACATTTGTCTTAAATTAATTTGCAATAACGCATCAGAGAAGTTATAAGTGTTCGTATCGATTCAAAAAAGTAGTTTAAAAGAGATGAAATAAATTCTACAAAATCAATTAATAATAGTCTATATAACGTACATAATTGATAAATTAAAGAAATTTTCAATTAATTTACTTAAATTTAAAAGCATTTAATAGAGCCTCTAGAGCAAACATTTTCAATACTAGGAAATAGAGATCCATTCTAGTTGAGAACAGGGTAGTTAGAAAAAGATTTTAATTCTGGATAGATCAAGACTTGGCAATGCTGATCATTTGCTAATACAGTGAAGATTAGGCAGCTGCTTAATTAAATACAAATATGAGGTACAGCTATTAAATAATGAGACTGATTCAGAAAAACATTTTATTTTGATTTCAACCATACTTACTTATTATCACCTTCAATATACCCCCCTCCCTCTTTCCATTATCCGAAACAGTGCTGAAAGTCTTATTCGGTCAGCTCCTTAAGGAGGCGTGAAATTTTCTCTTTCACAGATTTGAATGCAGATTTCACCTTAGGAAACAGATAGAAATCAGACAGTGCAAGATCCCATGAATAAGGTGGGTGGTCTAAGTCTGGGATGCTGTCCTTGGCTAAAAACCTCTTGACAGACAGTGTGGAATGAGCCAATACATTGTTTTGATGAAGAATCCATAGCTTTTCCTTCCACAATTAGGTTTGGTTTTTCCTTATTCTTTCACATAGTTCAGAACAAGGATATAGTCGAGTAGATGTGGAAATGTCCCAAATTGTGAAAGGACAAGTCATGGAACAATAATTTGTTTTACAGCATCAGTCTCATTATTTAATGGCCAAACCTCTTGATAGATGCTAGGAACAGTTCAGTTCATGATGTACAGAAGTTATATTTTGTAAGGTATAGGAAGTGTTTAAGTCTAACGAAACTAGTGAAGCAGGATGGTTGTCTCTAACAATAATATGGTACCAATTTTACTTGCTACCAATGCAAGAATAAAACTTGTGGCATTAGTTAACTTAACTCACCTGTAAACCAGAATTGATACTTGTGAACCAGTAACAAACTTGGAAATACATTCTCTTTAATATTTTAGTTTAGTATTAATGAGTCAAGCAATTTTCTCACCAGCAATTTTCTTCATAAAATAATGAATAACAAGGAAGGTAAAATTCCACAAGTGTCACTTTAACAAGGCTGCTGAGTCAAGATACTTCCATCACAGGATAAATGGAATTTTAATAATGGCCGAGTATTGACAACCTTATTCATATGTAAGTGGATCCTCACTTATCATTATATAACTAGAATTATTAAGTCATTATATCATACCACAACATGATCTTGAGATAAAATTGGAAATTCACTATCATTAGATGTAGATCCATAAATCGTACTCGATTCCTGAGGTAACAGCGGATCTGCAAGTGAAGCCAATAAAAAAAAATTAAAAACGTGTTCAAGACATTGACGAAATAAATATTTCTTACTATTCCTAACTATAACCAATTACATTCCCTATTAAACATACCTCTAAATATTATTTTATAAATAATACTACTACACCTTGTTCTTCTGAAGAAGAATCACTTTTTGGAAGAAATGGTGATAATAAAACATCAATAGCATAAATAAAAAAAAATCCAGCACATAAAAGTAATTCTCCCCACTGGTGAACATCATTTCTTACATCAGGAAGAATATGAACAATAGAAGTGGACAATAAAACTCCAGCTCCAAAACATAGAGTAGAAGATAACAAAATTGACTTTTTATAAGTAGAACCTAGTCCCAAAATAGCAGGTAAAAATCCACAGAAATAACTGCCAACTGTAACAACAGCTATAGCAAGTACTTTCGCGTATATAGAGTTCATGATTAAGACTAATTATAACAAAAAAATTACATTCTCAAATTCTTTTAAGAATGGCTACTTAATGTCTCTTATGAGACAAAGAACACATACTGATAACCTTGCTTTGTTCAAATTGTTATCAGAAGTAAATAAACCATTCACGAAAGCGCGCTCGAAGATACTATTTAAGTTGATTTTCTTTAAATTTTGTCAATTCTTTTTTTTTTTAATTGTTCAAAATATATTTTATAAAAATTATTTTAGTTTATTTTAAATAAGTAAAACTACTTTTATATCTCGTATAATAAAACCATGATTGGATGTTTGCCAAGTTTCAGATATCTTTTACGCAAGTGTAATTCATCAGCTTATACATATTTGTATATCTAAAATTATTTGATATAATACTTGTTTGTTTTATTTTACATATAGAAGAACATTAAACGTGTATAGAACAACAAAAATTGAATCATAATAATTGTATTTAGCTCTTAGCTTTTACTTTTTATATTTAAATATCGTCCCTACCTTCTTTATATGAATAAGGTTTTTCAGAAAGGATTACTACAGCCAAACGGTTTTGGATTGAGTAATCATTTACAAACGTTACTATTTAACAAAATCCATTCCCACAAAACACCAACGTTCACAAAAACGCAACGTTCTCACCGATGGATCCACGGGCGGATCTACGCGGGGGGCTAAAGCTCCCTCCCTCCCCCAAATGGTAAAATATAACCATGTTTTATGGAAAAATATATTAAAAAATCATCTCTTAAAGTATTATTGTTCGTGTAATTACATTTAAAAATACATTAGGAATCACTTAAACACCATTTCATATAGATAGTTAGAATCCAAAGTAATTATCGTCATTTATAAATAAAAAAAAAATAAAATAATAAAAAAAAAAAAAAAAGCTTTCGAGCTGAAGCCCTCCCCCCAAAATTAAATCCTAGATCCGCTAGTGGATGGATCCAAGGCATGAGCCATAACAAATTCTTAAGAAATGAAACCTCCATAGAGAGAATTGTATTGAAAAGCTTTTTTGGACCAATAATGGAAGTATGTGTATGAAGAAGGTGAATAAAATAAATCTATGATAATATAATAAAGATAAATCTGTACAATGGCATAAACATTGTTCGGTTTGAGAAAATAAGACGGCTTCACCGGGCCCGCATGTGTTGATTTTATGAGTAATAACATGACTCTGAAAAAATTAATAAATGAACGACTCCGTCAAAAAAGCAATGTTTGAAGATCAAAAGGAATATATCGAGGATTATACTAAGTATTAGCCATTGTACAGCTGTAGCTAAAGCTAAACCCAGGAGACAGTGGCTGTCAGAGGAAGATAAGATTCATGAAGTAGGTTCAGCCATCGATGTATATATATGGTTATTTTTACATGTACAAGCCAGCTGGATCTTTTGTTTTTAGTAATTTTTGGCAATAATGGAATGAAAAAATATTTCTCTTTTTGTTTTTTGAAAGAAGTTCTTTAATATATATTATTAAGTAAGACATTTAAAATTTTAAATTATACCAGAATTTACTGGTATGTCAGTACATATGTGCTTGCGTGCGTGCATAAATGTATACTAATAATCAGTTTTCTCCACATTTTTGGTTTCTTCTCTATTTTCCAAGAAACCTAATTTTAATTAATGGAAAAGTTTTCAGACCTAGGCCTGTCTTACTCTCTCCCCAATTTCACCATCTAACTATCCATTCAGGTTTAGATGGAGCCCTCGTCCCCGGTACTTGTTTTTTTTTTTTTTTTTTTCTTTATAGGTTTTACTTAACCGATCCTGACATAGGGGAGGCGTTGAGTTGTTCTAGAAGTACAATCAAACCTGTTTTAATCAGAATGGGAAGGTCAAGATTTATTCCGTGGGCCCACTACGAAACTTCGGACTGATGATGCTAGATTCGAGACTGTTTAAGCGGTTAACGTGACTCCCAATTGAAATACTCTTTTATTTTATGTTTTGACGAATAGCACCCTACCTCGCCATCTGGAAAATAGAAGAGGCTTTTTCTAGATGCACAATCATACATATTCTAACCCGTGAGAAAGTCAAGATTCATTCCGTGAGCCCGCCACGAAATAAATTTCAATCCGCTCAATCCAGATTCAAACCAGCATCGCTAGACTTCAGTATGTAAAAACAGACAATGCTCAAATATGCTGGCCATCACGATCTTAATCCTTCTCCTTCTCTCTCTATCATCATTATTTTAGATTTGTTGCTAGGTTCAGCAACTGAAACTTCCTTCAGAATTCGGAGATTGTATTAGAGGTTTCTTACATTTTTCTCGAAAACTACATTATCGTCTGCGTATACTAGAAGGGTGAGATAAACTTGTCTCAGTTTTCTGTGGTTTAGTGTTCAAGGCCTCATTATCTTCTTAATTCTATCAGTGCCACTTTGAGGATTAAGGATTGCCACTGAAGGATTCAAGGGAGAGCTTTCAGACTGAAGCCTGATGGCTCCACGAAATGAATCTTGCCCTCCCCACTCTGTTCAAAACAGGGTTGGTTGTACTTATAGAACAACTCCGCAATATGCCGGAAATTATGTTGATGTTTTCTTTTTTTAATTACAACGCTTGGATTTCAGCAGCTAAATCAAAGCACGTGTCAAGAAATGTATATACAAATTGTATCCATAAAATCATTATTGTTCCTGTAATTTCTGTTACTAAATTTCTTTAAAAAAAAGAAAAAAAAAAAAGAGTTTGTCCCCAAAATTAAATTATGCTATATTTAGCGCCATTATAAACAATAATGGCCTAAGACTACAGACCTCCCTTATTCCCTGGATGCTCTGAAAATGTTCTATGGATAGGAAGATCTATGGATGCTTGTCATTGCCACATTTATTTGCTTTTTATAAATGCTAGGCATGACCCTCGTTTGGCCTGGATCGACGGTATGAATTTTTGACGAAACATTTGCTGTAACATCCCGGACATATACTTATCTTAAATACATAATACCAGTTTCGCACGAGTTTTTTTTTTTTTTGAGCCCGACTGATAACACACACACCATTTTTCGGAACATGGTTATTTCGAATCAGAGGACCACAAAACGTGTATTTCCGTAAGATTCGAAAATGTTCACTATCGCAATACTTTCCTTTACCATGTATTAAATATATAGGTAAGTGAAAGCAAAAAACCCATATGGTACAAGAAAATCTGAATCTTAGGAAAAAATTGCGCGGTGCGCGCATCACACTACTTTCACTTAAAACTCACTTATCAGCAGAAATAAGTATTTTGATAAAAGGGAGAAGTGAAAGTAAAAATTATAATCGCTATATTGATTTATATTTCATTTTTATGAACCAATGAAACCTTTTACATGATAGGTATCTTTATTTGTTTAAGTATCCTTATATATACAAATTTTAATATTTATATCGCTGTAATCTATACCATTAAATATTAAATAATGCCAACAATAGCATTTATGAAAACCACATGTGTATCTTTAAGTCGGAGTTCTTATTATATTAAGCAGTGCCGGCCTTAAGCATTCGGCTCCACTCCCCCTCCTCCGGGCAATGAAGTTATCTTTCCTCTCTCCCTTAAAAAATTTTAATTTATTTCTTAAGCTGTTTTATATTATGTAATATTTGAATTTTATTTCATTTAACATTTCTCTCATACAGTTGCTTTATGGATAGGCTAAAATGAATTATTTGAATACGTTTTGTATTTTTTTTAATTTGTAACAAGTGGCGAGCGCAGTAGGCGTCCCGAGTAGGCGCACTCGGATTTTAATATTTATATCGCTGTAATCTATATAATTAAATATTAAATAATACCAACAATAGCATTTATGAAAACCCCATGTGTATTTTTAAGTCGGAGTTCTTATTATATTAAACAGTGCCGGCCTTAAGCATTCGGCCCCACTCCCCCTCCTCTGGACAATGACTATTATCCAGGCCAGCACTCGGAGATGTCACCCCCGCTACCCAACCCCACTAGCGAATCCAGGATTTAATTTTGGGGGGGGCTTCAGGCCGAAAGCTTGTTTTTCATAAAAATAACGGTAATTACTTTGGAAAAAAAGAAAGAAACTAGCTACCTATATGAAATGGTGTTTAAGTGATTCCTAAAGTCCTTTTAAATGTAATTACACGAACAATAATACTTTACAAGAAATAATATTTAAATATTTTTTTCCATAAAACATGGTTATATTTTACCATTTTGGGGGAGCCTTCAGCCCCAAAGCTCCCTTCCCCCCGTAGATCCACCCGTGCCCAATCCTAAGGCCGGCACATGTTACCTATGGAAGCGTGTTCTAATCTTTCGGGCGAGGTCGGGTGAGTTCGGGTGCGCTCGTATTCCTTTGGTTCCTCAATTACAGCTATTCTCCATGCAATACTCAGAACAACCAAATTTCCTGTACAATGGAAATACTCACACATTACAATGATCCACAAACCAAACAAAGACAAATACACCCCTTCATCATACAGGCCAATTAGTCTACTCCCAATATGTTCCAAAATATTTGAAAAACTACTATACAAAAGACTTATGAACATATTGACGGACGGAAAAATAATACCCGACCATCAATTTGGATTCCGACGACAGCATTCAACCATCCATCAATTACACAGGGTGACTGACTACATTGCAACTGCACTGGAGCAAAAATTGTATGCAACTGGGGTATTTCTGGATGTCGCTCAAGCATTCGATAGAGTATGGCATAAGGGTCTTCTCTTCAAACTTAAGACGATACTCCCTCCTACCTATTATCTTATACTTCAATCCTTTCTTTCTGACAGATTTTACTCTGTCTGCCAAGGCTCAGAACTTTCTTCAATAAGACCAGCCTTAGCAGGAGTTCCTCAGGGGTCACTACTAGCTCCGCTTTTATACATTATATACACACACGACATCCCTAACAGCGCCAGAACTATTATAGCGACTTACGCAGACGATACAGCTATTCTGACAAGACATAAAAACCCAACACACGCCATACAGACTTTACAACATCATCTAACAAAACTAAACGACTGGTGCAAACTCTGGAAAATTCGACTCAACCAAGACAAATCACAACACATCACTTTTACTCTTCGACATGGAACATGCCCTCCTATTTACCTTGACAATGCCGAAATTCCTCAAACAGATAAAATACAATATCTTGGACTGACATTCGACAGAAGAATGACATGGGGTCCACATATCAACAAAAAAAGAAAAACATTAAACCTCAGACTACGACTGTTATACTCACTTCTCTCAAGACGCTCAAAATTAAACCTAAAACAAAAACTGAACACTTACAATTATCTACTTAAGCCCATATGGACCTACGCTTCACAAATTTACGGAACAGCCAAAATGACACACATACGAAAACTACAAACTTTTCAGTCTAAAACTTTCAGAACCATAACCAAAGCTCCATGGTACGTCACAAACATTACACTACATAAAGACCTTAAAATGCCAACAGTTAACGATCACATACGGACATACTACAAGCGATTTCACAATAACTTACATGGACGTACTAACACACTTATACAAAGTATGGCTACATTTAACATGTCCGAAAACACACTTAGGAGGCTCAAAAGGAGCTGGATGAGGGATTTCCTCACTTAAAAATATGCTAAAATCAAGACAGAAAGGGATGCCGCTGGGTACTCCTCTCGATCACGCCGATCAAGCCATTACCTGTACACTTACCGACAGCAGACCCGCTAATTGTCATTGCATATGACAGGTGTGGGTGATTAAATAAAGTTAATAAAAAAAAGCTATTCTCCGTCACGATCTCTTATTTCTCGTTCAGTTAATCATAAATTTTTTTCATATTTCATATTTCACTATCTTTTATATTAGAGATTAATATGAAATGGTATTGTTTAAAAAAAATCAATTAAAGAAACTTTAGACGAAACTAATATTGAAAATTAGCCATTAAATCCCTGTTAGAGAACATCGATCGGAATAAAACCTACATTTTATCTTGAACTGCTTAATTTTACACTGATATAAGGAATTTAATCAAAATCGTTAGAGCCGTTTTCGAAAAAATGTTTTTAGTCCATGATATGAAGTGCCACTTCCGGTTAGCCGATTTTGATGAAAAAGTTGCTGTAACATCCCAATCATATAAAAACCTTAATTAAGCAATTTCTCTTTCGTACGACTTTTCGTTTAACTAGACTGTTAACACACATAGACCATTTTGTGGGACTTAGTTATTTCAACTCAAGAGACCTCAAAACATGTATTTCCATTGAAAACTCAGATTCGAAAATTTTCACAATCGCAGTACTTTCTTTCCCTTCCTATATATACTTCATATATAGATAAGTGAAAGTAAAAACCCAACCTGTCAACTCTGCCCAGAAGCACTAACAGATCCAGGATTTAATTTTGGGAGGGGCTCCAGCCCGAAAGCTTTTTTTTTCATAAAAATAACGATAATTACTTTGGGGGGAAAAAAAGAAAATAACTTCCTATATGGAATGGTGTTTAAGTGATTCCTAAAGTCCTTTTAAATATAATTACAGGAACAATAATACTTTAAGAGATAATTTTTTTCCATAAAACATGGTTATATTTTACCATTTTGGGGAGAGGGGCTTCGGCTCCAAAGCTCTCTCTCCCCCTCCCCCCCCTGTAGATCCGCCCATACCCACAAGCATTCGTCTTATGTGCTTTTTCCACTTTAAAAGCATCAATAACAAATTATGTAAACGTAATTTATAAATTAAAAAAAAATATTATAATTCTTTTTATATGTTTATTTATTTATTCTTTGTTTGTTTATAACCGTTGAAAATTCATGAACTGTTTAAAACTATTTAAATTTAAACCTTACTCAATCAAAACAAATTTCATCCTACAAACAAATAAGTAATCAAATTCGATCGGATAAAAATCAAGATTGGAAATAAATTTAACACATATTATTTTTATTTTAAATAATAAAATTTATTAAATTATAATCGGTAACTAATCAAGTGATAGTTGAATTGTATATTTCTGAAGGCAGTTTTTGTGTACTTGAGAGGCTTTAGTGCTAATTCTTGTGGACTTCCGATTTTAATCCTTTGTTGTTTATCTTGCATTCAATGGCTGCTTAGAGATTTTTAATCAGGTATATTAAAATAAGTATTTTAATTTAATTTGAAGCAAATATAAGTATTTTGTTTTAAATCCAAATTGTTAAACAATGATTATTTTCATTCAATAATAAATATTAAATAGTTAAGCTATGATTAATATTTAATTAAAGTATGAACTTTTTTATTTTTCACAAAATTATTTATTCATTTCTGTATTGTAATATTTTGACGAAAATTTATTATTTTTTCAGGATTGAATGTCAAATATTTTCTCCTGTTGTGGTATCCCAAAGCATTCATGAATAAATTGATTTGATATTTAAATGATTTGGGGATTTTTTACTTTAATGAGACTGAAAAAATGACATATTGTTTTTGAAACTAAAAGGATTATTTAGAACAATAACAATATTCATTTTTCAAATAAATTGTACTATATGCCTGCATCTGATATGGATTTGTACAATGCAATGTTTCCTCCCCATTTAATTCATATACCACCTCAACCAGCTCATAATGAAGGCAGAACATATACCACTCATCCAACTGCATTTGAAGTTTTTCGAGTGGTTTCTAGAAATAATGAAATGCGCTATGATCATAGGAAAAATTTTATCTTGCATTCAAATAGTTCAGTAAATTTATCACACAATCCTAATAAAAGGATGTCTTCTCAGTATTATGCTAAAACATTTTATAATACTTCTAAGCAAGAATACTGGAAAACTAAAAATAATGGTGAGAACAAAAGGTAAGGAAAAAAAGCATTAAGTTAATGAGAGTTGTTATGATGCATTTTATATTTTTAGTTTAATTATATATATATTTACTATTAGTTTCACTTCTTTATACTTATAAATAAATATATTATATATCAGTCTAATTATTTGCTATTTGCATCTTTATCAACTTTTAACTGTAACAAATCATAAAAAGACTCATTTTAGGTTCAACTAATTTTTGACCTTTGCAACTTTTTTTATTTTATAACAACTTGACTATTAATTAATAAATACAAATTACTAAAGTTATTTTAAATCACTTAGTTTAAAAACATGAATAAATAAAATGTATAACTATTACCACAGTATGAAACACTTTTCTTAACCCAGAATACTAAATGTTTATTATTTATGCTTTTAAAATATTGGAACATTAGTGGCTTAATAATTTATGTAATACTGTTCCTAAAAAGTAATCATTGAGTTAAAATGAAAACATGCCAATGCATTAATGTGAGGTGCACTAGCGGATCCAATATTTAATTTTGGGGGAGGAGGAAGACTTCAGCCCGAAAGCTTTTTTTTCATATATATAACGATAATTAATTTGGAAAAAACTAACTACCTATATGACATGGTGTTCTTGAAGTCTTATTAAATGTAATTACACCAACAATAATACTTTAAGAGATAGTTTTTAATATTTTTTTCTATAAAACGGAGGGGGGGAGGACTTCAGCCCAAAAGCTCTCCCCCTCTCCTAGATCTGCCTGTGCTGAGGTGTAAACATATAATACCTCTGATTAAGTAAGTCAACTGATGTAGCAAGAAGAGTTTGATTTCTATAAGTTATACCTTTGACAAGAAAATCAATGTATAGAAATATCAAAGCATCAAGTTACTTTCAGAGCTTTTTGGGAAGACGATAGTTAAGTTTTGGTGGAGAAAATGTTCGAAGAACAATTTTTTTTTTTATTTATGAAATTTATGGAAAAAAATAGTTTAATGTAATGAAAAATGTCTGTTAAACTGAAAACAGCAATTTAAGGGAATATTTATGATATTATACAATTTACCATTATCTTCTTTCTTTCGAAATGGAAAATAATTATTTTCATCAGTAAGCTTAACAATATCAAATTTTTGGACCATAGTGGTTTAAGTGATGCCTTAAAAAGCCAGCTCAATCCATTTTTATATATTTGACAGAAAACAACAAAAACATAATATTGTGCTATATTTACTAGGTGATACCATCAGATTGATGCATTTTAACATGCTGGGTGGAGACAATTTTGTTCAATATGGCTTTACTGGACAGAATAAATAAAAATAAAATTAAAACGTTTTATAAAATAAATGGATTCAATTGATTTTGAAACTATTTCCTCATTTGATAAAATGTTTGTTAGCTAATGAATACTTTTCATTTCAGATTGGAACATGGAAGTTCTGCTCCCTGTTTAATTTCAGCAGTCAGTAATGAATCACTTGATAGTGGAATTTCTAGATCTCCTACTCCTACTCCCCCGAATAAACAACAATCTGTTAATTCAAATATTTCATATGATCAGATGAAGCCTTACCAGGTTCTGCCATCATTAGAAAAGAAGTATGTGTTTCAGGATGCATTTTATTAGTCTTCACTTTTAAACAGTGTTAAAGTACTTCAACAACAATATTACCATTTTTTTGATAATTGAGCTAATGCATATTTTATGAAGTCAGAACTATCAATTATTTAGGTGTAATAACTATTAACTACGAATGTATGATTTAGTCATTCTCTGGCATCATAAATTTATTATTGGAAATCTACTATCTTTTTCCATTTCGTGATTTCAGTGGTGTCTCAGTGGTCCAAGTTCTAATAATCTGAGTTTCAAATCATCTGAGTTCTTTTTTAATTTTCTTTTTATTCTCCAAGTTATTTATGTGTCATTTTTATTTTTGAAATGTAAGCAAGTGTAAGATGTAATTATTATGCATTTCTAAGAAACCAAGAGTTTGAGCAGGAAATCGGAAACTTAAGATGTTTTATCACTTATCTTTCCTACAGTCATGGATTCCCACCTTTTTCCCTACTCTATTTTTATTTCATTCTGAAATAATTTATTATCATGGGTAAATTACTTATCATATTGCAATAAATAATTAATTACTATAATTAAACACACTGCCTCAGATCAATTAAGGTTTTCTTTAAAGACATTTGTGGAATTGAACAAAGCGTGATTGATGGAAGACTTTTGAGAAGTCTCAACTTCTAGATCACAGATAAAAAAAGTAATTAGTGAATATTAAAAAACAGGTGATGCTTTCTTTGTTTATGATTTTATTTTTTGTTGGTTTTATGTTCAGTTTGAGGTCAATATTGATTTATTTTATTTCATAACATTAATCCGATTATTTGAGTTTTCTGATAATTTGAGGGATCCAATTTGATTTTCCAATCCCATCCAATTTGAATTATTAAGACATCTCTCTATTTTAAGTTCATATCTTGTTTTACTGTTACTTAAGAAACTAAGATATGATGTGTCAATTCTGTTAAATGATAATAACAGAATACTATTAAATCAAACAGTATGTTAGTTTAGTTTGAGGTTCCTTACTCATTCTCCAATACACACACAAACACACACACACACACATATATATATATATATATATATATATACTAGTATTTGTCCAGTGGACGAAATTCGACCATAGCAATTAAAAATTTTAGGAAAACATAATTAAATATAAATAAATTTTAAAAATAAAACTACTTAATATTTATTTTTTTATTTTGTAGGGAATTTAGGAAGCTTTCAAATAAATATTGATATTATCAATAAAAAAATGTGTACTTTTTGAGTTATTCACAAATAAAATACTGAATTCATCATAAAAATTTATGCAGTTTGTTTTCGGTAAAGTATGTTATATACATAAATTATAAATGTTTCAAGGTGAAGACTTTAGCCAAGCTTCATTAAAATCGTAAAAAGCAGTATTGGCGCCACATTCTAAAGCGAATCACATTTTTTGGCCGCCATTTCGAAAGGAAAGGCCTGGTAATGATAATGAAACATATGAAAAAACATTTCTAAATATTATTGCGACGTTGTGTCAAAATTTCAAAAAAATCGGTGAAGAACTTTCTGAGATTAACTGTTTTGAACAAACTACCATTTATGTATTTACTTTAAAAACTATTTCATATTTTTATTTATTGATAATACTAAAGCTTGTCAATAGCTATTAAACAAAAAAAGAAGGAAGAAAATCGGTTGAATAATAGAGAAGAAAAAGGAGCCAATTTACATATATATATATATATATACATGTAAATTAGATGATATTTTCTTAGCCCAAAAAGAATGCGGTTTGTATAGGGTGGGGGTCTCCAAACTTTTTGGCCTTTAGGCTCTGCTGAGTTCGTGGGCCATGACTTGTAATGACAAAAATGTTAATAGGTATATTGATGTTTTAAAACATTGAAGATCAAATATCGATGTTACTGATACTTCAGCATATAAAAAGCAATATTTTTTTCATTAATTTCCTCTAAAAGTAACTTAAGAATGTTTTATAATTAATGCAGAGGAGTAACAGAACAAAGAGATGACTGGTGGTTGTTTTTGCAGTAACCGTTGTAGTTGTAGAGCATAGCGGCAATTAAGATGAAAAATTGTTTATAATTGATTTTTAAAAATTGAAACAACATATTAGTCCATCCAGAAATCTTTTTTTTTTTTTATCCAACAAAGTTCATATTATATCATTACTTTACTTAAAATTCTTTAAAAACAGATAACAATTTAGAAGATACAGGGCCTACAAAGAATACTCTTGCTGTCCATCATTCCAAAGCTGTTTTGGAGAGTTGAAGTTAGCATCTTGCTTCACTTTCTCCAACGTATATTTGGTTTTCTAAGAACTTCAAATAGTACTATAAATAATGTCTATTCAAATTTAAAACTTATGGAAAGAAGTAATCATATTTTCTATTCATTGAGATTCTCAATAGATTTAAGAATTTTCTTTTGCTATATTTTTAAACAATTTAATTTTTTTTTGTATGTTTTAAAATTTTAGTAGTCAGGAAAGGCAAAAAGGTATCCATAAAGCGGCTAAGGTTTACTCTAAAATTAATTCTCAAGTGAAGTTCACTGAAGCGGATAACAACCGGTAGGGATATATTTTATCAATTCTCCCATTTTTTTTTTTTTTTCAGGCTTAATCATTTTCAATTTTTCAGTCCCCTAAATATGGTCCCAAATGGCCATAGCATAATGTTTTCAAACAACAGACATCCACTTCAGAGGAGGGAAGTGCAGTCACAGGCCAAGAGGAGAACTACCTACAATCGCAATATAGGACCCTTTTATAAGAATCGAAGAACATATAACTATATAGTTCATTACCCTTCTCCATACCCACAAAGGTAATTTTTTTTTGTTTTTACTTGACTAATTATCTGTTATTTCTGCTTTACCCACAATGTATTAATACTTGTGTGATTATGTATAATGTGTTTTCTACAATACAGTATAAATAAAAAATAAAATTCTGAAGTACCAGCAGGCTCACTTATCCAAATTAATGTTGATGGAGCTAATCCTTCTGCAGTTATAATTTTCATATTTAAAGAAGAAAATATTGTGTGCTTGCATTGTATATGTACTTTCCTATTTTCTCGGTAATTTGTTCATATATATGTCGATAATATATTAGTTTGAAGTTGTAAATTAATTTGAGTTCCTATGTCTTGCCGGACAGACATAATATTAGCAGGGTAGTTAATTTTTATAGATACTGAATTAAAAGAGGGTTTATTTCAAGATTATTAGATTATAATTAGAAAAATTCCTAAATATCAAAGTAAAAATTATTCAAAGTAATATTTATTCTTCCAATGATTTCTCAATCTTTATCATTATATTTGTAATCTTCCTTATAACATTTTTTTTTTAATATAATGCAACATCAGAATTATAAATAATTATTTATTCCTTCCAATAACCAATTTTCAAACTCAATATCCATTACTTCACTTGCTTAACTAATTTTCAGTATAGATACCATTCAAACATCATTTAAAAACATCTTTATTGACACCAACAAATACCAAGGATGGGTTGATAAGCTGGAAAAGAAAAAAATGGACCTCACATATATTCTTTAAGTATAGATAAGTTCAACAAAAAGCTCAACTAAGCTGCTATCACTGAGCAATGGAAAATTGCTCATGGTTAAAAAAAAAACACAAACCAGACTAAAAAAGTGGTCTAACTTCAACATTTAAAAAAAAAAATATGATATTGGTTCTTCTGCCAATACAAACCAGAATATATCATCAGTATATTGCAAAAAGGCACTTAGTGCATTTTTAATGGAGTTAAACTTTTATTACCTTTCAGTGAATTTTGGCCTTATTTATCGGTATAAAACCACAGTAATTGTTCAGTGAGACACAAACTCTTTCATGAATTGAATATATGTAGTTATAATAATTATAGAATCTTTTGATTTCACAGAGAGAAATTTATCAAAGTACTTGGTGATTTAATTTTATGAAATGTTACTTTATGAGTATTTGCAATTAACCGACGATATCCTATCGCCATGACTATTATTTTATAATTAATTAAATAAGATATATTTTCATCAACTGTTTATAACATTTCAAATAAAATATTATATTATTTTACATTGTTAGCAATGAGGAACTGGTAACGATTATTAAATGACAAAATAAAAATTAACATCACTAAAGGTATAAAATTTAGTTTTTCAAAAAATTTATATAATCAACACATACAACAAAGAGAATATGGTTATTAATTTAATAATTTATTTTTAAAATTATAACCAGAATCTAAATAATTTAAAATTCACACATAACATATTTAACCATTTAATTTGATTGAGGATATTTATTTGTAGGCCATATATATTTATATACATATCTAAATTTTGAACTCATCTGAAGGCAACATTGTCATTTTTCAAAAACTACAACAAAAAATGTATAATTATTCTTTAAAGCTAGGAGATTAGAAATTTTCTTCAAAGTTTTAATTAAGAACAGAATTTACTTACACCATCTAGTGTTGCAGTAAATGTTGGGAGAATTGATGCAAACATATGTGCCAAAAAAGAATTCATCATATGTCAGAAAGTTCATGTGTAACTTTGTATTTTGATTTAATCTTGTTGAAATAAGATGATTATTTTTTGTTGTTAGAAAAGAGTATAACTTCCTAGAGATGGGTGCTTCATTTCTCCCAGTATTCGTTTGATTATTAAAATAATGTTATGATGACGAAGGAAACAATGTACAGTAGACATAGATTATTTATTCACAACTTATTACTGGAAACTACTTTTGTTGTTGGAGTATTGGAACTCAATTTTTGAATTGTGGACTTGCTGATTTAATAATGTTGTAAAATGCTAAGAAAAAAAAATAAATGTGTTGTGATGCGGTGATGTAAACAAACATGGTAAATTAAATTAAGGAAAATTTAACAGATTCTTATATTTATAAAATTCCTTTGGAAATTATATTACTTGAACCATTAATGTATATAATAATCAATGTTGGCTCACAGATTTATGTACAGTTCACCGATCACTGGTATGATACGAATTGCATAATTAAGGAATATAATGTTACATTTGATGAACAGGTGTTAGGTATTAATTTTATTGGTTTCTTTACTTCAAACTTCTTACTCTATCTATATGAATCTAGATCATGTAATTCATCATTAATAAAAATAACCTGTTTTTGCACCTGTTCTCATTATTGATTTTTAAAAAAATACTATTATTTTGTTACCTATTAATTTTCACTGTTACTCATCATAGACCAGACTTTTTTTTTTCTTTTGTTAACAAAATCATGTTTCTTTTAGAGTGTCAGTCACATTATTTTGATATAACTTAATTGTTCATTTATATTTGTTCATGGCCTTTAGTGCTAGATCAATTCCTGAACTAACATTCATCTCACACACGCATGATTGGTAAGTCACAATAAAAGATTTAACCATTATTAATTCTTTCATATGTTTTTAGTAATTTTTTTTTCTAACATGTCTGTTCTTAATATAGACAATTTAATTCAATTTAGTATTCCTGACAATGTAAATTTATAGTTTTGTACAGCTTTTTTTAAGCTCACCAAGTTATAATTAACAATTTAGCAAAGTATTTTTTTAAAAAAAGTGTATTTGTGTTATTTAATTTTGATTGGTACTGATTATAGGTATGTTTATTAAAATAATTCTCCTAGTATAGGTAATTGAACAAATGTTTAATTCTAACATTTTAGTAGTTTCTGATTCTTAATATTAACTATTGATTCTCAATGACAATTTTGTCATGTGATTCATATAATAATAATATTTAAACAGTTGTTCAAAGATAACCATGCTATTATATTATTTTATGCTTAAAGCCGATTTCAACAAATTGTTTTTGAAATGAAAAAAGTATTAGTGTTCAATAACTTGGATTCAAGCTTTGTTTCAATTTATTGTATAATTAGTCAAAATTTATATTTATGAGGCAATTAAGTTTTTTTTTTAGTGATAACGGATTAAGTAATTAAATGAAACACTTTTTGATATAATCATGGAATTCTGAATATTTTTAGTTTAAAAAATTATTGAACACTCTGCTTATTGTTGTTAAATCAATAAAAAAGAACTTTTTATTAAATTAACAAAAAAGAAAAATTATGAGTATCAGCAGGCTGAAAAATAATTTTCAAACTTTTTATTTGCAATAAAATGTGCCATCATTGCTTATCGAAAATGAATATTTGACATTGTAATATTTACCATTCAAATCCAAATTTCAGTTAATTAAAATGATTCAGATACGATACATATTTTAGTTTACATTTATGATAGCCCTTCAACAAGTCACTAATCACATTATACTCTGCTAAATATTATCATTGTTAGATACAGCTTTTGGATAAAATTAATTTCAGTTTTTCTTTGTGATTTAATTTGTATAAACTGTCATAATTATTATCAAAAAATATATTAAACTTGTATTATTATTAAGAAAGTTAACTTAATGAGTAATTAGCTTATTTCACTTGAAAATATCCCTCTAGCTCTTTATTTAAACAAAAATACTTAGCTATCCTTAACGTCATAACTCAGATATTATACCGGGTGATATAGTACTCTTTGAGACCTAATAGGTCGGTAGTTCTTTTTCTTATTGAGAATACAGTATAGACCTGGATAAGAAATTCATCACTTCTGTGCTAGTATTAATAGCCCAGAAAATTAAAATAAGTTGATAAATGTGGATATTTTTATTAAACATAACAAAACTTTCTTTACCCAGATGTTCAAAGAATCTCATTGCTATTTTCCTTAGCTTGCCTTTCCAATAGATTTTTACTTTTCCTTAGACAAAATATATATCAATATTTTAATTTTTAAAATCCTAAATGACTTGTGATAATACTCTGTGACAGCTTAAAAAGCTATAAGTAAGATGTTTTATCTTGAAAGTGGTATATTTTAGGATTTTATTAAACAGCTTTAGGATTTTATTAAAACCGGATTGTCATGTCTTTCTTGAAATATTTAATACCTGACTTGAACCGTCTATTTGCCTGGTATTTTTTAATCATTTTTAAAATTCAAAACAAATTTAGGGATTGAACTTGTGATTTCATCACATCTTCATAGAAATTTCTTCTTTTTTTTTTTTTTTTTAATCCTCATTTTATCAAAATCCATCACTATTGAGACCCTGGAGAGGAAAAACAGATCTATACTGTATTATGTGTATGCAGTAGATGGAGATTACTTAACATACTGATGACTATTTTCAAGGATGATGAGCAAACAGATAAGCTGTCGGTTGTAAAGTATCCTTATGGAAATCTACTATATTCAGAGTGAAATGTTGTATTTTATGAGCTCTAGACAATTCTTTGATCAAGAAGCAGTGCTTAGTTATTGTAAATATCAATTAATTGCCATAAATGAAGAAATAAGATATTTTCATCTCAACGACAGGGTGAACGTTCAGATGCATGACAGTGAATATATACAGGGTAAAGTCGTGATAAAAACGAAATACAACACAAAACATTTGTTTGTATTTAGACAAATATTGCTTGTCAAAGTAAGCTGTATTTTATGGTAAAAATAGCTCTATCCGTATGGTATTATCTTAAAGATAAACATACATTTTTATATAAATACTACAAAAAAAAATTTTAATTTATTTTATTACATTTTTAAAAAAATATTCTGAGACTTTGTTTTACTGCCTTCAATATGTATGTTACTTCCTTTTTTCAGCTGAATAACACTGATAAATTGGATTATCCAGCCTATGCTAGTTTCCAAAAGGGCCAATTAAGAGGGTGTCAACTGTAAGTTAAAGTACATTGCAGTCATAGTTTATGGAGGAAGTATTTTGATTGTATATGAAGCAGTTTTTAATATGACTGATTTGAATTCTGCTTCATCTGCCCTAAGTTATTGATGAGCCACTGTCTGTGTGCATTCTCAACGTTTGCCCTGCCTTAATCTTAAAAAGACATTCATTGGAAACCCACAATGATTTAAGAAATAAATAAATATTTGTTAGCATTAAACATTCTCAGAATACTTAAAGTAGATAAGTATTATTAATAAGTTCGGTTCTCAAGGATATCAATCAATAAGTAGGCAGAGGAAGACAGTCTTCTTTGACTAAACTCAATAATAGAAAACTCAAATTTCCAGGAAAATTCCGCAAATGTTTACTAAATAAGTTCTAGAATGTATTCTGATTATGGCAAAGCATTATGCTCTTAAATTTTTATTTATGAATGTCTAAAAACGAACAAGTAAATAAATAAATTAAATTAGTTTTTTATATTTTTTCTTTAGAACGTGAGTTAAGACATTAGTGAACATTTTGCTATCTAAACCTGTTCTTTATCAATATAATAACGTATATTGTATGATAAATCAGTATAATTTATTACTGTTCTATATATTTAAAATGTTTTTGTGAGGACTACTGAAGATCACTGCAGTCCATTATATCAGAACTTTAATTCTGTTTTTAAAAAAATAAATATTTGTCATGAATTTTATCACAACCATAATTTCAAATATTGACCTAAATGAGTAAATTATTCAAAATATGAAACAAGATAGACTTGTATTACAATAATTTTTATAATAGTTTGTAAAATTCGTGCTTAGGCAATGGCACGTAAATGCGATCATTTCAAAACAGATAGACTATCTATGATAGGGGCCATTAAATGGTTAAAAATATGTTTGGAACTTATTATTAAAATAATTCCTTGATAAAATATTTATAATTATGAATACAAACATATTATTCTATTATTTTGTTTAAGTGTTATTCATTTTTCAGGAGTGATATAAAAACAGCTATTAATTATCCTTGTACAATTTATTAATATATTTTATAACAGTCCACTTGTCATTTAATGATATATTGATAAAGTTGATGTAAATTAAAGCACATATGTAAAGTTTAATAAATTCTATGTTAAAAAAATATTTATATTTTATATCTATAAAGTAATTCAATTAAGTTATTGTATGTTATGGATTTTATTTCATTTCACTATTAATTTATTATGTGTTAATAACAGATAATTAGTTGTAAGTTTATAAGGTATGTTTTATCATGTAGAAAGTCATGTGGCATAACTCCCCTCATGGGTTATTAATCAGAAGAGGAAACCAAGAGGGAAGAGAAAAAAAATTAAATGTAATTGAACTACCTCACGAATCATGTTCTGTTTTCGAGTATGTAACCAACCTTATATACACCTATATGTAACCAGTTTATGAAATGTAATCCCTTACAACTGTCCATTTAAAAAAAACAAAAAAAAAACATTCATTTCATGTTTAAAATGTAGTTGAAAGTAATTTTTGCATTCTTTCAGTTCTCTCTACACTCCTTATTATACTGCACCAGACCGATTTTTGCAAAGGTCTCACTTGATGCCTGTTACACAACCACCGGAAGGACTTCTGAATGGTTCTACATGGGATCAAGTAAGTTATATTTTCAAGTTTATTAGTTTTGTTTAAATATAATTTTGGTTGTAATCTGAAACCCAGGGCTGTAGAAGCATTTAACGTAAAATCAGAGATAGAACTTTAAGCAGTACTTTATAGTATCAATACTAAGCCATAACATGGCACTTGCACTGGCACTTGGGATAAATTCTATATCAATTGAACACATAACTAACCGTCTTAAAAAATCTTAAGATTCCTTGACTCCATTCCTCAAAATACCCAGTAGCTCCTAGTATACTTTTTTTCCTCGCCTCAGCTATGATTGCTTTGTGTACAAAGGGCTATCTACTGGGCAAGGGGCTGAAGAGAATTAAGAACTGTAAAATCAATTTTTGTGTTCTCCATGCACTCTGATGTACCTTCTTGTTATAGGAACTCTATCCTGCTTCTCAGTAACAATCGTTTCTATCTTTTTTTTTTCTACCATGTTCTCACCACCAAAAAACCTACATGTTATAACTCCTTGCTCTACATTCCTCTATTCACTGTCTTAACACAAGATCTCTGATTTATATATTCTCTCTTACTAATATTCTCTCTATTTCCTTCAGCAAATATTTTGTCTTATGTGATACCTCCTTCTGGAATACTTTACCACTTTCTCAATTCTCCTTTTGGGCTGAAGCCTCTCCTCCCCAAAATGAAAAAAACAAAACAATTTTTTGTTGGTTCATATGTCACTGTGAGTTAATTGGGCTTTAAGAATCAGTTTAATGTCATTACATGTTGTTAGTTTCTTTCTTTTTTTTCTAAAGTAATTATTGTTATATATATATATATTTTTTTTTTTTTTTTTTTTTGCAATACAAACTTTATAGATCTATATGCCTTAACAAGCCTGCTCCATCTCTGCCTGTCTTGCACTATTTCTTTCTAGTTATCTGCATGCAGCTCTATTATATCTTTGTTAATTTGATCTATCCATCTGCCTTCCACATGGTCTTTTGTCTTTTATTGAGGCATTCATTGTTACGTAGAGGCTTCCAGATGGATTGCTATGAGTTACCTCCATACCTTCATATCATGGGATATTGATTGACCAGTTTCTGTTAGCAGTTCTTTGTTGGTCTTTCTTCTCCATGTGTTAGTACTCTGATCCCAGATCTTTCAATACTTTTTTCTAACTAAACAGGTGCTGGTTAGTGTTTAGGTCTCGCAGCCATATATTAAAATTGGTTTTATCATAACATTGTACACCCTTAATTTGAGATTTTTTGGGATTTTAATACCTTTGAAAGGGAGAAGAAAGTTCTATTTGCGCTAGTTATCTGCTGGTCTATTTCTGACCGTTATCCATTCACTGAGGGTATTGCGGATCCGAGGTATTTGAATTTTTCTAAGCTCGGGAACGATTTACCTTCTATGCAGATCCTGTTATTAGGGTGGAATTTTGGGCTTATCATATACATATATACAACTAAAAAAAAAAATTCGGGCTGAAGTCCTCCCAAAATTAAATTCTGGATCTGCTGCTAACTATAAGTAAATAATCCAATCTAATAGTTAACTAAATTGAATGTTCTGTTTTTTTTATCATTGGTAGTGTATAACTAGTAAAAATACTTCCTTTTAATATATGAAAATGTTTATTTTGTTTTAGTTAAGTCAGAATATTTGGAAAAAGTTTTTTTTGAACCAGCAAAGTGAAGAATTGTATAAAAAGAAAATGGCACTATGGAAATTTTTATATGTGCAAATAAAGGTAATTAGATTCATTATTGTTAGGGAGAACTTTTTAGTGTATACATGCTTAAAAATAACCATTTTTTATTGAAATAACTTACAGATAAGGACGCACAACTGAGAGAATTTAAACAAACAAAAATGTTTTAGAGATGGATATTTTGTGGATTTTTTTAAAATTATGAGGATGATAAATAATAAAGGCTTTCATTCTAAATCATTTTCATATAATAAAACAAATTTATATAATAAATACATATTTGGAAAAAGTGTCTATACTACTCTACTGTATTATATATAGTATAGATTATTAAATTTAATTGTAACTACTAATTATTTTATAAATATTTAAAAAATATATATAAATGACAATCTGGAATAAATGTTGATTTGGAAACTTACCCAAGTAATAATTATAATGAATAAAAAAGGACTATGGATGAAAAGGAAATAATATAGGGGTGTGGAGGTGAACAATTTTTCGAAAACATGTCTGTAGTACTGTATTTAATGTACATATAGTGTAGATAGTCCAGGTTAAAGTTTAAATAATTTTTTTCCAATTACACATTATAGTAAAATAGTAGAATTTTAATTTGTTTGAGACAAATATGCAGGTAAAAAATGGATAGTATGAAATTAAATAAGGGTTTAAAAATAGATAAATAAATTGTTTTGAAAGTATGAAGGTTATAATGTAAAAATTCTTAATCATAATAAAATAATACTACAACATTAACCACCACTAACTTTATTAATTTTCATAATTTAAATTATTATGATTTATTGTGCTTAAATTATTCGAAAACAAAAATAAAAATGATGATTTTATAGTAAAAACTATTTTATTTTTTTGTTCTTGTTTAACTTACTTGATTATTCTATGTTTCAGACTTGTTTCCCAAAATATGGACTCTATTTAGTTGGTTCGACGATGAATGGTTTTGGAAGTCAATTTAGTGATGTAGATATGTGTCTCATTATCCGTTACTCAGAAGTGGATCAAAGAAATGAGGCTGTATCATACTTGTCAAGTATATTGAAATTATTAGAACGATGTGGTATGTTTTATTTATTTGTATATGTTTCATTGACTTTAAAGAAACAGTTTCAGATGTAAGACTCATTCTATTACAGATTTATTTGAAAAACTAGAATTGATACAAGCTAAAGTTCCCTTGCTCAAATTCAGAGATTCCAAACAAAATATTCAAGTTGATTTAAATTGTAATAACTCTGTGGGTATACGTAACACTCATTTATTGTATTGTTATGGTCAAAGTGAGTAGTGTGATTCTTCCTTAATATTTATTGTTATCGAGCTTATTATGGAGAAGGTAACAATTTTAATCTGAAAACTTATTTTCATTTTATTATAGTGGACTGGCGAGTCAAGCCTTTGGTTTTAGTTGTGAAATTGTGGGCTCAATGGCACAATATTAATGATGCCAAAAACATGACTATATCAAGCTATTCACTTTCATTAATGGTTATCCATTTTTTACAATGTAAGTAACTATGTAATAAACAAATAAAAGAACAATTTGATTTAAACTAGACCATAGGTGATATAAGTAGAATATTTGAGTGTTTTTCATAAATTCTATCTGTAGTATTAACTAATATTTAATTATATAGATTATGACAATATGAAAATTTGTATCTATAGTAAAGAAATGGAAATATCAACAGTGAATTATTCAAAAATATAGTGACCTTCCTTATTGTAGCCTAACCTAAATGCGGCCTCTAATTATAAAAAAGATGATCCTCACCTCTGAACTAGACTACGTTTACTTCAATATATTATTATAATTCAATATCCCTATTATTATATAATCTTATGATTATACGGTTTTATTTTTGATCAGTTATTTAAAATAATTTCATAGATTTAACAGAATATTTTATTGAACTTTTGTCTGTACTACTGTTCATTGATCCCACCATATTGCTCTTATTCACACATGGTTCTATTCAGGATCTTTAGCAAGTCGGAAACAATGATAATTATTTTAATAAAGGTCAAGTTATAATATTCATATTAATATTTCATTACCCTAGATGGATGTGATATTGATAATTTATATTTGTGTGTTTGTGTTATTTATAAGTCCTTTTATATTTTTTAATTGTTTATTATTTTTTATTAAAAATAATGCATTAAGTAATTATTTTTATCACATCATGTTACAATATGATTTATGTTTTACTCTATTGAGTGATTTTAATTTATAATTGTTCCATTTAATTATTTTCTGAAGGTGGTGTAACCCCTAAAGTCTTGCCTTGTCTTCACGAACTTTATGCTGATAAGTTCAATCCTGAAATCGATATTGGAAATATTGACATTCATGAAGATATTGAACCTTTTATTTCTGAAAATAAGCAAACTCTTGGAGAACTGCTTCTGCTGTTTTATCAGTACTATGCAACATTTGAGTGAGTTTTCTATTTTTTAACTTTTAAATTGTGAGTAAATGATCAAACAGTTGCCAATTATTTTTAAATATTATTTTAGCTACTATTAGTTTGTCTTTATATGTTATACTGTGAAACATAATTATTGATGAGTTCGCCAATAGATAAGGGTATGAATTTAATATTTTTATATTTTTTAGTATGCCAGTATGGTTTCAGACAAGGTAGATTTATTATAGACGATATTTTATTGATTAGGCAATGTTGGGGAAAAAAGTACTAGTACCAAGCAGACTTAGACCACCATCCATAGATATCGATTAGATCTATGAATAAAAGACTGTTTACAGGCTAATTACGAGAAAACTGAATGGAGCAGATGAATTCGTCAAAATAAGAAACCACCCTTTAAAAGGGATAGACACCTTTTAAATTTTGGGATGAATTAAATACAGAAAATAATGAAATAGAGGAAGAAATAAAAGCAAGAATGATGGTTCAGAATAGACACTACTTCCCCATATGAAAAATATTAAATTATAGTATAGAGCCCTATCTCATAGGATCAGGATCATGGTGCATGAGAGTCATAAGACTGGCTATAAGACCTGGGTAGTATCAAAGATGTCAGATAGGGAGCTACAAGCGTTGAAGAGAAGGGCTCTTATTGAGATTTACTGGCTGAGTTTGCGGTTATAGGCAGTAGAGTGGAACAAAAAACATTTTTTTCACTGGAGAAATTAGTTTTACATTTTTTTTAAAAATGGAATATTGTTTTTATTAACTATCAATATACCCTTGTATACTGCAATAACATTGATACGGAGTTTGGGTATTCTAAATTTTGGCCTTGATTTTTGCAAAATTTAAATAAATGAGCCTTTTATCTAAAAACCGAAATATTAATTTTGAGTTGAATTAATCTAATACAATCTTTTTTTTTAATTTGATTTCTTGTTCTAATGCAGTTTTTAAAATAATAATTTCTAGAATATCTTAAAACAACTAAGTAGTAATATTAATTAGTTTAAATTCTTACTTGATTTAATCACTGGTCACTGCCAAAAATGTTTTTTGCTTGTATCTTTGATAAAAAATGTTACTCTTGACTAATTTTGGTGTGAGAAACTCGAATTTCCTGTCAGAATACTTATATTAGCTACCGTTCTGTAGATATGTATACCCAGTTATTGGAAGTTACATGAATGATTTTAGGCTTTACAAGTGCTTTATTATTTGTGAAATACTTTTACAACCCACAAAACATTAAAATACAACTTCTCTCAGCAAGAACAACGCTGTTGTACAGTTTATTTAGAACGTTTCTTCTTCGCTTGACGATTGTACTGATGTTCTGGTTGTAAGAAGTTCCCTTGCTTCAATCTTGAACTCAAAAGTTCTGCTTTCTCTTTGGGCAGATCCAGGTCCCGAATCATTTCACTGAGTTCAGCTTGAGTAAACAAGTGGGGTTTTTGTTCTTGTTTGAGAGAAATCATCGAAGAATCAACTGATGGGGTTCCTCCTAAGGGATTTTCCACTTCCTTGTCCTCATTCAAGTCATAGTGTTCAGGAGGCCTAGGAACAGCCAATTAATCCCCAATGGTATTGGCCGTATAGCAGAAGGAATGTCAGGGTACTTCACTTCAGATTTCTTTTTTCGGGACATTTCATGATGAAGAGGAGGGGTCATGCAAAACTAGCAGTTCTCAGTGTGATTAGTAGATTCCCTCCACACCATGGGAACAGCAAAACGCATTGAACGACCTTTGTTGTTCAACCATTTTCTTAAGGTTACGCTAAACTCTTCAATTACAAAAAAATGGTGCTCTTAAAGCCTTAAAAAATGGTGTCAAAACTGGAGGATTAAAATTAATGCCAATAAATCCCATCAAATTACCTTTACTCTTCATTGTAAACCTATGATGTGCTGTCCTACAGTATTCTTCAACAATAGCCCACTTATCCCTGTTGAACAAATCCGATACCTAAGAGTCCACCTGGACAAACCACTCACTTGGAACACCCATACCAGACTGAAACGACTAGAAACCGCCTGACGTTTTCGACTACTGCAGCACTTACTAGACAAACGCTCTAAACTTCCAACTATTTGCAAAAGACTCATATATATATATATATATATATATATATATATATATATATATATATATATATATATATTACTATAATAAGGCATATTTTGACTTACAGGATCGACCTTTGGGGCTCTTCTAAACTATCAAATTCCTCTCGTATCCAATCCCTACAATCTAAAATCCTCAATGCTCCCTGCTTTTGTCACAAACAAAATCATCCATAACAACCTTAATCTACCATATATTGTGAATTTAGCTCAATCCAGATACCTGTCCTTCCATAATAAACTTCTGAACCATCCGAACCCTCTTGTTTTCAACCTTCCTTCCTCTTCTATTCCTGATAACGTTCCGAGGTGTCTGAAAAGAAGATGGCCTTGGGATCTTCTAATATAGAAATATAATTGGAGTGCTACCAATTGGTAGTTTCTCTTCATGTTGTTCATGTCATGTTATTTGTTTCATATTTACTGGTTGTATTTATCATTTAATACAGTTGTAAATTTCAATAATAAAAATTAAAAAAAAAAAGGTTACGCTACATGTGATGCAGCAGATGTGCGGGGCCCACGGTTTATCTTGGTCATAAACCTTCATCTAGGGATGGGTCAATGGAACTGGATCGGGAATGGAAACCTAATCTCACTGTGGAATCGAATGGAACAGTTCCAACTAGTGGTGGGGTGTTCAGTAGCAATCTATTTAATTTAAACAGTTTCTTTCATTAAACAGATATAGTAAATTGTTTCACTCATGATTAAACAGATACAAGGATTACTTTCGATTAGGAGGGGGCAAGTTATTGTTAAAATCAGCACTGGACTCATCGATGCCATCGAATAGATCTCTAAACAGAGCAAAACGAAGCCATTGATGAACTCAGTGCTGAGTTCAGAAACCTATCCAAGACAACTCACTTTACAGGTTAGTAGGTGCAAGTTCATTGTTTATGTGCGCGCTGAGTTTAGTCTATAGAAACTGTTCTAAGTGTTTTTATTTTTGTTAAAAACGTAAAATACAACCTAGAGTTATTTATAGAAAAATTTCAAATAGCATAACATAGTTTTTCTCATCAAAAAAATGGTCGAGACGTCGACCACAGAGCAGCAGCCACCGGCTAGTGATATGGACGCTTCTGACAACAAAGAAAATAGTATGGTCAACAACTGGGAGCTTGTAACAGGTCGAAAGCGCCAGTCAACGTTGGAGAACACCCCAAATAAAGCAAAAAAAACATATGTTAGTGTTCAAACGTGCAACCGTTTTGAAGTTCTAACCCAACCAAATAAAGAGGCACAGCAGTCAGCTCAACAGGTAAGACTACCGCCTATTTATATAGAGGGAGTCTCAAATTACACAGCCCTGGTATCTTTTCTGCAGAATGAAGCTGGTCACAATTCTTTCAAACTAAAATACAACATCAGGGGTGTAACAATTCTACCAGAAACACCTGATGTATATAGAAAACTGGTATCCAGCTTGAAGAGCAATGGAGCTGAATTTCACACTTATCAGCTCCTTAAAGACAAAATGCCCAGAGTGGTAATAAAAGGGCTACATCACGCCACACCATCCTCAATTATCAAAGAGGAGCTATCAATAAATGGTTATGAGGCATGCAATATCACTAATGTCCTCTCAAGGTTCAAATCATCGGCACCATGCAAGTAACAAATGTGAGCCTGTTTAACGTTGCACATTTGTTATTTTAACATGGTGCCGACGATATAACTAATACTTGAATAAAAAAACCTTAAAGTGACTATATTAAAATTGAAAAAGATTTTTATATGGAAATGTACATAGCATAAGATCAAAATAAAAAAAATAATTAAACAAAAATAAGTATTATCTCGAATTATGTCAATACATCCTTTTCTTTTTTTTTCTACTGTACCTCACCTTTTAGGCTGTATGGGGTTTTCCCTTGGGAGGGGATAGGGTGGGGAATTCATTTTCGACGTAAATAAACATTTTATTTTATTTTATTTTTTTTTCCATTTTTCAAGAATCAAATTCTTTCAAAAGTTATATTTAGCATTTTTTTGTAACTCTTAATAATGAGAGATAGTTAATTATTTAAAATAAACGAAATTAAAGGTATTTTAGAGGAAGACATGTTGAACATTTAAGCTCTGTAAAATGACATCAATAGGGATAAGGCCTCAATGATATTAAAGACCACTTAATTATACAATAATATGTCGAGTTTAATCAAAATCTTATCAAAATATTGCTGTAACATCTCAGGTATATAAAAACCTTAAATATGCAATTTCACTTTCATATGACTTTTAGTTTTTGAGCTAGATTGGTCACATACATACACACAGACACATGCATACACACACAGACCATTTTGCGCGATTATGTTATTTGGACTCAGGAGACCTCAACAAATTTTAACGATCGCAATAATGTTCCTTAATATATATTTCATATATAGGCAAGTGAAAGTAAAAAGTCAATGCATTCACTTTCTGATAGTTATCAGAAAAATTCATGTAGTATGAATTATTCTCACTCTTATCAAAAAGGTGGTTGTGGTTTTAGTCTCTGAAGTACTAAAAATTATCTAAATTTTCATGGTATTATTTTGAAGAGTAATTTCATAATTTTATTTTGAGTAATTCAGGAAACTGTATTGAGTATGATTGACTATTGATCGAAATTAATAATTTTGAACCCCTATTTGAAAGGAAGAAATATGGTTTTGAAAACAATAACTGATAATGATTTGAACTGAATGAACTTTAAAAAGCAGTTTAGAAGGAAGAATTTAAAAAATATCAAAAAATAGGGGACGGGGAGGCCAAGCAGAGTGACGCAAGTGTAAAACACACGTTGCCCGCCAACCAACCACATGATATAAGCCAAACTTGATACAAGTTCGCATCTTGGTGTGGAGGAGCTTTTAACTCTGGTATTAATCCTCTGCTCCCCTCCCCTGGTCCAGAAAAATCTTTGTGTAGCCTAAAAGGCGAGAAGGGGTTGACAAAAAAAAAACAATGCATCAATTTTTTAAAACATGAATAAATGAAATTTTCATAAAATCTCATTTTTATTCTTTCATCATTAAAAATTGTTGATTATAAAGGGTTAATAGTTTGGTTGAAATTAATAAGTATAAATTAATTTATGTTGTCTGCTTATGGCTAATTAATATTCAGCTATTTTTAATATATTAATATGTATAATTCAATAAGTTCATTGATTACAACAGTTTTTAATTTTTACAGCTTCTTGAAGTATGCTATATCTGTAAGATTAGCATCAGTTATTCCTGTAGAAGAATGCAGACACGTAAGAACAGTGAAGAATGATCCTCATCAATGGAAGTTTTTATGTATTGAAGGTAACAATATTAAATCTTTTTTTTTTTTTATCATGACATCTTATAAAAATTATAATTTTAATAACTATAAATGTGCAAAATAATATGTAGTAATCTTAGAGGTTGTCTTTGAAAGCAATTAATTAAAATATTTCATAAAAGTATAAATATATATATATATATATTATCGTACAGTTTGGAAATTGTGGATCAAATTTATTTTTCATTATCTTAACTTAGTTTTCTTTATTCCATATATCATCGGCACCACGTAACCACCATGCAAGTAAGAAATGTGAGCCTGTTTAACGTTGCACATTTGTTATTTTAACGTGGTGCCGACGATATAACTAATATTTGAATAAAAAAAACCTTAAAGTGACTATATTAAAATTGAAAAAGATTTTTATATGGAAATGTACATAGCATAAGATCAAAATAAAAACATAATTAAACAAAAATAAGTATTATCTCGAATCTTTTTATTTATATTGATTTTTTTAGTATACATTTTCATACCTAAGGTTTTTTATCTATTTTAAACAGAACAACCATTTATGAAGTAAATTTCTCATATTAAATTCAGTGTTTCTATATATAAAATCCAAGCCATTATTAGAGCTTATCCTAAACAAAGGGTAGAGAATACTCCTATTATGTTCTACATTATGTAACTTGTACAATAAATTTTAGTATTTTAGGGGAGAGAGTCTCAATTTCACTTCTCTGTAAAGGAGATACTAGATAAAGATGAATACTAATTTTCTTCCTATAATTTTTATTTAATTTATTTACACTATTCAATTACTAGAATTGAATTTATATTTATAATGTAGAGATGAATTGTTGTTGACTGTTTTAAAGGATATCTTGGATGACAATCAGGATTTTCAGTCAAAATGGTTGCCGTTGTTTCGACCCAAACTTGTAGATCATCATCAAGGCTAAAATTAAAATTTAATCAGAAATATATGTTAAAGACCAAGAGTACATAAATAAGCCAAGAAAAAAAGATAAATAATATCCATAAATTAAAAATAAAATAAGTGGTAAGGATGCAAATAATAATAGAGATGCAGCAAGGTTAGACAAACATTATAAAGAGAAAATTAGTAACAAAAAAAAATATGATTGAATAAGTATTTGGAGAAACGGATGGATTAATATTAAAAATGAGTAAAAAAGTAACTAATATATTACTTTTGTATCTATTCTTAATATCATTCCATATGTTTCTCCAGAACATATTTATTCTAATTATTAGTAAACACATTTGAATATTAACTATTGCACCTTAATAGCTACTTGATTGGTTCACTTTTTTAAATTACAAGTAATTTAAAACTCTTTTTACTGTACCGGTTGACAGATCAGGTATATATATAGAAGAGAAATTGCTCCCAAGAGTAGACAAATTCAAATACCTCTGCTGCATAATAATCTCAATGAATGACCAACGGTCAGAAATAAATCAGCATATAAGAACCAAGCTTTCTTCTCTCTTTCAAAGATATTGAAATTCCCAAAAACCGCTAATTAAGGGTGTACAATGTTACAATTAGGCCAGTTTTGATATATGACTGCGAGATATGTATAATAACGAGCACCCTAGAAAGAAGTATTGATAACCAGAAAGATCTGAGATCAGGGTATAAACGTATGGAGGGGAAATATCATTAAAGAGCTGCTCACAGGAACTGGTCAATCAGTATTTCATGATATGAAGGCATGGAGGTTAAGATAGGTGGGGCATGTATGCAGCTCAAAGGAATCCAACAGGCCAATGAATACCTCAATGGAAGGCAAAAGAACAGCTGGATAGAATCAACAAAGATAGAATACAGCTGTATGCAGATAACTGGAAAGAAATAGCCCAAGATAGACACAGATGGAGAAAGCTGATTAAAGTGGCAAAAGATCTACGAGGTCTGTTGTTATGCCAACAGATAAAAAATAAAAAATAGCTAAATTATTCATGGAAATAATTTATTTAATAAAAATACCAATTTATACAAAAGATTAATTTATATTAAAAACAAAATACTTTTTTAATGAAAAAAACTATTTGGAAAAAGAAAAAAGTGGGCAGATTGATTTAGTATTTTTGTAATATTAATTTCAAATGATAAAAAAAAAAAAAAAAATGCAACCACACAGCCTTGTTTTTTAAAATGCAGGTAAACAACAAACTAATCCATCAATATTTCACCAATTCAGGCATAACCAATCAGGTAGTATTAAATTTAATAAAAAATAATATGTCCTACTAAAGAATATACATGAAATTTTAATATTTACAATTTACCAAATATAACTCTAAAAATACTGCAATCGTGTACTTCATCCCTTTGACTGTTGATATCAATGCTCTCTTAATATTTTCATGAAAAAGTAGGCCTGAGCTAGACAGCGAGAAATCGCCTACTCTATGTTCCGAAGGAGCATCGGTTGGAAGCCGTTCCTAGCGTCAAGCCTTAACCAGCCTCCAACCTAACTCCCTGGCCCAGGTAAGACCAAGAGTATGTGGGCACACAACCGGCGCCCACGGAACGGACATTTCTCTACTACCGTAACTTCCGCACACTATACCAGATGACTAGCCTGAACAATGTCAAGACTAGCTGAACACTGGTTTCGTGCAGCGAGTAGTCGTAAACACTACGACCGCCACGGCCGAACAGTGCAAGCACTCTCCGAGCCAGGGCTCCGGCGACGTCCTGTAGTATTTTTTTTTTTTTTTTTTTTAATGTTGGCTTTATTTATGGCCCTTTGGGTCCATTGTGCGCCAATATTCACTAGGTCGTCTTAAACGTTAGTCCTGTCGCTTCCGTGTATCTAAGTAGGCTGGTTGGGTTAACCGACTCAAATCTACTGGGGAGATCCATCTGTTCCTCCCCAAATAACGCCAGTCTCAGCCTTATAAACTTGTCACATGAAAAGCTGTTTCATTCTCCTCCTGACAGAATCTGCATAGCGGATTCGTCATTACTCGGAGATTGAACATATGATTATTTAACTTACAATGACCTGTGTAGATCGCTGTAAGTTTTTTAAGAGCTGCTCTGTCCATGTTCAGTAGCTGTTTACTTCTTTTTTTACATGAGCCTTCAAGGAACAGCTTCGAATGTCTCTGTTTCTTGTCGGTCCAGTAATTCCTAAATTTGTTCCCATAGATCTCCCTGATCCTGCCCTTGGCAGTACTAAGGCTGATTCCACAGACAGGCTCGGGAGTTATAGGAATAGTATCTGAGCCCAACCTGGCTTGCTCATCAGCCATCTCGTTGCCTGGTATGCCAGAATGGCCTGGCACCCACTCCACTGCAACTCTGTTGTGCTCAGTTAGCTCGTTAAGTGCTCTATTGCATTCCTTAACGACCTTTGAATAAGCATAATAATTGTCAAGAGCACCTATTGCTGCCTGTCTGTCAGTAAAGATGGTGATCTTTTTCTCAGTCACATTGGTTTGCAGTAGGTTTTGCACACAGTGGCAGATTGCCAGTATCTATTGAAAAACTGAAGCATACCTGCCAAGTGGTATAGAAATTTTTTCTTTTATATCTTTGCGATAGATGCCTGCTCCAGAGCCGAAGGCTGTTAGAGAGCCATCTGTATAGCAATTTATTCCACTATTTGGTTTATGACTTCTGCTGCTATCTATCTCAACCTTATATTTTCGGATTAGAGTGTCAGAGTGCATAGCTAGCACTCTTTCACTTCCAATCCTGTTCAGAAGTATTGTGTGTCCTCCCTGACAGGGGACTATTGAACAGTAAGTTGACTTGCTTATCCTGTACAGTGTAATTGTTGCCCGAGCCTCCACCTCCAGCTGCAGCGGGGGCATGCCGAGCATCACCTCCATAGCAGCCGTCGGTGTCGTGCTCATTGCGCCTGTTATCATTATACAAGCAAGCCTTTGAATCTTTCCTAATAAGGATAAGTTGGCTACAGTCTTTGCTTTGTGCCACCATAGCAAAGCTGAGTAAAGTATGATAGGTCTGACTGTCGTTGTGTACAGCCAGTATACCATTTTTTGTTTTAGTCCCCAATTCTTTCCTATCGCTCTTTTACAGGCCCATAGGCATTTGAGGGCTTTACTTGTCACGTTTTGAACGTGTTTAGTCTATGTCAGTTTATGGTCCAAAGTGACTGCAAGGTGTTTTACTTCCTTACTCAGTGTCACTTGGATACCATTGATTTCCGGCATTTTAATAGCCACCTTCTTCTTCTTAGTGAAGATACACACATTGATTTTCCTAGGGTTGATGCTTAGTCCTTTAATCCTGCACCAATTCCTAAGAATATTGAACACTGTACTGAGGATATCAGAGAGGACACTCTGATGCCTCCCTCCTATGAGGATGGCAATATCGTCAGCATATCCCTGAGCATAAATGCCTGCAGTGTTTAAGGCTTCCAATAATGAGTCAGCCACAAAACACCACAGTAGCGGAGAGAGCACAGCTCCCTGTGGACATCCCCCACAGGGTTTAATCCACAGTTCCTTGTGCCCTATTTCTGATTTTAGAACTCTGTCCTCCAGCATTCTCCCAATCCATCTGGAGGTCATAGCGTCTATATCTTTTTTCCTTAGCGCATCATTTATGATGTATAGGGAGTTCTATCAAAGGCACCCTCGATATCAACGAAGACGCCTATCATGATGTCACTCTGTTCTAAGGATTTCTCAATTCTTGTTACCAAGATGTGAAGCGCCACCTCACAGGATTTTTCTGGTTGGTAGGCATATTGCTTTGAATAAGCACTGCTTCCCTGACCTCAGAGCACGATTGGTCTCAGGCTCCGCAATCTTACGATCGCTACGGCTTTACATTGACTGCCGATGTACAGGAGGATGCCTGCACCTCCGCAGTCAATGAGGGATACGACTCAAACCTAAGGGTTCGAGATGATGACCGTCCCAGGGCCTGAGCTAGACAAGGAGCTTATTCTCTTTTCATAACCAGGACCTACACAGAGGATTCCTGAAAATATCATTAAAACATTCCTGATTGGACTCAGAAAGCCAGCCAAGCAATGAAGGGAGATTGCTAAGCTAACAGGGGCTAAACATTTAAATTATCTGGTGCAGTGCGTGCATCACACAACTTTCACTTACCACCCTACTTTGAGTAGAAATTAATTTTCTATACAAGTAGGGCTAGTTATTACTTGTTTATTCAAATCTATTATCGGATAATTATTATTTTGTTTTCCTACCAGTAAAAATTACTATATTTAATCTGTAAATGATTATGTATTTATCAAAATCCTTTTTAATCTCACAGTATTTTATTTTACAATTAAAACATTTTATAAACATATACAAATGATTATTTAAAATTTTGGATCCAAGAGCCATTTTCAAAATTTTTTCTCTGTTTTAAAAAACAAAACATTAGTCCTATAAATTTATTATTTCTAAATATTTTTTTCAAAATATATATGTATACAGAATATTATTCAATTGTAGTAACTGTCTTATTAAATATGAAATGTTTTATTTTATTTCCTTTTTTCCCAAATCTCCACAAAAATTCTTTTCTTCTCCTCATTTTATCAAAAACTTAATCTTTTTCCTTTTTAATTAACTTCATATTATTTTCACTGAGCTGTAGTTATACTTACTCACTACCAATACTAAGGTGCATTCTATTGTGTTTAACTTCAATTTATTTTTTTTATCAGGTTTAAGAATTCATTTTATCTATTTAACTTTTTTAAAAATTGTGCAATTTTTAGAATTTTTCTTCTAGAAGTATTTTTTCTTTGTGTATAATTTCTACATCTTCAAAATCGAATCTTGTCCTTTTTCCACACCATGTTGATGTACTAATGCTGTTTTTTTTTTAATTATAATTTGGGTTATTTTTATTTTTGTAGTCATTAGTATGTTGATGGATTTTAAATATAAAATACTGTGAGATTAAAGAGGGTTTTGATAAATACATAACTATTTATAGATTAAATATAATAAGTATTAAAAAATCTCACAAAACATATGAATAATCTAAATAAGGTCGTTTATCATAAGTGTAAACACATTACTTTAAATATTTCCAGTAGCATAAAATATGAGAATTCCGGGTATTATATATTTCCGGTTTGTCAAGCTCAAAATCAATTTTAAAAGTTTCTATGGACTATGGAAACTTTATTTAGTTTCCATTAATTAATTTAAAAGCAGAATTTATTAACTATGATTTTTCATAAATAGAGACCAGATTTTCCTGCAGTAAAAAACTGAAAATGTGTCTTTGGGCAGTAAGAACCCAAAAACGAGTAGTGGAATTGGGTTAACACCATCAGCTTAATTTATAACATTAATACATGAAAAGTTCATTTAACATGCTTCAGAATTTTTTGTTGGCTCCTCGCCTTTAAGGCTATACGTGGTTTTCCCGGGCCAGAGAGTGTGGGCTTTAGAAGACTCCTTCGGCACCGAGACGCGAACTCCTGACTATTTTAAATCCATTGTATCATAGATCACGTTGCCAGGACCAGGCAATGGCGGTGCTGTGCACACATGTTAGCCCATTCGGCCACTACCTTCTTCAGATTTAAGTAATGAGTTTTTAAGTAAAAACTTTTCCCAATTACAATATTTTCCCTTATTATAAGTAGGTAAATGAAAGTAAAAAACCCTCCCCCTTCTAGCACCAAGTGACTGCTATGTCTAAAAAAAGAGAACTTATTTATGGCTGGAGTATTGACAGGCATTAAAGGTTTTGTGGATCGGTAGATGGTGAGGCACCTTCCACCTTCCGCTTAGATCCAGGAAACTGCTGTACATTATTTTAGCTATCAAGTTAATTCGGACTGCAATCATTTGGCTTTCTCTATCAAATGGATGAGCATCTTGAATTTTATCTAAAAAATAGTAAACTTGTAATCGAGAAAAATAGGACTTCACTTATTTATTCTGGGGTTAGCAAAAAGGACATATAACCCTACTTGTAACATTTGTTATTATGGACTCCTTTTTCCCTGTACCAATACTACTATGTGTAATTGTCGGTACTAGAAGAGATATATTTCTATGCATATAATTTACTATAATAAAAAAAAATATCTGGTGAGTCCACTCACACGACTTTCTTACTAATTTCAGAAAAGTGTTTATATCATTATATATGTTCATGAAGAAACAAAAAAAATTGAATTAGATTTATTTTTCTGAAAACTGATCAAAGAAAAGATTTGAGTAAGATTTATTGGATAAACTAAAGCAATGTGAACCGGCTTAAGGTAGATTAGTGTAAACATTTCAATACTCTCAAATATTGCTGATCAAAAACTTTTAGCTATAGCCTAATTTTGTCAAACAATCATTTCTGTTAAAAGTAGAGGAAATAGTGAAGCTTGTGTGATGCGGGCAACAGATTTTCTTACTTTCATTTAGTCATATTTTTTTCTCTCATTCACACCTTTCTGATATCAGAATATGAACCCATAATCTTACATGGAAAATTGATTAGCTGTAACTTCGTTAATAGTTGTACAAAATGAACAATTTTTATTTAGTTTTGCAGAGAATTTCATTACCTTTTAAAAAAACAGGTAAAAATGTGTTTTTCGGGCTCAGGGGGCTCTGAAATGTATAGATCCATCGAAAACCGCATATCAGAAATTTGACCCGATCACAATACTTTCCTTACCTAGTATAGGTAGGAAAGTAATAAATTAAAACATGTGTAGAAAATAGAATAAGCTGTATCATCGTTGATACTGGTTCGATTCCGATGTTTTTTTTTTTTTTTGTTTTGTTGGTAATTTAATTACCTTTCAAAAGTTTTATTATAAATTTTGCCATATAATATATACTTAGCGAGTTAGGCCCCAAAACATTTTTCTTTTCTTTATAACTTTTTGTCCTGAATTTTCTCAGGAATTTATTCCATATACAAAAATTGAAAGGACCCTTATTAGAGCATTAGAGGAAAGTTTCATGAAAATCGTTAGAGCCGTTTTCGCGCTACAGTCTACAGAAAAACATGTTTTTCATTTATTGCTCGCAACCTATTGTGCATGGAGCACCAAATTTTTGTCACAGGCATCAGTAGTCAAAACCCTGCAAAATAAAAAAAAGAAGCAACAAAATTGGTTTAGTAGTTCCCGAGAAAATCTTGGCACAGACAGACAGACCAATGGCTAAAAATGTGTTTTTCGGATCCAGGGGGCTCTGAAACTTATAGATCCGTCGAAAACCGCTTTTCAGAAATTTAACCCAATCGTAATATTTTCCTTACCTAGTATAGGTGGGAAAGTAAAAAAATATTTGAAGACTGTCAAAAAAATATTGACTGTTTTAAAGTGGAAGATAGTAGAAATGGAAAGATCTGAAAAACTAATAAGAATGAGTAAATAAATGGGTTGATTGTAATGCTGATAGGATGTGTATTTTTGAAGATCTTCCTTATAAAAGTGGTAGGATCTTTGATCCTATCCATTTATCTTTAAGTCTTCTATTAGAGGATTTTTTTCGGGAAAGCTCATAATAAGTGTCTATTTTTTATACCAATTTAAAATAATGATTAAAATTTTTTTCAGAGCCATTCGACCTGACAAACACTGCAAGATCTGTATATGACCCAGATAAGTTTGAACTAATAAGGAATGTTATAATTAGAAGCGGTAATGCATTAATGAAAACAAAAAAATTGGATTCAATATTTTATTTGGAAGCTTCGTAGAGCTGTAAGACTGAAAGGAACAAGGGATTTGGAAGGTCCAGTTGGTGTTCAATCGATATGATTGACTTAAAGGTTATAACGATCTCTAGAACCAACTATGGTAATTTTCTAAGTATGTTATTTCTGGATCTATATCCTGATCCTACTAATAACATATAATTTAAAATTTGTAATACGAGTTTGTTTAATGAGTTATTTATTCATGAAGTGCTACAAGGATTTCCTACAAGGGAAAAAAATAATAAAAATATGAAGAAACGGCAACAAAAAAAAAAAAAGAACAAAAATAAAAATAAATACAAAAATTTAAAATACAAAATGAGAAAAAAAAAATTAAAAATAAAAATACTTAAAAAAAAAAAGAAACAACGAATAAAGGTGTAGGATTTAATTTCTAGAGAAATATAACTTAATTTTTCAATATGAGTGCAATTGTCTAGCCTCCAACAAGTTAAATATTTGATAACACAATATTTACAAGATTGAATATTTACCAACTGAAGAACTGAAAGAGGAATGTGCAATGATGGGTATGCATCAAGGCAAACAAAAAAATATAATTGTATGTATTAAACAAAAGGAAAAGGATATTTAACCAAGCCTCCTTCTGCAATAAAAGTACTTAAAAATTTGTTTTCATTTATTCAAAACAGAAATTTTGGAGGCTTACAATTTATAATTATACTTTTTTTTTATATAGTATTAAGTTAATTATTCTGGGTCAAGTTAAAAATAGTTTATCCTTAAATTTATTGAGTTAACATTTATCAATAATGCATAACTTATGAATTATTATTATAAATTCCATAATTATTTTTGTATATTAGTTTGAATATAATTTCTATTTAAGTTATAATGCCTATTTTTCATAAAGCCTAGGAAATAGATAATATGTGCTTAAAACATATTATGCAAAAAAAATAAAATAAAATTACTGATAGTTTAACATCGAATGATATCAAAAAAATACTGTAGTTCATATTATAAAGATAATTATGGTATTAATTACGGCTGTTTGTTATTATGTTGTAATCTATTTATTTATAGCTTATATTTATTAATGTTTATTTATTTTATAATTTGTCCCATAGTATAAGGATTTAATCTTAGTGCTCTGTTGTGACCATTTTGTCAAATAGTTTAATTAATTTTATGTATAATAAAAAAGTTATAGGAATAAAGATAGAGAGAAAAAATAACAAAGGAACTAATTGTCAGTAGATCCTGAACACATTCTTTTTTTTTTTTTTTTTTTTTTTATAAAGAAATGTAAACAATTAGCAAAAGAAAAATGCAAAAAAAAAAATAAACAATTAAAATAAAAAACCAAACGTACTTTTTTCATTGAAAATCCTATTTCTACCTTCTATTTTTGTTATCTTATAATCATATAAGATTCCACTTGGTGGCATAAGTATGATTTTGGAGGCCTGTGGAAACCAAGTTTTGACTCGAGCTTAATCCATTAGTCCCAACACCAGGTGAGGTCTTGTAAAACCACGTTTTACTCAAATACTGTTTATAATACATAAATTTAGATGTGTCACACTGGAAGGGAGACTTTACATCGTTCTTTATTTTATATCAATAATTATTCAACCAATCAGAGTGAAGTACGTAGGTTATCCGTTTTTTGTAGGTATATAACGATTTTTTCAGTGAATAGCTCCACTAATTTCCAAGTTTCATAAATCAGATTATTCAGTGAGGTGTAGTAAAGGTTATGAAATAATTTCAGCACAGAATACTGAAACAATATTGTATTAAATTTGTTTATTAAGTTCGTTAGCATGTATTTAACTTTTTTTTATTTGCGATGAATGTAAATTGATAGCGCTTTTAAAAACTAAAATTTTAAAAAAATAATTAAAAACTTCTGACAATTGGCATAATTCCAACCAACCTGATGAACGAAATGTAATTTCATATCACCTGAGCATATCGTATGGGATTTTGGTGAACTTGAAATCTTTCAGTATTACAAGTAGGTGTAGTAGTGTTGTGCCTTCTCACGACCAAATGAAACTTCTGACAATACATTTATTTAACTTTATGATGCATGCATAAGGTGGCGTGTATTTGCAAGTAGTCTTAGTTTTTAGTGTAAGGACCCTATATCTGTATCACGATAGTGATACTCTGGCAGTAAAAATAATATTCAAATGTTACGCAATGAAAATTTTCATGAAAAAAGGAGCATGATTCTTTTCGGTCTGAGACATGTCATTTCTTACTCTGCGCTTCCATTTATCGTAAATAGGAGTGTGAATTTAGATATATTAAGACATTCTTAGTACAACAAACAACTGTGTCTCTACGTGAATTAAGACAAAAGAATTGAAAATGCTGTTTATACTGTCTATAATATTTTTGCAAGAAGAAGTATGGTCATAATCGGGGACCAAATTCTAAAAGAATTGAGAAATATTCTAATAAACTCCTTGACTTTGAGACTGATGAGAGTCTGTTAGAAATGGAAGGAATGAGATGAAAATTACTTTGGTGTTCTTTATCAGTGATAATAATTACATCAGCATCACTCAAATAAGCATTTCAGTCACACCAACAAGAAAAAATTATGTCATAAAAAAAGGTTTAATTTCTCTGGTATTATCCACTTTAATGGTCAGAACTGACTGCCACCAATATTGTCTATAACAATAAATTTAAAATTAGAGATGTAATTTTTAAAACAATATTTTTTGTCATATTCTTTAAAATGTCTAATGTGAGCATAGAAAAATTGGCATAAAAAGTAATATTTTGATCCTAGACCTTAACGAGTGGATACCTATAATACCATGGATTATTATTCTATTCATTATCTATCTCATTATTAAATAAGTATAAGAGATTTCTATAGAATTAGCACTTGGGTCAGCAAAATAACCAGCTATTCTGAAATTCAAAGCCATTTTCAAAACGGTGGAGAACAGGTTGATTATAGATCATTCAGTAGTTGTTTGGGTGTTTAGTGAAATATGAAAAAGAAATTTTTATTTTATTTATATAAAAGTTTAAGACCTAAGCAAAGACAAGATAATGTTATGATGTAATATAAGTTGATAAGTGGAATGGTTTGTTGGTTATCATCAAGTTGTTGGGCCTGTGTAAGTAGATTCGTAATGGTAGAGAAATCATTGACTGTAGGTCATTTAGTAGAATTCGGTTGGCGATGATACAGTCAAAGTGAAATTTAAAAAATAGTTTTTATTACATTATCTTGTATTTTCTTAGCCCTAATGAAAGCCTGAAACTTGGGCTGAAATATTGTCACAAATAAAACAAGTTTTTGTGTATTTAGTTCACTTTGATTCCAACTTCTCCTCACAAGGCCATGTTAATTGAAATTTTATTCCCTTCTTAAATTCAATTTACCTTTCCCTAGCTTATCTCTGACAAACCTAATTCGACATTGTTCCTCAGAGAAGTACCTTAATGTAGTTTACCATTTAAACCCTACTTTTTCAAATCTTTCCTGGATAGACAGATACATCACCATCTTGATCATAAGACAGTAATACTATACTCATTCCTTTCCTGAAAGCAATCATCAATTCCCTAACTTTGTCTCCCATTTCATCCTAATTTGGAGGAAAATTAACTCATAAATTATTTTCTTTTATTGTTTAGTTAAATTATTATTATCATTATTGTTTAGTGAACGATTGGTGTCTTCCTGATCTCAATCTGTAAATACCTTCCCATAAAACTGCTGCATTTAACTAATACTTCATTAATTCTGCTATGCTTACGGAATCCTATTTCATACCTACTCCTTAATACTTCTCCAAATTTCAATCCATTTTTCCCAAATATATATTTCTACCTTTTCTCTATATGAATGTAACTAATATTATGATGCAAATAAATTTGATTTTTATCCCTTAGTATTTTTATATTAGAAGAAATATGTGAAGAAGGTTTTATTATTATTATTATCCTTGGAACCAAAAGGAATATTTGAAGTCAATCAATAGTGGAAGAGACCACTGGTCCAGAGGTTAGTGGTTAAAAATATAGACAATACATATTACTTATAAGATCACAACAGAAAGTCGGTCATAAAATCAAATCTTCATTCGAAAATTTAAACACAACCATGATTTCTAGTGAGTTCTTAAAATGTTAGCTGCTGAGCATATCTCTTACATGTCTTTCTCGACGATATCGGTCACCGGCGACCGACGCTAGTTATGAAGTTCCTAACAGCATCGGACGCCAGAGATATACATCAGTTACGAGGTATACCGCTATTTTTTTTACAACAAAAGTGAACTAAATTCCCTATTGAGAGTCTCTATCTGTTGATTGTGTCCTCATTAATGGCCAGCAATCTTAGGAGTAAACTCCAATGCCCGATGCTGTTCATATGACGAGTTTTTTATTTCTAGTTATTTCTCTTTATTTTAGTAAGCAGGTTTTATTTTTAGGGATATAAATATTAAGTATTGAAAATTAAATAAGAAAAAGTTTATTTATTACTTACTTATAATTATAATTTTCAAGATATAATTTATAATTATTTATATGTATGTTATTTATTATTCATTTGTTTATACATGTTAAATAAGCAATAATCTTAAAACAGTCTAAGATGAACTCTTAAGAGCAATAGAAGCCCGAAGATGACAAGACCATGCATGTGCACTGTAATGCCACGGCAGGAATATGTATCTGACCCTGGAGAGTGATACCATAGGGAAATCATTTTTTATCAGTCTGGTACGGTATTGTTCCCCGGTGCCCGAAAACTTTATATCAGACATAATGATTATTTACACATGTATGTCTACATCTATCTAATTCCCATTCAAATATTTTTAAAAATTACTATTTTAGAGACTTTGTAAGATAGACAAAATTTGAAACAATCCCAGCCGTTAATCCCGGAAATTTCTCGAAGATTTTCTGAAGGTGAATATTTAGTTAGCAAAAGTTTTAGGAATATATTGAGGTTTCCTTCATTTTTGAGGATCAAAGAAAGAGTGACAATAGTCAGCCATAGCATGTTTTATGGGAAATAAAAATATTTTAATGTTAAATATTTTATTTAACTCTAAGAACTAGAAGACTTATATTACCAATCTTCTGAGTAATAAAAAAGGACTTTGGTACTGAAAAGACATCCACTACTTCAAGTTCAGTACTGCCCCCAGTACTTGGTTACTAAGGCGCTTTTCGAAGCTCACACTTGTTACTTGGTCACAGTTAAAATAGTGGAGTAGAACTTATGGATGTGTGATAAAATAAACATTTGAATGTCTCAAGAGTAGCCAGATTAAATAATCAATCGTAGTTGGAATTCGTTAAATATTAATTTATAGAATAATTAGTCAATATTAATGTAATTTTTTCGATACAGTGGTTTAGTCCACAAAGCTAAACGCATAATAAAAAAGGATTTTTACTTGTGGACGTTTGATAAAATAATTGAATGTCTAGGGAAGAAATAGACTCAATAATCATCATAGATTGGAATTTGTCAAATATTAATTTACAATATAAATTAATGGCTCCACTTAAAAGAAATTTAGATAAACATTTTAAAAGGACCCTTTGATCCATCATTATAGATTGTGTTAATTACATTTTGAAAAATCGGATTGTCTTTAATAATTTGACATATTTAAATTTTAAACTTGACCTTTAGGAAATATTATTTCAAAATATGTAATTTAAGGCAGTAGATATACATGTATAAATATACAAACTAGAATTAAAACCAATAAATAATACATACAATATAAATAAAACAGAGTGAAACTCTTTATGGTGGACAATTTAACAATGTTCAAGTTAAAGTATAGATCATAGAAAGGGTAACTTTTTATCTTAAGAGGCCACAGTAAGTTTAGGCATTGCTAATGGAGACAGCAACAATTTTTTTTATTTTACTATTGAGCTATTTTTATTTATCACTAAATATATGCACCCAAATACATATATTCAACTTCATTATTAATTTTCAAATTTTCTTAACCTAAATAGTTCAAGTGCTAGATTAATAAATTTCATGCATAAACATTTGGAGACTACAGCTACGTTACTGAGGCTACATGTGTAAGAATTTAATAAAAAAGCCTTAAAATGTATGTGATGCAACAAAAGGAATAAAACGTGACAACATTGAAGTTACTTTTAAAAGGAAGTTATGGAAAAAAATAAAAAATAAAAAATTGGACAGCACCATTTTATTATTAGTTAACAAAAATTTGTCGGGAAAAATATTCTTCATCATCAGTTCCACTATAATGACTATCCACTATAATGGACTTTTATAAAACTGATAATGATCACCGACAGCAAAACAATAATAAAAAAATATGTTAATATCCATTAAACTTGCACTTTAAGAGCAATAAATAAACTTCTCATTTGCTTAACATATCTTAATTTATAAAAACAATATTCTTATTTACCTATCTTTGAGGAAACAAAACAAAAGAAGAGATCTTATTGCTTAACATAATTTATTGTTACAAGAACAAAAAAAAATTGAGCTGAATCATACTGAACTAATGACTAAAATAAAACTCTTGATCCGTAGCTAATTGTTGACTCAATAGGAATACTTCAAACCACCATGGTCAATTCTCTTCTTCATAGTTTTCTCCAGAATAGTACACATCTTCATCATAAAAATTTCTTTCAATCATAGGAGGCTACACATTAAAAAAAAAAAAATTAAAATAATGACAATTTTAAAAAAGTCATCTGGGGATCCTTTTGTTAATATAAGGATAATATAGATAGAGATGAAAACATCTCTATACTAGAACTGCTAAGGTCCGATAATATAAAAAATATATTTTCTGAAAAAAGCACACAGATAAAAGTGTCAAATGCAAGGACAATAAAACGTCAACAGCACAGCAGAGTTAAATGCTCACATAGCCAAGCATACAATTGCTCTTTGAAATAAGCAAAACTTGATCAACGTCACAATAGAAATAATATAATCAACATATTTTTAACATGTTGAATTATATCAATTACATGTATGAAACTTTTAATAACATTGTACAAAACACAAACTTAATAGTTTCAACAAAATTTTCCGTAGGTGAAACATAAATGAAATTTATAATTCACAATTCCTAACTGCAAAATAATTTTATGTATAACAAATCCAAAGACAATTTTAAAAAATTAAATTGTAACTCCTAACTGGCTCCCAGACTGTTTTGCTCTGCATTCATTAAGTCATAATTTTGAATGAATAAAAATTTATAATTAACCATGTGGAATACATCAAATATTTGATAAAAATATAATCCTAAAATACCACTTTAGAGTAGACAAACACTTCTATTTGAAGATTTATGACTGCCTTTGACAATCTGAGCCATCCAAATCTATACAATGCAATGGAGGATTTAAAATAGGATATAAGCATGATTTTACAACTCCTATATGTTAAAAAGTAATGAACCCTTTCTCATTCTCAGGGGGAAAAAAATCATAATCCAGATATATCTTCAACATGACAACTCATCAGTAACAAGGTTATCCTTAAGATTTGGATATAATAACATGAATGAATTCAGCTTAGGAAAGTATACTGCTAGGACTACAGAGTGCAGCATACTAAGTATGGGCTTGTTTTATGAGATTAAGACAAAGTATAAGTCAAGTAGAGATAGAATAGAGCAGGTAAACCTCTAAAGTTGTGAATTTAATTACTCTGGATCTCAGATAACCAAACGGTAAAATGCTGGAACATTTTTGTACTTCTTACCCTAAGCAGTTGAAGACAATTCGACCTAAGAGGCACTAGTTGTTCTAAGAACTTACAGAACATTTTCTATTGAAGAGAATGAGTATGCTTTATAAAAATGAATTGGGTTTAGATTCTAGCATCGGTCAAAGGGATTGTACCAGACAAAGGCAATGATTTACAAAATCCTTCCTAAACCTTTTTTAATTTACACTATTTTTAGAAGACATACAATGAAATAATTGCTAGTAAAATAAAATAATTTGTAAGATAGGGGCAAAAATCTTTACAACTTTCATATTCTTTAAGGCATTCTTGAAATGACACTTTAGAATGCTAGCGTAAGCCTTGCGTTGCTTTGATAACTAAATAAAAAAAAGAGTTTCGACAGATTTATAAAAAAGCATTTAGGTGGATGAAGTGGTAGTTGATGCAAGAATACTTTTTGGTGTCATCATCTGGAGAACACAAAATAGAGCTGAATGGGGCAGGTTCTCAGCTGAAGTTTTTGGTATCTTAGTTATAACTATATTGAGCCTTTATTCTTCAGAATGAATAAATAAATTACAATGAATCCAATTGCATGTTAAAACAATTCATATGGATATGATCTTATGCTATGTAGATGTAATAAAACTTGTATGCAATATATTTCATATAGGCCTTCTGGATAGCATGATATGGTTAGACTTAACGAAATATTTTATTTTAGATGTTTATTAATCTGTATTCTCAATTCTGTTAGATTGAAAAAAATTAAAATTAAATCAAATTTAAAAAATGAACTAAATGTTTGATATAGTCAGATCAGAAAGTATTCACATGACAAATTCCATACACTAATGGAAAAGAAAAAGATACCAAAATTCAAAACAAATTTATTACGAATTATACTCAAAATTCATTCAGCTGCTATTTATTCATTCTCTTTTATGAGGATTTCTCATTCTTGACCAGTCCCAAAGTAACTTTAGATGGACAGTAGGAATAGGTTCACCAAGTATTGCTAAAGGCCAAGGCGGGAAACTCTAAAAATTATGAATGAAAAAAGATACATAATCCCTTAAAACTGCAAATCCATATATTTTTGATTTGTTGATAATAAAAAGTTCCTTCGATAAACCAAAGTCGAGTAAGTTAAGTAATTACTGTTAATTACCTAAAATAAACTTTCTTTACTTCTAATAAATATAAATACATAGTTAGCAATTTTCGAATAAAAAAAATGGAATGCTTCATTCTATTTCTTATGTAAAAAAAAAAACATAAAGATCGACTCTCAAAAATCTTTTATAACTACTATAAATTTATGGACTTCAAAAGCTACTTTTTCAGTCCATTTCATTTTATTTTTTAAGATCTTAACAGACCACAAAAGCAAATAATATTAGATAGAACAGTAAACAAAAGCTACCAGTCTTAAAGCTATTTTTGTTTTATTTTTCTACCACAACTGGATAGGATAGTATTTTTATGAGATATATAAGTAAGATTTGTTAACAGTATTTATTCTCCCAAAACAATTATTCTTTATTATATTATGACATTTCGGGATTTACTTTTATATCCCATCTTCAGACAGTATCTTTATCCTATATCCTCTTATTTTTTATAAGATTTGTCATAATTATTTATTTTAATTTTTTATTGTCATTATTCATTCCTTGAAATTATAATGTTGTCTCCTCTAGGGAGAGCCTAGTCAGATACTGAAGAATATGAAGTAGAGGAGGCAACATTATAATTTCAAGGAATGAAATATGACAGTAAAAAATTAAAATAAATAATTATGATAAATCTTATAAAAAATAAGAGTATATAGGATGAAGATACTGTCTGAAGATGGGATATGAAAGTAGATCCCGAAACGTCATAATATAATAAAGAATAATTGTTTTGGGAGAATAAATACTGTTAACAAATCTTACTTATATACCTCAGAAAATAAGATCTTCCTTAGGACTATTAAAGTATTTTTATCGGCTCAGATTTTCAATGTACAGTTTTCAACAGATCTCGAGGGTCAATAAGTTTACTGTTGGAAGGAAGCAGTTAGACAAGCTCTACTACAACTTTTGTTTTGTTTCTTCTTTTTCAGTGGATACCCAGCATGAGAAGAAGGGAAGAAAAAGGGTTATTTTATTTCAATAAAAAATATTGCATGTGCTAATAAGAGTATCTTTAAGAAGAACCAACTTTTCTCAAAGCCAAGAATGAAGTTGACTTCAAACCAAGTTATGGAAAGCTTATAGATTTCCCTAAACCTCAGGACATATGTAAATCCAAAAGAGAATAACTGATCATATATGATAGAGTATTAAGTTTGATAATGAATAGAGTTTTTATATAGAAGTTGTTGAGCAGGATAAGATTCTGTCTAGGCAATACTTCTGAATGTCAAGGCTCTTCTAACCTGATAAAACACAGCTTATATAAGTTGATGAAGAAAGAAAGTTAGTTGTGTTAAATAAATGACTTGTAATTTAGGATCCAGAATAATCCCTAAACTAAATGTTTTACTACCTTATTCAGGCTTAACTGGAGCCCATTTATTTCAGGCAATTTAACTGCAACATGTTTCATGCATAGGCAAGTGAAAATGAAAATTTATTTAAAGATTAAATAGAAATAAGTAACATTAGTTTTAATTCATATAAAAGAAATATAACTCAATAAATAATTTGGATGTTGAGAATTTCAAATCATAAATTTATAAATCGTAAAAATAATTTGAAAGATTAAAAAAAAAAAAAAAAAAAAGCAAAGCTAATAACTGATATCCTTTTTTTTATTAATATTTTTATGAGTTCAGAAAATTGTATTTCATATTCCTACATGTAATAAAAACGACGCTTGCAAACTTACATGTTAATAAAACACCATGCTCATCTAAGATTAATATAAATCACTGATAGAAATTACACAAATACACAAATCAAGCTCCACTTTAATTATTTAAAACACAAACCAGCTTACAAAGAAGACAAGTAAACTGGGTAATTACCTTCTCTACTATTTACTGTTCGTTCAAAGTATTAAAAAGTAGGTATCAAACTTCATTGCTAATTCTGATATTTTTAGGCTTAGGCATAGACTCAACCTAGATTAAGAGCTTAGATTAAAAAATAAAATAAACTCCAAAGCAACTGACTACTCACAGCTTGAACCACTCTGTGAAGCAGCCCTGTACATACTGTAAAATTTAAATTTATAGTTGGAAAAATCCAACACAGTAATAAACACTAAAGCAAAAGAATAACTAATTAGTTTAGTTCAAGATACAGTATAATCATAAAATAATACAGAAACAACTTTAAAATATGATTCAAAAAAAGTTAAATAGCGAGAAATTACTTTGAGAAATAATATTTTTAACAAAATAAAAAAATATGTTTTAGTATATTTCAATGAACAAACCTGTACTAATCCAACCATGAAGGCATACCCTGTCATTGCGAATGTCGCTATCAATGCTGCAACAATTGTGTTTCTTGTCTTATGAGGATAATCAGAATCAACATCAGATGATAAATTTGACTTGATACCTTCGTTCTTCCTTTTATGCTCAAATGCTAAAAGCAATATTTTCAGCATAAGATGAAGTAATGATTAAATTAAAAGGAAAGTGAAGATGTTACTACTAAAGTATTTTACTTAACACTTCTAAAAAAGGAGGATAAATTTCTGTTGTATAAAATAATTTGTTGAGGTAGGGATATTTTACTCTTTTAAAAATATGGGTATAAAAATATTGTTTATTATTCTGTCAGAAGTAATTATCTAGGTATATCAATAAAGATAAAAAACTGCCAGAAATTTAATACAATCTATATAGTTCTGGAGCCCGTGGCAAAAAAAGGTGTATTTCATACTAAGGTTTGTCCTCATAAATTGACCATATCCACAGGCCTGATGAGAAAAATGCATGTCTGCCAGCATATAGCCTCTGGAATACAAAATGGCGGCTATGTGAAAAATAGAAAGACTCTACATAGGTTGTAAGCTTATATATAGAGAGAGCTTATAGATATATAAAGCTACCAACCCTTTCAATTTACAGTCTTAAGACATGAAATAATAGTCAGTTACCCCATACCCGTTCATTTTAAGTCGAACAATTGAATTTACAATTCAAAAAGTTTACTTTTTTTCATTTTTTGTCTTATATCAGTGACCCTATGCATTCTATCTATAATATAATAATGTGATATGTGAAATTAAAGCTGACAAAATTAGCAATAGGAATGGTAATATTAGTTTTTTTTCTATATTCTATAGTTTCTGTGATATCCAACCTCGTAATTCAATCATTTAAAAAAAACTTTTTTTGCATCGCATTTTTATCATTTTTTCTCGCCTCCGAAACTATACAGAAAAATTTACTTTTCGCAAATTTCAATATTACACAGCTCTTAATCGGTAAATAATAAAACATACATGTGCATACATTGGCTTACATATATATACTGCCTTATATACAGATAAAGAGCTGTATAGTAACAAAAATTGTGAAAATAAGTTATTCTGTATAGTTTCGGAGTTTAATCATTAAATTCTAATTGCTCTAGCCTTTGAATGATTGACAACAACATAGTAAAGTAATATATATTCTTAAAGAAAATTTAATATTAAACAGCTTTCTTCCTCATGACCTTTTTGTAAAACGAAAAGATAAAGAATTGGCGAGTCAAATAATGACATAAATGCGATGCAAATTTTTTTTTTTTTTAACAAAATCAGTGAACTATGAGGACAGATATCACGGAAACTATAGAATATAGCGAACTAATTTTACCATTTCTATTGCAAATTTTGTCAACTTTAATTTCACATATCACATTATTATATTATAGATAGAACACATAGGTTCACTGACAAAACCTAAAAAACTAAACTTATGTGGTCCACAGGTATGGGATAACTGACTATTATTTCATGTCTAAAGACTGTAAATACTATAAATTAAAAGGGTTGATAGCTTTATATATCTATAACCTATATATATATATATATATATATATATATATATATATATATATATATATATATATATATATATATATATATATATATATATATATATATATATATACGATTATTATATATATTGTTACTATATAAAATTAGAAAATTACAATTTTTTTTTGTGGTGGCATATTACTCTAAAGCTTGTTTAGACCTATTGTGCAAAATGTTTAACTACTTGAAAAGTAACATTAGCAGATTTGGAGAAACTCGAATTGATTAGGGTCCACTATGTGATCCATCAGTTATGTGGTTCTATACCTGTATACCTGAGACCATCGATATGATGTAATGTGTACTGAATATGGTGAGAAATATAAGGGTGGAATTCAGGGCCAAATTTGCGGACATCAGAAATACAAGAAAGCAGTGTCAAGCTATAGGTCAAAATTGTCACTTCTCGAAAATTATAAATATATTTAAATATTGCTAAACCTCGGTTTATTGTCGCAGCAATTACAAGAAACTAGGAAGTTTTAGGAAAATTAATATATAATGCAACATTTGATTTTGTCCTGAATATTTAAGAATCCTAAAGCAGCTTAATAAGCCATCAATCAATTACCTTGGTAATCCAGTGGAAAATATCTTTGGCATATTCTTGAAACAAGCTTTTGCAAATTCGTACATGACTTCAGATGATTTTGAAGTATGGGATTTTTAAATGGTGCTTTCAACAATGGAGCCAGATATGCGAAAACAACTGCATCTAGAGATGTTGGATGAGATCCAAACATAAAATCTTTTTCTCCCAACTTTACAGAAAGCGAAGTTAAGCACTTTTCAGCATCACTGTAAAGCTAAAAAAAAAAGTGATAAAATAATGCACAATATCTTTAAAAACCAACACCAACATTTAATCTTATCCTAAAATCATTGCTTTTTTAAAAATCTGTTTAGCGAACTCAAGTCCACAGATAATATCTCAGGTTAAGCTATGATAATAAAAACTTATATCAAACTGAAACATTCTTACAACATAGTCACCACTAATATAGTTTTTCGTGGATATGAGCTGTCAAATAATGAATCTACAAAAAATTAATTAACTCTGAACATGTCATGATCTTTTTAAAAAAACAAAAAACTATTATTTATTTATGAAGTATATATATTAATAAATACATGTCAGAATATTAATACACCAATTTCATAAATAAATTGATATAAACACATACCTATACAAATACAATATAAAAATAGATTTGCTAGTACATAGTTAAAAATGGCAATCATAGGAAAAATCAATATCCCCATATGGGTGATTAAATACTCATGCTATGATACCTATTGATATTCTATATTTTGTATACCAAAAAGAAATTTAAGATTACCTTATTTTCTATTTCTGAAATTGTTTCTGTTTCACATACAGCTTCAACAGTCTTTTTAGCATCACTAACAAACCTCTGAGGATAATAAAAATTGAATGGGAATGGAATTACTTTACAATACCAAGGTCTGGTCAACCCTGCATAATTTTTTTCATCTAGCCACCTAAAACAATATAAAATTGAATAAACTTAAAAGACAGATTTTAAATATTTAGTAGACATGGATGTTTCAAAACTAAAACATTTCCAATTTGGAAATCTAAAAAACGTAAATCTACAAGGAAGATCTAATTAAAATTGCTTACTATTTCGTCATTGCTTAATAATATTCAATAATGTGGACACTTGATTCTGGGGAGTTTTCAAATATTATATAAAGATTATATAATTCATTTACTGTAATTAGAAACTGATTAAATATAATTAAATGAAAATGAAAAGATCTTTATATATATTAACACATATTTGTCTGTGTGATGAAAATTCGTCATTTCTATGTTGTACAAAATGATTTTTTTTTTTTTCATTTTTCAATTTGTTTGTTAATTAAATTTAACAATCAGCAGATGTAGTGACTAAATAATGAGAGCAGAAGAATAATTGATTCTTGTTCTTTTAATTCTAAATAACTTAAATTCTAATTTTTACCAAATAGAGATGACAGAGATGGATTTTTTGAATGGCGGTGCAAACAATTACTGGACTAATACTTTAGTTATTCATTTTTAACAGGATATTTATTAAATTAATTATATTTAATATATAATAGATTAAGGTTTAAAAAGGATCAGAATACTTCCATGATTTTATTTTAATAATAAAAAATCTATTTAACACGAATAAGTTGTTTTCATTTAATGATATGACAAAAAGGTCATACAACAATTTATTGTGTTCCTCTTTAAACCTTAATCTAATACAAATGCAAGTTTGTCAACTGTCCTATATATCAATGGTGATGATGATTGATAATTAGGACACTCATGTTTACAGCACCAAAGGAGTTCAAGTATTGTTACTCTAACACTTTTGGTCCTCAAACACCAGTACACGTCCTGATCATGACCCACAAGCTTGGTTACCTTGGTAGCCAGATGTTGGTTGGTGTGATAATGAACAGAAATGAATGTGTAACACCAAAAAGCATTTTATTTAAATAGATATGACAATTATTGTATGTTTTGATAACTGGTGCCCCATCACAAAATCAAGTAAACATAAGGAATCCTCTGAGAATGGGAAAATTGTCCCGTCAAATGTAATGGATGTGATTAAAAAAGACTAAAGAAAAATGGAAGTATATTTGCCTTAACCTTAGAAAAATATATAAACAGAAGCTTCATAAAAAAAGAAAAATAGAAGATAACAAAATATATTTTGACAACAAATCAATTTTTCATTTTCATTCCATAAGATTTTGGCAATAAGCGAATTTGGGCTGATATTCAGAAAGTGGTTAACCCAGTAAATCTCTTAGCCACTTCCTTGAAAGTAAAAGTGGGATATACAGGTTTGTGATGGATTGAACTATCACTACCAAAAAGTTATGTTGTAAAACTGAAGTGGAAATATTTTGGCATTCAGTGCTTATATCTTGAACTCTTTTTTTCCGATGCTGGGAGGAGAGGGATTTTTTAACTACGGCAATCATCCCCGTCCCCCCGCCCAAGAAAACCCTTTATAGCCTAAAGGTGAGGAAGAGGATGACAAAAAAAAAAGTTAAACTGTTAGAATATATATGTCCTGTAGCCAAGACATTTGTCACATAAAATGGTACTATTTTAGGGAAAATTTTTGATGGAAACAATTTAATTCTCTGTATGTTTGAGGTTTTGGCAGAGCACTATTTATAATTGGTAAATATTAGTTTTTATTTTCCATAAAAAAGATGTTAGTGCAGAGTTTTTTTCAACATTAAGGGAGTGTTTTATCAACAAATATAGACAATAAATTCTGGTCATGCTTAGTAAGTTACATGAGAAGATATTGAAAAATAATAGTCGCAGAAAACTGTACTGAGGCACTCCTGTTTTAACGCATTTAGCGCTAAATAATTCATTACCTACTTTAATAGTATATAGTATGTATACCAAGTAAGAAAGTAATAATAAGTAGTAAATCAGAGGAAGCAAAGTTTTGAGCTTAAAAAATTGGAACTTATTATTTTGATTATAGGCTGAGGATTCGAATGATCAAGTCGGATCAATACCTTCTACATATTTACAATAAATGCCACAGAAACACTATTTACAAACTTACTGAACAAAGGACAGTCAAAAACTGCCTGGACAGTCGGGGAGAAAATCATGACACCACATGCTTATAGTATCTTAATACCTACTACATAACAAAATAGTATGTTTACAAATTATGAAGTTTATACATGTATCTTTAAATTAAAAATATACCACTGGATTACAAGATAATTCCAGTATTGAAAGCAATCTTTCATATCATACCTTGTCAAAAAAACTTGAGTGATTAAAAAAAAAAAGACAGATAAATAAGTCATTAACTCTAAAGCACTGGACATCTGCCAATGGATGATATTTAGTTGAATGTTTTCTGTTCCCAAACTTATGCTTTGGAACAGCTCTTATTATTTAAAAACAATTGGACAAAAAAAGGGTTTTTCAAATAATTTAGAAAAGAGATGAAGAAGACAATAAAACACCAGTCAGGTATCATGAACAAAATAAAAAAATAAAAGAAAAAAATTAACACTGGTAAATTACAAAAGTCTTGGTGTATTAATTCATCGCAGACATTAAATTTTCCATTTTAATCCTTATTAGATTCTGATTTAAACAATCCATGTTGTTTTTTACAAATTGACACTATAAATAATATTCATAATTGGTAATTGGTTGACTGTCGTGGATAATGAAGAGAAGAATAGTTGGGGTGCTCAGTCAAAAAAGGAAGGCAAAAAATAAATTATATTTATTTTTTACATATACCAACGTTTCGACCTGAAGTTCAGGCCTTCATCAGGGCTAAGAAAATAACCAGATAACAAGGTATGAGAAACATAAATAATGATGGTAAAAAAGATAATAAAAAATGAGAAAAACTACTCCATTCTCAATGTTTTAATTTAACTATTTATTTTATTTTCATTTCTTATATAACTTTATATTTCTTTTTTATGTTTTTACATTTTATTCTAAGATTCCCAATGTAACACTTTTGTCACCCCTTTTTGATTATGCCTACTTCATCATTCCACACTATGTAACAGTTTTTATTATTTATCTCTTAGTTCTTAGTCATTATTCTAACAATTTCATTTTACTTTATATGTATCTATTTTATTTTTCTAATAATTTTTTTTTTCTCATTTTTTATTATCTTTTTTACCATCATTACTTATGTTTCTCATACCTTGTTATCTGGTTATTTTCTTAGCCCTGATGAAGACCTGAACTTCAGGTCGAAACGTCGGCATATGTAAAAAATAAATATTATAATTTATTTTTTGCTTTCCTTTTTTGACTGAGCACCCCAACTATTCTTCTCTTCATTATAAATAATATTGTAATATTGATCACTTTTCTAAGTCACAGGAGGAATGGATTTTGATTAATGAGCTATCAAACGAAAGTGAATTTCATGAAGAAGTGATGAATCATAAAATATAATAGATATGAAAATCAAAACTTAAAACCTCTTACTATAATTAAAATGATTGAAAAATTAGATTTCGTAACAGATTGTTTCAAAAATCGACAAATCGAGACAGGATAAATGTTTTTTTAAATATTTTGAAGATGATACCATGACCCAGTATAGTTCTTTATAACTAAATACGAGTTATAGTTATTTATAACAAGATCCTGTTGAATTGTAATTTTGTGACTAACCTATTTTCTTGGGTGAATAATATTTAAGTTTCATCTTGTTTTTAGCAGTATTATATGGGTGAATTATTATACTATTATATAATAAGCATTGTGTTTTTTTATATTGATAAGGATTCATAAATGAACCTAAAAATGTTTATTTATTCTAACATTTTAGATTTCTGAGGAGGACAGAGTTTCCTCGAAACGTACAAATAAATTTTGCAATCAAATAATAATTTTTGATTAATTTATTTATGACCAATAGGCAAAAGAACCACTATAAAAAGAACAAAGGTCAAACAAGCACAATGATAAAATAAAATTAATACATCCATCTCATAATACATGGCATTAACTTATTTCTATTTGACTTTACCATTTGTTCACTAGCCAACATACCATGCAAATTATTTGTAGGAATCAAGAACTATTCTTTATTTAAATATGTAAATATCTCTGTATTTCAATCAATTTTAAAAATTTCACAGAAAATATCAGAGAAAAAAAGGACAAAGCGTGAAGGCAGCAACTGAGGAAATTTATGTGATGAGGTGAAAATGTGGTGTACAAAAAGAGAGCCTTTTGGTTTAGGAAGTTCAATTCAGGGAACAACATTCTTCAAGATAATTCCAAATCAGGTCACCCTTCAGAGGTATTTGGTATTAGGTATTTGGAAATCTAGGGATAGTGTGCTATGAGTTAACGAGTGATAATAGCAAAACGGAATTAGCACCTAGAAAAGTTATAAGCTATCTACATGAATATACTAGTAGTCAGAAGTTTAATTTTAGTTAAATAAATAATATAAATAATGGCACATCAAAAAAAACAAAAAAAAAACACGTGAACTAAATCCACTAACCATATATACTGTAAAGCTGGAAACAATTTTTCTTTTACCATGTATGTATATGCTAAACAGTCAGCTTCCTCAACTGTTGAAAGCCCATGATCAGGACTAACATTCTAAGGAAGAAATAACAAATAAATGACAGTTTACAGAAACCTAAAAAAAAAAATGTATAGTAAACATTTCAATACTTACCTTTATCCTTAAATATGACATTACTTCATCATAATCATGAAATACATGTTTCCCATGAGACACTACTGGTAGTGTACTCTTAGGAGTCCAGTATGGATTTTTGCATACTTTGATCTTAAATTCTTTACCAGAAAATTTAACAAGTGCCTAAAAATAAAATCTAAATAAAATCTGATAAATAATAAATCATCAAAGCTTCTTCAGAGCTAACATACCAAAATCTTCAAACATTCAAGATCTACAGAAGGTAATCCCCAGTCTCCTGGCCAAACTTCAACAATCATAGGATGATTTAAAGACATTCTATGTATTTAAAACATCAACCCTTTCCGAATATTTACCCATTGGTGTACTTTATCATAACCCTATCTAAAGGTTATGCTACTGAACCTAGAGATGGAAGGAGCTACGCAGCTGGTTCTCAGAAAGGAGAAAAACATTTCCGAACGAATGCAACCAACAAAAATTATTGTTGATTTACGAGGTCATGGTGTTCACCTTCATGTGGTGAATGGAATGCTAAATATTTTTTAAAGTTTATGTAAGTTTTTATAATCGCCAAAATTATTAATATACCACATGGCATTATAATTTATTTAAATATCTAACATAAACAAATCATATTTAAAGAATGTTAAAACTGTTTTCTTTGAGAACATCTACATAATTTCAAATGCTCGAAGGATTTCAAGACTATTCTCCTCTGCTTTCTTTTTCAATATATATTTTTAATTTATCATAGACTATGACAGATAGCAATATTTTAATTTTTAAAAACCTAAATGGTATGTGATGCGTAACCTATGGCAACCATGGTATCTATGAAGCTATCGGTGTCATTAAGAAGTAGGTCTTTGAGTTATATCGAAAACGGTAAATTTTAGGAATTAAAAATGCCGGATCGTGATCCAAGGATTGAACCTAATCGTTGGTATATCGTCTTTAAAGAACGATAGTATTTGGGAATTCACAGCTGTGTGATAGGTCGATTTCCATTCCATGGTTATGCAGCTTGGATAGAAAGCTCTCATCTCCCGTGGGGAATTCCCAGAGCTATCAATCCGGAAGAATCCATTTCGCTTCGAAAAGCAATCGGGCGGTTCTTAAACCTTCAAGAACAAAAAGGATATACCTATATCCATTTGGGGTAGTCACTTTTCTGTTCTATTCTCCCGAATAATGGTTTTCCATCTGCTGAGACCCTCGTCAAATCTCATCATCAAACCTCTTGTTACATATATAATAAAATTTCTTATCCTGGAAGTTAACAAGTAAGCTCCCTCTCCCCACGAAGTACCAGCACCAGTTGATTATATTCATTTAATTTTTCTTGTCAGTGGTTACTCTCGTAAAGTAGGATATCTTAGGTTTTCGTAGCAGCAATTTTAATTCCTTTTTCTCATATTATTCATCTATTTGATTAGCGCACTTTTCCACTTCTTGTTTTATACCTGCTCCATTCTTGAAAAATAACACTATTTCCATATCTGCCATGGTAGGCATTAGGAGGGAAGCTCTTCTACTTTACATTCCCAACATTTGGTTTCATGACCATCTTTCATAGAGCCGAATCTAGGACTTAGTCACTGAATCCCTGGAAACGGTTTTTACTAAAGTCAATCTCAATATGCAGGTCCCCAACTTTGGTACATAGGTACCCATTTAGGGGTAGCGACAAAAGGGTAACAAAACCTTCTAAAAATTCAGTTCTAAAAGTTAGGTAATTGAGTTATTCAAGTTTTGTATTTTAAGCGAAAGTTTAATAAAATAACTATATCTTAATTCTCATTAAATTTTAAAGTTGTTGAGTCGATTCCAGTGGGTGAAGATAACCTGGGTAGTGAGCAGTTTCTCATATTAAATATGATTCGTTTTTTCTATAAGAGAATTTTAAATCTATATGTTTAATCTTCAGCAACATATTATATTAATGAAATTGGTAATTACCGACATCATTAGCTCATCTAGTTCGCGGAAGGAACTAATCTGTCATTATCGTATTGATTTTGACCATATTTAAAAATGCAGGAAACGTATTATAACCAGAATTTGTTAAAAAGTCTTTAATAAGAATTAAAGAAACACTATTTATTTAGTTTAAATTTGCTTAAAATTACAGGAAAGTAGTTTAATTATCATAAATACAGTTAGCTAACTTTTACTTTTGTTGTTTAGCGAGATACTGTGTTCTTACCAAACAGTGAAGCAAACAGTATTGTTTTTTCTACGTCACTAGTAGCCCACATCTTTGACAACTTGGTTGTTTTAGTTCTATAGTGTCCGTTGTGAACGTACCATAGTTGTTGACTTCCACGATAAGCCTTGAATGCATTTATGTGACTACGATATTTTGTTTTCAAAATGCGATTAGTGTAGCCTTTACTCTTAGAACAGAGCTCAAGATTTGTAGTCATTATAATTTTAATCTCTAATCTTGCCGTTTGTTTGTATTGTTGGTCTAGTTTCGTTCGTTAGTAATCATTATATTGGTGTTTGGTTTTACTGCTTATTTTTCTTGTGAGTATATAATCATAACAATTGTTAATTTGCATTGTAACATATTATTGTTATTAGTGTTATTGTTTGAAGGCTCTATTTTTTTTTTTAGAGTACTGTTTTCTGTGGTATGAAACAAATGCATTGTAATGCTGAATTGTAATTCCATTATCATTTATCTTTCAGCATTAGTCCTGCAATAGTAGAGAATACCATTTTTTTCATTGTTCAAAATGATTGCTATAATGTATGCTTGTCTATGTGTGTATTTATAACTTTGTTAGATACTAAGAGATTATTAATTTTAATGATGTAGTAATGGGAGTGGGGTAGCTCAGTGGTAGAGCACTAATCTTCCAATGCTCAAGATCCTGGCTCATGGCAGGAAATTGATTTATTCTTTTCAGGATTGCCCATCCTCCCCAACATGATGGTTCATTCCTCCTCCCCAAAAATTGTATTTCTTTCCTCTTCTTAAAAACAGTGCAAGCGAAAGTAGGATTAGACAAATCGTAGATCATATACAACTACACTTGATGTGGTCTGGTCCCATGTTTTCCTCCTAGTTCTCTGTTTTGAAACTTTTCACTCCGAAAATTCATAGCCCAGTCGAAATGTGCTCCCCTCAAAAATTTTGATGGCACAACTTGCGCCATGAAACCCCCTTGAGGGCATCCCTGATTCTGTTTCATCAGCCTTGGGGCGACCCTGGGATTCAGGAAACCCTCCCGAGGCTCACCCTGCCTATATTATAAAGTGCGTACGCTTAATTAAATAATTGATTAAGGGAGAAAACCTGTCAGTTGAGCGTGATCTCAGTCAAATTATCTCCTTGCACAACCATTGACTAAGAAACAGTGCTTTTCCTAAATAGTGTTGAATCCAAGACCCTTCGTGGGTTGTAATGGTACAGATTTTTGATTTATTTTTTAATGATGTAGTAATAGTATTTTATCTACATTTAAATTTAATAAGGAGCGGGGTAGCTCAGTGGTAGGGCACTGAGCTTCCAATGCAAAGGTCCCGAGTTCGAACCCCGGCTCATGGCAGATAATTTATTTATCTGTTTCATTGGCCGTGGGGCGACCTTGGGTTCAGGAGTCCCTCCTGGGGCACACCCAGCCTCTATAAAGTGGGTACCCTTAATTAAATAATTAATTAAGGGGGAAAATCTGGCGGTTGAGCGTGATCTCGGTCAAATCACCTCCTTGCACAACCGTGGACCTAGAAACAGTGCTTTCCCTAAGTAGTACTGAACCCCAGACCCTTCATGGGTTGTAGTGGTACAGGTTTTTTTAAATTTAATAGGAAATTAAGCCTCTGTAAAATGTCCATTTATTGCTTTGTTATTATTTTAAATTTACTTTAATCCATAAAATAACTCAATATAAGTGCCCTTGAGTGGTAGAGGAGTGGTGTATCTCAGTGAATTAGTGATTAGGCTCTGATTGACCATGAAATCGGAAGGTCCTCCTGTGTCTCAGTCAACCTATATAAAGCGAAAGCTTTATAAATTAATTAAATGAGAGAAAATGACGGCTCAACATGATATCTCTCAAATCACCTTCTTGTTAAAAAATTGTCAGTCATACTACATTTCACCTAAAGATATGTCTTGTGTTCATGGGATGCTCGAGTTGGAGTGTCTAACTGGATTCAGATCTGTTTTCAGTAAGAGGAGCCACTGTGATAGAGGGAGTTGGTTAAGCCCTCTCCAGGGCTTAGTAATTTGTTTTCCTTTCATACATTATAATTTTATTATATATTACATCTTATTATTATGTCTAGTACTTACTGAGTTGGATTTATTATATTTTCATTTCTGTTGTTCCTTATTGAAAAAATAATTCAAGACTTTTAAATGAAGAAGAAAAAATTGGCACATTTAAATTTAAGAATTATCAAATTCTCAAGACAATCTCCAAGTATATTAGTTATATCAATTGGTAGATATCTATTACATTTACTAATTATATTTTTGATTAATTATTTAACATTTTTTCAGTGAATCATAATGGATCCTCTTAACAACGTTAATTCATCTGTTAATGGGGAAGATGTTCAAGATGCTTTTGGATTTTCTAAGTAAGTTATTACGTTTTTTCTGTTTGCTATAAGGCGTAGAGACAGTTATGTATCTACAGACTAAATAAAACATTTTTTTTTTTCATCTTGATAATGTTTTATGTTTATTTTTATATTATCTCATTTTTTATTTTTAGTTCCAAAAATAAAAATAAGAAAGAAGATGGTGTCATGGTGGTTCATAAAGACTCGCTCTTTTACAAAATGGATCATGCAATTACTGGAGCTGCATTTATTTTTAATCATGAAAAATTTATTATGCCACATTTAAAAGACAGGGCTGGAACTCAGGAAGACTGTTATAATTTAAGAAAATGTTTTGAATTACTTGGCTTTAATGTTACTGTTTATCAAGATCTTGAAATCAAAGAATTTATGCAGAAAATCGAAAAAAGTAATTATTTTATCTTAGTAAAAACTTACAAGCCATTTTATAACTGTAAATATAATGCATTGTCAATTAAATTTTATATTGGATAAGGGTTTATCCTGTGGATGGTTAATTGTTCTTATTTAGGGATTGTGTAACCTTGACCAACATATTTAATACATCTTAAGGTACTATTTCACTGGTACTGCCCACCTCACCAGTTGTACCCACCTGACTGCTCATAGTTAAGCACTGGTTTAGTGGAATAGAAAGAAGCCTATTTCATCGGCACTGCTCGGCAGATATCATATTGGAGAATTGTTTTGATGATGAATGAATGAGAAATGCTTTATTAATTATATATAAATTATAAATTTCAACATACACAGAACATTTATACGGCATGATTATTTTTCTGTCAGAATTTTGATGATAACAGTGTCCTTAATATGTTTCATTGCCTTTGTTTTCATCAAGGCAGGCAAAATTAAATGAAAAATTGTTTAATATTTTAACAAAGCTAAAGTAAAGTAATTCCTTTTTTAAAGGCTGAAGTAACAAGATTATTTATTATACCAAAAGTATTTTAAAGAGAAATTCAAATATACCTAAAACCAAACGACATTCAATAAATTAATTAATCCAAAAAAAAAAAAATTAACATAAGGTAAATACTCAAATTCAGACATTTAAGTGCTGAATTACTGACTACCTATTGATAAAATGGTAAAACATTATTGTGATTTCACTAAAAATGTGTAATATTTATTACTGACATGGTCTTACTAATAATAAGTAATAAATTTAAAATCAGAGATATATCTTCACTTCTTAAAATAATATTGTTCATCTTTTTTCTAACATGAGGCTAATATTATCTATTCAAAACATTGCGTGAAACCATGATTTTGTAGAAGGTGGGCATTAATGTGTAGATAATAATTGTTCAAATTTTATAATACAAACATAACTTAACCTTGTTATTCAACTAAAATGGAATGTATTATAGGAATAAGACCAAAATTCTGCCATCATATGTATTGCTTTCCATCCGATACAAATGAAAACCATTAAATTTAAGTCTAACATTTTTATTTCAAATTAGGATGCTAAATTGAGAGGATTTTGCTGTGGCTGTGAGCAGTACCACTGAAATAGTACCTTTACTTTGTTTTAATTTCTTTGTTCATAAAGACTTTGGGTTCTGATCAAATGAAAGTAAACTTTATTCTGGAATACCTGGTCTTTTTAAAATAATATTAATGTACAGTTCCAGAAACATTGATAATGGTCTTGAATTGGAGTTCTTATCCTATCTTGGCATCAAAGTCTCACATGGTTATGTCATATTTTTATATCTATCCCAGACCTTTTTCTGTTGAATACCATATTTAATACCATTACTTGGTTGGTGAAAGCTTTAGTTTATGATAAAGGTCCTAAATCAAGATTCTTGTCTTATCTTGGTTTTTGGCAGCTGTGTAGCTATTTCACCAAAATATGAGTTTCATATCATATTTATTGATTTTATATCTTAAAGTTTAATAATAACGAATAATTATTAAGAACTGATTATCGAGAACTGCTATGCAAAGTTTGCATTGTTGATAAGTTGTTAGAATTTGACTACCATTGTTTAGACTTAATGATAATGACCAACCCGAAAATGATCTTTTAATGAGGTTTCGTTATTAAAACAATATATTGATAATGAAAAGGTTAAATCTTGGGCATCAGCAAATTAAATTCAGTTATTACTTCTATTACCTAAATATTGTCTAATTCAATAAGTTTATAGCATTTTGAAAAAGAGCTGCTTGATAGTGTACAAACTGCTTGCTCAAAACATTTTAGTCTTAAAAACTGTTATTATTGAAGTCCTAAATTACACGTCAAATACATCAAGTTCCCAACCTTATTTCAGCTGAATACTATGTCGCCTGATTAATATTTGCGATGTAAAATTAATTATTGTAACAACAAATTTGAACTATTGTTTGGACTTAATGAACCAAACTTTTAATCAAGAATATCTTCTCCCCGGTCAATGGTATCCCGCTTTTCTTTTTTTTTTTTTTTCGTTTGACGCTACAGACCTTGTAGATCTTTGTCTGCAAGATGTGGTCTTCTAGACCACATCCCGATTCCTGATTAAGTTCACGGGGATAGGGTCATCAGTCCTACGCCCGGTCAGTGTGTTACCTCCAGTAGGCTGACGGGCCTCACGAACTGGAGAGGATGGGAGTCTCAAGCAGCGTGGCTCTCTGGTGGACGGTCATCCAAACGGGTGATCACCCATCCAAGTGCTTGTCACGCTCCGCATTGCTTAACTGTGGTTACCTATTGCAAGGGCCTTAGCCCGCATGGCTATCTCAGCCCCTCCCTCTCGGTGTCCCGCTTTACCCATGTTAAAATTTGGTCACCTTACTTATGAGTCAATAACTTTATTATACCAACAAAAAATTACAAAATACTGACCTTTCAAATGAATTCAAAATGTATTTGATACATATCTTAGTGTATTTGAGTTTGGTATATGGGAAAACTTGGTATTATTTACAGTTGCTGAATTAGACTATTCTGATATGGACTGCTTGGTCATTTGTGTGCTGTCTCATGGTGAAAGTGGTGTGATTTATGCAAAAGATGCAGCGTTCAGCCATGAAGATTTGTGGGGTCCTTTTACTGCTGATAAGTGCAAATCGTTAGCTGGCAAACCAAAGTTGTTTTTTATTCAGGTAATTTTAGCTATTCAAGTTAATTTTGTTAGAGCAGAGGTAGTCAACTTTTTATATCTCTGTTAATGATAAAAAAATTTAACTATTTATCAATTCCAGAGTAATGGTGATATATGTAGTAGGAAAGTAAATTTTAATAAAAATTTTAAAGCAGTGTTCCAGTCAGTGTAAAAGCTATAAATGAATGCTGTAAGGCCCATTTATGGTAGGAACCATTTTAATTGTCACTAGCAGAGAGAGATAGTATGTGTGTCGGCTTAATATCTAAAGTTTTATTCACTTATAACGGCATATTTCTGAGCGAATGACAGCGTTGATGTTAAGCCATAATGCCCATCAGGCTGTAATGTGATGAATGTGAAATTTTTACATTTGATACTTTGCTATTGACATAAGGAAATGTTTGTATATTAGTTTCATTGGTCTGTAATTTGGAAAAGTTTTAATTGATTTGTTGCTAATTTAAATAGTGAAATTAGTGTCTGTTTAAATTTGACTCGGAGATTAGTTTTACTTATTTATATTTTTAATAAGAATTATTTGTTGTAAGAAATAAAAATAAATCTTTTTTTTTTTTCAGGCTTGCCAAGGTACTCGGTTGGATCCTGGACTCACATTAAAGGCTGAAGTAGATGCTAGTCCATCCTATAAAATTCCAATACATGCTGATTTTCTTATAGCATATTCTACCATTCCAGGTATTATAGTTAATTATATTAATATGTCATGAAAAATCATTGAAGTATTGAAAATTAAGTAATATTAATGATGAACATTGCGATACAATTTTTGAAAATAAAGGTTAGTATGGAACATTTAGTCGTCAGATATATGATGGATTGATTCTTGATGCACATGAATACTAAAAAATGATATATAAATCTATATTAAATGGAGAATTGTGACTCCAAAATGTTATTTTGGCTACAAAATCATTGAAGGAGCATGGCAATCTCTTGGTCTACTAATGTGCAAACATATAAGATCACATTTTACTTTTGCTTCTGAATGTTGAACATTTACATATAATAAACATTTAAGTTTTGGAAAGCTAATGCTATGCACAAATGGTGAAACAGTTGGAATCTATATTTATCCAAATAGTTTGGATAACCCCAGACCAGATTCCTTGGAAAAACCTCCTTGAAAGGGTTTAAGGTACAAGAAGAGTGGGAAGATCTTGGCTCCAATGGATCGATGGAGTACCTGCAGATTCAATGTCTGATTTGGTGAGCGACAGTAACTTCTATTGGCAAACCAAACTGGCAGGGGATCTTAAAACCTTAAGAGATGTTGTACCATGAGTGTTGGATGTTGCTGGACAGTCTATAGGGAGACTACACTTTGGGGAATTGCATGAACCTGGTAATTATAAGTGAAATAGGTTCTTAGTGGTTAAAATAAACTTGTAAAGTTTTGGGCCCGGATAAGAAATGAATAACTTAAATAAAAGATTCAGTGCTCTACTACCTAAAAATTGATGGAACCTCTATGTATTTACCTCTCTCCCTCCCTCCCTCTCTCTCTCTCTCTATATATATATGTATACCTTATATACCTTCCAGTTATTTTAATTTTCCAGGAATTATTTAATTATTTTTTCTATTATTGATCTCAGCTTTCTTAATTTTTTTTACAGGTTTTTATTCTTGGCGCAATACAGGAAAAGGTTCTTGGTTTGTACAAGCCCTGGCAATTGAACTGAAAGAAAATGGTTTCAGGTATGACATCCTCACTCTTCTTACTTTTGTTAATAGGCGTGTTGCTGTTGACTTCGAATCATATGTTCCTGGAAATGGTGTGATGCATGCTCAGAAACAAATTCCTTGTATTACAACAATGCTTACTAGAATATTGAAATTTCATGAAAAAAAGTGACAATTTTTATGCCTATTTAATTTTAAATGTTAGATAAAGGATTTTTTTTTAAATAAGAGATCAAAGTTATATTTATATTTGAAAAATAATGAATTTACTTTAGGAAAGAAATGTGATCTTTTTTTATAATGCTTTTAAAGATTCGGCAAAAAAATAACTGTATAGGATATAGGTATATAAAACATACTAGTGCAATATAGTTACTATAATACACAATTGTGTATCATGGAAAAATGATTTATCAAAACAACTATGTTTTAAAATGTAGTCTTAGTATTTTTTTGGTTTGTCAATATTTTATTATTTTTCTAAAACAAACTGTTAAGGAAGTTAGCTTTTAAGCCGTAACTGAAAAAATCTCTCAGGTATTTTTCTTAAACATAAGTATTCGTTTAAGGCATTTTTCCTGTTTCTTATATTTAATATTTTTTAGTTATTTATTTTAATTTTATGTGATAAGAAAGACTATTTTTTTTTTTTATCTATTATGTTATTCAAAGTTTTCTGTAATTGTGAGATATTTATGAAGTGTGAATTTAGTTTATAAGTTAGTTTGGATCTGAGTTCATTCATATATTTTTTTTTTATTCAGTTTTAGGATTTTATCTTTTTGTTTCCGTTACAGTCAATTGTCATAAAAGAAATAGCTACTGTGATTGGAGGCATAATGATGCTTTTTTTTTTTTTAATTTTATATCAAGCTTCAATTTATATTATTACGATGTATGTATTGTAAAAAAATAAATTATCCTATGATAACAGTGTAGACTAATCTAATAATGCCTCTCTTGTAAAATTAAATGAATCTTGTATCTTAAGTAAGTCCGCTAGATACATTGCAATTAACGAACAATTTTCTATTATAATTATATTTTAACATGCTTTGGCATGTTGATTTTTTTTTCATTCTGTTTTCTTAATTCAACTCTGTAAAAAAATAAAAAAACAACTAATAAATAAAAAAATTATAATAGATGCTTTAATTATTACCTAGTGAAAATATTGCTGCTATATCCATTAGTTGGTAGCTTGAGGGCCAATTCATATGGCACTAAGTTGAGATCAATATTTTGTTTTTTCTGTTATCATGTACATATTACAAGAAGAAATTGTAAATTTGTAATATAAGTATGTATATATATATATATATATATTGTATATAAATTTGTAATAAATATTTGTACATGTTTTGTAAGTAATATTTAAGGGTAAGATGAAAAACCATGTTGGTTACACTTCAGTGCTTCATGCATTTGAGTTATATGTATATTCTCCAACTGAAAGAGTATTTTTATTATTATAGGTTCTGAATCAGGCAGGCGGTTGTCCTGTGTTTTTATTTTTTTATTAGTCATTCTAGGTTTCTTCTTAAAGGAGGGATCAATTGGGTACTTGCCTGAATTTTTACTTTTCAATGAAGATTAGATTTAAAAATTAAAAATGCCGAAAGTCACAAATTTTTCTGATGAATATTTGCAAAGATAATAATCAGCAATAAAGAAAAGTGGTAGAGATAAAGCTATTTCACCAGAGTGGAGACATAGAAACATCATGACATCTGAGCGCCTAGCTCATGCTCTTGATTATCTTTTACTTTTTAGCTTAGAATAGTGTTTCGAACTTCAGGACTTCTAAGACATTTATTTACATTTTTTTCTTTAATCCTGTTTATGAATAAACAATATTTAGCTTATTAACTTTTATAAGTTAAAGCAGAGAGAGTTTTAAGCGTTCTTGTTAGGCAGCCTATGTCTCAATACAGTGGACTGACACCATGTATCTAGTCCACTCCACAAATCCGAGATGAAGTTTTATTTCAAGTTTTTAGCTAAATATACACCTTTTTTTTATATATGTTCTATATCCCTTGAATTCGATTGCATTCCAAATTTATACTTTTTTTTTTTGCAACTACCCAATTTTCCTAATTAGCCTATTTAGAAAAAACAAAAACCAGAATCACACTTCTATGGTAAATTCAGGTAAAAATTTTGAAAACTAAATTTATTTTTTTATGTTTACTACTCAATGATTAGAAGAGAGAGGGGTTGTCTAACCAACATTGTATTTTGTAGTTCATTGAAAAGTAGCGACAGGTAAAATAAAGATTAAATCATTTTATTTTTTATTCAGGCCTGGTAAGATGGGAGGGCAGTCTGGTATGAACCTCTTGCCCAACCAGTCAAATTTTATATTATATTATTTATTTATATAATTATTGTTTATTTTGCTTTGGAAATAAAACGTAATGTTCCATTTCCATACCAAAAAACACTTGAAACGAGATAGAGAATAATGAAGCAAATATGCCTAATACTTAAAACTATTTAAAATGGCATGAAAATCATTGAAGCAGAGGAAAATGAAGATAAACAGTGAGAAGTACAAACAAATGAAGAAGAAAAAAAATCGACTGGGTATTTTGGGAACATTGATGAGAACCCGAGAGCAAGATTCTCTGGAAGGGACACCTGAATCAAAGGCAATGATTGAATTAACATGTACTTAAAAAAGTATATTTTAGACGACAACCAGGATTCTATCAAATCAAGTGTTTGTTTGGTCTGCAGAACAACTATCCTAATTTTTATGTCATTGCCAAAGAATTGTTGAGTATAGTCAGTATAGGTACCATACCTATGATTTTTTTCAAAAGCTCTGACATGTTGAATAATGAATGTCAGATTCAGCTATCATCTGGTTAAGTAAAAAAAAAAAAAAATTGCTGTTCTTAAATTCCAATTTTTCTATTATAAATTCGTTTGTTTATATCTTTATTTACTTAAATATTATTCTGCAATAAAACTATTTTTTGGTTGGTAAAATTCATATACTTGTCTTATTAAATTTCCTTAAATATTCCTGTTTTGTGCAAAGCTATTTGCCTGATTGTCCCCTTGAAGCAAGTGGTGGGGGAAGATCGGATGAGATCTGAAATATAAAGTTTAATCTGCACCAGCTACCAGTAGCACTGGCCCCACTTCATCTCAGATATCCACAGAGCCATGAACTAGCAGACTGGAGGGCCCTCTCAGGTAATAAGATGTCTATGCCAACATAAAAGGGCAAGTCAATTTGCACAATTCGTATAACCTACAACTTCATCAAAATGCAGTCCACTGCATAAATAAGTCGAATGTTGCCTATTTTAAGCTCGTTAGAGTTGTTTGCCTTTATTAAATTAAAATTGGAAAGTTGCCTAAACATTTTGGTACACCCAACACGATTATGCAGTTTTTTTCTTTTAACATAGCGATGTTTTGCCTTGCGTAAAGGAAGAAAATTGCCTAGTAAGTTGAGAGTTTTTGTAAAGATCATCTATTTCCGGGCTGATATTCGTATTTCGTCTATTAATTCGTTTTTTGTTAAAATATATCTTGTGTCTTTTCTTACTTCGTTGCGTGTTTGGGGGTGCCAGTGTGTTTAAAATTGAATTTTTATTGTAAAAATCGTACATTTCTGGGCTAATATTCATGTTTCACCTACTGATTCGTTCTTTTTTTTTAAATATATCTTATGTTGTATATCTAATGCTTTCGTTACGTATTTGAGGAAGTCAAACGGTTTTCAGGAAAGAACGCATAGTGACTTAGTTAATCCTTGCTTGTCTTGGCCTTATTTGTTGAACTTTGCATTTATTTAGAAGACAATTTGTTTTGCCTTCAGCAATTAAAATTTAATTTTTATTTTTTTTAAACCTTTGAAAGTGTTGCCGACTAAGGGTGCTGAGGGACTTAAAGATATTAATGATAGGAAGGAAAGGCTGTTTCTTATAATTCAAACCACTTTCGATATGATTAAGGCCATATCGTTAAATTTTCTTATCACAAGTCACTTTCATTTCATCCTGCTTCACATGTCATTTCTCCAATTGAGTTTAACGCAGAAAATTACAATTTGGCCTATGACAAATTAGTAAAGCATTATAGTTATAAAAGGACCATTGCTGTTTAACATCTTAACAAAATTATACGGTTTAAATCATTTTCTGTTGATAATTCTTCCAACTTTAGAAACTTTTTGGATACATTTGAAGATAATTATAGTGCCTTAAAAAATCTTAAACTCAATAGCCCCGCTAATTTTGTTTTACTGCATCTCGGACTGAACATTGTAAGCCCTTATACAAGAAGAATGTTTGAGAATAGTCTCAGAGAAGAGACAGTTTCTCGCTTTGAAGAATTTTGTAAATTTGTTAGGTCACAACTTAGAGTCGCAGAAATGTATTTCGAGCATTCTACATCTAAAATTTCACAGCCTTAAGCTCAACGAAAAACATTTTTAACCAGCAATAGACCGGATAAGCAGGAATTTAAGTTAGAATGCCCAATATGTAAATCAAGCTATAAAATTATAAACTTTCCTAGGTTTCTAGATGGGTATGTTATGGTCGTTATGACCAGCTAAACAAGTCTGATTTGTGTTTTTCTTGTACGGCACCTCATCGCTTGCTTAAATGCCAAAGTAAGAGCAGTTGCCAAGTTTGTGGGAAAAGGAGTCGCCATACATTGTTACATAAAGCTGCAAACACTGAGCCATCACAGTCACAAGTAACAAACAATTCTCGTGCAGTTTCGTGCCACGCTACCACCAACTCAGGTACTTCTGGTTACTGCCTTAGGTAGAATCTGTTTAAGTTCAGGTCAGTGGTATTCATGCAGAATGGTGATAGATCCAAGTTCCCAAATTAATTTAATTACCACTGATGGAATGAAAAAGTTACGCCTTCGTTCCCGGGTTAGTCCTGTTGTGGTGCTTGGAGTAGGTAATAACTCCATCTCTTCATCTTCAGAAGATGTTAAAGTGAAGTTGGGTTCGAAGAGAAATAATAATATATATATGAGTTTTCAGCCAGAGAATTGCCCTGGATCAGTGGAAGTTTGCCGTATCTCAAGAAGTACAGAGTAGATTTGCTTCGATTGAACTTCATACGCTTGGAGTCGATTGGACACTCAATTTCATATGCCGGGAAAAGTTGATCTGCTTCTGGGTTCTGAGATTTTCTTTGAGGTTTTAAGTGACCCTGTTTTATTTTTGAAGGGTCAACCGACAGCTATCATAACCTCATTATGATGGATATTATTTGGGTACACCCTCTCGGAAAACCAAAGTCCTATCTATACCTCTTGGCCAAAGCTACCCTGCACTTACTCTTTTCACGCATACCAGCCTTTCCTTACAGGAGGAACTAAAGCGATTTTGGGAGACCGAGGAGGAAGTTTCGATTCCACCGAATCCGGAAGATGCATTTTGCGAAGATCACTTTATAAATACATGCACTCGTGATCTCCAGCGTAGATTCCTTGTTTAGCTTCCGTTACGTTCTAACCAGCCAGTTAGCCTTGATTCCACTCGAGAGATAGCTCTACGCAGATTTAGAAATCTGGAAAATAGATTTGTGAGAGATCCAGAGTATAAGACTGGATCATGTCCGCCTCGTCAAAAATCATTATCCATACGTCATGACTCATCATGAAGTCATTAAAGATTCTTCCACGACAAAGCTGAGAGCTGTATTTAACGGTTCGGAAAAGATGGTGGGAGGGAACTCACTCAATGATTTGCTTTTGACCGGCCCACAGCTCCAGACTGATATTCCGAAACTTACAGACCATTTTGACTGCTTGACCATTTCCTGTGGCCTTGATATGCGATAGATTAGCCGATGTTTCGACTCAAACATGTGGTACATTCTCAGGGCTAAAAAATACAGAATATAAAACCATCAGTAAAATAATAAATATAAAAGTGTAGGAGTAATAAGAGTACAGAATAACAGTAATAAGATTAAATAAGTAAGATAATAGCAATAAAAGTAAAGAGTTAAATCAGCATAATGATAAATACAAAAGTATACAATAGTAAAAACATTGAAATATAAAATAACATCAGTAAAATAATAAATATAAAAGTATAAGGGTAATATTTCAATGTTTTTACTATCGTATAATTTTACATTTATCATTTTGCTGATTTTATTTTTTACTTTTATTACTATTATCTAACTTATTTAATATTATTATTATCAACAATCGGTCAAGTAAACGACACAGGTTTTTCGGTCTCCATCTTTGAAGAAAAGTACTTTTCAGTGAAGTATGTTTTATATATATATTTAAACTTCTTTAAAGAGACAGCAGTACCCAGAAGGAGTTTTTATAACGCTAGTTGCGCCATCAAATTTATTTTGGGGGAGAAGGCACATTTCGACTCGGTTATGATTTTTCAAAATGAAAAGTTTCAAATCAGAGAACAATAGAAAAAGATAGAACGAACCACTGGAAGTGTAATTGTATATGATCTATGATTTTTAAAATTCTACTTTAGCTTGCACAGATTTTAAGAAGAGAGAAATAAAATATCTTGGGAGGAGAGGAGATGTTTATGCGCCACTGACCTTGGGTGGGATGTGCACTCCTGCAAAGAGAAGACTTTGGCCAAGTTTCATTAAAATTGGTACATCCTTTAAGGCACTACAGTATGCAGCAACACAGATTTTTCGGCTGCCATCTTGAAAGGAAAGGGCAGAAGGTAATGCCAAGTTCCGAGGTTCGTTTTCAGTTGGGAATGCTTCAGGTTGAAACGTTGGCATATGTAAAAAATAAATATTATCATTTATTTTTGCCTTCCTTTTTGACTGACCACCCCAACTATTCTTCTCTTCATTATCCACGACAGTCAACCTTTCATGTTGATACCATGGAACAATGTTTTTGAGTTGATTACGCCTTTGCTTCATGAAATCTATGTATCATTTTGTAATGTGGTTTATACATTATTGCTATTTTAACATTATATTAATAAAATGACTCTCTAATGATGCTCTAATTAGTTATGAAATTAATGCTATAATGCTATAATTAATGATATGAAAATGATGCTCTAATTAGCATAGTGAGGAGGTGAAGTTTTCAATTCCACATAAATATATCGCTGGGGTGAAACACAAAGTTTTGCAGTTGGGCATTACCGAAGAATAAGGTTGGCGAGATATAGATAAACTACCTGAAATGCTTAATAGCAATGAAATAAGAAGTAACTGATGTCAATATTATTGAACGTGGCATACATACTATAATTGTCAAATCACGGAATTATCAACTTCCCTGATATAAACCAGTTTTGTCAAACACAAATAATGGAACACCATAACAAAGGTAATTGAGCCAATAGCTGTTCCTCGAAAGTATTAAAGCTTTTTCTGATGTATGGTTGCGAGATGCGTTTCATAAGAGGTAACTTAGAGAGCAAAACCGAGGGATTAGAAAAGGAAATCTACTATATGATAATGTAAAAATTAAGACAAATTACTTAATTAAAAATCAGACTGGTAAGTAACTCATAATGCATAACTAAAGATGCTACCGTATCAATTATTGTCAATAGGCGAAGTAGAGCTATCAATAAATAAATTAAAGCAATTTCCTCAGCACAGTGCTTAGCTTCGTTTTGTCCGGTTAAGAGAAGGATCGATCCGATGCTATCGCTGAGCACAGCACTGAGTTTAGGATATTGCCCAAGCTAAAGAGGTTTAAATGATTGGTACTTGTTTTTTGTATGTATAATTTTTACAAATGTAGTTCATATTTAAAGATATCGTAGCAATTTTGGAAATTACCATCAGAAAAATTCCATTAAGTCGATTATAAAGTATTCACTTTACAATAATAATGTTACTTTTGAACTAAAGTAGTTTTATTTAAACAATATGAAATAAAATTAACTTTCAATTCGTAGTTTACAAGTGACTATTTGAAAAACGCGATATCTCTGATTTATATATTGTCTTTCGATTGAGAAGAAAATACAAGTGCTAACAAAATTAGCATCGTATGAAATATTAGCTATTAGTCATAATTTGTATATTTTAAATCGATTATGATAATCAATTTTCATATGAAGGAATATATTTTGAATAGATATTTTGTTGCTGATTTTATTCTGGGGCGCTGATAAGACTTTTACTTCCATTTTATCATAGATAATCATATTAAATACTTTTTAGACATTTTGTATTATCAATTGATTCATCGTCCTCCTACGCCAATTCGCAACCCATTGAACTGATCAGGGTTTTCGGCTTGTAATATGGGGAATAACCTTGGTTTTTATTATCGTTGTTCTCAATTATATTTATTTTCAATTGCTTTTTATTTCCTTAATTGATGTAACCGTCTGCACCTTTATTTGGGAGTACCTCATATTTAATAGATTTTTGTTTATCAACAATCTGTTTCTTTGACAATTCTAATGATAAATAAATGGCTGATTTTCCTGAGTATGGTATTTTCAACTCTAGATTTGGCCTGCCCAACTCTAACAAATTTGATCTTGAAGAAGCTAGGAAAAATAAAGTGCCTAATGCTGAAGACGCCTTAAAAAGTTTGAAGGATTTATTATGTAGCAATCAAAATAATGGTTAGTTTCATTAATTATACTTTTGCAAATCTAGTTATAAATTCGTTAATTTTTTTGTTTTTTTCTTAAGAAACTAGAATAACAAAAGTTATTTCAATCTCAAATATTTCTATTGATTACTGAATTTAAAAAAGATGATAAATCGTGGAATGTTAAGATCTCATTAATCAATGTAAACTCATATATGTATCGTTAATTTACTATTATTATCAGGAAAATTAATGATTGTTCATATGAAAATGTTTGAAATATGGGCATAACATAAATGGTATAATCAATGCTCTTCTTATTGTTAAAACTGTCAAGTCTCTAATTTAATTACCAATATAAGAATGGTAATTTGTTGGTAGTCACATAACATTTATATTGTGATAGACAGATATTATAGTTGGGTTTTGTTTCTGTGACACATTGTCCTAATCTGTTTTTCTATTTGCTTCAGAGCAGAATAAACCTAATAAATTTGAGTGATAAGGTTCTTATAATATCAAAACAACCTTTTTATTATGTTTTATATTCTATGTTGGCATTGACTACTCCTTGTATATGTATCACCATAATTTGCAATAATTGCCTACCATTGATCATTTTTACATACATACATAACTGCCTGAACCCATGGGATTTTTCTATCTTGGATGATCTAATATAACTTTTAATATTATAGAACAGTTTTAATAATTTCTTTTGATTAAATGGTACCTATTGTTTTTTTCATTAGAAGTGCATATGATTAATTTTATGTTAGTATAGCATTTATATGTTATAAAGGACGTCCCATAATTAAAGGGAAACATTGAAAAAGGTGATTGCAGGCCACATGAGCTACAAAAATGTTTATTTAAACAATGGTTTGATAAAAGAGGAGGTTTATGTGTTGTGTTTTAAGTGTCACATTTTTTGTTGAATAGGAAGTGAAAACTAAGAAAATATTTATTTCAGGTAATAAATAATTGCATCTTAGTAAACAAGACAAAATTTCCTTCTAGTGGTTGTCTTTGTCAAAACCATTTAAGTGGGTCTAAGTGGCTGAAGTTTTTTCATAAAATTATGGATTATTCACGATTTATATTTATCAAATTAATTTGGGACTACCGATACCTTGTTTAATCTATATCTTCATTAAGTAGATGTTAGTTATGAAATAAGTTTAGATTTACCTTTAGTTATGCAAATAAATTATGTATCAAAATCAATTTGATATTCTGTCACTGCAGAATACCTATATGTTCAGCAAAAATAACTATAATAACTTATTACAAAGTTAAATTTTTGTTTTCCTGTGGTCTTACATTTATAGTAATAAATTAGTTTAAAAAATACACCTTTCATCTATAAAAAATACTGCTTTTTTGAAAATCTAAATTGTCGCAATGTTTTTACAAAGATCTCTGTTATGGGAATTGATCCTTATATTAACTGACCAACTAAATTTTTCTATCCAGTATACATACAGAGACGGCTGTTTTCCATATCTTCCTCAAAAATAATTTATTGCAGTTAAAAGATGTGGAATTGTTACGGATTAATCTCCACTGCCAACAACCTCAACTTTGTAAGGACTATGCCTTAAATTTAAAAAGACCTATTGAAGATTTTTCTGTGCTCCAGCGAGAATAGTGATCCTACATAATTGTCAATATTCAGCTACTTTTGGAATTCCATCGATGTGACCTTGCCTCACTTGTCAACCAGATGTGGAATTTATGATCTAGTACCTTTATAATAAATTTGGATTTTAGATCTTGTTTAATTTATAACAAATGTTTATTTTAGAAATAAAAAATCACATGTAACCGGACATTGTTCACATTGTTTAGTTTTTGGGAAATAGAATGCTGATGAGGATCCTCCCACTGACAATTAAAAAGACATAGGTTCCTATATCACCTTAGCATCTACATCATCACTGAGGAAATGTTGGCCGGTAAACCTAATATTGTTTTTACACCTCTTCGGGGTATGAAAACTAGAGATTCCAGTGGTGATGGAGCAATTTTGCCAGTGGTGCAAAGTGTAGTATATATGTATATATATATTTTTTTTTTCTTTCTCTCTCTCTTTCCTTGCCTTTTAGGCTACACGGGGAATGGAGGAAGGAGAGGGAGAGGATTATGCGAAGTAAAAGTCCCACTGGGCACCGGGATTTGAACTCGTAATGTGTAGTGCATATATTAGTGAAGGAAAGACATCTGTTTACTGTGTTGATCTTGTGAAAATTCTTAAGAAGGTTTGGATTTACGATATTTTGATTCTCCCTATCCATTGATTTATCAAATCCAATCTCGCTATTTTATTGTGGCACCTTCTTCAATGGATCTTATCATCTCTAGAATTCGCATTGGTCACAGGTCATATTGTATCTTTTGAATGCAATTTATTACCTTTTCTCCTGCTCATTGCAAGTGGTCTCTGCATGATCATCATTAATTAATGGTAAGCAAGGACATATGCCATTAGTTGGTTATTCTCTCTACCTGCACATTGAGCTAAAATGAAAAAAAGATAAATCAAGTGATTTAATAATACACCTTACTCCTTTCAAATTTCCTATACTTTCCTTTAATATTTCAAATCTTTTATTAGTTAAACTTATAATTCATGATTTACCTGTAATTTTTTTTTTTTTTTGTAATTTCTTTGAGGTCTTCAATCTTACCATCATCCTTGTTTTGAGGTTGAGGACATTCTCTAATTTTATGTTTATCATTTTTTTAACTTCATAATTAAACATATATAATTCAGTTATCAATAAATTCCAATCCTCGCATTGATAACAGTAACGCTCTTTATGTTTTTTTACATTTACATTTAGATATTTCTTCCTCTTGAGGTTGAAATAGATTTATTTTAATGTTATCATTCCATTCCTTTAAAAAAAATAATACCATAATTTGTTTTGTAACCTAAAAAACACATGAAAAGTGAATGTAAAGACCCAGGACATAAAAATTGTCAAATAATGTAAAAATGGCCCATTAATATTCTACTTTTTATTTCTAAAGCTTTTTTATTATTTTTTTGTGTACGAGTGGTGTGGATTCATTAAAATTTTTGGTTCTAATCATTTGTCCTTTAATATCTTTGTTGAATAATCATTCATTTATATTCACTATAATCTATCAGTGGATGATTTGCTTCTGATTTAATACTTTTTTTTTTTGTTTCAGATATACCACATTTGGAAGATGATTTTTTGATGAGGTTTCTGTATGCCCGTAAAATGGACATTGGTGAAAGCTATACTTTATTGTGTAATTATTTTTCTTACCGACTCAGAAACAAGGAGTTATTTGAAAACTTATCTGTTGATGACCCATTAATAAAGCAAGCTCTATATGATGGTTTTCCTGGAGTATTACCTGAAAAAGATAGGTTAGTATATTTATATCCCTTTGTTAAGACCAATAATTATAGTTTTATTAATTATATTTTAATGTTTGTATTTAAATGTAAAAAAATCATATTAGCCCAGAGTATATGACGGATAGAAATAACAAAGTTTTCAAGTAAAGGCATTTGTTGTGATATTTATTGCTGCAATGCAGGCGAGCATCATTTGTTAGAAAAAAGAATAGCCAGCTATAAACTATTAGCCTCACTTCTCGTCCAGGCTCCATGGCGTATAGTTCATTGATAATTGTTAAAATGACATTTTATTGTGATATCTTCTAATTGAAGACCTGCAGCATAGAGCCAACCTCATGGACATATCATATATGCGAAAAAACATCGCCAAGGCGATCTCCAATCTTCTGACCAGCTGGAAGCCATGAAAAGAAAGGTTTTCATTTATATACCTTTTCATTTATTCATTTAGAGACTGGGTTAACATTTAAAATTAAACCATATTAATCAAGATTTGAAGAAGTTCATTTTATTTTAATATTTCTCCCTTGTAAATTTAAATGTTATGTTAATTTACATTGTACCGATGATTTATATATTTTAATTGTAATTCGTCATTTTTTTGTAAAGATATTCTTTGCTCTCATTTAGTTTTGTTTTTGTTTTATTTTTTAATGATATTTATTTAATAGAATGAAATGTTTAACCTTTTTTATATTTAATTGATTTTTAGTAATAACGAGGTAAGTAATGTTTTTGTTGTTAATACTGAAGATATTTTTTTATTTTTAAAAGTGTGTAATAATAAATCCACAACTAATCAAATTATATATAATTTATTCCACCCTCGAATAAATAAATATATATATACACATACATAATATTTTTTTGGTTCTTACATTAGAAACAACAAATTAAAATAGGGAAGAAGGATTGCAATTAATTTTGATATTGCCCCTTAGTAGGAGGAAAAAGAAAATAATTTGATTTTTTATATTAAAAATTTGGTTTTTCTTCCTAGTGATAGTTTGTTCATTTAAATTGGATTACTTCATAAGCTTCTGGATTATGAAATTCTTAAAATGCAAATTTAATGTTTTAATCAGATTTCAGAAATATGTAGATATTTAACATTGTTTTTCTGTTTTATTTTAAATTTCTTTGTATTATTAAGAATATTTTCTATATTATATTATTTTCATTATAATTAAAAAAAAGGTCATCTATCTGATTATATTGAGTATGTTTAATAGATTTTGTGCTATTTCAATAATTAGCCAAAATGCTAAACTTCTTGATTTTTATCTAAATGAAATAAATAGTAAATCTAAAATTATTTTATAAATAATGCTGCTATTATCTCTAATAATTCTAGATTTACCTGTATGTCTGTTTGATATTTTATGACAACTGTGACTGGCAGATTTTCTGTTCAACAAGAATATCAAATTAAACATTTTTTTTGGGTTTATTAGAACAAACCAGAATCCTATTTATTTATTTAAGTTAATAAAATTTTAGTTTACTTAGGAATAATTGTTTTACAGTGTTTATATCTGTATTATTTTGATGAAAAGGCTTTGATCTATTGTCGTAACAGTTTCTTAAATATTTTTATTTTTTATTAATATTTTCATTAATTTTATTACTATTTTTCCTGTATTGAAACACATTTAAGTCAAGTGATTTCAAAATTAATTATTATTTTTTTTTAAAAATTAAGTTCAGATTTTATATATCAGAAATTTGGGATGGACTAGACACCCACATTATTAAATATATATTTTTATATTACTATCTTGTGCTTAATAAAATAAAATTGCTATCGAGTTATAATTTTTTTTTAGTATATGCTAGGTTTATATTTAAGTTTATATTACATGTTTTATTTTGAAGTAAAAAGCGTTATCTTTGAAAAGTTGGTAAGAAAATTGAATAAATATATATTTTTTAATTTAATATTGATTTACTTTAATTAAAAATGATAAATTAAGTATGTTTATACAATGAATACCATTCAGGATTCTTCAATTTTTATTTTATAAAAACCTTTTTCTATTTTAAGTAAAACTTCTGTTCCAATACAAAATATTTTAATTTTTTAAAATTATATATATATTACATACATACGTACATTAATAAATTGTTATTTGATTTACAGAGGTTCAAATATTGTCTGTGAAACCAGAGCCTAATTACATAGTTTATCATTAATAATATAAATGTAAAAAAATATGTTGACATTTTTTTCTATTATCAAAGCTTACTATAAGTTAATTGCTTTAAAATATATTTATCTAACTTGAAAAACTAAATTAGTTTAGATTATTTTTCCTCACCATTATTGAATTTTTCTTGAAGGAAAGGAAGATGTGTTCTGGTATTTTTTGGCAACAATTGGGAGCAAGCCAATTATCCTCTAGAAGTAGTCTATAAATCTTTACTAATTACTCTGGAAGAACTGATTACAGATGTAAACAATCAGATAAATGGTTTTGTTGTTATTGTTGATTGGACAGATATTTCATTCAGGCAGGTTAGTTAAATAAAAATATATAAATTAAAAACATTACTTCCTATTTTTGATACATTATTAAATTAAAGTATTATAAATTAAATTTCTTACCATAGCCACTCCATTGCATTATATCTTGAATGTGTTCAAATTTCTGTGGATGAAACATCAGTAGGGAAGATAAATATCCTAGTTATCAAATTTTCAGGCTTGTTTGTTTGTTGTATTTGTCTTAGATATCCCTCTATTTTTTTACATAATTGTTTAAATCTCAGTTTTCATTTTATGTTTTAAACATTTTTGATTATTCTTGTTCTATATTTTAAACTACTAATTAAATTAATCATTTAAATAAGTGCTTATAAAAAAATCATTCTTGTGTATTGTTGATTTCTGGCATTATATTTTACTAATGCATCTATTATATTATTTATTTATGTAATGATACTAATATAGCATGACAAAAGCTCTAAAAACTCTAATAAAAATCTAATAAAAAATAACAATTATTCTCCAATTTGTAATACTATAATGAGCTGTTAAGATAAACAAGGAAAAAAAAATGTGTGTATAGAACAAATAGAATTAATTTTATCCCAAATAAGTAAATATATATTTATATATTACTAAAATATTTTTTTTTAAAAATATAACCAATAATTTAAAACAATGCAAAATATAAAAACATTGAAAAAAAAAGGAAAGAAAACTTAGGATTTTTTTTCTTCAAAAGGTTTTCATTAATATTCAATTAGGTAAAGATTAATATTTTTTAAAATTTTAAGTAGTATGGTAAGATAATAATAGAATAAAAATAAAATAGATGTGTAATATGCTGTGTTCACAAATGTAAATGTTAATGTTGTTAAGATGATTTATTATTTAGGATGAGTCAAATTGATGTTTTATTTTACAACAAATTAAAATTTTATATATATTAGTTATTTTATCGGCCAAATCATGTGGTCCTTCTTTACTGTTAGCATTGATGATTTTCATGGAACTAAGCAGAGCAATTAACTTTGTAACAGAAATAGGTTGTAATCTACTTATTGGTCATATTCCATATAATAGTAATAGTATCTGAGCAGTCAGTGCTAACCTTTTGTAGAAAAATAAATAAAAGAAATTGGTTGGAATATTTTTGTACCTCCTGGTACAGTAAAATTAGGGATTGACTCTAACACCCAATAGAAAAAAAAAATTAAACGTGTCAGAAATTGATCATTACTCTCAATATAATCTCTGGTAAATAGTCCTAAAGTTTCTAATGTCGTTTTTTGTGGTGAGAGGAAGAGAACAGAAAACTTTTTTTTTTTTAGTTTTTTGTGAAGATCTCAATTTTACTCATTAACAGTTATTTATAAAGTTTGATGTTTATAAATTTTATTTTTCAAATTATTTCATCATTATTGCATTTCTAAATTTTTTTCCTAACCAACAAAGATGTCCTATTAGGTAACTTCAATAAGTCCACGAGTATTGAGCCTCATGGTTGAAGGACTGCAAGATTGTTTTCCTGCAAAATTTAAAGGCATTCATTTTCTGAATCAGCCTTGGTATATCGAACGAATACTCTCGTTTCTGAAAACGTTTTTGAAAGAAAAAACTAGTAAAAAGGTAATTTTTTTTATTATAGTAATTATTTAGTAGTCTAATTAATAAGTAGAACCTGTAGTTTTATGCAATGGCATATTTTATTTGCATGTATTTTATGAATATCTTTATGAATCAGTGTACTTAGATACAATTAACCACATTTTATATTGAATATTTGATGGTGTGGAGAGAAAAATGAAGTTAAGATTAAAAAATTAAAATGCACAAATTCAAGATAAAATTTCATACTATAATTTGGTTCATTTTCAATTAAGAGTTGTTGTTTTATTCATTTTTTCATTTACAGAAAAATTATTATTAATTATTAGAGTTCTCTGATTCGCTATTGTGTCAGAAAAATGATTTTTTATAGTAGAGTTTTACTTATTACACTAAAAATTATTTTGTTATTAATTATGGCATCCTTAATATAAATGAATGTAGATATAAATTTGATTAATTTACTCACTGTACTAGATTTTTCAGTAAAATATTTAATTAGTTATTGATTTATATAATTTTTAATTAATTAAATTAGTGTTTAAAATAAGATTCTAGATATCAAATATTAAAATTTTAAAGTAATCATGTATTCAATATCATTCTTTTGATTTGAAAATTGTATAAAATTTGATTCTCTTTGACTGATAATTCTAATATTTTTTTTCTTTCTTTCTTTTTTTTTTTTTTAGATATTTGTGCATGGGAACAACTTGGTCTCTTTACACAGTCATGTTACTCCTGCCATCCTTCCGTCCGAGCTTGGTGGTGAAGGCCCTCCATTTTCTCCAACCTCATGGGCACACAGCCTCACAACTCAGCGGTAAGTCTTTCATTTCTATTAAAACATTGACTATTTAAAGTAATTACCTAAATTCAAAAGATTTCATGAATGAACTCTTTTTATAAGGTTCTATGAATAGTTTTTAATTTTACTGATATTATTGGTTGTGTATGAGAAGTTTTATTTTAGACACTGGTATTAAAATTGAAAACAGACTGTTTCTGTGTCGTATAACTTGGATTTCTCAAGTAGTTATTCTTGGTGCTAATGAGAATTTCTTATGTCCTCCATGGCAGGACATATATCAAGATGATAAGCTGTCATAAGAGAAATATCGGGCTTCCTACAACTTCACTTTTATGAAAATGCTACTGAAGGTGGTGGATACCCTATAAATATTGTGAAACAGGCAAATGTTTGCTTCCTTTCTGCTAATTTTGAATAGTGTTCTTTATAAGATTTTGTCGTATGTTTCCTCTCGCTACTGGTTTAGCTTATCTATAGTGCAGAAAATTTGCTGGTTGCAGCATTTCTGATCCTTGATTGGCCAATATCTCTTCATTCCCAAATAGCTCACAGGTGGCTAGATACCATTTAAACCTTGAAATATGCTCTTTTCTTTTTAATTAATTTATCTATTTATAACTTTCTACATTATCATTATCCATTAAACTCAGTGAGGGTGCAGTATGCCGTGAGTTTTTAAGGTTGGATATTTTCTTCTGTCGACATGAGGTAAGTTTTTCAGTGTCAGTTTGATTATTTTCATGGAATGCCCTTTTATTTTGTTTAAAGTTACATGTATGTGCATAATGTTGGCAGTAGTAAGAAGGTGGACACCATTGATCAGTATGTCTCTTTTATTAATGGAGTTATTTCTACCATTTCTATTATCAAGTCTCTATACTGCCTGGTGAGTTTATCACTATCTCATCTAAAATCCAGTTTTTCTAAAGTTTTAAAAATGTACTATTTTAGATCATTAAACTTCTTTTTCAAATCATTTGAATTAATTATTTCTTGTACTGGTGTTATCAATCATCCTGCTACCTTCTACCATGAATCAAGCCTAATCTCTTCCCTCTTTCAGTTGTTGATGATTGTCATTCCAAAAAGGAACTGCTTATATGCTTACTGAAGTATTTCCCCTCTTAGGTTTTCAAAATTAGATTCCACTTTATCTGGTATATAAGCTTTTTGCTTTATTTTTTTATTCAAGTTACTTCGTTTTTTGAGTGAGTTGCTTGAAAGTACCCCATTTACTTTTTTTCATTTTTCACTTATCATTAGCTGAGAATTTATTTCTATTAAATACTTTAAATTATCAACTATTATAGTAAATAAATAAATAAATAGTTAAGCATCCTGGAAAGCTAATTAATTTAGGCTTATCTGTGGCTGCTTTACTTAATCTGCAGTCAAGATACCCAAATTCAAGAAGAAATTCTTTCATTGGTGTTGTAAAAGATTCTAGAAACGTGTTTACTTCAAACTTAAAATTTAATTTTATAGAAGTATAGCCTATTTTTGAATTGCAAACTATTTATTGTGCTGTATCATAGATGATTCTGAAAGGCTGTAGGTTGAAATCCTTGTTATTTGAGAATTCGATAGTGTCACTTTGGACATGGGTTCCTGGCTCATCACTGGTCATTTATTTTACCATAAGGCTACCTAGGGGGGCTCTTGAGGTTTGTTTGGTTGGAATAACTTCCTATCCAGCCTCCGAAGCAATCACTAATTCCATGAATACCTATCATATCTATACATTTCTTTATTTTTTTTTCTTTAATCCTAAAAATGTGATTAGTTATTTTTAACATGCACCGCATATAGATGTGTTATTATGTTTTACCTTTTCCATACTTGTCTGATGAAGTAAATAAAATAAAACCTTTTGTTTTTGTGATTACTTTTCACTTTTGAAATTAACAGCGATGTGGCACAATTATATCCCTATGATTATTCATTATTTTTTAAATATTTCTTTTGATTTTAGACCTGAGCCAAAATAATGCAACATACCAATTTGAAGAAGATATTTCCGGAAAACCTTTTAGCCCTGAAGAGATATATGCCTTAACAAAACACTTGGTTTTACATTCCTCACCTAACTGTGATAACAAGCCTTTCTCCTGGCTGTCCCTTGTAACAGTCTTTCCTAATTGTTGTGAGATGTTTACCTAAGCCCTTAGGAAGATTTTAAATTGTTTTATTTAAATAGTATTCTTTTTATTTATTATATTTTTGTATATAGTTATTGTTGCAAGATACTTTACATTGAAAATAAAGTATTAAATTATGCTTATTCGGGTAATAATTATCTGATAATGAAATTTATTTAATGATAGTCTTCCAGATCGGCACACTAGTTTATACTAGAGATGGGTATATTTATGGCATTCATGAAAATAAATATGAATATATTACATATTCGTTAAAAGTAATATGAATACAGATGATACGTATTCACAGCTGTAAATAAAAATACTGTAGTATTTACTGTTGTAAAAGTTTATTAAAATGAATACACTTAAATTTACAGAAGAGAATGGAAATATTTTCACAATACCTTATAAATGAATATTCTTATTTATTAAATAAATATTAATTTTCAGTCACGTCCAATTTCACACCCGTAGGATGTATAGTTTGGTATTTTCCAAAATAAAACAAAAAAGTGTGAAAAAATTAAAATAAATTTTAGGACAGTAAGAGGTTTATTGAATTGAATCTATCTCTTCAAAAATGTTGGAATAATGTTCGTAAGTTGGTGTTTGCTAACTCGAAATGATATATATCTATTTGCTATATTTATATTTACTGCTGTGAATACTTATTATCACTATTCATATTCCTGTTTATGAATATAATTATATTCGTAAGTGCTCGTATTATTATTATTTATAATTATATAAATGGTGTTCGTATTTATATTTTTGAATATAAATATGCCCATCTCTGGTTTATACCTTTTTTAAAATAAATGTGACAATACTGTTTTTAAATATTATGCTTCTGCACGATCTTGAAGTACTGTCGAAAAGCTATGAACTTCTTATTTAATTTACTAAATTTGTAAGGATGAAATGCATTTAGATGATAAACTACAGGTTTACTTAATTATTAATGTATTCCGTTTTTAATTTATATTTTGTGATATTAGTGTCTACGAATAATTTTTTATGTATATATTATTTAAAAGACAAAATAAAAGACATTAATTATAAATAATTATCAATTTTTTTTTGTATTTTAGCCAAATGGGGTTCATAATTTTTTTAAATTAATTATACATTATTCTTTTTACTTTTATGGATTAAACATAATTTTATTCAGATGAGGAATATTCAAATACAAATTTATTTTGTAACAAATATTTTTTAACTATTTATTATTTATTTCAGTCATTTTTTATTTGTTTACTGTTGCTCTGAAAAATGAATAATTTATTATTTATACCTCGTACTTATTCAGTAAAGTTCAGTTGATATGTAAACATTATTGACCTTAGGTAACAAACATTCAACTCCTGATTATCTGCTAGTTTGTTATTCGTGATAGGACTTACCAATGATGAAATAAATGGAAAAAGTTTACACAGAAATGATTGATGTTTTTAATGACTATACAACTTTTTTTAAATCGGGACTTAAAGAATTAATTCAGTATTTAATTAGAAAAAATAATTTTTTGTATGTTTTATATTGTTGATGATTTAAATATATATTCTATAAAATATGTAACTATGCTAATTTAATTGAGTTATAAATTTTATAATTAATACCTGTTATCTAATTTGCTGATCTTTACAATGTATATATAAAAGGAATGTGGTTCTTGTTTGTTTAGTAATGGTTTGATATTTGTTAATTATGTAATTTATTATCCACTACATTTTAACTTGCTTCTCATTAAGATGAGGACTTTTAATTTTATGAATGTGAATACATGATTCATTTTCATGTCAATAAATCCCTAAGTATTACTGTTTGTACTTAAAATTGTTGATTATTTTATTTACTTGTTTTAAAAGCAGAAAATAAATATATTAAATAATGATATCAGTGAAAAATATTAGTTTAAGCAATAAAAGTATTTATTAGAATATATTATAAAGCATTTATTAACTTATAACATTTTATACAGTTCTTATTATATTGCTTTGATGTGTTGTTAATTGTTGAAATTTTAAAATTTAATTGCAATAAAGATGTTATAGTTAGAGTGTTAATTGTTTATTATGAATTAGAAACCCTTCTTGCGAACCTAAATTTTCAGTATCCTTTTCTTCAAACTACGATGATACAATAGATAAGACAGAGTACCTAGGATATAGTTAGAACTATTTATATCAAAGATCTTTAAATGAGTTAAAATCAGATTGAACTTTTATTATGTATTTGTCTATCTAGTCTCCTTGTTTAAAAATAAGTTATCTATTTAAATCAGTGCTTTAAAGTGAAATTAACCCTGTATAACAGTGTCAATTATCTGGGCTAATTCAAAATCTAGTATGAAATTGCATCTAGAAACAAATAATATATGTTTATTTAAACATTTAACTATCGTAATGTCAACATTTGTGTATTATCATGCTTAAAAAATTCTAAAAAACTCCTGTATATCTTTTTCAACATTAAAACAATGACTGTGATTAATAAGTTAGAATCAACAATTTAAATGAAATTGAAAGGAGACTGGGAAAAAATTATGCATAGACATCTTTTAAATTCAGAAATAAAATAATAGAAATTTGTTTAGTCAGTTGTAAGCGGAACTTTATTAGTGACTTCAAATTGATTGAAGACACTTCTATGCCAATGCTACTATATATATTGATCCTCCAAACTGCATCAATTTGTCCTAATGAAGACCTAAAATTATTGGAATTTCGATTAATCTAGTTATCCAGCCTCACCATTTTCTCCTTTAAACACATAACTTATTACAGAATGAAATAAATACGATGCAATAAATAATTTTTTATTGTTATCAGTTACAACTCTTTCTTAATTCATTAACAATATAAAAATAGATAATTGACTACTTTGACAGTAAAAGGGAGTCTGCAATTTTTTATTAATGTATATATATATATTTTTTGTTCCCATCGGTTTTAAAGACAGCCTTGATTCTTAAAAAATATTGATTACTTACTAATTAACTCAACAATGCCATTAAAACAATAAATAACAGTCAATGAACAGAGGATCATAAGTATTATAAAAACAAAAAATATTAAACTTTCATAAGATTACAGATTCAATGAAATATTATTTAGAAACTATAAAATATATACAGCAGAACGTCAACCACCTAAACAGTTAAATGAATTACAACTAAAGCATGTTTGACACCAGTTTAAATTATTCTTAGGAAGATATTTTGTAAGTATATTTATATATAAAAATCAGTTTTAATGCTTGTTTTTTTTTTTTTTAAATATTAATATATGTATATTATGACCCCAGTTTCAAAACCTAACTATACATATATTTTTTCTAAATTATAGTTTTGAGTGAATCTTTTTTTATGAAGTTTGATGCACTTAATTGCAAAAGTTCTCATTATAGTAAGTTTTTTTTTGTTTCTTAATACAACTTGCAGATAACGAATTCACCAAATTTTAAGACATTAACAAATTTAACTAGGAACAAAAATTTAATTGAGACTTGGAAATTAGGGTCACAATACATCATTCATGTATGATTTTAGAGATTAGGGAGAAAAACATAAAAACTGAATCAATGAAAATATAGCTATAAGAATAACAATTTGTAATTTTTTGTGTTGTAATATTCGTTTAATTTAATGTTTAAATGTATATTTTGCTGTAATTGTCATTTATTAATAATGACAAAAATTCAATATATGGTTGTTAATAGACGTTCTACTGCACTTTCAAATACTATTTCCATTTACAAGGACAGATAAAATGACAATAATACATTAAATAACACCGAGGACGGACTCACATCATTTTAACAGTGATGATAATAAAATAAAATCTATAAAATAAGGTGCTACATAACTGATCAAATAATAAACATCATATAAAATGAAAAACAAACTTATATTACAAGTTAAACCTCGAAAAAATTGTTTTTAAATAATTGGAATAAAACTATGAGAACCACTACAAGGACGGAACAGTTAATATGTTAAACACTTATATATAATTACTTTTAAAAACTAAAGATTTAAAAAAAAAAATCACATTGCTTATATCTAGTTGTTCAAAAACACGGGAATCACACTTTGGAATGTTTAATTTTTAAAAAAATACAAACAAAATTAACTTACTTAGTATATGTACCAGTATTAAAGTTAAAATAATTATTGTGATCATTATCCCTAATGAACCTACTTTAATATCAACAATGGTAATATCGGATTGTAAATAAGTACTTTGGATGTTTTGGCGATGCGGCCTGTCAAGGAAGCTGGAAGGGGTGATGCATATAAATCTCAAGTTTGGCAGCACTCATTCGAATTGGCCTGGGTAGTTTGAACTTAATTTCATGGATGGATTCACAGAAAGTATCTCGACCTTTCCATTATGATTAGAATGTTTGGTTATACCTCTAGGTAATCCGACCTCTTCTCCCCCATATCTCAGAAAAGAGGTAGGAGGTAATGGTTAAGTAGTAGAGCACATTATGCCAGGAAATAGGAACGAAATCTCAGAAATATTAGAACTACTTAAAAAATTAAAAAAAAAACATGGAGACGAAGCTTTTGATAGTAAGCCAATGAAATGATACATCATTATATATTTCGGAAATAAAAATAAAATCCAGGTTATTTTAGTCTATTGCAGTGATATTTGAGTATTCTGATGAATTGAAAATCCACCATTTTTTTAATAACTAAAAGTCAGATTAAGGCTAAACAGATCTTTAAAGTAAGAGAAAACAAAATATTGAATTGTAGAATAAGTATAGATTAAGGAAAGGCGAGGTAGGAGGTAATAGTAAAATACAAATTAAGTCGGGCAAATAGGCACAAAATTTAAGAAATATTAGAACCACTTAAAAAAAACATGGGCAAGAGCAACAGTATAAGGTGGCATATTTCCTCATTAACTGGTTCAAATGGCCCACTGAGTCGATAGGTAATAATTTAAAAAAGTTGAGAACAGTGTTTGTTTGACATGGGATAGTTAGTTCATTGGTGCTAAGCGATTCTTACAAATAATTTTTTCCCTTATTTTTATGAAAAACATAACTGCTTCAAAATGCCAGTTAATATTACCCATTGCTCAATTAAAAATAGATTAATTTTTTGTTGGTTCAATGCTTTTGTTCAGAAGCTGATAAAAAAAAAAAGCAAATAAAGTGAAATTATGAAGAATGAATACATAATTTTTAAATCTGTTGGAAAGACAAGAGGTTAGTAATAATTGGTTAAGTACGATTTCTCTACAATGCTAAAGGAACCAATACAACCAATTCACAAAAAAACTAAAAATAGATGAAAATTATTGTCATTAGACAGAAAATGATCTTTTAAAGCAATTAATTGTTTTTCAAATAAATAGAAATTTAAAAACTTAATAACATAATAGAGCCTTAGCATTTTTTTTATACAGAAATACAGTTAAAAAAAAACAATAAAATTTTAAAACGAAACAAATACGTATCGGATCATCAAACGTTTTTTCTTACTTCTATCAAAGAGATCAATCAATACATGTTATATAAAACATTGTTTAACCAAAAAGCCTTATGATTTTATTGGGTATTTCCTTCGAATTGGGTACCCGCATGCAAAAAAATTGCACTAACTTGTGCTCTACAAGAATTTAAGAGATATAAAATATTTAAGATTGAGATTGCACAAAAAAAAAAAAAAAAAAATAAAAAAGGTTCATATTTAGCTAAAAACTTGAAATAGGTAACGGTAAGCGAGAAAGCTGTGGGAGGTGGGGATAAGGAGTGGAGTCTGAGACCACCATAAATCGATGTGTACGGCTGCTAAACATGATATTGTCAAAATTCTCTCAGCTATGCTTTGCAAAATACATTACATTTTCAAATACTTTTATTTACAGACAACAGAGCGAGAGACAAAGATATTTCTTGGATGGAAGTTTTGAAACTGGAAACATCATCCTAGGCTAAAAAGTATAAGATAGTAACAGATCCAGGATTTCGTTTGGGAGGAAATTGATTTATTTTTTTAAATTGGTAATTACTATGAAATGATGTTCCATTCTGTAGGCGACAAAAAAAAAAAAAATAAATAAATAAATAAAAAGAATTACTATCCATTTTAGAGGGTTGGGAGGCCTTGAACTCGAAAGTCCCCCCTCTCCCTGTAGATCCGCCAGTGGAATGAGCTAGTCACTGGCATCCCATGATCCATCCATACCAATTTTTTTTAAACGTTTATTATCTTTGTAAATGTGCATAATAAAAATTAGGGATTTTTGCATGTTTATTGTTATTAGATAATTGTCACTAAACAATACAAATTGAAAATTCATGCTAGTACCCAACCCAGTTGGAGTCAATTATTTTGCTTTTCTTTTTAACCACTTCTGTTCATTAGTACTTATTAATCCTACACGTATTTTAGAATTTGTATTTATTCTTCACTTTTTAAGTTACAAATTTTTAATCTTTCATCAAGCGGGAACTATAACTTTTTGTTTTAATAAAATTATTTTTCAATTAAAAAATTTATAATTCTCTAATTTAGAAACTTTCAATATCTTAGAACTATGCTAATTGTCATTTTTATGTTCAAATATGCAACAACTTCAATTAATAGCATTTAAAATTTTAAGACAGTTTTTTTTTCATTACTCACTTTGAAAACAAAATAAATCCTTTTGATTATAAAATGTTTGAGCAATGAAAAATATTAATCATTTAACGGACTAAAACACTGTCATGATATACGTTTTTGTAACCGTTCTTTGATATGAAAAATGATACTTCCCTTGACAAAGATGGTTTCTTTTAAGTCAATTCTTAAGCTAATGGTTGTAATCAAAATCTTTACACGTCAAATTATTTTCAAATTTATCGATAACAGATCTTTTTAGTTATAAACAATTCCCCTAGTTGAAACTATTAAGCTCTTATTTACAGCAATCAGTAGCTTTGGATTTTACAGCTGAATAAACAGCTAATCGGTAATATTTACAGTTTCTTCTGTATATACATGTGTCAAATTGGTGTTTCTGACTGTGGTGTATAACCAGGTGGCCCTGAAACTAAGAAATGTCTGTATGAGTGAGCTCGTGTCCCGTGAAAATTAGAATAACTTGATCTTGCTGAGGGTGGTCTCTCTTCGTCATAGGAGTTTTCAGGGCTATGGCGAAACATGAGATTGGTATGGCCACTGAGTGGTCTGGAAGTTTCATCTAACAAAAAATTAACAAATATAAACAGACATCACAAACATCTATAGTTTAAACAATCATATACAAATCAAGAAAGGTTTATAATGATGAAACATTTATAATGAGAAAAGGGTTATTACTAGAGACCAGATTTCCTTGTTATTGCACATTTTATTCGCTTGCGTGTAAAAAACGCCAGACCCAAATATCTATCCGTTTCAGGATATGTAGAATAACATACCGTAAGATGGGGTGACTGGGACAAAATGAGCCCTCTTACACCAGTTCATGTTGAACACTCTTTTTCTCAATTAAAAGACATATTAAGTGATAGCATAAACAATTTTTCAGAAACAAATTTCGAAATGTATAAGATTGTAAATTTATGATTATATATGTACATATATTATTTTTAATTAAAATTAAATATCTAAAATCAATTGGTCTGGTAAATATAATATATACTTATCCTTCATAACTTGAATCTTTTTAAGTTTCTCTACATTACTTCATTCCTTATATGTGCCAGTCAATTAACCAGTTTAGGGGAAATTTAAATAAATATATTTAATTATTTGTTGGTTAATTATTGAGACCTTTTTGTATTTGTTTTATGAATTATCTTTAAATATTCTATTAGTTGTTAGTTCTTAATTTTTTTAAATTTCTCTTTCTTCAAGATTTAAGTTAATCGTAATTTATTGTTGTATTAGATTATGTATTGTTATCGTTAGTTGATTGTAATATAGATTTTAATTTTCAATGTTGCATTTCAATTTTTTTTTTGTGATGCCAAATTTCAATTCAGAAGCTTAACTTAAGGATTTTGATGTATTAATATTATAAATTAAATAAAATAGAGGATTTTTTAACGTTTTCAGGTGTAAATTAGACACCTAAAATTTTACATATTTTGGATTTTTACTGCATGATTTTGCTGCACGTTTTTCGGATTTTTATTGCACGAAGATCCGGTCTCTAGTTATTACTAATGATAAATTGTTGAAGAAGACGTGTAATTAAAAAAAAAATTTAAACACGTTTAAAAAAAATCCTGAATGAAATTTTATCACAATAAAATAGTTCAAACACAAATGTTGTCATAAATAAACATACTCTTCTAAATCATTGAAGTGGAATATATATATATATATATATATATATATATATATATATATATATATATATATATAATTTTTTTTTTTTTTTATGCAATGAAACATGATGAGTCAACCGGGACAAATTGAAGATAGCAGATACTGTCATAAATTTTTTTTTAACAGCCAGGAAATTTAATATGTCATTAGCATTGATATAAATGTTGTGATTATACTTAGTAATTTTACAAGTCAAACAAGCTTTTGCTCTCATAAACAAAAAGTGAATATATTTTAATGCATAACAGTAAGTTTCCATCTATTGCAGGATGAAGTTATTATTTAAGTTGATTACATCACACATCTGGTTGTTACTCTACAACTCATCATTATAATCCATAAGTAATAATAATAATTTGATACATTACCATTTCTTGGAGGATGAGATGACCGATTTCTCCTAGATGATCTCAGACTTGACCTTCCTCCATGTTGCCTCCTAGGAAGAGAACCTGTGTGACAACCTCTAGAATCACTCCGCCTTTTAACTCTTCTAGGAGTCATTGGTCGACTTACTCTAGGATCAATTTCTTAAAACAAAATAAAATAATTTAATATAAGATTTATGAATTAAAAATTTATTATTGATTGTTCAAAAAATTTACTAACCATCAATTGAATCACCACTAAAATCAGGGCCATTATTTACACGTCGTGGAATCAAATCAACAGGATACAGAGGACTTTGAATAGTTTTTTTTAAGGTTGAAGGAGCTTAATAAAAAAAATAATTATATATAGATATTAATTTATAAGGATAATTATATTACCAATAATTTAAAAGAGATTAAGTAATTTACTTTCTTGTTCTCCATTCTTGATTGTGTTACTTAAAGAGACACAAAAACCAAAACCAATTATCTGAAAACAAACATTTAATTTTAATAAAATTATTGTTAGGATTACAATACTATTTATTATTACTAGTATAAAAATATAATAATACTTGGCAGGCCCATTACTGGCAAGCTAGTAGTCCTGAACTCATAATTACAATTGAGTATCTTCATAACAAGCAAAACAGGCTTATCCAAGGATGAAAGAAAAAACTATTCAATAAACTTGTCATGCACTGATTGCTAAGTTCCCCATAAGTTCAGTTGCTCAGATAAGTTAGTTAGATTTTTATTACTTACTGTATTTGTTAATACAGTACATTTATCCATTAACTGATGGATAATTAGATGGTAATAAGGTTAAAGAGATTATGATAAATAACTAAAGTGCTAACTGCCATATATTCTACATAATACTAGGTACTACAATGATTATTTTATTATTAAAACAACCATTTTCTGATATGTTTTTCCATTTAAATGTTTCATGATAGGTACCTGACAAAAGTATATTATTATTCAGCATAATCATAACCACTAATGCTATATGAACATTTTTTTAAACTAAACTAAAAATTAAAATAAAAAACATACACCAAGTAAAGCATGTAGGGCAGCCTGTGTAGCTTCCAAATTATAATAACGAATTATACAACCAGTGACTAGATCAGGACGCAGGGGGTGCCAAGGTTCTGTTTCTATTCCAGTTTGATTAGGAAGAAATAAAGCTTTACAACCAGGACCGTTAGCTTCCCACCAACTGATACTCCCAGCACCTAGGCTCAACACATCCCACTCCTAAACAGCAATGGAATAAAAGTAATGAAAAGAATAAATTAAATATTATATGAGTCGTTCAATTGACACTCTGACAAGTCCATTTTTCTGTTTTCAGAATTTTTTTTTAATAACCTTTTTGGCACATACAATTCTCTAAGAGAATTATTTATTCCCTTTTAAGTGAATGTTGAAGGCATTAATGATTTGGCATTTTTTCTGGGGTAGTCACTTATTATAGACCTAGTAAGAATGTCAACACAACGGCTCATATAATAAATTCAATAATTTTATAATATATATTATGAGAGGAAGATAATGGATATATTTTGAAATATGGTGCATATTTTATTTCAATTCTTAACGCTTATACCCTTATTCTGAGTAATAATAATAATCTATTTATAACCTAACTGTAAGAGTATTACAAATTTTATAAATTAATTTGTATGCAGGGCGGAAAATAACACATTGGTGTTGATTATATGAAGAATCACAATTATGTAATTAACTACTCATGAAAAAATAAATAACAGAATTAAAGAAGTTGATAACCCTGATCTATCTAAAACTCATCATACAAATCTTCAAATCCCTTCTTCGACATTGTTTGCTATTGTCTATCTGAACAAAAAAAAGAAAAGGCGTGTGATTGATTTTAGTATTTACCTAACGTTAAAATTTGTTGGATTGTTTAATTTATTTAATGTCATTTGGATTTATGTATATTTGAATTTAGCTATAAAATACTGTTGGTGGATTAAATAAATAAATAATCTTGTTACTTCAATCTTACACAAATAATTTAATATTGCGTTGTTTAAATTTTAAACAATATTTCTTATAATTTTTTCAGACTTGAAAGAAACATAGGAAATAAAACGTATTAACGTTACTGTTATCATCAAAACAATGCTCTGATATGATAACATTATCTACAACAACCGAACCGCCAACAGCTCCAATGCTTCAGCAGCGGTCAGATAGGAGCAGTCTAGATATGACGTCATACTTAGAATGCCGAGCAGCGCCAACAAAATAGGTTCCTGTTTATTCCACTAAAGCAGTGCTCAACCGCAAGCGATTGCTGGACTGGGCAGTACCAGCAAAATAGTACCTTAGGAAAGAATAAGTGATAACATATAAAAGGAGGTTATGCAACTGCTGTGAGGGAAAGTGTGGATATATTACTATCTTCTGATAAAAGCATTTAACAACAAATAAAATGCTTCGATAATACCCAGGAACCAATATTGATTAATATTGTGCTGTAAACTTAAATTGACTATTGTCTAAAAGCATTTAGAATATCAAAAATAGTTTAATATAAAATAATATAAGTCATTATTACATCATATTTGAATTGGAGGAATAACGTTTGTTGCTACTTGCTACAAAAGGTCATTAAAATTTTCGTACTACCAGCTGGCTACAGTTAGTTTGAGAACTTGATCCTTGATTTTCCCTTACAATGAGTAAAAACATGGAATAAAATTTTCTTCCACCCAAACAAATAATTGTAAAAGAAGGCACACCAAGCCACTAACTCATTGGTTTTTCTATTGATGTAACTGCGCAATAAATAAATTAAACTTACTCTATTTAAAATGCCAATGTTTAGATAAAAACAAAATATGAAAGAGTTCCAGCCAATCCAGAATAGAGTCCACAAGCAGTACTGCAAAATTATGAGATATTATTAAAAAAAAAAAAAAAAAAGCTGTAATAGACAAGATAATAGTGACTCACAGTCAATAAATATGAAGATTTATACTGCCATGCTCCGAAAAAACCAAATATCACAAATATTATTTGAAAGAAATTCACAATAATGGGACACCACATAAAACCAAGGAAATCAAATACCTGCCTCCAGATAGTTGTTATCTAAAATCAGATATATACAATTCATGATCCATCACAGAATCATACATAAAATTAAATTTGCGATGTGAATAAAATAAGTTCATTTATCAGTCTAAGATAAAATCTCTAATTTTGAAACCTTACCAATTGTGAGCAACAAGTACTCAAAAGGAAAAGTCTTTTATTACAACCCATTTTAAAATTGAAAAACGTAGGGTTAAAAATATTAAAAAATTATGCGAATCACAATCGCACATAATACTCATTTTACAAAACATAATAAACAAATAACAAGTTAACCCATTGTAAATCAACAAACAAACAAGACTAAATGCAGAGTTGCCAACAATAAAAAAAATATAATTAATAACTTTTCAATGAAACCAATATTAAATAAAATATATCTAAATAACAAGACACAACTAATATTAAATAAAAAAATATTTTTATAATTATTTACGTATTTAATGTAATTTTTAATTATTTATCAGATTTATCACCCTGGGCCCACACTACAGGCAAATCGAGGCAAATTCCCGCATTTTGCCTCAGTTTTATGGGAATTTGCCCGAGTTTGCTAGCGCCACTGTCGTAGAGAACAAAGGAAAGGGCGAGAGTGGGAGAAGGTGGTGGGGATATTTTGACCAGCTGGTGGAAGGTAATGGGCTGTTTACCCCGGTTTGTTGCATATCCATCCGAAATGGAAAACTTAGGCAAAATCCAAGCAAGTTTTGCATTATGGCCGTTGCGCTACGCTAGTGATGCATTGAATAGCCACTGTGATTGGCTGACACAGAAACTTCCATTTTCCGCTTTTTTTTGCAATATCCGGAATAAAACAAAATTAGTGCGCACAACATACAACTTTCACTTACCTTTCTACTTTGAATAGAAATTATTTTCTGGAAATGTTGAGCAATTATAAAAATTTTTAAGTGCACTTTTAACGGATCTATAGCTTAAAGGTCTACAGCTAACTAATCATTATCATCCCTAAAATAACAGAAACCCTATTAATTATATCAACGGTAGATAATAAAAACCTCCCTACCCCATCTTTTTTCGTAAACCATATAACTCCGGTCTCTGAGCAATATACATATGTCTAGAGAGATTTTCAAGTATATCTCTATATTCAACCTATAAATTATTATGTATTCTACGCCTATTAGTTATTAAACTGTTACTTTCCATTGTAAAGTTTACTACAAAGAAATTACGAGATTTTCATAGCCTGTCATAGATAGCTCAAAAGTTGTTACACTAATTTAACAAAGGGAAAATTCATCAAATTACTCACTAATTTAATTTTTTTAAATGTTATACGACGATCAACGGACGTTGATACCTAATTATTTAAATATAATATCAGATTTAGAATTATTAAACTACAGTAAATGTATTTAAGGTTATAAACATAGGCTTTATACATCCATTTAATATTTTTATATTTCACTTCTTTCACATTAGTACTATGAAATAGTTTTTTAACAATAACATTGCGTTGATTAGGTGAATTTTAAATACTTTTTCAAACTTAAAAACAATTTAAATTTAGTTAGTAAATTTCATTTATTTAATTTCCTTGAAAAAATGTGATTTCCGTTAAATAATATTAGTTTACACAAATTATTATTTATAATAATCTCTCTCCATTACATTCTATATTTCATATTGTTTTTTTCTAAAATTATCCGTTTTCCAATGATATAACTTCTGAAAAGTATTGCCGGTAATTCATTTTCATCCTCAATACACATTTTCCCTTTTTTCTCCATTTTTCAATTATCAAATTCTTTCAAAAGTTATATTTAGCATTTTTTCGTAATTCTTAATAATGAGAGATGGTTAATTATTAAAAATTAATCAAATTAAAGGTACTTTAGAGGATGAAATGTTGAACATTTAGGCATTTAAGCTATGTAAAGTGACATTAATGGGGATAAGACCTCAATGATATTAAAGACCACTTAATTATACAATAATACACGAGTTTAATCAAAATTTTCTGTGCAACCAGCTTTCTGTCTTTCAGTAATAACAAACAAATCATTATAAACTACAAAAATTAAATGAAGATATTATTTGCCATTAAATGAATTATGGAAGTTTGTTAGCGGAAGGGTTCATATAAATAAAATTAAATAAGATATAATGAAATATAACATATATTTTTGAACATTTTTACATAATATATTTTAAATAACAAAACTTTTAATCCATTACTTGTTTTTCCCATTTGTCATTACTTATATATATTTATTTGATTTATTATATTTCCATATATTTGCTATTTGTACTTATCATCTTTTTGAGTGTCAGGTATATATATCATAACCTTTCGTACTTATTCATTACCTTTTATTATCATAAACTAAGTTTTTGTTAATTCATCTAATTACATTTTATTATTCATATCTAATTATTCCATTTTATGTTTCTTCTTCATTTAATACTACTCTTCATTGTTTATTTCCGTTTTATAGTTGAATTGAAATACTTTATAAAACCAATTATGTCAAGTTCCACTTTTGGTAATATTATTTCAGCCAACAATTTGCCCTAACATCGCTGCCATACTCCTATCTACCTTAATAAATAAGTATAATCACTGAACTTTTCATTTTTTAGATAGATTCTGCATTTACACAAAAAAACCATTAAGCAAAAAGTTTTTTTATGTTTTTGAAAACTCGGAGTTGAAATTTTTAATGATCCCAATACTTCGCATTACATTAAAATAAAATAATATCCATTTTCACATATTATTTAGTCAATATAAAAAAAAAGTTCAAAATATATTTATTTTTTAACCTATGCTTATTCTACTTTAGAGAGTTGAAAACAAGTATTCATTATTTTTTTAAAATGATCAGTTTATCAGTTTCTTTTTTAGTGCCCATATTTGTATCGGTCTGTCAACTAATTTTACATTTCACAGACATTAGTGTTAATCTACATCTGTTTTTTTTTTCTTTCTATATCTTCAGTTCAAATAAAACCGAACAACTCACAAAATTACTAACCTAGACTCTAATAAAGCTGCATTAATAACATTTTAAGCACATATTGAAACACCATAATACAATACTATATTTGTAATTAAATGACTGTATCATGGTTAGAGACTAACATCATACAGTGCCAATTTTGATGCCTACTTCAATAAATAATCAACCATCCTAAGCCTAAAAAAGTTATATTTGTATAAAACATTGTCTGATTAAAATAACAATTAAGTCTAAGTGTGGAAATTTTAACCACATAGTGAGACTGCCTTTGTTTTGTTATTCGCATTTTTAATTTTAGAAATTTGACATATACCTATCATTTATTGGTTATTTATACACAAGTTGTAATATATATGTTTGAAGGGAAATGATGGAAGATGTTATTTATAATACATACAACCCATATATTTGCAAAATATAATAAATCATATACATAAACTAAATTTAATAATTATAATGTTGCTAGAAAATTAATCTTTATATCCTAACTTTGTTATTATTATACAAAATAGAAATTCTATTAATGAACAAATAAATATTTTTAGGTTCAAATATACAATACAAAATATAAATGAATTAATACAACATACAAATTAATGAATACAAGATATGTTTTTGTTTATACAACATCATGAATAAAGGAATTTAACATTACAAATAAAGCATTTTTAAATGCATCAGAAAAAGCTGAATAATAACTAATGAGTATTCTAATAATTTACTGGATTATTCTCCATCTTCTTCAAACACCTTTAAAAAGGCTTTATTAATAATATGTCTTTTTGGAGGTACAACCTTACTAGTATTTACAGAAAAAGTGTCTGTTTTATATTTTTTAAATGGCCCAGCATGTTGCTGGAAAATCACTCTTTATGGTGCATTAAAAATACCACGGGCACAGGCTGCCATCTTGTTTAAACTAGTGCTGGTTTCAATATTACAAATATTTTTATTCCACAAAGTCCGCACACATCTTCCCCAAGCCTCGTTCCATTTCACATATGCACAAACTTTGTTCTGGTTGAGGTAATTGGTCCAACCCTTCTCCTAACATGGACCCATAATTCTGTGCAATTGTTTTGGGTTTATTTGTATTTCCGCACTGTTTTTCTATTATTTGGACGAGTTTATTGAACGGGGCCATAATTTCCTCTTCGCCTTTGTTTGATTTTTTTTTTTTGTCTTAGGCTGCAATACATACCGTTGTTCAATAAAGATGAATCATCGAGTACTTCAGCCTGTCCTTCATGTTCACACTCAACAGTAGGGGAACGCTGGAAAAAAAAAAAAAAATTACCAATCTTAGGCCTGGTATCATCCAACTAAAAAATCAGATTTTTTAATTTCGTTATAATTTTTTCCCTTCTATTTTTTGCGATGCTTATAACACATTTAGTTGAGATTTTCATTTTTAGAGGAGGGTCTATGTCTGGCACACTTTAAGACTCAATTTTACAGAGAACAAATAAAAGCTATGTAACATTTACATTAATAATGAAAGTCGAGGAAAAAACAAAACTAATCCTTAATTGAAATAGGAAACAATGGAATCAAATTCATAACAGAAGAAAATAAATAATTTGTTACGGGTAAACAGATAATGTGGAGGGTTAAGGAAACAAGACAGAATGGCTAAGGCATCATAGGGCATTTTCTCTTTATAGTCATTACCCTATGTACATTGTTTTGCTATATGAAAAAGTATAAAAAAAATAACTTAATCATAGACTAGGAGGGATATCGAAAACTAACAATGAACTTCCAATTAACTAAATATAAATAACCAGTTAAATGCTAAATAATTAACACCCCTTGTCCATTGTTTCCTTTGCGATGATGTACTTAAGTTGGACGTTAGAAAAGAAAATAGAACTAAATTAACTTACTACAGACTTAATTGATTGTTTGAATTGAAAAATAATAAAGTAACACTTGCAAATTTAGTAAAAGAGGAATTAACCATTCACTAAATTGTAAAAAATGTCTATACAGTAAATCAAAGAACCTCATAAATAAATGGAGAAAAAAATTTTTAAATGCATTCCTTGAATCAAACAATTGAAAAAACAATTGGCAGCTCATTGCAAAGTAATTAAGTGAAAATTCATTATTTCTTAAGTAATCAAGAACTTTGAATATCTTTTTCTTTATAAAATCAGAAAATTGTGTGCTTCTTGTAAGTATAATTGATGTATAAAAGGGCTTGTTTCATTTCCATGCCCATACAGTGTTTTTGTATAGGTAAATGAAGTCAAAATTAAAAAAAAAAAAAAACTTGAAAGTTAACCTATATCAAATATGCACATAGTGCATGAATTGAATGCAGTAAACGGAGGATATATCAAGAATTTTCACTGGTTAGAGAATTAATAATTGACTATGTTTAACGGAAGGAAATTAACAATCCTAGCAATTGTGTGTGAAAAATTACATAAAATCGCGTTAATTAGCTTTACAGAAATATATTTTGAAAAACAAGGTAAAATGTATTTATAGAGAAATGTCATAGCAAAGAAATAAACAATTCATATTAATAAGGAAAACTAAGATCAATTTTATGCTTACCTTGTATGATTCTCATGAATTTTCGACATCTGTCATCTTCTTTGTTTTCTCCACTTATTTTCTTCTACTTGCTTTTTTTTTATAGAAGAAATAACCAAAAGTAGCAATCAACCCCACGGAAATTCTAGAAGGTCCATGTTGTTTGCTTGGACTGACTCCGTCCTACTGAGCACATTTTCCATGGTTAACGAGCTTCGATTAGTTCCTTATTTTGCCGCAAGTTTGCCAGAAATTTTGCCAAACCGAGTTTGCCTGTAGTGTGGGCCCAGCATCAGAAAACAGCATACCTCACGTGCTTATATAACCTTATGGAGGTTATCAGGTTTGGCAGCTATCAGGTTCTGCAGTGGGTCAACATTGGCGGCTTTTGGATTTACAATAGTTGGATTTTCTTGTAGTAAGTAATATTTCTAAGCTGTCATCTGCTGAATCATGTCAGGAGATGCACAGCCAAGGAAAAGAAAAGATAAAAAGAAGAAAAAAGGTATGCTAATTGAAAAAGAAATAATAATTTTCAATATATTTAATGACAAGGTCTAGGGAAATAGGTTTAATTTAATGATAATGACTTGTGATAATAATTATATTTTTTTTATTTAGGGGTTTATTAAAAAAATAATAATTTAAGCAGTATGATGAGTTAGTTGTCAGCTGTTGAGAAATTTTATTTTATATTTGTAACATATTAAAATTAAAAAGAAAGAAATATCTTGCCACTTTATAAAAGTGCTATATATATCTGTTATAGAGATTTTGCGTTGTAGTCCAAGTGAGGGATAGGTTTCTTTTGCCAAGTTTTGTAGAACATCTCTGTTCTATATTTAGATAGCTCAAAAAATACCTTTGGATTTGATAAATCAATTTTTCAAACTTGAGCCTTACACACAAACATTTTCATTTAAAACATGTGAAATTATATTTAAATTAATTATGATCCTTTTATTTTTTATAATATTACCATTCAGGATGTTCATGGTGATTTTAGAGAAAAAGATAAGGCTTTAATTTGACTTTTATTCAGTAATTTTTTTCAATTGTTGAAAGTATTTTACTGGATATCAGATCACGATTCTGGGCCTTTTCTACCTTGAGATTAAAGTGACTAATTTTTAGAAAAATAATATACTATTAAATTTCTATTATTATTTAATTCCCCTTCTCTTCTAAATTTTTTATTGAAAAACAGGAGATCCTGTGGCTCTAAGAACTGATCAATTTCTGAAGGAGAAGTCAGGTTTAAGAAAACCCGGTTGGTACAATTCTTATAGGTTGTCATTTTATGTATGGACACATGCTATTTGATGTTATATACCTTTTAACCTATGATTTTGTGTATTCTTGTCAGGTGTCCAGTTTCTGTGTTAATAACAAATTTTATTACATATTTAAAAATCGTATGTACTGTATGAAGTCAATTATGAATTTATATAACTTTGTGGTGCACATTTAATGCTAATATTAATAATAATATTGCACATTATCCTTAATATTTAGGTGTTGTAAATAATATTGTATTTTTATTTTTAATATTAATGTGCTTTTTTAAAAATGTTATAATGTAATTATTTCATAACCTCAGTTCAAAAGAAAAATAATTCTAAAGATTTTTAAAAATTTATTATTTTAAAATGTAGAGAAGAATAAATTATTAATTGAAAGCATGTGCCCCTGAAAATGTTTCTCCTATAGATTTCTGAATTTAGTTTAAATTATTTGATCTATTTTGACTGCAAGTTGCAAGAAAGTCTTATTATAATTTGTTTACTTTTATTGTTTTTTTAACCTTATTATATTTTTATGAATATGAATTAATTTTATGTTTTATCCATAATTAGAAATATTACAATTATATTAATATAATATACAAACTTGTATATATATCAAATTTCCTTTTTTTTACTAGATTACGATGAAGTGAAACAATTTCTTTTTGAAACAGTCAAATCATGTGTGAATCAACTGATTTGGCAAGAAATTCCTGTTACAAAATTATATAATAAACTTGAAAAATGGACTTGGCTGATTTTGGAATTCTAGTTTAAATATATAAAAATATTTTAATTTTTCTTTCAACAGTTGCTATTAATTAATTTTACTTTTCATTGATTTTTATTTTTTTAACTATTTGGAATTCTGCTTATAGTACCGATAAGAGTTTTGTCAGATAACAATCTTTTTCAAATAATGTCCATTTGTGTTGTGATTAAATTTAACATTTATTTTCATTGAGTCAATACAAAGTTAAGTTTTAAAACATAATTTTATTTTAAAACTTTTTTTTTCATTGTAAGCATGTAATTAATAATCATGACAAAATATTATTACTTAATGATCATTTTTCTCTATTTAGTGCAGTTTTTATAAGTTATCTATTAGAATAATAACTGTAGGTATGCTTTTTATAATGTTTAATTTCTTTTTTAAATGATTATTAATATTTAATTAATAACTATATTAAAAATTAGTTTAAAAATATATTCACTATTTTATTTAAGAATCAGTTTGCTTAAAGGATCATAACATTGGTTTTGTATTTATTAGACATAAGTCAAGTCCTTTTTTTTTCAATCAGTTTAAAAATACGAGCCTATTAACAAGTTAGTTAGTTCAACAAATACTACTTATAAACCCTTATTAAAAAATAAAAAAATAGTTTATCAAGTAGCTTCATTCTGTATGATACTCATTAATTAACACGTTAGCTGCGATTACGGTCCCGACCTTCTATCAGATATAATGATTATTTACATTTTTATCTATCTTAACATCTATCCAATTCCCATTCAAATATTTTTAAAAATGACCATTTTAGAGACTTCATAAGATAGGCAAAATTCGAAGCAATTCCTGCTGAAATCAAGACAAATATCAGAACCCGGGAACCGTAATCGCAGCTAACGTGTTAGTTGTTGTCCCATGAATTAGCATTTTAAATCATATATATTTTGGTCATTACATCAACAATTTTACTTAGCTAACATTATATTTTTTATTTTCATTAATATTGATTAAATTAAAATTTTTATTTATTTATTTTTTCAACTAAAATATTTAATAAACTAAATCTTTGACTTTTTGGTCTGGCCTACCTATTCTGAATAGTTATAAATATTTTCTTTTTTAGTTATTTAAGGTGGTTTTATGTTAATACTTAAATAATTATAATTTTTCTTTTCTATTTTTTTTTTAAATATTAATATAATACATATTATAATACATAAATATAATAATAATAAATATATTAATATAATACAAATAAATATTACAATTTATACTAATATTTTAATTTCTGTATAAATTGATTTTTTATATTTTAATTATAGAAGATTCTGTGGAAGAAGAATTCTTAGTACCCCTGAAACACTCAACAGATGAAGTGATACATGTGCAAAAAGATATCATCTGTGGTGGAAATGTTGTTACAAAACTCATTTTCTTTGGCCTTTTGGCGACCATTGGAGTCATGGTTGGTTTCATACTGCTTGAGTACAGAGGATCAACAGATGGTAATTGTTATATTTATTTGATCAATATAAATTTTCATTAGTTCTTATTGAATAAATTTTACCATTTATTTTAGTTATATTTTTTAATATAACAAGTGTTATAGTGTCTGCATTATTTAATCATATACATATATATTTTTACAATTTAATAAGCAAAATTTTTAAATTAAATTTGTTTCCACTATTTCATCTCTAGTGAAAATTTTATCAGTGATAAGGTGGCAATTAGTTGTTTAAGTATAAATTTTCCATCCTTTGGCATTTGTAGCACATTGTTTGAAATACAGCTGCATAATACTTTGAACTTCATATATCGGACATTCGTGGGGATTCGTAACATTGTGAAACTCTGGTTTTATTTTGGATCATTTTGAGAATCCAATGTAGACAAAGATATGTATTTTCTGCATGTCTTTCTGAAATGACTTGAAAACTCACTATAATCAGTGAATAATCCCCCCACGTATTGTATTTGTTTAAGTATGTAATATGTAATATAGAATATACTTTATTTTTTTATTTACATTTAGAAGAAACGTCATCGTCTGTTGATTCACCTTGGTCAGTTACTTTTCATGATTGGGTTGATATTGCTGATACAGGACATGGTAAGTGTAGTTTTCAAATAACTGTATACTTCAAAGTTTTTATATTTTAAAATGATTTTAATTGTAATATTTATATATATATATATATATATATATATTTTTTTTTTTTTCCATTGGTCTTATAATTTATATTTATATTAAATATTTCTAGTAATTACAAGAATTCAGTTTTTTTTTTTATTTTAACTAAAAATTACATTGTTGTTATTTATAAAATTCTTACATATATATGTATTTTTAGTAATAGTTGTTATGTTTAAAAATTTATAGTTTTACTTATTTAGATCATGAAGATGAGCATCTATTAGAGGAACATGATCATGATGATCATGGAGAACAAGACCATGATATTCATGAAGAAGATGAACATGATGTTCATGAAGAGGAACTGCATCATTATGAAGAGAATGAAGTTGAAAAGGAAGAAAGTTGGCTTTTAAGTTTGATAAGTTTTAGTTCTTTCTCTGAAGAAGGATTAGAAAATAAAGTTACTGATGACGATGATGCAGTTAGTAATGGCATTTTCAGTTGGTTTCAAACTAGTGAGAAAGAACAAACTGCTGATGATGAAAGAGAAGAAAGTAGCAGTGGAGGTTGGTTTGGGTTTGGAACTAGCCAACAAGATACGGAAGAAGAAATTCATGAAGTAGAATATACTTCTTCTGAAGTTGTTGATAAAGATGAAGATCATGGTGGAGAATCAGATGAAATGAGTGATGATTATGGAAAAGATGAAGAAGAGGAAGAAGAAACTGATGAGGAAGAGGAAGAAGAAGAAATAGATGAAGAGGAGGAAGACGAAAATAATAAATCAGATGAAGAAGAGAATGAATCAGAAGAAATTGATGATGCCGAGGAAGAAAATAATAAATCAGAAGAAATTAGTCATGAAATCGATGAGGAAGAAAAGGACAATTCAAGAGATGATGAAGATAATGAATCAGGCGAAAATAACGCAGACAATGAAGAGGAGGAAAATAAATTCAGGGATTTAAATGATGAAGAAGATAATGATTCTAAAGAGTTTGCTGACAATGGAGAAAATGAATCTGGAGAAAAAAGTGATGAAGAAAATGAATCTGGAGAAAAAAGCGATGAAGAAAATGAAGAACCTGATGATGGAGATGATGAAGAGCCTGAGAATATTTCATTTCAGCGAGATCAAGGTGGGAAAAGTGAAGAAAGTAATAATGATGATGATCAATCCAATCTGTTTGATAATGATGAAGGTGGACATTTAGATAAAGGAATGGATGAGCAAGATTTAGAGCTGGATCGTAAGTAGATCTTAATGAAGAAGTGATATTGCCCAGTTAACATTTTCTTATTAATCGAACATGCATTGATTTGACTCAGAATCATGTATTGGTTTTCTTTACTTTTGCATGTTTTTAGAATACTTCAAAGTAAATGCTTTGCAACCTTTGTGTTACTTTGTTGCATTTTTATTAGGATTAACCGAGTATTCCATGACACTGTCTCAAAACAGGAAATGGCAAAATGTCTGATACTAAAGATTAAGTGATGGAAAAACAACGATAGCCAGCTTATTAATAAATTATTAAAAAAAAAAAGGAATGTGTGCTTTCACTTTTAAGCTAATTTTTTAGCATTCTGAACTTCTTAGAACCAACAATTGACATGCTCTATTTCATTACGTTTAATTTGATGATGAATTATTTAGTTCTTGGTTTTAATTAATTCTAAATAACTGGAAGTTGTTCATTCAATATATGTTAGTTATTATAAATTAGAAAGTTAAAAAAATTAAGATTTTAATTTTATTGATTCAGTTCGATAATTACTAATTATAGTTGATCATAAGTAATTATGATTATTCCATATCCATGAAAATCAAATGAAAAAATTCATTATAAAATATATGAAATGTGAATTGTATCTAAAACTACTGGTTCATTCCATATCAAATCAACCAGAGGCCTAACTCCCGATGGTCTTGAAATTTATTCATTTTTTGTTATTCGTTGCATGCATTAATGTTAAGAAAAAAAAATTTTATTTTTATTTTTTGGAGTTATTTTTTTAAGTAATAAAAAAACATGAAGAACAGTAGATTTTTAAAATAGTTTTGGGGCTATTTCTCAAGAACTATTTGTGCTAGAAAGCTGGAACAGGTGTTATCTTTTTCAGTTGTTTATGCTGTTTTTTTTTATATACTACATGGCTGTATTTGAAAAATAAATTTTTCCAAGAAAACATTTTTTGAATTTTAAAAAATCCCATTCTGATTTTTATTAAAAAATTATATGTTATTCTAACATATGGTGGCTTAATGTTTGCCAAATTTCATAGTGGAGAAATAATGGGCTCACAAGATAAAAATGATGAACTACAATAGGTGCACTAAAAACGCCGTCAAGGTCCACTAATATTAGAATATACATATTTTTTAAATTAAAATTAATGCATATATATTGATTTATTAATATATATTTATTTATGCATTAATAATCAAAATCCAAGACCTGTAGATTCAAAATTGTTTTTAAACTGGTTGATTTGGTATGGGATGTCCATATTGCATTGATGAAAGTTAGTTGTCTGGACAGTTTACATTTTAAATTGCAGGTAAGTATTTAAAATTTAATTGTGTGTGTGTGTGTGTGTTTTCATATTAATTCATTAACCATTTATCATATTTTTAATAAATAAATATACTAAAATATATTTAGAAAATTGTATTTTCAGTTGCTAGTAAAATTCAATTGGTATATCACCTTTTGTGAGAATCACAAAATATTACTATTTATTGGGTGGCGGTGGATCTGGAAAAATGGAAAAAAAATTTGTAATATATACATCTATTGACATATTAATTTTTTAAAAAATAAAGTAATGAATTTCTTAATGGTAATACTGTCTATAGATAAACGTCCATTAGAATATTTTTCAACTTAATATGTAGAATCTGATGGAGCATTAATTTTTTAAAAAATTGCGTTTTGCTTGTTAAATATGTCAGCATTATGATAATTCTCATGAACTTTGAATTCCAACTGTTGGCGTTAACTAAAAGAGAACGCTAGCAGTTTCACAGATAGTTTTTTTAAAACCAGTATTGTGTCTAGAGCAGAATCTTTGTATTAGTTCGAGGTTCATCAAATGGATCGCGAATTGATTATAAATATTCGTTAGTCTTTTTGAGTAAAATCTGCTTTAACCCCTGATAGCGAAATATTTAAAACAACGGATTTTGTCGTCATTTATTATAAATGTCTTTCATGTATAGTAAATAAATTTATTAAAAAATATAGATTTTTAATATTTGTTTCTCCCGATATATTGGTCAGGGAAAACTACCATTAAATAGAGAAAAGACAAGGAATTTTACATTAACAATCTGGTAGCCACCCTATATATAATTTGTTCATTAGTCCCAAGGGAGATTTTTTTTTATTAATAAGTGTTCAAAGTTTCAGGATCCACTTTAATATCCCATCTTCAGGCTAGAACAAGAAAAATCTATATTATTTGTATTTATATTTTTAAATTAATGTATTTCTATAACCTATCACATTAATAACCAGTTCCCAATCTTACCTGTCTATCATTCATATACATTGCTATATATTGTTACTGATCTATAATTCTGTCTTTAAGACTTACAATCTTGTTTTCTTTTCACTTAAAACTGTCAGTAATGGCAGAATGTTAAAGTAGGAGGCGGAGGTGGGGAACCTGCAGCCTCTGTTAGTTTTTGCACAGTCTTCATTAATCTAGTGCTAGAATTAATTAATATTTAATTATATAGGTTACAAAAATTTAAGAATTGATAGAATTAAATTGAATATACATATATGAATGTGCATTTACCTATAAAAAAAACAGTAAAACATAAAGAATTATTGTTGCCTCCATTATCACTCTCTACTATTAATGTGACCTCTAATAATACAAAGGTTCCCCGCCAATGCTTTAAAGTAATAACACATAGTATGAGTGCAGCATTATTCATTGGTTCATATTTTAAAATTAATTTATAGGAATTCAGGATAACATGACATTCTTGAACACTGGTTTAATTGAACCATCTATTCAAGAACTTTTTTTTCAGCTCCTCATTGAGCTTAATGAGGCAATTGCTATCCTTTATATTTATTGTATGTAGCCGTATTATTATTCAACTTAAGTGCTTCTGTAGAAATAAATTTTCAATGGAAGCCTGTTTAGGGATTAAACCTTTCTTCTGTTATGTTCTTCAACTTTCACAATATATGAAACTTGTTTATTCTTTCTTTAAACATTTACCATTTGACTTAAGACATGATAGTATTGAGCTAGTTTTTTAATTTAGTTGTCAGAGAATCAACTAGCTGCTAGTAAACTCATCCGATATAATCATTTTCACTAGCTAATTAACAGATTGTTAACCATCTGTGAGAATAATTAAAATCATTTTGTTACGACAGGGAGATCATTGGTTAGAGTTAAATAAGAAGATCTATCTTATATTAGATTTATGAGTAAAAATGTCTTCATTAATTGGAGTTAACAATTCATTGAAAAATTCTTATTGATCATATTTCAATCAGGGTGATAAGCAATCTTCTTTGACAAGTATATAAGGTAGTAAACAGAGAGGAAGTGATCCTATTTCTGACCCTTATTTTTACAAGAACATTTTTTAGTAAAGACATTTTTAGGTTTTTGTTTTCAATTTTAATTTTATTTTTTATATTATATATATTGATTTTTATTTTTATAATTGTCCATAATCTATTTTTATATTTTCAGAAAAACATGAGGAAGATGAGAACACTTCTGTCGAAGGAAAAGAAGAAGATGAATTACCAGCCGACGAAGAGTTGTTTCCTGAAGCAAGGGAGGCTTTAAGAAGAGAAGCTGTGAGTACCGAGGTTCTATTTTTTCTCCAACCATTATTTATTGGTATTTTCTAGATTTTTAAATTCTAATAATAAATTTGACTGCTACTGGGGGTAGGGTTAGCTTTTAGTGTTTAAAAATAAGTTAATTAAAATATTAAGATATTAAAGTAGGAGGTAAGTTGTTTTCATTATTAAACCAAATACAATGGACTCTCGCTAATCCGAACTAATTAAAACCAAGAAGGTCCTGATTAGCAAAAAAATTTGGATTACCAAACGCTGTTTTATTAAAACTCATAGTTAATTGTTTTTCAATAGCATAAACTACCATTGTATTAATAATACAACTTTGCAATGAAGATTAATTTAATGAAAAGGTTAATTGTAATGGCTGATAAAGAAATTGAGAAAATAAATACGCTTCCAAATTTTAAGATGTACGCAGCTTGGATTTTGTTTTAAATGAAAGGAGCCAGTATGTTTAACTAGATTATTTAATTCTCAGCACTTAAGCTGTTGAGATGATACAGATTTATTGAATGTATATATATATATATATATATATATATATATATATATATATATATATATATATATATATATATATATATATATATATATATATATATATGCACTATAAAATAAAATAAAATCTTTAATTTGTTTTTAAACGGATGGTTCAGATTTTGGAATGGTTCGGATTAGTAAGATTCAGATTAGTGAGAGTCCACTATAATTTAGTGTTACTGCATCTGTTGTGGGAAGTTATTAACATTTTTTGCAGACTCAGTAATGGCCGCGAACCAGTTTTATTTTATTTATTTTTTTTTTTTAGTTAAATTAAAACAGTTCTTTTAATAAGATTATTGTTGTTTTATTATTATTTTGGTAGTAATAGATAAGTGAAGGAGTTCTAGGTCCTGAATATTCCTCCATCTCTCAACCCTCTCAATCAATTTGGATTGTATTTTGATGTTTTCATTATATTACTATGTATTTGAATGAAATTCTTATGTTTTCACTTTTGGTTTTAATTGTAGGGGCGGTTAGAAATATTTTTATTTAAAGAAAAACATCCCTGATTTGGTGATATGATTTTTTTTCTTTTGAATGAATTTAGTGACAATCAAAAGCTGTGCTTTGCTCACAACTGTCATAAAGCGCTATTGGATGAAAATTTCAGGAACTGAATTCCACAAAAATGACATGGCCATTCCTTCAGAAATGCCTTATGAAATCATGAATGCAAACTTTCTAATATTAAATGAGAGAAATTTTGTACTATATCCAAAATTTGTGGTATTTACCCTTAACCTCTTTTCCCATTCAATATGAAACATAATTTTTTTTCTCAATTGTAGGAAGTGATGGAAAGTAAAGCTGAAGAGTTCAATAACGAAGAATTTAGTGAAAAAATCGAAGAAAACATTGATTCCGGTAAGGAAACCGATAACAGGAAGATGATGAAAATGAAGAAACTGAAGGAAGTAAGTATCATCAGTTTGCAGTTTAATTATTTATTATTAATAGGTTCTTATTGTAATTGTTTACTTATTATTCAGAAATTTAAAGGATGTTCCTTTTATGGGATTATTCTCCAAATAAAATTAAAATTTAAATAATTGTTTATTGGATTAATTTATCAGTTTAATTACCATTTATATAAAACTATAGAGCTACGAATGGTCTACAAAATGTTTTTATCTATACCTTTACATTCTTTTAAACCTGAATGAAAATTGGAAATATATTATGAAAATGATCTTGTTTGTTTTTAACTTTTTTACTCCTGATAAAAAAACAGTTAAATGAAATTCAAGCACTTTGTTTTATTTTTATGTATTTATATTCTTTTTTAAGTGTAAAATCCTGGGAGAGGGAAGCTGAATAAAAGAATATTTTTTGATATTTTTGAGGATACATTAATAAGATTTATTTCATTGCAGTAGACGTTAAAGTATTTATATAAATATAGGCTTAAATGTGAAATATATAAAAAGTTTCATGCCGTGAATAATATTAAAGTCTTATCTCGCCTGTGACTTCACTGGCCTCTTCCTCAAATGTCGTTCGTCTCAAATTCAGCAATGCTGTCTTCTCCGCAGGACAGATACCGCGTTGTTGGTGATACAAGATCATTGGAGGGATGAAGATATCTATATTCACATAAATTATAAAAAAAAAGTTATCATTTATTCGTAAAAGTAAATCACTACTAGCATAAATTAATAATTGATTTCTGATTGGTATTTCTGTTTTTTACAAGTACAATATCCTAAAATAATATTCCTTGAAACACTTCATTGATTTATATTGTTTTTTATGTTAAGGGCTTTATATAGATTAAGAATGGGCAAAAGGCCAAGGAATCATATCTATTCTTCTGTAATCCAAAATTATTGTTGGAAATTTAAATAAATCAGTGTTTCTCTATTTTTTAAAAAAAGAAAACCCATAATACTTAGATAATATATGTTTTAACTACAATTACCATATTATTTAAATAAAAAAGTAGTTATAGTATATATATATATATATATATATATATATATATATATATATATATATATATATATATATTATGCAAATACATTCAGATTATTCATTTACATAAATACAACTTTAACTATAGAAATTTATTACTATTAAATGTTATTAATTAATATTCTTTATATATTTAAATCATTCATTATATTAATTTAATTATTTGGTTTCCTCATAATTACATGCATTTATTCCATTTTATGATATGCAAAATAATACATCATAAAATTGCAAGATTTCAATATTTTTAGGATTATAAAATTTTATTATGTTTAAAAAGTTAAAAATATTTTATAGGTAATGTGATTTTCAATGATTTTTTTCGTATTTTCTCTTCTTATTTTCATAATTACAACTGTGCATATATATATGTTTAAATCTTGTATGGTATATTGACATTTTTTTCAACACCCAAAAAGATTTTTTCCTTGTTAAATGCTAAAACTCTCCTAAATTTTATTTCCACGTGGGTTCAATTGTATATTTTAAGTAATTCATAATAAGAATGATGCTTATAAAATAAGAATGTTCTTAATTGTTTCATACATTAACATACAGGTTTTTGAATGGATTGCATCTATCAGTAAATCATTTTTCTTGAGGGAAATGCAAAGAATATTAAACAAAAAAAATTGAGATCTGGCATGTGTTCCATTTCATGCTTAGGTATTTTATTTTATTTTGCTTTTTGAATATATTCGATTTTTTTATTTTTTTTTGCAAGGGTACCTCCAGCTCAAAAGAGAAGGGGAAGGAATTTATTTTCATTTAATTATTGGTTTCTTTTAAATTGTTAAAGTACTAACAATCAGCCTGTCACTGTTAATAAATTTTTCAGAAATTTCTTATTTATATTTGTTGCTATTTTATTTTAGTTTTATCTAGTCACAAGGGGAGTGGGGTAGCTCAGTGTGTGGGCACTGACTTTCAGACTCAAGGTTCGAGTCCGGCTAATGATTAGTAATTTTTCATTATCCGTGGATCGACCCTTGGATCAGGAGAGCCCCCTGGGGCACACCCAGCCTCAATAAAGTGGGTACCATTAATTAAAAAAATAATTAAGGGGAAAAACCTGGCGGTTGTGCTTGGTATTGGCCCCTTCACCTCCCTGCACAACCGTTGGTCTTGTAACAGCACTTTCTCACATAGTACTGCACCCAAGACCCTTCATGGGTTGTAGTGGTTCAGGTTTTTTTAAATTTTTTTTCTAGACACAAGGAGTGAGGCAGTTGCTCCACCTAATTACTACTTTTTTTTTTTGCAATGATTTTCTCTGAGTCCTGTCCATATTTTTTATTTACTAAAATAAAATTTTATGTTTTATTTATAAAAAAATGAATCTAATAAAGGATAGTTCATTAAGTTAGTAAAATTTAGTTCTATGAATTTTTACATTGATAAGATTTCATAATTGTATTACTAATTTAGTTGAAAATAATGATTATTTTGTCAGGGATTGATTAGTGAGTTATAAAAAGACTATAAAACAATTTTTTTTTTCTTTTATTGTGACTACCAATATTGTATCTATAATATATTTCAGATTTTTAATGATAGATATCAATCTATTTTCTATCAAGAAACCAATCTCTTACTGATATGAAAATTAAAATTAGCTGCACTGGTTTCTGCTTAATTAATCTTCCCATAATGATTTTGATTAGGTGGTGTTTTAAATAATCAATGTTTCTCATTTTGATGGCTTCTAAAACCTTATAAGTCAAACTTATTTCTTATATACTTACACAATTTTTGAGGTAATCTACTGATTATTTATTAATTATTAAAAAAAAATTAAGTGAATCGTAATAGTTATGTTAATTTAATGTGGTTTGTTACCTAAGATTATGAATTTTCAAATTTATCTTAAACTATCATAATTTTAATCTCTAGTCTTATATTAAAGCTTGAACTTCATCACTGGTTCAGTTCTGGATTTGTGGGAATATAAGTGCCTCTTTTTACTCCTACTGAAGTGAATGATGAAAAAATTCTCATCTTGTACTGGCCCTATAAATCGAATCTTTGCCTATTGTTGGCGTAATATTTATGAATCAATTAAAATGTCTAGATATTGTCTTAAATTTAATTAATTTTGATTTTTTTTGTTTTTGGTATCCTCTACCTTGCCATTTCTGGCATATGGGTGGTTGCTCTAGAGATATAACCAAATCTGCTTTAACCAGACTCGGTTGAGATTCATTCCTTTGATCCACCCTGAAATAAATTTCAGCCTAACTTGGCTGAATTTGAACTGGCTATACTCAGAATATTAAAAGAATACCTGTTGATAAAATGAATAGATTTGACCTTAAATATTATATCTCAATAATATTGCCGTTACTTCCTTGACATGCTTGCAGCACCCCTGGCTTACTCTCCCGGTACCTCGGGGTGTTGTATCACCCATTTTGAGAACCCCTAGTCTAAGCACTTAGTTGTTAGTAATCCTCTCAGTGTCTTCTGTTATTTGACAGCCCTTTAATGACTGTCTGTTCTGCTGGAAAGTCATTCTAATACCAATACTGTCTATTCCGCTCTGAAAATTTCTCTGAATACAAATACTGCCTCTTCTATTCTCTCTTCTAAGTATTTTTCTCGAGGGTCACTTGTTGATTCTCCAAACATTTTTATTTATATTTATTCTTGTTGCATTCTCTGAAGTTAGTTAGTTAGTTAGTTAGTTAGGAAAAGTATTTGTTTTTTCCTCTCGTCATGAAATGTTTTTCCTACTAAGCCTTAATGCACCTACCTAGCCTAACATTTGTGGAGTATGAATAAGTGCCCTTTAGTACTTTGTGCTAGAAGGCTTCTGATTGCATTATCAAGGCCAGCCAATTATGAACAAATCTGAAGGTTTTCTTCAGTTTGTTTTATAGATATTAGGCACCTGGTTTCTCTTAATACGTAGGATAGACTAGTTACATATGGCTATTATCTACTGACATGAAGAAAAGTATCTCTTGAGAATTAACGAGTAGAAATGGATTTCATTGCATCAAAATGCACTAAATTGAGGCAACTACAACAAAAAAAATGTACTTCGCGTTTCCATGAAAATCTGGTCTATGGTAATCATTTTAATTTGTTTAATATTTTATTATAAATCATTATGAGCTGAATTACTATTGAATCAATAATCATCTGTATCATTTATTATATGGAAACCAATTGCTTCATAAATTAGTATAATAATTCATTTTTAAAAATTATTTTGAGGTTGTATTAAATATTTAATAGTAATACTATTTACATTGTGAATAGTTGTACTCAGCACGTATTTAATATTTGTATAATTGTTTTATAAGTAATCTGAACATAATTTTTATATTTACTTAGTGTCTAAATGGAGATTTGTTCATTATATTTTTATTAATAATTGGTTAATGGTTGACTGTCGTGAATAATGAAGAGAAGAATAGTTGGGGTGATCAGTCAAATAAGAAGGCAAAAATAAATGATACTATTTATTTTGACATTAGCCGACATTTCGACCTGAAGTTCAGGCCATCATCAGGGCTAAGAAAAGAACCAGATAACAAGGTATGAGAAACATAAGTAGTGTAGGTAAAAAAAAATTAAAAATTTTTTTAAATTCTTTAATTTTTTTTTACCTACACTACTTATGTTTCTCATACCTTGTTATCTGGTTCTTTTCTTAGCCCTGATGATGGCCTGAACTTCAGGTCGAAATGTCGGCTAATCTCAAGATAAATAGTATCATTTATTTTTGCCTTCTTATTTGACTGATCACCCCAACTATTCTTCTCTTCATTATTTTTATTAATATTTGTCAGTTTTCTATTTTTTTCAAAATCATTTTATGTTTTGATATTTTTTCGGTATTTTATCAAAAACTACTTGAGGGCAATGTATAAAGCTCTCATGACGTTTGGTTTTCAGTGGCACTCAGGTTCGGAGTGGGAGTTGCTTTAGTAGTTGTTGCTCATGTAGTTCTTGTAAAGAAGTGGAACAGTTGGGGTGCGTAATGATAAAATATTATGCCTGTGTACTGTGTATTTAAATGCCTTTCGAGTCCTGTAAATGTATGGTTCATCTGTTTTTGAGATATTTTAGATTTGCCATTCTAACTTCTTCCTTTGCATTTCTCTCACACTAATTTATTTGGAATTGCTCATGATGTGTTGTTCTTGATTCATATTGTCATAATTTGAATTTTGTTTTGTTCTATTAACAAGTGATCTAACAATAACCCTGAGTGTAGTTTTTTTTTCTTAATTATTTGTTTATTATTAGTTTAGTTTGCTTATTAAGTTTCTGTAAAGTTTTTATGAAGGTTTTAATAGTGCTTTCTTATCCTTATAATATACCTGATCCTGAAATATTTGATTATCATTGATATTTGACATTTTTTACACATGATTAAGAAAAAAATTATTTGCTTTAAATGAGGTTTTTCTATTATTTTTTATGTTAATAAAGAATGATTTGTTTCCATATATCAGGATTTTTTTTTATTTGCTCAGCTACCCAAGGTTTAAGAAGTACGACCTTCGTTCCCATTTAATTGAAATGTTTAATACAGGAGGCAAGTTGAGATGTAACTTGGTGAGGTCCACAAGAATTAATCTACTACACACATTGAGGTCAAAAGTTGTGAGTTCTTAGTACTGCTCATGTGTGAGGTAGAGTTGGCTACTTTTCATGATGACTGCAGTATATATAGAATCATAACATAGTCCGGAATCAGATTTTTATTGTATTTTCAGAAGAAGTTAGTCGGGGGTGCGTTAAAAAAATACTATATTATGTAATAGTATATTTACTATCCAACGGATGTCAAAACTTACAATGCAATAAATACACTATTATATACTATAGTATTTTTTGACAGCATTCCTCAATAACTTCTTCTGAAATAATTTTTTGTATTTTAAATAGGAACATTTTCTTGAGAAACGGATATCAAACTAAAAAGGATATCAAACTGTAACTGATGTGTCTTAGTCACTAGTGAAAAACTGCGGCACAAACACAGAACTCCACAATTTAGGGATCCCCTGAAACTGTTTCACTACACTCTGTATGCTGAAAATCTGACCCTGCATCCCCTTTGTCTCACCAAAGCTACATCTCAACATGCGTTCGTTCTTAAGGTCTACTCTATGTTTAAAAAAGTGATGTAAATCAATATTTTACTATCACTTATTTCTTATGTACCCTCACCTAAACTAATGAATTAGTTTTCATGAAATTTGAGATGTTGTCATCTCTTGGTCAAGAATGGATGATAAAAGTAGCAAGAATTTTGAATACTAACTACCAAATCAATTGGCTGGCTGTAATATTAGTAAATAAAACCAGTTATAAGTTTTAGAGTTTATTTGTTACCAGAATATTTAAATTTTTTGTTTTTTTAACTCCAGTCCCTTTACTGTGAGCTCCAATCATTTTTCAAGGTCATGTTACACTTGAAAAAAATCTTTCAATCGATACAGTATTGTTTACTCTGGTGCATTTATATCCATCCAGCGACATTGTCAAATTTACTTACTCATTCTGCTGTTTGGTTGTTTTGAAATGTAAATATCTATTTATATTAAGAATTATTTATTATTTACAAAAAAGATGATTTATTATTTTAAAAGTATTAAAAAAATAAAATAAACTGTTTAAATTGATATATAATTAATCTTGTTTGCATGAACGGAAAGTGTTCTATTTATTTTGCTTTTATTATAATAAAAATGATTTATTTGGACTGCAATTAAATTATTAAAATCTTCTGTTGAACTATATATTTAACCTTTCAAAATATTAAAGTAATTAGAAATATTTTATCCAATTTATTCATAGCTGGTGGAGAAGACGAGGTTGCTCCTTCCATAGAGACCATTGGGGTTCCATCAGAGCTGCATGAGCCGATTACTGAAACACCAATTGTAGCGTCCGCACCTGTTAACACTGAAACTGTTCCACATCCTAAACCTTCTCCCCAACCTGACCCTGAACCTAAGTTTGCAGGTTAATATAAAAATTTTATTATTAAGCTTTGTATAATCTATCTTTAGATTCATAGCTCAAACTATAGATCCTGCTACTTTCAGATGAAGCTGACCTTGAAGAAGTTTCTGCTGATGAAGAATCTCCTGTAGAAGAAGGGTCCCCTGTGGAAGAAGAGGAAGAAGAAGAAGAACAGGAAGATGAAGATTTAGAAATCGACCAACAAAAATTCCGTGATCTTTTGGCAAAATATGGAGAAGAAACACCAGAGAGTAGTGATATTGAGCATACTGATGAAGAAAGGGTCGATGTAATTTGATTTTACCCATTTTACTTTAATCATTTTAAAATTTGATTGTAACTATTTGTATTCATGATTAATAAATGAAAACATAAGTTTTCATCTGAGTTGGGGAGACTGTATGACGAGACTGAGATTTTTAACTATCTATCATGAGAAATTAATTAATCTCAACTAAAAATAAGTCTATGGTATTAAATTAAAAAACAAAACAAAACAAACATCATGGGACCACCTGAGAAATAGAGGGAGACAATATTCTCATATAGTTTGTGGATATGTATTGAATATCATTCAGACTATACTAACAACATTAAAATCATGACAATATTTTAAGAACAGCTACTAAACAATTTAGTTTATTTATATTTTTACTAAAATAATCATAATGTTTTTGTTGGTTGATAATTGTTCCAATTGCAAATGGTTAAAACTTGAAAGAAAATGATTGAATTCTGCTGTTTATTGTAGTTATTATTTACTAAATACTTCATTATTAATTTTTGAATCCTCTATTTTATTTAAGTATTCTGAAGGCGATGAAAGCCCTGCAGGCGATGAAGGTGTAGAACAAGAAGTTGTGAGTGAGGATGAAGCAGGAAGTGAAGATGATCTAAAGGAATGGACAGGTTAGCTTTGTTCATCTTTAAATAACATTAAATAATCCAAATTTTGAAATAAATCTGTATCATTTCACATTATTTTTTTATTCCTCCATTGACTTTAGTAGATATCTAAAATTAGGCTGCAATATTTCATTCATGTTTTTATAATAGTTCCCGGAACTTCCTTATCGTCCATCACCTTTTTAGGATGCATTCTAGTTTTATCCTTCACCTAATTTTGATGCTTAATAGCTGATTACCAATTTTCATTTTTATTTTTTTTAAATATCTGCTGGATCCGCAGACTAGACTGAAACGACAAGAAACTGCTCGACGATTCCGACTGCTTCAATACTTACTAGCCAAACGCTCTAAACTTTCAATTAATTATAAAAGACTCATCTACTTAACCATAATAAGACCTATATGGACATATGAAGTTGAGCTTTGGGGCTCTACCAAACCATCGAATTCATATCGTATCCAATCCTTACAATCCAAAATCCTTAATGCTTCATATTTTGTCACAAATAAAACCTTAATGTTCCATATGCCGCTGATTTAGCCCGAGCCAGATACCTATCCTTTCATGATAAACTCCAGTCCCATCCGAATCCACTTGTTTCCAGCCTTGCTTCTTCCTCGATTCCTGATAATCCCCCTAGACGCTGAAAAGAAGATGGCCTCGTGATCTTCTTACCTAGAATTAAATAGAGAGTGCTACCACTGGGCAGTATCTCTTCAAGTCTGTTCATATCATTATTTCTATTGTGTGCATTTTTACTAGTTGTATTGTTTATACAGTTGTAAATTTCATTAAATAAATAACAAAATGTCTGCTTTCATTTACTGCTACAAATCAAATGGTTTATTTCGTTAGTAAATATTTTTTAGGGTTAACATCTTCCAGCTGAAATAAAAAAAAAACTGTAATTAAGCTTTTGAAAGGTTTCAAGAATATGCAGTTATTTTTTCCCTAACCACTTTGTGTTCTGTAATATGTTATGATTGTTTCAGAAATTTCCTGAGCAAAATTTTAATTTTTTTGTGAAGTATTAGGAATGTTTTTTTATGTTCATAAATTATAAATTTTGTTTTCTTGTGTTTATAAAACTATCTTAACAACATATTTAAATTAAGCTTAGCTTTTCATCCATTCCTCACCCTTTTTAATTTATTTTTCTCTAAAGTTTTATCACTTAAAACTCTGTCAGATACTCCCAAATGTTTAAGATTTTTCATTCTTCCACATTTAAAACTAATTTAAATGATTTACTTTGAGTTGTATCCATCTTTTGTTTATTTATTTATTAACAGGGATTAAAAAAAGTGATATACAAGTTGAAACTGACTCTGAAGATGAAGAAGTTGAAGAGGAATCTGAAGACGAGCCTCCTCCGCCACCTCCCCAGCCGAGTCGGAAGAGAGGTGGTCAGAGGGATATAGATGAGGTATGTTATACTTTATTTCAATGAATATGATAGTTGTATTTAACTGTGATTTTTTTTTTAAAAGTAAAATGGTTCCTATAGTATTTCTCATTATTAGACATTTTTCTCTCAGTTTATTTATCAAAATAATCTTCTAATTAACAAGAATATACATTTATTAAATAATCTTAGTATAACTAAATATTGAGAATATAAATAAATCTATTATATTAGACTAGGCAGGTAGTTCAACACCTGTTGCTGTCTTACAGAAGACATGTGTAATTCATTTATTTATTTATCTTGAATAAATGAATAAAATTTATAAAGGAATCCTAAATTATGTTTATTGGATCAAAACTTGAAGTGTGATTCAGATTGTGCTGTAGAAAAAGAGCTATTGTTGTGTTCATCGGTGTCCAAGAAACTGAAATCCTATAACTTTTTTTAAATTATTCTAGTTGCGAAACCAATTGTCTTTTTAAAATACCATCAGGATAGGCAGATACTGATTATACTAGTTCCTAAAATATAACAGTGAAATAGATGAGAAATGCACAACAGGACACCAAAACCTTTTAGCTGGCTAGAGTACTTAAGGCACATGAGCATGCAACACTAGTGCGTACTGTACTGTGCCCCATGCGTCTCTTTTGTCTTTTATGTAGTGTTACATAGCATCACTTTGTCAATATGTGGTTACCCATTTGGTTATATATGTTAACATGTTTAAATTTTTGTTTTATTATTAACATTTATTTTTGTTTCAAAGGATTATGGAAATTCTTTGATTACAAATGAGGAAGATTGGGCCATTAAGGAAGAGCTCGATAGGGCCGATCAAGAATTTAACTATGAGGTATTTTTTTTTTTTAATTTATTTATTTATTTTTTAATATCTTTGTAGTAAAACTTTTTTTTTTCTCTATCTTTTCTTTTTTCTAATTTTAGTGTTTTGATTATGCATCTAATTTATTTTTTTCATAAAGATAAATTTTAGAAAAATATTCTATACTATTAATTGTTTCTTATTTTATTTGTTTTTGTTAAACCATCACTAGTTTTACTGGCTTGGAAATTATTTGTGAGTACGAAATTTCTCAAATTGTTAAATTAATTTTTCAGGAGTTCTACTTTTAAATCCCTCCCCTTTAATTTATTCCCACCCTTTGCTATATCTGCTTGTGTTTGACTTTGAAGTTTTTGATATTTTTAAAATACGTTTGATCACTTTTGCCTTAGTTAACCATGGTTTTAGCTAATTCACCTCCAGAGTGTGAAATAGATTCAGTTAATTGGCTTAATGGCATTATTTGCTTTGTTGTAAAGTGTAAATATAAAGTGTTCCTAGAATTTAATATCTCATGAAATCTTCTTAATTTACTTGAAGTTGTAAATATTGTATTTATTGGCTTGGTTTTAGATGTACTTAATAGATGCTTTTATTGTTTTTTATTTTTACTATATCTTCATTATAAAAGTTAAATTGAATTTCACCCACATTTAACATCTTATGATTCATTGACTTTTATTTTGAAATGATATAATAATTTAATAAATAATAGCAATAATTATTTATTGCTAATTTAATAATTATTTTTTGATGAATTTATATTGTGAATATTATTTCTCTCTTTTTATGGAATGTTTCTTTCTTTGTATTGTCATTTTGTTTTTGTTTTTTTATTAAAGTTTATAAAGTATATTAAGTTTTGTACATGTCCTGGAAGGTAATTTTTTTGAAAAAGTAATTTTCATAATTTTAAATATAGAATATTTACTCTCCCAGTTACAGAAATTCAGTGTCAAATGAGTTCCTAAGGCAATTAATAACAAAATTAAATTTTTTGTTTGATATTAACAAATTATGTTCAAAAGATAAATGATCTAATTTCTTAAAATTATAGCTTTATTTTTACAAAAATGACAAAAAAAAACAACTTGATTTTAGAATTTTTAATAACCCCTTGTGGTATTATGAATGAAAAATGTCCTATGTGATCTTTTAATTTAGCATCATAACAATAAAATTGGTTTAGGTGTGATGACATATGTATAGATTTTTTTAATGTTGATGGTAATTTGCAATAGTTGATGTAGCTTAGCAATAGTTTAATGTACTCTCAATAAATAAATATATATATTTTTTATATAACTTCACAATCTTTACTAATCTAATATAAATGACCAGCATGATTCTTTTGTTTTGACTACTTCAATCTGAGCAGATACAGTTCATATTTTTGTTAGCTATTTAACAGAACTCTAATAATGGTTTACTATTAAGTTTTTAAAAATTTAAAGTGGTATGATAAAATGAATGAATTTTTTTTTTAAATTTAACATATCATTCAAAAGTTATTTACTTACTATTTAAACTGTGATTTTAATGTTTGTTGTGATCTAACCAGATTACTCATGATCTTTTTTTAAAATTCTGACTTCTGGTGTTATTATTGCACTTAATATAATATCCTTATCTCTTCCTCTTACTACCTCTTCGTTTCCATTATACCTTTTAGAAAGCTAGAACCTTGTATCGAGCTCTCCTTTTCAAACATCCAGACTCTCCGAGAGCACGTTATGGCCTCGCCCAAACATTCGATCGACAAGCCGAGAAAGAACGCAGCAATGTAATGCTTGACCTAGCTATAACTGGGTACAAGGATGCCCTTGCAGCTCCCAACATTACAGATATCCTTTTTATTCAGATAGCTTCTAGACTCATTGATAGACTCAGGTTTAGAGGTAAGCTTATTGTAAAAAAAAATTTGTCAACAAAATTTTTACCTTATTATTTTATTCAAAACTTTTTTGTGGTTATTTAATTATAATGCCAATTTATTTGATATGTAGGAGTTGTAACTTTACACCAAGCTAATTATTTTATTTGATACTTGCCATCATCTACCAGATGTTTCCTATTATATTATGTATATAAATATTTTCTCTTTACATAAGAAATGCTTACAGGTGTTTTCATTGTATTTTCAGAGTTAGTTAAATACAGTTACGTTTCAATTCAATTTATAGTGGTGGCTGTGATGTACGAATCATAGGGAAGTTGCTTGGGGATCAGAAGAAGGTAGTGTGCTCATACATAAGATAGAACACAAACAAGAAGCCATATTTTATTATGTGTTGATGTTTTGGCTTAAATTTTAGGCTTATATCAGAGCTACGTAATATCAAGATAACAACGAATAAGAAAGAGTTAGAAAAACAGTATAACAAGGAAATAAAGAGATATTATTTACTCATATATATGCATATACTATGCACCATGTCATAATAATAATTACATGTTTGTGGTTGCAGTAACCTTGTATATGTTTTAAGAAGATAGAAAACAGTATTGCAATGGAAATCATAAATAAAATATTAATGTGTAATTACGAAAAATTCAAATAAAATAAAGTGATATGAATGAAAAATTACGTCATGTAAGATGAATTAAGATAAAGTAAAATATTTATATTTTAAATAGCTTTAAATAACTACTTATATGATAGGCAGACTGTCAAATAGTTAGTTAATATAGATTGTTATCCTTCAGAATGTTGTGAAAATAAAAAACATTTTAATATAAAAATGTATTTGATAGAAGATAAAAATGAAGATAATTTTTTTTCTTCTTTATTTAAAATAGATCTAAAGAAAAATGTTAAAAAAAAAAAAAAAATCAGAAAACATTGAAACTATATGAAGAAAAAGGTGAAGTGTTTCAATGAAATGTATGGAAGGAAACAGAACATGATTATATTTATTGTATAAATCTAAATATATATTTTAAATTTGTGTTTATAATGAAGTATTTTACTTCATTACTTCATTGTACTGTTCTGCCCTATTGTGGTCCATTTTTCCAACTTCTGACGGCTATCTTGAAGTTGTCACCACGCACTTATCACAGTCAGAATGTCATAACCCGTTTCCTGTGGCCGCCGAGAAATGAAAAGTAACCGATCCAAGTGGGAATCGAACCTACAATGGTCAGACCCTCTTGGACCCACACTCCAATGTGCTTAGCCATCTCGTCCTCTAGCATCAAGGCTATGTAAATTATCTTAAGATCCATTTGACGAACCTGATCATTGCTCCAGCATTGCCACCTTCTTTTGATAACTTTCTTATTGGGGCATAGTGACCACCATCTTCTATTCTGGTGAAACAATGAGTCTCTTTTAGTTTTTTTTTTTACAAGCTTTGGTAACTTTCTGGGTTAGTTCTGAGATGTGAACACATTTTTATTTTTATAAAGCCAAATAGAGGTCTGGACAGTAAGCGTATTACCCATCCTATTATTATAACTTAGGTTAATCACAGCTGATCTTGATCTATTCTTTTGTTTGGAGGATACTGCTTTTTTTGTGAGATAATATGATCAGCAATCATATTATAGCAGTTTTAAAGATTTACTGGACCCAGGAAGCATCTGTCGAACCACAGTTTTTATCCGACAAAGCCCTCTTAATTTTCTATTTAGAGAAAATCCAATGTACTAAGTCAAGATTTGAACTTGAGGTGTTTAACTATATGAATCTCTAACTCTAGGCTTCCATGTTCATTTTTACAAGGTACTTACAATTATAAGAATTGACTGTTTCTGTAGAAACATTGAGTTACTCAGTTATGTTGTTATCCATATTGAGATTTATAGATTCTTGTTAATGAAAAAAAAAAAAAAAAAAACATTTTCCTTACAAATACAGTCATAAAATAGAGTTTCTTTAAGTTTTTTTGACTTAATGAAGTTCTGGATTTACTTACTTTGTTTAAAAAAAAAGGTTTTATAGGTTTTTAAAAACGTTTTATGCTAGATGTATATAATTAGATTATTATTATTGTTGTGATATATTTTTTTTTTATAATTTTATACCTGTCTATTTTCAGGTCACCATGTGAAAGCAGTTCCTATTCATAATTTATTAATTCAAAAATTCAACACTACTCCTGAATACAGAACAGATCTAGCCATCACTTACCTTATGGTAAACAGGTATTTCAAATAAATTTTAAATCTAATTTTGATCCTTATAAACAATAAAATTGAAGAATTGAAATTTATCATTATTTTTCATTATCTTGAATTTTCTTTAGATTAGAAGATGCTCGATTGGTACTGAAGGAATTGTTGCGCTATTGGAATCAGGATCCATTCGCCCTTGCACATTATGGCCTCATACTGAAATTACAAGGTATTTTGTCTCAAATTAATTACATTATGTTCTAATTTGATTATTTGAGTGAATGAAAAACAATTTTTACTCTAGGACACAATACCTTAAGAATAATTTAATTCAAAACAAAAAATTATTAACTGAGGAAGGAGGTAGTCTGGGGTGGCGGTTATAAAAAAAAATAATTTTAAATAGTGAACAATTATTTTATTTTTTCATTATTTTAAGTTTTTTATATGACCGCCATCCCAGACCATCTCCTTCTTCAATATTATACAACGGTCAACCATTGAATACTCAAAAATTATTAATAGTTTATTATCTCATGTAAATAGAAACAAATAGAATAGATTTTCTGACAAATAAGGGGTGAGTCTTATACACTTGTACGATCTATCTGGTAGATATTATATGTCTGGTTTTTATTTAATTATTGTAGTTTACTCTGAGGTTTGTCTGTTTACTAAAACGATGTAGACACTGTTTTAACTCCCAAGAGCCTTAAGGATTTATTCCAAATTGATTAGAATAATGTTCATCCACCCTTAAGGCAATAACTTATCATTATTAAGTATTTTTTTTTTCAACTTTTAACATATTGTGTGTGATAGAAAAGTGAGTGGGCATAAATCTAGATTAAGGTCCAATAAAAAAAAAATGAGCACATAGTTGACGATTATGAATATGTTTTTTTTTTTTTGTTTAAGAGAGTTATTCTAATTATATTTGTTTTAGGTAACATTCATGGTTGTATTAAGTACTTCAAGGAAGGATTGGAGACGGCCTTTAAACCTTTATCAGATCCCAGGCTGTACTTTCATTATGGTGATGCTCTTGCCCGCATTGGTAAAGAATCAGAGGCTATGAAAGTAATTGAATTGGTCATTCATTTTAAATTTCAAACCATACTTTTCGCTTAGATAAATTATTTGTCTGAAATGTTTGGTGATAGGTATATGATTCAGCTGTTGCTATGGGGTTGTTTAGATCTAGGTATCAGAGATCTCTGTACAATGTTGATAGGCTTGCTGCAAGACCTTGGTGGACCCAAGAAGAGACTACTTATGGCCCCTTCTTTAAGTGAGAACCCTTATCCGTAACATCTTATGTTTGTCATAATATAAGCTTAAATACATTAGTTTTCTTAATCTTTAGGATATTAGAAAAAAACTGGATAAAAATAAGAGATGAAGCTGCCATGGCTTTTAAATTAAATGGGACATTTAGAGATGAAGCCGAAGGCCTCAGAGATAAGGGAAACTGGAAGCAATTCGAACTCTTTGCTAGAGGTACTATTTAAAAAGTGGCTGAGTGATGTTATTATGAATTACATGTAATTAAATAATATTTTTCTTAGGTTCGAAAATGAAAAAGAACTGTGAAATAACACCATTTACTTGCTCGCTAATTGGAAGCTTTGAGCCGGCTGCAACTTGTAAGCGTGGCCAAAGCAAGTTCAGCATTATGGATGCTGGGACCCACATCTGGCCTCACTGCGGGCCCACCAACTGCAGGCTAAGAGCTCACCTCGGGCTTATTGTACCTTCAGGGCTGAGAATAAGGGTAGCCAACATCACAAGGTAATGTATGGTTGTGTATATTAAGATAAGGACTGGACAGGTATAATAATATTTTGATTGAAGAATTATTATGAATTGTCTAGTTTCCCAAAGATATTTAACTTTTATATTTATGACATTTTCTGTACGATATCAGTGGATATATGTTTCTATAGCACCTGAATTATCAAAACTATAACTATCATGAAGTTATAGTTTTTCTTCATTTAATTCAGCTCAATCAAAGGGCATTTGTTGGAGAAACGTTTTGTAGAAATTTTGATTAATTTATTTTAAATCATTCCACTTATGTCATCTCAAATTTTCTTCCAGAAATTTTTTTTTTTTTGAGACATTTTTTGGTTTCTTGAATGCTTTAGTTAGTTAAGTAAACTTTGTAATATGAGAATTAAATAAAATCAAATCACAATTTATGTTTTTAAAGTTCTCTGCAATGCCTCTTGAATGTTAGTGTTCTCATTTGGTATAAAATCATGGAGGTAGTATTGTTTTTAAATATTGATGTACTTCTAGTTAGTTATTAATAGGATGAAACTTTTCTAAAGATTGTGTTTCCCAGAATAATGTGAAAGGGGTGGTTGATATGTTGCAAGGATACATTACTCCTTTGGTTTGTCACACTTGCCTATACTGTTTTTGTATAATTTATATTTCGTGATCAGGATCAGTCCTCAATTCATAACAAAACATTTTTTTTTTCTTTTCATACTTTTATCCACACCTTTCATTATCTTGGCAATGCGCAGATATGATCTCATTGTAAAGAAAATTTAGTACCCAGCAGCACCTCTTCCTGGTCTTGGTCTACTTCATAATTCAGGAAAAGAGATCTCTCATCCAGGTCCTCTTTAGTCATCTCCTGATAGGCATGTCAGCTGTGGCCATATCGTTGATAAGTCTGTTGTGATATCTGTGTAGTTTAAGATGAAATCGGGAGTAGAGAGTAATAGTCTGTGGGCCAGACCCCCTTACCGTGCACCCCCCCCCACATCCCTATAAATTGCATATCGTTGTGTTCCTTGTAACAAATTATTAAAAAAAAGCCAATGTTCCCACAAAAAAAAGTGAACGCACTGCCCCAAAATGGCGTCCAAAGATGGCGGATTGACGACTTTGACTTTAGTTAGTTTTTTGGTCACTGAGAATCAGCATTAAGCTTAATTTCCTCATAGTTGGTCTTTTATTAAAGCTGAATAGTTATAGAATAATAAAACATGAAGAAATATTAAAAAATAATTGTCTAAGGCTATGAAAAACACCAGTAAACTCAATTTTTTTAACAAAAAAATTTTCAAGTTACAAATCAAGCGTCGTTTGTAATTAAACGGCCTACAATAACGCAAAACGTGCTGAAATAAACCATCTGGAGAATATATTTCTCTTTCTGAAACGCTGATTATTTTTTACAAATGTTTAAGTAGTTCCGTAAAAAATGCACTTATGCGGCAGAAAAGCGGTACTGGCGTGGGTGCCTACAGGCCTCTACCACACCATTCAGTGCCCATAAATGGCTTAGTTATAGTGATATAATAACATTTTTGGTACATTATATTGGTTTTATTAACGAACAAATATTAATGCAATAATTTTATAGTAAAAAAAAAAAAATTAATTTAAAAAAAAATTTATTATAATTTTTTTAAATTTTAACCTCCTTTATTTTATACGTAGGTCGTTTAAGAATACCTCAATTGTAAAAATGATATAATTATAATAATAAAAGTTAATTAAAAAATATTTTGCTAAATATCTTGATTTTTTTTTATTTAACGTTTGCAATTTAACACTGTGTTTTGAATATTTACTGATTCTTAGAAGTAATTAAAATTTTTATATATTTCCCAGGAAATGAGTCATATTCATACCTTTTTTATAAACTAAAATAATATATACCTAATCTGAACTATATATAATGAATAGCTACCGGGTTGTTTAGTAAAACTCATATATCACTAATTAAAAAATTAATTTTTATTTCCTTTATTTTGTGCAGAAGTTGGACTATATCATAAATAAATAGGAAATTTTAATATTGAATGAATTATTCTCTATGCACAAAGAAAGATATAAAGGGTGACCCTATAAGTTCTTCTATAAACCAAAACTGATGGTTTGGATTTGATCTCAAAATGAGGAAAAACGTGAACTTAAACGAGAAAATTGGAAAAATACATTAAGCGAACGAGAAAGGAAGTGCCAAAACCTCGGAATAGATAAAAAAGACCAGTTATATCCATTATATAGCTCAATGAATGTATAGTAGATAGATGAACAGAATATTTCAAGATGCTGCTAAAACGGGATCAATTTGGATGATATTAAGTGGACGATGTAGGTTTATTATGGTGAAAACCACTTTATTTTCGATTGCTGAAGGTGCACCTCGGGACTATATTAACTTTGAAGATGAATATAGAGAGGTATATCGAGAAAGTTATAGCTCATGGCTTTCCTTCTGTTTAGTGGATTTTCAAAAGATTTTTTAAGGTATCTTATATTAGTTGTAGCTCGCTATTCTTCTCGTTATTCTTAAATTGTTCGGAATTTGTACCATATCATAAAAAAATAGGAAATTTTAATATTGAATGTATTATTCTCTCTGCACAAAGAAAGATGGAAAGGGCGAAACCAAACTGCTTTGACAGTTTTGCGCGTACATAGGCAACAAGCATATTAGAAAATAATATGAAAGAACTGTGGTTTTTACCTTTACAAGAAAGGAGATACTAGGAAATGTAATACCCATCAAGACCCATTCCTGTTTAGTGTATCAAACAAATTATACACAAGAATCGTAGAAGCTGGAATAAGAAATATTGTCGATTGCCAGAGCGATATGGATTGAGAAACTCAAGTTGCACATTGGAAGAGAAGTTGAAAATTGGGACTGTCTTCACTTTAAGGCAGGTTATAGAGAAGTCCACATAAAAAGAAAAATAGCTCTCTATCTACTCAGTGCCTCACACTTTGGATTATGCTAATATCTAACTGTCTTTCAGAAAAACTCGTTTTCCTTTTAGATCTCTTAAAAAATCTTTTGAAAATTCACTAAACAGAAGGAAAGCTATGAGCTATAACTTTCTCGATATACCTCTCTATATTCATCTTCAAAGTTAATATAGTCCCGAGGTGCACCTTCAGCAATCGAAAATAAAGTGGTTTTCACCATAATAAACCAAACGTTAAATAAAAAAAAATCAAGATATTTAGCAAAATATTTTTTAATTAACTTTTATTATTATAATTATATCATTTTTACAATTGAGGTATTCTTAAACGGCCTACGTATAAAATAAAGGAGGTTAAAATTTTAAAAAATTATAATAAATTTTTTTTTTAATTAATTTTTTTTTTTTATTCAGCTTTAATAAAAGACCAACTATGAGAAAATTAAGCTTAATGCTGATTCTCAGTGACCAAAAAACTAACTAAAGTCAAAGTCGTCAATCCGCCATCTTTGGACGCCATTTTGGGGCAGTGCGTTCACTTTTTTTTGTGGGAACATTGGCTTTTTTTTAATAATTTGTTACAAGGAACACAACGATATGCAATTTATAGGGATGTGGGGGGGGTGCACGGTAAGGGGGTCTGGCCCACCGTGTATAAGTATATGTTGGTCGATAGTCGGTTGTTGTAAGTCGGTATGTAAAGTTTTGTTGTTTACCTACCAGGGAGTTGCTGTTATTAGTCTTAAAATTTTGGATTGTAGTTTTTGTAAGTATGCCTTTTTTGCAGAACCTTAAATTTGTGAAGCGTATGTCCATATGGGTTTGAGTAATATTTTAAGTGTATGTATTTATTTTTTGTCTTATTTTCAATTTTGATTTGGAAAAAAGTGAGTATATTATTTTCAGTCGCTTGTTCAAGATCTTTCATTTCATTTTGACATGTGGACCCCAGGTAATCCTTCTGTCGAATAATAGCCCGAGATAACATACAGTGTCTGTCTGAGAAATTTGGTTGTCGCCGATATAAACAGATGGGCATGTGTCTTGTCGGAGTGTAAATGTTATATGTTAATCTGATTTTCCAAAGTTATTACCGATTTTGTAAATTTAGTAAGTGATTTCGTAAATTCAGCGGGGTTAGTCTGGGGTCGTGGTGTTTTATTAAAATTGTTGTATCATCAGCATAAGTAGCAGTCAATGTTTCAGAAGTGGTATGCATATCGTGTGTATAGATAATGTAAAGCAAAGGAGCCTATATTGATCCTTCAGGTACTCGTTGACACTGGTCGAATTGAGGAAATTTCTAAACCTTGTCGGACAGAGAAAAATCTGTCGAAAAGGAAAGACTGAAGAATTAGATAGTATGTATGAGGTAGTATAGTTTTGAGTTTAAAGAGAAGTCTCTGGTGCCAGACTTTATCAAATGCCTGGGCAACATCCAGAAATACCCCGGTTGCATATTGTTTTTGTTCTAGTGCTCCAGCAGTGTAGTCAGTAATTCTGTCTAATTGGTGCGTAGTTGAATGAAATGTGTGAAAACCGAATTGATGGTCAGGAATTATTTTTTGGTCCTTTAGTATGTCAACCAATGTTTTGTACATTATTTTTTGAAAACTTTGGAACATATTGGAAGGAGACTGATAGGTAGATAGGATGATTGTAAATGTCTTTGTCCCTTTTGTGTATCATTTTAATATGTGAATATTTCCTTCAATCTATAAAAAACTGGAACCTTTAAACTTACAAGGAAGCTTATTATTTACATTTAATGTCCAACCTGTCCTTCACTGCGCCCCCTGTCCATAACTGGTGCCTTCACCCTAATGTTGAAAAATAAAATAATTACTTGCTGTACAGTCATGTACTTTTTACAATAATTTTAACAACTCTGTTAAATGCAAAATAATATCAATATAATAAAAACATATAAATGTCACAATCAATTTATTAAAGAGATTTGAGCAAAGGAAATTACTGTGGTTTATCGACGTATGTTTGTTCTTTTTTAAAAAATAAGATTTTTCCTGGGGTAATTAATTATTGCAGTCCATTTATGAGGCGAGAACCTAAAACAATGTTTCTAAAAGTTTAAACAAAATTCTTGGGAGGATGTTGAGATACATTTTCCAGACCGATAAAAATTGCTTTTATTAGAGTACAGGTTTGAGCTGACTAAGTTCTAATTCATACATTTATCAAGGAAACATAGACAAATAAAAATTAGACATTTCTTTTCTAAAGGTCTTTTTGAACCTTTAACTGGAAGTGTTTTGAAATTTCATGCTTCTCAGGCAGTTAAAATAAATTTTATCAAGCTGTTTTTACTTTTTTTTATTTTAGGACCTGGGAAGAAGGTAAAGTGATGGTGTTTGATGATTCTTTTGAGCATGAGGTATGGCATGATGGTGATTCATTACGACTTGTCCTGATCGTGGATGTCTGGCATCCAGAGCTCACAATGAAAGAGAAACTATCCCTGTCACCGATATAAAAACTGTAAATAATAATTTGTGACCACACAATTCTATTGCCAAAGCCTTGTACCTATAACAATTAATACTGAATTTAGTTGTTCCTTTTATTCCACTGAACTGTGGAGAATATTTTGTAAAATTGATGTTCACTTTATGTTTTTTCATACTGATATTATTAATAGATCTTTATATGACTGTTTTGTTCTGTTAGGATAGTGGACTTTTTGTTATAATAAATTGTTGCCATAGAAAAAAATTGTTTTCTTCCTTTTTGTTATAAGATCCTCTGTAATGATTTTATGTGCACTTTATGAGTCACATTTAAAAAAAATCAAATTCCTTATTTATTTATTTTTTAAAGTTTATTTTTAGGTGTCAATATTTAAAATTCACTGAACATATATATATTTTAAAATTTAAATAAAATAAAAAAATATATTTTACCAGTTTTATATCTTGAGCCATTAATTTATTTTTAAATTTAATTTTGATCCCATTGTAAATAAATTTATGGATTTTTTACTTACAAAATTATCTTATGTAATAAGTGGTTCATTCATATTAAATTTAATTTTATCAGTATTATTGTACGTTTTACAAATTTATATTCTTTTATTCTTACCTTTGCATACTTTACACATTGGTGTTATTTATATCACTCCCAAATCTCAAAAGAAAGGAAGATAGAAGCTAGAATTTAGTATGATTGGAACATTATAAACTTTTATTCAGTAGTAGTAATTACTTACTACGCAATTTTGGTGACACAATTTGATTAAAGAAGAAATACTACATTGAGTTATTAAAATATTGTTATATTGTCACAAGGTTAAATTTTCCTGTCGCTTTACAATTTAAGAAAAATGATATTGATTAAGCTTTGAGAAATAGTTTTATAATGCACCTGCCTTCAGGATTTGTTTATAATTAATTTTGTCCCCAATAATACTGAAGAACATCTGTAACTTATACATTGATGTTTCTTAGTCACAAAAAACTACTGAATCATGGGGAAACAACACAAGTACAGATTTTTATTTTTATTTTTTTACTGGTTAAATAATATCCTAAAAACTCTTATGAATAGGAGGTCTGAAGGAAATAAAAATACACCTTTTTTTTAAATATCTTTAATTAAAAAAACATTTGGTTCAACATTTTTCAATTGAGAACCCTTATGGAATGATTAAACATTTGTAGATTTTGTTCCTAATAATCACAATTATGTTGCTTCTTTTTTTTCTGGAGTCCAGGAAATAAATTTTAAACTTTTTTCTGATAACTATTGAGAGATTTGCTATTGAAAGACCCCTTACCTCTGTTAACTAATTCTCTCGGAAGAGAAATAGAATATAATAAATTTAAATTCAATTTCTACTTCTGCTGACAATGATGTACTATTGGGACTGTGTGATCAACACTAGCAATCCTTGGAAGTTTTTCTGTTATTATTTTGTTGTTTATTGTTACCATTATTTATACTTTACATAACTACATTGAAACTAGGTTTAGAAAATATATAAGTTTCATGTCCATTTACTGTACCCTGTAACCTGCCTGAACCACTTGACACTCTTCTACCAGAATTCATACGATTGCTTTCATCCAACTATACATTTTTACCTTGAAAAATTACAATAAAAAAAATACTGATATACTGCATCAAAGCCAAATAAAGAAGAAAGAATCGTTAGCTACCCTTGTGATTATATTTACAGAAGTATTGCTAATTTGTTTCTTCTCATGGCTTAAAATAAACTTCCTATTTAAGTCTTCTTGAATCTTCATTGACATGTCTATCTCTGTATTAGGCACTTAAACTTGATGATTTTCTGTTCTGCTTTTATCTTCCTCATGATAAGCACTGTTAGGTATCTCAAAATTGGTTTTCAAATGTAAATTTGGTAAACTTTTACGTTGTGTGAAATTAGTCTTGATTTGATTACATTCATAATCACCCTGGGATCGAGTACTTCTTCTGATTTCTTCCATCTTTTTAAAAAATGGATCCGTGTTTTGTCTTTTATCATCTTCCACTTGACAGTTGGAACAACTTTGATGAGTTGTTTCAACAGCTTTGTCTATCTTTCTTATTGAATAACCATCATTCCACGAATCTCTAGGAGAATCGCACAATACTGGTTTCCACCGGACTCCTTTCCACTGACCTGAGCTGGTACTCATCCTCCTGATTCCAAGGTTATTCATAAGATGCTCTGTGGAGAGTATTATTGGAGATTCATTTCCTAATACTTCCTTTTTTCTCCTGATCTTTTCGATCTCTTCATGATCTGTTATGATTTCCTCTATTTCAGGTTTTTCTGATACAGAATCTATTACTGCATTGGCAGTTGAGCAGTAACTGTCTATAGTGGAGTTCGATGACCAGTGGTGCCATTGTTGTGATTCAGGAATGTTGAAGTTGAAGGGCCTATCTCGAACTATTGGAGTGGGAGCTCTTGGGGCCTTTCTAAAGAAATGTTTTATTTTTGATCCATGTTCTTGAGTGGAAGTATTAATCTCATCAGGATCTGCCAGGCATTCAATATCAATGTTGTCAGCACTTGGTCTGGAACAAGTAAATGTCATTTAATTGGGATCAATTTTAATTTTTATGATTAAAATGGAAATCAGTGTGTTGAAGGGTGTCAGTCTATTTAACAAAAACCACTCAAATATATAATTTAGAAACACACTTGAATATTTGCCATTTGTTCCAATAATTCAAACAAAATTTAAATACATAAAGGATCAAAACAAATTATCTGAAGTAATTATGATTTTACTCATTAATACTTGATGGATAAAATAAATCACTTCATTCTATATTTTTGTCATATAATATTTTAGTGGTATATGAAATAGCATTACACATTATATAATCATATGAAAGATACAAGAAAAAAAAAATGGCTGTCACAATTTTGGAGTCTAATTTTTCTTGGACACTAATAATAAAATTTTAAGTGATGGATACAAATTTTATTCTTGATATTCTATTCTATAGACTGCAACAAAGGAATCATCCATTTGTTTTATCTTCATATATTACATAGATTTCATATTAATGGATGAGTAATGAGAAAAAAATTTATTTCTCCTTTGACCATAATGATTTTTTAAGAAATTACTCTGAAAAATTATTAATAAGTTAGTGAAGAAAACAAATTACTTTGATACTCTCTATTACTCCCTAAAACAAAGCATTGAGTAATAATACTTTTTTAAATAAAAAAAGCAAACCTATTTAATTTGTAAAAAAACGGACAATTAATAAATGAAAAACTGTTTTTTTTTACAATATATATGTATATATATGGAGGCTGGGGTAGCCGTACGGGCCAAGGCACTTGCAATAGGTAATCAAAGTTAAGAAACTTCGAGTGTGGTTACTATTTGGATGGGTTTGATTTAAGATGTGGCCTGATTTGGGTAAGCGCCAGAGAAAGCCATGCTGCCCGTCTCTCCCCCTCCCCGGGTATGTGATGCCCATCAGCCTACTGGAGGCAACACACCAACTTGGCATAGGAATGATGACCCTACTCCATGTACTTAATTTGGAAATTGAGGTGTGGTTTACCTGGATGTTAATAACCCATTTGAAGTTTGGTCCTTGGACGGTCCATTTTGGGGAAAGAAATATAGGTCCTCGCGCGCCTGCTGATTCTGAGCAGCCATAATCCATGGATCTAGACCGATTTATCACTGTCCTTGAACCCAAGTGAGTTGGTGGGAAGGATGCTGCCAGATTGGTCCCAAAGAGATCAGCTATGGAGGTACGGATAGCCTGCCGCTGCACCATGGAGACCATGGTTTGTAGCAACACGAGTTGAGTTGACCTCCTCCAGGTTATCTGAGTTCCCATAAGAAACATACGTCTTTAAGGAAACCATATCTCGCGGCGAAAGATCTTCATGGTCTGTAGTGCCAACCGAAAAAAAAATACATACATACAATATCGTTTATTATAAAAATTATTTTTTTCTTCAAAATCTCGGAATCGACATATAAAGTTATAAGTGATCTAACTTTTGAACCTAAGATAAACTTGTAAAACAAGATCTTATTGTTGATATATTCTTGAAGAAAATTGAATTATTAAAAACTTTCTTCCACATGACTTAATTATAAAACAAAGCAATCAAAAGTTAGCTAGTCAAATACAGTAAAAAACATGAGGTAAAATTTTAGCGATACCTGGAGTGGATATCTCGGAAACTAAGCAAGCTAGCGAAAAAAGGTTTATAATCAATCATATTGCATATTTTATCAGCTTTAATTTTGTATAGAACATCTTTGTCGATAAGATGGAAAGTTTTCCTGATATAAGCGAAAACCTGAAAAAGTGACCTACTAGACGCCTCTCCCTCTCCCCCTCCCCCCGCACATCTGGCTCACCACCTAGGAGTGAGGACTTTTAGTATGTTTACCTATTGTATTTATCACCTATTGTTACTCTATTTACAATACCTCCTTACTAGTCCAAACAATGTCCCAAAGTCAAAAATTGTGTTCCCTCCAATAATTTCTATACCCCATTTTCGAGCATTCATTGACTGGACTATTTGTTTTTATCCTGAATCATATTTATTTATATCAATAAATAAAAAAAGTTAAATGAAATAAATGGTATAATAATAGATACAACTGTATAAGTACTTTATCATTTTATATTTTAAATAACTAAACATTGTGAATTCAAATTGTATCTAACAATTAGGGATGTGTCCAGAATAATTATAATTAATTCATGTAACAAAATTAAGGAAACCAAATTCCTGTCATATGGAAACTGTGGTCATGGCAATGGATAAATCACATTTTCGATTTATCTTGAAAATGTTTTCAAAATTATGTCCTGGTTTTACTCACATAGGATTTTTCTCTGTTTTCCCTTCCAATTAAACCATAATGAAGAATCATGTATTTATACATTTTTTTTAATTTGCTGTAGAAAAGCAAATTACGTATATAATAATATTTTAAAGTATTTTGACATTATATTATTTTATTGAAAAAATAAAATAAAAATTTACATTAATAAGCTCAAAAGAAGAAATAATGAAGAAAAACCCCCAAAATAAACAGCATAAAAGAAACATTAAAATAAAAGTAGTGAATGAATAGGCAATTAAAAAAATAATTAACAGGATGAAATGAAGAAGACCTCAGAATGTATTAATGAATAAATAAATTAATTATCATGTTTTTATTACTTAATTAACTCATTTGAGATTTTTGCATGGGTTCCAAAAGAAATAATAAACAATTAATCCAGATGGAAATTCAATCCATTCGACTTTAAATCCAAGTTGTTTTGAAATATGCTCTTTTTCAACTGACTAAATCATTTATCAAATAATAAAATATTAATTATCTGTACTAATTATAGTTTTGAACCAAATTAATTATCTTTGAGAACTAAAAGTTTAACCCATTTTTGAAGGTATTTTGTTAAAATTTTATGTTAAAATTCCAATTGTAATTATGTTAAATTTTATACCATTTAAGATGTTTTTCATGTTGGTATGTAATTTGATTTTTTAGGATGTTGTTTATTCCTAAATTAATTATAAGTATTAGTTAAAAACGTACACACATATTTGCTAGCAGAGAAGCTCAGAAAGGCAGTTCATTTTGTTAATGAAAATGGAGATGTTGGTTTGGACATTAATTTTTTAATAAAGTTAAAAGTAAGGGTAGGAGGCGGGTCCTAATGCACAATCTTACCGCCAAATACCTGCTGGGCCACTGCCAGAAGAAGAATGGCTGAAAAGATTGGAGAATGAAGTTTTTGGGGTATTTCTCTGCTCCATCTCTTCCTCTTCTGTAATATCAGGTAAGAACATAGACTGCTGGTCCTCAGGAACCCTATAGATACAAAATCATTACTAAAGAGCTTGAAAAAATATCTAACTTGTTTAAGAAGAAAAAAATACAATTATTCTGGGATGGTGTTCTCTTGGGGGCGGGGTGGGCGAATGGGCTAATGATGAAGATTTGAGAAGATTAAAAAGTATGAGTTCGCATCCCAGTGCCGGAGGGGGATATTAAATTTCCCGCCCTCACCCTCCGGCCCAGGAAAATCCCATATAGCCTTAAAGGCGAGGTAGTGAAGAACAAAAAAAATAAAAGGATGGTGTTCTCTTGAAATACAATACATCTAAGTTAAATACAGTTTAAAAAGTAAAATGGACAAAATAAAATAAATCATTCTTTCAAATAATCATGAAGTTTCTTATGGCAGGCATTCCTGATTCTCAATATAATGGTTTCATTTGGAACCAATGTCCAATCGGTTATTTTTTTTTTGTTTGATTTTTGATGAAACTTTTTAAAGTTCTCCCAGAAATAATTTTCTTTACTGATGTTATTTTATTTTCCCACATTTGTATTATACATCTCAGTATATTTTTAGTTTTTAGTGTTATTGTTATATTTTTTGTTTTATTCTTTTTCCAATATTTTAATCTTAACAAGAATTGTAAATGATTAATTTTATGTATGGAACAATAAAAAATGCTGAGGTTATGTGAGGACCCTGAGCTTATATAATATTTATGTAGCGCTTGGATCTGAATAAGTGAATATTAACATGCAGTATTCCATTTGAGTAAAAATATACTGTAAAATAAAAAATCCTGTTACCACAATGAATTACTGGCATGAATATGACAAAAAAAGGAAGAAAGCAATTAGAAAAATTAGATTTTGTAAAAAATTTTTCGTTTTCAAATTTTGAGTCTTTTGAAAATGGAAAGCTTAAATTAAAGTTTTTGCAAATGATAGAACCTTGAATAAGTGCTCGCTGTTTTAAATGGAAATTAATGCTTTATTTAAACACGTCGTTTAAAGTAATGACCATCACTTGCCAATACTTTCTCCCTTTTTTATGGCAGCATATGAATTCCATATTGGAAAAATTACTTGTCATTTAAGGCTATGTTAGAACCCTTGTATTGGTATTTTCATAAAAATGGAAGTGTTGCTCAGATAGGCCATGAGGCAAATTTTTTTGGAAATGTATTAAATTGATTGAAACGGGTACATATCAAAGTATCCATACTCAACCACGAGGTTGATAATTTAGTGAAAATTATTATAACTTTTTTTTTTTAACCTAGTTTTTGCTTTAACTCACATCATATTATGTACAGATCCACGATATGTTTTCTTCTTGTACGCAACAGCTGCACCTGTATAAGGAAGAACTAGGTTGAGTTCATCAAAGTATTTATCTTTAACAAGTGGTGGTGTCTTGACCATTAAAGTATCCACTCCCAAGTAAGATACTTTTGTATGCCTGTCAATCAACCAATTCAATTCAAAATCTTCATCATCATCACCAAAAGGATTTATCAACTGCTCCGCTACCTGAAATTAGTTCCATTAGTTATATATTTTTTTAATATTGATGAACATCACTTCACTTACCCGTTATACATTTTGGTAATGGTTCAAACATTAACGAATTCATGACTTTTGTGGATTGACCAATAGAATATAAATATGAAATGTGATTGGTTAATATTACTTTCTTTATTTAACTAAGAAATGGAAATCAGACAACTCAAATTAATGCAAATCTGAACATATAAAATAATCCAATTTAACAAAACAAGATCAAAACATATTTCGCAACATCATGAAAGACTGAACTTCCTAAAATACATTTTTGAATTTTTGAAGTATTTTCTTAAATTATTTCTCTCATCAAAAGGCAGTGATTAATGAGGAAGGTGAGAACACAGGGCAGTGAGTGATCATTGCCCACCACTGGGTCAGTCAATATTTATTTTGTGGCTATCTGGACAGTCCCACTTGTTAGAAAAGGCCATTTACCTTGAGTTTGTCTATGTCGAGAGTGTGAGATATTTTCAAAATGGCTCAACTTTTGAATAACTTGCTCTAGTTTGCAAATCTTGGCACAGATACTTGATTACAGAAAAATACCTTTGATTAAAAAAAAAATTATTTTTTTACACGAGCAATCAGTGATTCAGGGAAAAGTGTGGCAGCTCAATATAGGAATATTATTGGATTGATTTGTTAGACACTAAAGTTGAATGAATTTCAATAAACAAGTATTTTAAAAAGATTATTCATTACTTTTAAGAGACCCATGAAGAAAAAAAACTGCAGTATTGTGAACACCGGCAGATATATATCAATTTCCATTTGCAGTTGCTTTTTTGCTTCTTCAACATACTGCCTTCCAACAAGTGCAGCAATGAAAAATGAATAAGTCGCCAATGTTACAACCTTAAAAAAAATAGAAATGAAAAATAATTGGTTTAGGAATAAAATAAGATATAATTTATTCAATTTTAAATACAAACTTGAGTATACACAAGTGGGATAGAAATCCAATCATAGCTCCAAAGAAGACCACATTTGGAACGAAATTCATTAAACTCCTAAAATTAAATGTTTAGAATACATATATTTTTATTTCTGAAACTATATAATAATTTTATATCTAGTAAAATGAAATCAATATTATCTCCTTAAGAGAAAATTATCATTGCAATACTTATAGAAATTTAATGGATTTGTGAAAAGCTTGGATCTCAATAACAAAAATTGAATTTAATATTATAAGTATTGTATATATACAAAAATAAAAATAATATTATATTAATAATTATTAGTTGTCTAATAATTATTTTATAGAAATCATATAATTGAACTGTCTGATATAAATAATTGTTAACAAGTGTTTCTGAAAGTTACGCTATTTCTTTTCTTTCTCTGTTATATTATATTTATTTATATCTTTGATCTGAAGTTGTTTGCATTTTTGTATTATTACCATAAATTGAGCTATGTTGAGTTGAGGAAGTAAGACAACTCGAAGTGATACTCTATTTCTATTGAATTGATAATATTACCTGCATTATTAACTTGAGGCCCTGAGGGTCAGTTATCTTGTTGCCCTTTCTGGCATCTTTTAGGAGTGATATAAACCACGTACAAGGTATCCAGTAAGTGTTGAATTCTAAATTAGGCACTGCTGTAAACATCTCAAGCTCGATTCTTGTCATGAACCCTGTGAATGGCATCATTATTAGTCTTACACAAATTAAATAAATTAAACAAATAAAAATTAAAAGGCTAAAAATAGTCAGGATACCCAGTCATTCATGTTATATATTATAAACAAGAAATGACTGCCATATTCTGACTATTTTTCATCAATTTAATTTTAACAGTCAACTATATCTCCATCTCTGAGTGAAAATTAAGTTTGACTTGGGATTAAGAAGTTTTTTTTTTTTTTTTTAAGTTAAAATACTGCAATAGAATAAAACATTTCATAAAACACAATGCCTATTTTTAACTTATTTAAAATTTATTATTACCTGCCTCTATAAGATGCTCCATTGTTGGAAACCGACGCTTCACTGCAGAACTAATGGAACGTAGCACCAAAATAAGAGACAAGTTGAGATACCGCATCATGGTCCTCCTTAAAATCCGTCCCTGCTCATCGTTTGATCCCACATATAGAGCCAGGGAGTGCATCACCCTGTTTGTTTTAAAATTTAATTTATTTATGTTATATATATATGATAGACTAGTTCCTGACTATCCTTTAATATACACATATTAATGTATTGTATTAGTAGTGTATTATTAATATCACATTAACTGACATATTTTTTATCTTTTGGCATTACAGAATAATAATTACAGATCATGTAGATCTTTTGCTGCCTTAACAAGCCTGCTCCATCTCTGCCTGTCTTGGGATTTTTCTTTCCAATTATCTGAATGCAGCTCTGCATCTTTGTTAATTCTGTCTATCCATCTACTTTTTGGCCTTCCACATGGTCTTTTGCCTTCTATTGAGGTATTCATTGTTACTAGAGGTTTCCAGATGGATTGCTACGAGCTATATGTCCCGCCCATCTTAACCTCTGTGTCTTCATATCATGGGGTATTGATTGCCCAGTTTCTGTAAGCAGTTCCTTATTGGTCTTTCTTTTCCATGTGTTAGTACTCTGATCCCAGATCGCCGCAGGTTATCGAGCGCAGAATTATTCTCTCAGATCTTTCAACCCTTTTTCTAGGGTACTGGTTTGTGTCCAGGTCTCACAGCCATATATTAGAAATGGCTTTATCATAGCATTGATCCCTTAATTTGAGATTTTTTGAGAATTCAATACCTTTGAAAGGGAGGTTATTGTGGGGCCCAGGTATTTGAATTTTCTTACTCTCCGGAATGATTTTCCTTCTAGGCAGATCCTGTTATTAGGCTGGAATTTTCGACATATCCACAGAATCATAAGGCGTTTTGAAATCGACAAATAGGGCGTGGATGTCCTGAGCTACTTCCCATCGTTTTTCGAGTACTTGTTTCAGGATGAAGATCTAGTCTAGTGTGCTCCTCCATTTTCTCAATCCAGCTTTTATGAATAGCGGGAAAACCTCCCACCCCAGTAGATCTGCCTGTGGCATGGATCAACCCTAGTATAGGGAAACCCTCCTGTGACACACACAGTCTCTATAAAGCGGATAAAAATAAATAAATAAATAAAAATGAGGTGTTTAAGAGTGATCCTGCCAACATTGTTTCTATGCACAACTATTGGCCTGGAACATTACTTCCTTAAAATGTTTTGAACCCTAGATCCTTCATCGTTTAATTAGTACAGTTTTTGTTTTGTATTATTGGTCTCCTATAAGTTAAAGTGTGTTATTTCAGCGTTATGAAAGATATGAAACCTTCAATCTGTTATCCAATTTAATTTTCTACAACATTTTTTTATTTACAAATAAATTCTCATTGAAATATTTGCTGTCTTTTGAAATAAACAGTTTAGAATATTTCAATAAACATTACAGCTCTTAGGAAATTCTCATTTCTCTCATTTTCTTTATCACTGGATCTCAGCACAAATGTGATCACTATCCCAGCTCTTGATATGATCTGACGCTCTTCTCTTTATTAAATACGATCGATCCAGTTCTAGGAGTCAATGGAACTTCAGAGTTTATTTATTAATTTTTATTTACTTGTTTAGGATCCTGACAATCCAGAGCGTAAAAACGAAAAAGCTTCAGTATTTCTTTAATTCATGTATTAGATCGAAAATAAAATACAATATAAAAATTAATTGATAGGTCTTATATGTATTAATATCGGCTAGATTTATTAGAGCTATCTAATATTTAATACAATACGGATCCCTTTTTCGATTCACAGGAGTGATGGATTATAAAAACGAGGAGTCAATTGAAAATGAATTCGAATCTGAGTTTTCAACGAAAATACACGTTTTGAGATCCCCTGAATGCAAATAACCAAGTCCCACAAAATGGTCCGTGTGCTTGTGAACAGTCTAGCTCAAAAACGAAGTCTTGCGAAATTGAAATTACCTATTTAAGTCAGGGACGTTACAGCAACTTTTCCCTAAAATTCAGCTAACCAGAAGTGGGACTTTATATCAACGATGTTATACATTTTTACAATTTTCTCAAAAAACGGCTCTAACGATTTTGATTAAACTCGGTATATCAATATATAATTAAGTGGTCTTTAATGTCATTTAACTTAAGCTTAACAGGACTTAAGTTACCAATGTTCAAAATGTTTTGCTTTAAATACCTTTAATTTATTTTATTATAAATAGTTAACTAACTCTCATTATTAGGAGTTATGAAAAAAATGCTAAATATAAATTTCGAAAGAAGTAGATAATTGAATAAATGAGAAAAATAGAAAAAAGCTTATCCAAGTCGAAAATAAATCTCCGGAAATAATAGTCAGGAGGTATACGTATAAAATATCGTTGAAAGCGGAGAACTGTAGAAAAAAGAATATCTAATTAGTAAAGTTGTAGAATGTATCGGAGAGTGACGAAAACAACATAAATAATAATTCCTGAAAACTAACATTATTTAACGTAAATCACACGTTTCCAAGTAAATTAAATGAAATTTTCTTACTAAATGTAAACATTAAACATTTTTGAAAGTTTGAAGTTTGAAAAAAAAGTATTTAAAATCCACCGAATGAAATTGTTTAAGATACAATTGCATTGTAGTTACTTATGTGAAAGAAGTGAAAAATAATATAAAAGTGAAAGAATATAAAAATATTTCATGGATATATTTATAACCTTAAATACATTTACTGTAGTTTAATAACTCTAGATTTGATATTATATTTAAATAATTAGGCATCTATCGTCCGTTTATTCCGAAAAATTATTAAAGCTTTTTATAATAACTTTTTGAAAATTAAATTAATGAATAATTTGAATTTTTTCTTTGTGACGTGCCTACAGTATCCATTTATATTTAATGTGACAACTTTTGACCTATCTATGACAGGCAATGCAAATCTTGTTATTCCATTTTAGTAAACTTTGCTATGGAAAATAACATTTTGATAACTAGTAGTCCTATAATCCATAACCTACGGATCGTATAATCTACAATCAATCTTTGATATAATAAATAAGATTTTTGTTATTTTAATGGTATTAATGATTTGTTAGCTGTAAGCTTTTAGCTTTAGCTCGGTTAAATATGCACTTCAAAAATTTTATAATAGCCCAACATTGCCAGAAAATAATTTCTATTCAAAGTAGAGTGGCAAGTGAAAGTTGTGTGTTGCACGCACCAGATTTTTTTGTTACTAATAGTAATTGGTTCCCAATACTTAGAATGTGCTATTAATTAAAAAAAGTTGAGATGTTTAATTTCACATAGTTATAAGATGTTTGCTATTTTATTAACCTGTCATTCATTATTAATTTGTCACTCTTCGATCCCCAAAAGTTCACAGGTCTAGAGGTCCTGTGATAAGTTCAATTTTCTCTTTTATTTGTTAATGTATATATAACTATGTATCGCAATATAGGACCACACTTATATAATTTCTTGGATTTTCATTTTTCCTCCACCTTTCTCATCGTCATCTCCTTTATTCCCTCCTTTGTTCTCCTCCGTCCTTCTTTTTTTCATTCACTGCAAAAATCTTCTCTTCATCTACTATCTTTCTAAACTTCTCACTGTTTTGATATTCCTCTTCTGTTATCCCTAATCTGTTTATCTATTCATTAAGTTGATTAGGGCATCCTTTGAAGTTCTTAAATTTTATCACTTTGCCAAAGATTCGCATATTCATTTCCTCTTCACACATATATATTCCTCTTTTCAACGCTGGTTATTCAATTTTATTCCTAGTGCTGGTTAATTGGTATTCTACAGTCTTTATAATTATATGCATACAATTCTAAATCATTACATTCTGAAATTTAAATACATATTTTTTCAAATAGATTTTTAATTGTTTTGATATAAATTAACTGTTACAAGGTAACTAACTGATACAGATTAATAAAAAGATTTCTTATCGAAGATTCCTCCACATACTTACTTGTCCGGCCAAGGGATGGCCATAAACTGCTGCCACCATCGACCTGCCACGTAAGCCACATAAAATCCGAGAACGAAAGAAAGGGGTATGAGGTTGATGAAGGTATCACAATATATCACAACTTTTTCGAACAGTCTGCAAATAAAGAAAACATAAAATTGAAATACAAATTAAAAAATATTTGTTTAGGTTATTTAAAATTTTATTTAATTTACAATGACCATCATTCATCTCTCCCACCAACCGATTAAGTTGAAGGGGAGAACTGGGGATAAAGTTTCTTTAGTTCTAATATTAATATAATAACTCCAATTATTAATATAAGAGCTAAGAAATGATTGTTATGTTGGCTGTAGGTTCATATATCTGTCCCCCAGCCTGATTCCTGATTTTCCAGTTTTTTAACTTCTTAAATCTCTATGGAATCAAAGTTTATCTCTTTGATATTTTGTTAGAAATGTAATAACCTACGCATACTTCCGTTCTCCAAATAATAAAATAATAATAATATTAAATTCATAATATTTCTCAACTTCTTCTTCGGTGCATACTATTTATTTTCAAGTTTATTATTTATTTAATAATAATATTAAAAATCATCTTCTGTTATCTTAATTGTTAAAATATCATGGAAAATGTTTTTTATTTAAGAATTTGCTAACAGATTAAAATTGAAAAGTATGAAAATTTTACAGACATTTTATCAATATATCCAAATGTAATTTTATATGTTTTCATATTCTATAAAACTATATCAGATTAAATCAGAATGCCAATATATCTTTAACTTACATGAGAAGCACACTACTTAAATCAATGATTCAAGGTTTAATTAGTTCAAGTGTTAATTATTATAATTGCATTTACCATGATAAAAATAACTTATTAAAACAATGATATCTCTCAAAAGGTTTGAACAGTTTAAAGGCAACAATATCTTAGATCAAAAACAAAAATCCAAAACTACTAAAACCTGACTTGATTTGTTTCACTTCTAAGCCAACCACACCAAGTTATTTTCCCCATATAACAATAAACTTATCAATCTTACATAATTTCCTGGTACACTGTCATTGCTAAACTATCTATTAACTATTCAGCATTAATGGATCCAAGATTTAATTTTGGGTGAGCTTCAGCCTGAAAACTTTATCTATATTTTTATGAAAATAAAGTGTTTCTCTCTCAGGGGTGCCCATTTCCCCTAAGGTCAATGGCGCAAGAACCTACCCCCTCTCCTCCTCCCAAGATATTTTATTATATAAATTTTTCTTAAAAACAAAGCAATCTAAGCAAGAATTAGAAAAATCGTAGATCATATAGAATTACACTTTCTGCGGTCTATTCCGTTTCCCCTTGTCCGTTCGTCGAAAATTCATAACCCCGTCAAAATTTTTTTCCCTCAAAAATTCAAAACCCGTCAAAATATGCCCCCTTTAAAAATTTTGATGGCACAAGTGCACCATGAAACCACCTTCTGGGCACCTCTGTTTATGTATGTATATATATATATATATATATATATATATATATATATATATATATATATATATATATATATATATATATATATATATAAACTAACAGAGATAACCCAGCAAATAACAAGTGCAACAGAGCTTTCTTTTCTCTTTCAAGGGTACTGAAATCCAGAAAAATCTCCAGAAATCTCAAGCTAAGGGTGTACAACGACGTGATAAAGCCAGTACAGACAGTACTGCTGTACGGCTGTGAAACCTTGACTCTAACCGACATTCTAGAAATCAGAATTTAGAGATTTGAATGAAATGTCCTCCATACGATAACAGGACCTATCTGGGATCAGACCCTTAACACATGGAGGAGAAGAAACAATAAAGAACTTGTCTAATTAAAAGAAAGTGGTCAATCAATATTTCATGATTTGAAGCCAAGGAGGTTAAGATGGGCAGGGCATATAACTTGAAGCAGTCCTTCAGGACGCCTTTATACAACAATGAATGCCAGAGTAGTAGGAAAGAGATCACGTGGGAGGTCAAAAACCAGATGTATAGATAAGACAAATAAAGATGCGTCTGAGCTTCTTGCCGCAAACTGGAAAGCAATAGCCTAAGACAGGCAAAGGTTGAAGGATGGATCAGGCGGTCAAAGATATACAAGATCTGTAAAGCCAACTCTTAAAAAAAAGAGAAAAAAAAAGTATATAAAAGAAAGAAGGAAACTTACTACCTATATGAAATGGTATTTTAAAGATTCTGAAAGTCCTACTAAATGCAATTACATGAACAATAATACTTTTAGAAATATTTTTTTAAAATTCTTTTCACAAGAGTTTATATTTTACCATTTTGGGAAGAGGGGAGGGGCTTCAGCACGAAAGGTAATGGGCCTAAGGTGTAAAGATGGTCATGTAAACAAGTTTAAGTCCACACAATCCATATCAAAACTGAGGAGTGATTGTGTAAGACCGGGTAAAGAGGAAAGGAGTGGGATAAATATTTTAAAAAATCTTATACAGTAATTTTTGGAATAATTTTCCACAGCTCCGAACACAGTCCACTTAGTTAGGAGATTGTGATGGCTGAGGATGGCAAAGTTTAAATTTCACCATTATCAAGTCAAGTCGATTCGAATCCGGTCGTGTTAAAATTTATTTCGTCGCGGACCTACAGAATAATTTTCGGTCTTCCCACTCTGGTTAAAATAAGTTGGTTGTACTTCTAGAACAATCCTCCTCATGCCAGAAATGTTAAGGTAGGAGCTAATCGAAAACAAGAGTCCACATAGTTGGGCCAAACCAACCAGGCCGAACTAGTTGTTTCTATGTTAACTAACCATCACGTATTCTCAACAAAAAGTAATCATTAAAATATCACAGCAGTGAACTTATATATTTAGACGCAAGTAAGAGATTTTCGGAGGCTTGTTTGCAAAAAATAAAATTTTGAGCTAATAATCATAAATGATTTAATAATGCTCTGATTTTTTTTTTCGAATGACACCTCTAATTGGACGAGAAACAAAATTCAACAGGAAGCCATCGTAAAACCTGGCAGCCCTCGACCCACCTCATTATTCCCTCGACTATTTTTAGCAAGTTTTCAACAAAAGGCCAAATCCTAAATGACTAATGGGGCGCGATCCGGGATTGCATTAATAGAATCGTGTATTTTTATCATATATCATCCACCTTGTCTGGATTATACTTGGATGTGGCTTGGACAGAAATAGGACGCCATTGGGTATTTACCGTCCGGGTAGGACACGGAGCACGGGCAGCCGGCCTAAGGTCACTCCGGTATTTGTTGCCTTGTCATTCCTCGACCTCGCCTATTTCGTAGATCTCTAAGGCGCTGATATGAAAATCTCACATCGGAGTCATAAAAAGTATAGTTTTTCAAAAATATTAGTATTATGTAGCAGCACTAGTGTGCCTAGATCATTAGGGGCTCGTGGTAAATAGATTTTTAAAAGCCCAAAAATAAAAACGAAAATAAAAAAAAAATAAAAATCTTTTCGCCTCTTTTAAAAAAGTTAGCTTGCATATTATTTTTTTGGCGATAAAGTTGCTGTTAAATTAAAAAAAAAAGTGCTCCCTAGTGAGTTTTTAACGACCATTAACATAAAAAAATTAAACAACAATTTGTTATTTTTTAATATTAACACTTTCATCTGCCTAAAAAAAAGTTAATTGTGATAAAGCTAGCAAATTTTCCAATTGCCTTCAAGTCAAGGCCGGTGTTCTTCAAGATAGCGTCTTGGGTCTCGTACTTAATATATCCTTTACCGCCGATATCTCTGTTCATCCCGATACCTTCTTGACTATTTAATTATGGCATCCTATCCAACTCAGATCCAGAGTAGTTGATACCATCGAAGTAAATGAATCCAAATGCAAACACGTCACCTTCACTCTTCGACGGATGTCATGCCCACCAGTTCATCTTAACTCCATGCCCCTTCCCTTCCCAGACACAGTCCGGTATCTTGGCTTCCCCTTAGACTAAATGGGAACCCACATTGTAGACTTAAAAGACGAGAAATTAATCGGCGTTACGGCCAATTATATAGATTTCCAGGTTAAAAACAAATTAATAACCTTCAACAAAACCCTGAAATTCATCTGAACCTATGGAGTTGAACTGTGGGAGACAGCTAATTTTTTTTTAATAACAAAGCCATTCAATCCTTCATGTCGAAACTCCTCAGAACAATAAAAATTCCCCATTCCATTTAACCAACAAAATCCCATAAAATGACCTTAATATCCCATTTGTCCTAGACCTTATCACAGAAAATTTTCAGAACCTTATATGTAATCCAAATAAACCACTATTTGGCTCCACCCAGCCCTATAATCCTCATCAAAGGTTGAAACGTCAATAGCTCTTAGACCTTTTGTAATATGTATAAAGTGGAGTTACGGCTATAACTATTGCCTAGGTGGTGGCAGAAAGTAATATTGATCAACATAATAATTTTAAAAGTTGTGAAAAACGCATGTTTTTATTGAAAATTCTATTCGTGTAGAGATAGAATCAATTTTCATTCCTATGAAATTACGATAACTAGGGAGAACCAATATCACTCTTGAGTTATTTCACAGTTGGACAGCATTTAACATAAAAGGAACAAGCAACATTCCACATGATTTGAGAAAGTTAAGTCAAAAATAAATAAAGTGGCTTTATTAATATGAAAGCATAACAAAAATGTTTTCTTGTTTCAAACCTAATTTTATTCATTTTATGGAACCTATATTATGGATTGCTTTTTAAAAATAGAAACGTCATAGCATTTTATTTGTAATATTTTATTTTAAGTTTTTCAGTATTTTCAACTTCGATTTTCCCATGTTGATACTAGATAAGGTTTAAGTGAGATGGTTCTTCTCTCTTGGAAATTGTAAGCAATGACCCATTCAAAGCCAACTCTAACTCATTTTTGCTAATTCTGTGGATTAGTTCCTTTCTGCTTCAATTCTTCTATATAAACTCCAGCTTAAAATTTTATTTAATTATGGTCAGTGATTGATTTTTCAACATTTTAAACGTGACTTTTATTGTAGCTGATACTAGCGCAACAAAGGACCAGAACTAGAGAGGAGTATAGTGCCCCATGGGAAAATACACTCTCTCTGTTATTTAATTAAAATA